GAGAGAGAGAGAGAGAGAGAGAGAGAGAGAGAGAGTATACTCACATTCTGTCTGACTCTTTCCTAGTGGAATAGTCCCTCTCTGTACGTGCCAGCTTTGGAGACACTGGCCGACATCCATGCCGTTCTTCTCCGCGACTCTCTTGACCGTCGGGTCGTTCAACAACCACGTCGCTCCGTGGGGCTTTTGCCCAGCAAACGGGGAGTAACAGACGGTCAGTATATCGTGCTCTTTCATGAAATCGATCAGCTTGTTGTTCGGGAGCCAGGGATGCGCTTCGATCTGGTTGCACGAGATGGGCACGTCGTCCGCGTACGGCAGCAGCTCTTTGATCTCGGATATGGAGAAGTTGGACAGGCCCACGGCGCGCGTCTTGCCCGTCGCCACCAGCTTTTTCATCGCCTGCCATGTCGGCACAAAACTACCTTCCTTGCCTGACAATGGGTCAGCCACGAGTGTCCTGTCGGTCCAACAAGCACGACTTGAAGTAAATGCAACTCACCAGCTTGGCGGGCAATGTTGGTGGCGGTGTGCTCCCAGTCAATCACCGGTTTGCCGTCATCGCCGACCAGAATGCCGTTTGCGCCTTCCGGCGCGTTGCGAGCGGCCGTGGCACTCTTCAGGGCTTCCTTCGACACCGGCTTGAGCGCGACCGGCCAGTGGGCGAGGAAAAGGTCGACATAGTCTAGACCCATTCCCTGGAGGACTTTATCGAGAGAGAGCTCAACATTTTCCGGCGCGGCGAAATGGCCCCGGAACTTGGAGGTGATGAAGATTTCGGATCGAGGAATCCCTGATTCTCGTATCGCGGCTCCAACTTCTTCGTCGACCTAGGGCCGGTTAGGGGAGTGCCAACCCAACCTACTAGGGGATGGACTGTTGGAAAGAACGTACACCGTATATCCAAGCACAGTCTAGATGTCGATACCCGGCCTTGAGGGCGATCAGAACCGCATCCTTACACCACCCAGGGCTCCCTGGCGCCTGGTGTCAGTACAACAGACACAGACTTCAGTATGAGGCTACCCGAACCTGGAGAAAATGTTCCGAATCCGACGGAAGGGATGTGGATGGTCTTGCCTTCTGCTGCTTTCAGCGGGAAATGGCTGGGAAGAGACATGATGTTCTTCGTTCCACAAGCAGTGCAGATGATCCCACTCGATCGTATTCAGATAACGGGGAGGACAAGAGGAGGGATGCATCGAAGCGAAGGGCGGCCGCTTGAGCTGCTACTCTGTATTTAGTTAATTAATTAGTGAACACTGTACGGCTACATGTATCCGGGGTGGAGATGCCGGCACGAAGGCCGATAAGGAAGAGCAACAACATCGAGCTCGAGCGAAGCGGAAATAGGTGGTAGGAAACGGGAAATCCGGTGCAGACGGTTGACGTGTAGAGAGTGAGAGTGGCGAGTGTAAGGAGTACACATACACGGTGCAGCCACCTCGAAGACACCTTGAAGTCGCCTCTCGAAAGAGGAGGAGGCGGAGGCAGAGGTAGAAGCATGAAAGAGAGGCGAGCGAGATACTACCAACTGTACGGAGTACTCCGTACACCTTGCTCCGTAGGCAGTATTTGGGGCCTCTAAAAGCGGCGATATCGGATCCAGCAAAACGAAACACGGCTTGATCAGGAACATTCGTCGAAATGAGAGTACAAGTATTGTATTGTCCCCCAAGTCATAGATATGGGCATACATCATATACTAATCATAATGTTCCTCCTCCTCCTTCTATAGCTTGTAGTTGTGATTGTGATTCTGCCACCTTTGTGCGCTCGTCGTGGCTGATCCCATGGTACAACCTGGTATAAAGTAGTGCGTGCGCATGGTCAGCGGCTTTAAAGAACTGATCGGGCCGAATGTGTTGATCATCTCGTAGAGGGAAGCCCGATAGGCATGTGTACAAAGCTGAATTTGGATACCCGTGCCGCCATCAGTCGCTTATGGATCGAATCGCGCAAACATATGACCTCCCGGCTTTGAAGACGCACAACAACCGGAGCACACTTGACGCTGTCGACGCTCGGCCCCACGTAGCGTCAAACGGGTTTAGTCGTTTGCAACAGTTCTATGGGAGCTGTAAATGGTCTTAGTGTCCCATGTCCATATGCAGTCGAGAATAGCTGGGACTGCAGAGAGCATCCAGAGTATAGACCGCGCATGTATGATAAGCTGTCGGCCAGCCATCTCGTGGACCTAGGCAGTTGAAACCGACAGGGCTTCGAGAGAGGCGCGGAGCAGGTGGTACGAGACAGTGAACTTCCTTGCTAGGAACCTTCAGTGTCTCTTCCCTTGTACGCTCAGCAGTCCTCTTCTCGTCTCTTCTGTCGCACTCGACCCTTCTCCTCTAGCGCGGTCATCTTGGTGGAGCACTGAACGTCATGGCAGTAGGAGTTATATATCCTTCCGTTGTGGTGGCCGACCCGGCAGGCTTTCTAGCTTGCTCCTCTCGAAACCTGACTTCTTTCTCATCTTGGGCGACGATGCAGCAACAGCAGCAGAGGCCCTTGAGGCAGTCGCCCGGAACATTGCCGGCCTCGGAATTCATGCCGTATGCTTTGCGTACTCGCGTGTGTTGAATGGCGGCTAGAATGCCGTTGATGCCACAAACCACTCCAAAGGCTATACACGAGCCATTGACCGCGGTATAACCGAGCATATTAGTGGGATCCTTTCTGTCGGCCCGCAAACTCAGTCGATATTGGGTCTTTCCGTACACGATACAAGGGCAAAAGAGCGCCGTCAGACAAGTGGATGGTTCGGCGCAGGAGCAGAGGCTATGTCGCCATGAGCCACCTCGATTCACCTGGGCAATTGGCGTGAACATGCTGACGGAGAATTGCGAGGGATCGGTTGGTGGAGGGACGATAGCCATGTTGGTGCTTGGTGGTTTCGAGAACTTGGGTGTAGTTGGTGTCAATGGGTTTGCATCGGGTTCAATTGGTTTCGTCGGTTCATTTTCCGGGCGTGCAGGCTCTTTCACAGAACCCGCAGACTGGAATTGAGATGGTGATGGGGTTTGTCCATGGACCGGTTGTGTCTGAGCGGCTGGGGTTGATACGTGTGGTGGAGCGGTTTGGGCAGGATAAAGGCCATATTGTCGCCGACCGTGACTGTGACTGTATTGCTGCTGTACCACCCCAGCGTCTCGCCCCTGATATGCATGTGCTCCGTGACCGTGACCGTTCGATTCCATGGAATGCTCCTCCTGAACGGGAACGTGCGTTGCATCCGGGGGGCTTATGCTTATTCTCGTCTCTCTCCTCCGTGTGTTATTCGTCCACACCTGGTTCTCCTCGTCTGCAGGCGTGTTCATCCACGAAAATCGAGGTTCAGCAGGTATTTGAGGTGGCTGCAGTGAGGTCGGAGGTCGAACTCGAGGATATTCGTAGGATTTCATTCCGCTCGATCACCGGATAGCCCGGGCTGTCGTGAGAGTTTGGATTGTTTCGCAGGATCGTGAGAAATGACGTGTAGGGAGGCCTGATGGCGTGGTGGACGTCCTATATGCTAGCACGTTTGATAGACATAGGAAAGATGGAAAGGGAGAGAGGGGAGGGTGAATGGGTAAGACAGAAGACAGCAACAACCACGGATACCTTGTGACCTTCTGACCTTGCCGCGCAGCAGCGCCTCGTCCGGGGCCGGTGAGGAGCCTGGCAGTGTTCCAGGAGACGTTCATGATTCCTGGCTCCTGGTCGTCGTCACTGGTGCTTGGAGCCATCACCGCCGACGATTGGACTGCGAGAGTCAAGCTTGACACTCGGCAAATCCAGGGCGCTTACAGGAAACAAAATTCGTCAGGCGTGCCAGGCTGATGCTGCCGTGCCGGCGTGAATCGCGCCTATGTAACTGTGCTTGTGCTCACCGCTGAAACAAGCGACGTCCAGGCGGTTTGCCGCCAGCCAGAGAGTGCGTGGAAGCGCCGGCGAGGGAAGTCGGGTGGTGAAGCCAAGCCGCATCAAGGGTCGCTTAGTGTACGGCGTACAGAGTACGGATAGACAGTTGGCGGTGGTGGATGGAAACATTTGGTCCCCGCGTCTGTCACCGTCCATCACCACCACTGCGTGACTTGCGCTTCTCATCACCCACGTACCCCCATCATCACTCTGCGGGACTATTGACGGTGCCAACCTTATCCCACACCTCACACCTTCCTAGCAGTTGTATCCCTCGGTTCACTCGTCGAGATTGCATATGGAAACATGGGACATCTACCGATCATCCCCCCCAGCATTCAGCATTCAGCAGCCCTCCACCATGCGTATCCCGTACGTATGCTTCAGCTATAGTTCGCCCTGGTGGTGTGACCCTCGATCCTCTGGGCCATCCTTCCCTGGCCGCCACAAGTCAGGACTGCCGGGCCTCAAATCCACGGTTGGCAACTCCGCCATGTGCAGTTTAGCACTGCCATAAGGCCGCAGCTCCACGGGGAATGCCCTCCCTGTACAGTTCCGGCCTCCCACCAAGGGCGGACTAGGAGCATATCCATCTTCCAATTGCCACGCTATCTGACAAGCCAAGGCCGAGATGCTGACAGGAGGCGCTTCCTCATTCCAGATCGGATCCGGCAGCCGCTCGGCATACCGGTTCGGATACTCGTAAAACTTCAGGCTCGAGGGATCGATCGCCACGTTCCACGGCTCTCTAGGTAAGATTTCCCAGTCCTGTGCTTGTGGAGGAGCCGAAGTACCGGGGTACCTCGCCGGACGAGAAGCATGATATTCGCCTGCAACAGGCAACGCATACAGTAGAGCGCCATGATAGATCGAGACAGTACCGTTGGCCCTGGGCTCAATGCGCACCTTGGCGCCAAACGCGGCCTCGATGCGGCTTCTTCCTGCTGGCACCGCCATGGTATGCAAACCGGTGGCGGCATCTGGCTGCAGAGGATGCTCTTTGCCAGAGTCAACCCATACACCACTCTCTTCGAGAATAGCCCAGGAGGGGACCCTGAAGGAGAAGCGGAAGCTCGATGTTGCCTCGATGTCGTAGCTGAGGTAGTTGCTGAACGGATAGTTAGTGTGGCTTCGGATCTGGACTTGGTTGCGATTCTTCAACGTGGTGCTGACCTGAGCCGGCCCGAGCAGCGCGTGCGCGAGTCCGTCCTCGCCCACCTGGACGAACAATGCCGGGACAAACTTGGAGTATCCTTGCATGTTGACCGTGCAGCATGGGAAGTTTGGTTCGGTCCCGAACGTTTGCCCCCAGGGGCCGACATTCCAGAAGGGTGACTTGTCCAGCTGGTGACTGATGGGTTGGTTGGTCTGGGCGACATATTGATGAGCCCACCAGTGAGGCATGAACATGACAGGCAACGCATTGTAGGCTGCCAACTCCGACTTGTCGGCAAAGTCACGGTCTCCTAGCGCCTGGTAGAGATAATTCAAGGAGAAGATGGATTCCACCACGCTGCAGAGCTCCGTGCCTCGGACAGGACTGAGTCCTGCTTCACGTTCATCGCCAATGATGGCCCCCGAGGGAGTGCCATGGTATTGGAAGGTCCAGTTGACCCCGTTCCTGGCCGTTGAGAGTAGAGAGTCATCATGGACAAGTCTTCGCATGACGGCGGCCCATTTCAGCCCCTGGCCCGCATTCACCACGTGAATGTGTGGAAACAGCCTCTGGGTCAGTTCGACGGGCACCCAATCGAGGTCTTCTTTCAAGAACTGGTCTTCATGAAACCAGTAAGCCCAGTCGTAGGCCATCTCGTACATGTAGACCATACAATGATGGATGATCTTTTCGTTTCCCATGGGGTGTTTCTCATAGAGCCATTGCAGAGCGAGCACCATGTCTGCGGCACGAGACCGGCCCCATTGCTCATCAAATTGGTCACCTGGCTTCCAGACGTAGCCTTGATGGTGGTCTGCTAGCATCTCGTGCATGAGACTAAGAAAGCGATGCATGGCAGGCAAGATCATGGTTTGGCCCAGCTCAGGTTCGGCCTCGACCAGCTGCATGAACCCCAGGAAAAGGGGATAGCGGGCCCAAAGATTGCGACGTGACAGGTCAGCCTCCGGACCCAACCAGCCATCTGCGTGCTGATGAGCAATCACCCAATCGGTAACCCTCAGGACGTGGTGTTTGAGCCGTGCATCGTCTGCGGTCCAGGCCAGTGGCACAAGTGCATTGTAAGAGTATGGCCAGGCTTCATTCAACCCTGGGCACCGACCCATCAGCCAAGAGGAGAAGAGAGCACGAGTGGGAGATGCCACTGCGACGGCTTACAGGAATACTCTTGATCCCCTCCGAGCCAGGGGGCGTCTTTGACCATGCGGTAGAACTCATGCAGATGGCCTGGCAGGCCGTTGGTCATCAGTTCCATCTGCTGGCGAAGCCATCCCAGCGGCTTGATGGAGCCCAGAGGAAGAGGCTCGAACTTCAGAGGAAGCACTGACAAGCATCAGTGAATGTGTCTGGCCATTGGTCGGGCCCAGGAGGTCTCACATGTTTTGTTGTAGGAATCCGGCTCTCGAATGGTCTGTTGAGGATCATCTTTGGGAGGTCGGACAGCCCATAGTCTTCGCTCATGGCTGGCATTCTGGTCTTGCATCCAAGACGCTGGCGCTGGTCAGGGAGGGGTCGATGAGCGTGATATGGAATAAAATACCTGCGTCTTCCCCGGGGCCGGGTTGTGCGGCATCTCCCACAGCGTCTAATGGCTGCTGGGCGCTTCCAGAATGAGCGTCAATGCAGACGAAACTCGGGACCAAATTCAGAAATAGGAGGAGCAGAACACATCTCAAGACAAATGAGCATGGACGCATCATATTCTCCGACAGAGAGCACGCAACATGTCCGCGCCTGCACAGATATGCTCTACATGGAAGTGTCAGGGAAAGAGTAGCGACCGGCCCAAGGGGAGACTGTGTATCTGTTCAAATATCAAATATGTAGATGACTGCTAGGGAAGACAGGAGATTCGACCAGAGTTGGAAGAGGGGTGATCTATGAAGGATACCCAATGCATAAAATACAGTACCCCAAGTTCGTGGCTGAAGAGCGGGGGATCAACCGTGGCTTAGCCTCAGCCCCTGTCAAGCTGTCTACATATGTACAAACATTAATAGTCACTCCTCGACTTGTTGCGAGTTTCCTCATACTTAAGACAGCGAAGATACCCAAGGTGTATGAGGAAGGAGTAGTCAAAGAAGTACTGGAGCGCAGAAGGGCCCGCTGACGAGCTTTGGCCTCACCTCCACTTCCCGATACCACAGAACGAACCCAGGAAGACTGCAGCACGTGGTACTCCGTACAGGGATCATTCTGCTGAAACATCGAACAAAGGCTTCGTCATGTCCTGCTAACATCGACCATATGCTGGAGAAGAGGATAGCCTGGCATTGCTCGATAGCAACTCAGCCTCCAGGATATTATAACTTCCCCCATGTTCCTTTTCTTAGGGAGCAAAAACAGTTTGTCTTCACCATCAGGTAAATCTCTTCGTTTGTTGCTAGCCTTGAGATATTTTTCGGATGGTAGGCAAGGCGTGGACCAAAACTTGATCCAAAGACCGCGGGGAGACCATACAGTACCAACCTGGTCACGACGGGTTGAGACTGGTCTAGACTGGACTGGACTGGTTATACTCTAGGTCTCGCCGGGTGTTCCACAGTGCGGTGCTGTGAAATGCGTTCCGTCGATAGTAGATACTGATAACTCGGTACTCGGTATGCACCAGGGCAGAAGTGCAACTGCAACCCTTCATCGGTCGACTGTCGTGACAGCGACAGCACCTCCCCGAGTTCTCGGCGACGCCGACATCAACATCATCATCACGATTCGGCTCGTCTTGGCGCCAAGCCACTGGGATGGGCCAAGGCTGAGCTAGTCTTCTTTGGGCGTTGCATATTAGGTAACGGGAACGTGCACAGTCCCGTACTCGGTACTGATGATCCCGTCTATCGCTTTTGGCAGACCTACATCTGCCTACCTCACCTGTTAAAATATCAGCTAGGGCCCCTTGGCACATACTAGAGGTACTCATACTTGCCATATAGCCCAGTATGAATACAGGTAGTATGCCCAGTATGCCCAGCAATACTCTCACTCCTTCCTGCTCCACAAACTCATCCCGTCCCTGTGATGTAACATTGGCAAGATTTTCACCACCACTACCCGGTAGGTACTAGTATTCAGATCCAAGGGAAAGGAAAATTTTCATCAGATTAGATCATCGAGCCGCTATCTGATGAGAGAGATATAGGTATATATACTAGGGTAGGGAGAGGGAGGTAAGGTAAGTCCCCCCATCGCCGTACCTGGTCTCACGCCGGCACGGTACTTGAACTTCACCCTCACTGGGTTTCGTGGCACATTGACATTCAGATTGCAACCCCCCATCCACATCCAGAGGACCATGGAGAAGACAGCCAGTAGCATCCAAGGGGAGAGCGAGAGCGAGAGGGTGAGGGAGAAGGGATCTGCGGGGTTCGAAGCACAAGGCTCAGGCCCCCGCGGCTCCATCACTCCATCAGGCACTCCAGCGACAGCGCTGGGACAGAAATCGCCAGGTGTTCAACGGGTGGAAGCGATTTCTTCAGTCATTACCCTTACCGATCGGGTTCTTCTGTTCATCTGGGTTTTTCTGGTCGCCTACGTCTACGGCCTCGACGGGATCCTTCGCTATACATACCAGCCATACGCGACCGCAAGCTATGCCGAACATTCACTCCTGGCGACCGTTTCCGTGCTTCGATCGGTCATCGCAGCGGCTGCTCAGCCCACCGCGGCCAAGATTGCCGATGTCTTCGGCCGCGTCGAGCTTGTCTGCGTGTCGGTGGTCTTCTATGTCGTCGGGACCATCGTCGAAGCGACATCCAACGGCGTCAGCTCGTTTGCCGGCGGAGCCGTGCTTTACCAAATCGGCTATACGATGATGATTCTTCTCATCGAAGTCATTGTCGCCGACATCAGCTCGACTCGCGCCCGGCTCTTCTTTAGCTACGTGCCCACCCTCCCTTTCATCATCAATACCTGGGTGTCGGGAGATATCTCGCAGGCGGTTCTCGACCACTCGAGCTGGAACTGGGGTATAGGCATGTTTGCCATCATCTATCCAGTCTGCGCACTGCCACTACTCGTCCACCTGTTTCTCATTGCCCGCCGGACCAAAAAGGCTGGGAAACTGGACAACTACAAAACCCCGTTCCAAGAACTAGGCTTCAAGGGACTCGCTGTTCAGCTTTTCTGGCAATTGGACGCCATCGGAATCGTCCTCATCATTGCCGTTTTCGCCCTGATCCTCACCCCGCTGACCATTGCCGGTGGGTTTGCGTCGCAATGGCGCACGGTCAAAATCATCCTCCCTCTGGTTCTGGGCATTCTGTGCATCCCTGTCTTTGTCATCTGGGAACTCAAGGCTCGCCATCCCCTGGCACCGTTTCATCTGATGAAAAATCGCGCCATTTGGGCCGCCTTCGGGATCGCATGTTTCAACAATTTCACCTGGAGCTTGGTGGCAAACTACCTCTTTACCGTGCTGAGGGTAGCGTTCAACTTTTCCGTCAGCGGAGCCACGCGCATCACCTCCTTGTACAGCTTCGTTTCAGTTGTCACGGGATTCATCCTGGGCGCCGTGGTGTTCCTTGTTCGGAGGCACAAGTACTTTATTGTGTTCGGCACGTGCCTGTCCATGGTGTCGTTCGGCCTCCTCCTCCACTATCGAGGCGGAACCTCCTCGTCTGATAAGTCCGGCGTCATCGGAGCCGAAGTGCTCCTCGGATTTGCCAGTGGATTCTACCCATATCCGACCCAGGCGGCTTTGCAGGTTGTGCTGAAGCATGAACACCTTGCCGTCATGACCGGGCTGTATCTTGCCATTCAGAACGTCGGGTCGGCCTTTGGGAACACCGTCGCGGGTGCGATCTGGACCCAGGTGCTACCGTCGACGCTCGATCGCAACCTGGCATTTTCCGGGAACGCCACGTTGGCCAGCTTCGTGTATGGAGACCCCTTTTCCGCCATTGCCGAGTATCCAATCGGCACCGAGGTTCGAGATGGCATCAACGCCTCGTACCAGCACGTCCAGCGACTGCTTTGCATCACGGCGCTGTGCTTGGCCGTGCCGCTGGTGGCGTTCACTTTGTTCCTGAGAAATCCAAGACTCAACAACGAACAAACGTTGGCAAAGGGCGTCGACAGTGACGTCGACAGTGACGTCGACAGCGATGACCGATCTGTGAGGTCAGTGGCTTAGTCGATTTGGCATGGACGAAGTCAACTTGCAGTAGGATATTGGACATGGATAGGAGTCAACTTACAGAATGATACTTCTGTATATCTAAATCTAATCTGATCATCCACAATCCATCCAATCGAAGCTGAGGTTGATCTACTCCGGCGGCGTCGGACACGTACTGTTAGTTTGTCAGTAGCTATTTCTCTCGGAGACCCATGAGCCGTAATAGCAGCCTACATATTATTCCACGCCGCCTGCAGAATCCGATCGACCTGGACCGCCTCGGACGGGGAAAGAGGTTGGTCGAAGAGGGATTTATATTCGTCTGACGAGGATGAAAAGAGCTGCGAACACCGTTCGAGAATCCGCGGGAAAAACCCCGCCGTCGCCCAATCAAGCACACACGGCGGCTGGCCCTCGAGCCAGAGGATATTCCGAGGGAAGAGGTCGAGATGACACAGCACCAGGTCCTGGCCTGCGAAGGAGACGTGGGCTGTCGGATCTGGATCGAGTAGGCGACGGTTGAACCAGCGCTCGAGCTCTTCCACCGATGTGAAGGTCGGGCGCGTCTCGCCGAAGAGAGAACTGTCAGAAGCTCCGCCCGTCAGAGATCCGGGGTTGGGGCCCTTGATGGAGGCGAAGTGTTGGAGGATTCGAGACAAGGCGTGGATGTTGGTACTTTCGCTGCTCGACTTCTTTCTCTCCCCTTTCATATGGTCGGTGGACTTCTTTCTCTCGGTGCTTTCGTCGTGGATGTTGATGCTTTTGGCGCTTTCGCTGCTCGACTTGGCCTTCCTCCTCTCCCCGTGCATATACTCCATGACAATATAGCCGTATCGTTCCGAGTCCATACAGTAGCGATACACCCTGGGCACTCGTACAATACTGGGATCGAGAAGCTCGTGCGCTTTGGCCTGGTTCTGCGCTTCATCCTCCCTGATCAGAAACCCGAACTTGACCACCAGATCCTCAGTGAGTTTGACCACTTGGTTATTCATGTTGAGATCGGTGAGGAAGAGGTCGGACGTGGCTTGTTGGCAGTGCTCTATGATTTCGGCGTCAGAAAGGGAGAGGGTGAGGTCGTTGTCCATGTGGGATGAATGCCAGATAAACAAGTCCTGGCTGTCTTGAACAATATCTGACGCTGAGTTGACCGCTGGACCTCTAGGACGACCGTGTCATCTTAACAAGGTTCAGGGCCAGGGCCCCTAAGCCCTTAGCCTCCTTAGCCCGTAGGTATGTACGTGATAAGCTACAGCAATTACAGTACGCCGTACTAAATATCGTATCGCCCTATTATCCGTTCCTGTACGAGTACGGAGTATTTTCTCGACAAGCATCCCCGCTGGTGCGGGCGGTGGCGGAGGGATCTTTCTGGTTGGCCAAGTACTGTATGCCGGCGCCAGGCAAGATGCATTCTTATCCCCGGCTTCTGTACAGAGTACCTACGGAGTACTTCACAAGTTGAAGCTGACCTGACCATAAATACACCAAACTTGACTAATTAATTAGCAGTCAGTGTCCTGGGACGAAGCGGACCCAGGTCTAGTCGCCTACTCTGCCCCTTTATGTAAGGACAATTACGGGCCAAGGCAGGGTTCACTGTTCCATCAAGGCTGGTGTCCATGACAGTCCCAGCCAATTCTCAGTGGATGAAAGAGTTGCCTTCAAAGTCATCGTAGTCATCAAGAAGTGGCATCACAACCTTCTCAAAGACGGCGCATTGCAGTCGTTCGTCATCAAGCTCGTTTCCATCTGGGCCCGTCCAGAACAGACATGTTTTGACCACGTCGCAATAACGGCTGCCACTTTCATTGAGCACCAACTCTAGCAAACGAGATGCAGTTTTGAGATTGGCCACCGCATCGACAGGGTCATCGTCTTCCGGCAAGTGCAGGGCTTGTAGGGATTGTCCCAGCGATAACTCGACAAGCGTTAGACCTAGTGGGAAAAGGATGCCGCTTCGGATGAGAGCTGAAGTGATCATGGTGCCGCCGGCTCTCCGACAGTTCTCCATCGCTGCCTCAACCAAGGCCCGAGAGATATAGGGGAAACTGATCTCGTTGCTGCAGTAATCGGGCTGCTCGAGCACCAGGATATCATTGAGTCCCCAATTCGATTGCAGCCAGCTGCCGTGCAATTGGAGTACACTCGACGCCAATGTGGCTGCCAGGTATCGGCGGTTGCGTCGGTTGATAGCCGGGAGTTGGAAGTGGCCTACGCGGAGAAGCATGGAAGGGTCGGTGAGGATACTGGCGACCGAGCGGATAGACTGGTTGCCGGGCAACTTTCGAATTCGGTAGATATCATGTCGACGGCCATTGAGGTTGTCAATGATGAACCCCATATGTTCGCGCTTGGATATCTCCGGTGGGCATTGACTGAAGGCATTGCAGAGATCATGGATCTGCCGTTGACTGGAGATTTCTTGGGTCGGCTGTATCGCGTCAAGTGTTGACTTGACAATGCTGAAGCGGACTTCCTTTTTCTGCCCGCTAACCTGAGTGACTTGGGAGATCTCTAGCTGTTTGAGATTTTGGGCCACGGCTGCTGGCTCTGGGTTGGCTTCAACATCGGCTGACTGGATCTCGATCTCTCCGCCGGCAACGAACGCCCCAGTCGTGTCATTTGGCCCGCACAACACTAGGTTGACGGTAAATCTTGAGCTGCTTCCGGGACTTCTGGGCTCAGAAGCGTTGGATCTTGAGGGACGAGGCTCCAAGCGCAGTTGAACGATATGCTGTGACTTACAGGGGCACTTCCAACAACTTCCTCGTACAAATGTGTCATGGACGCTCCGTGCATGGTGTCTAACCCTGCTATATTCTTGTATCAACTTGCGCACCGGCCGACGGTTTTTTCGGATGTCTGCTATCGAATCAACTTGTTCGACGAGCGTAAGAAGAGTTCGATTTGCGCCTTGGATCTTGTCGAGGAGGGTATCGTAGAAATCTCTCGACAGGACATCTTTGAGCCGTTTGAGCTCTCGCATTCTAGCCGACGGCGGTTCGCCACCAAGCTTTTTCTTTAGGCTTTGGAGGAGGTGAACGAGCTCTCTCATGGTAGCCATGAATGCTCCGTGGCTGGAGCCCAACATATTTTGTAAGGCTCCGTCGTACGGACTACGCTGCCAAAGCTCACTGTCTGGGTTTTGCAACAGTTCCGCCATATCTTCGTCATTGTGGACAATTCGGAGAAGAACCTGCTCCAGGACGTTCCGGAAGATGGTGTTCTGGGTGCTGAGCCCATTCTCGTAGCGTTCGAGTTCTCTCCGATACCTGCGGTGGGAGGTCAAGGTCCGGACGGCGTCGAGGCCTTCTCGATACTCGCTGATCAGGTTGATCACGAGCGGTAGTGCTGCCAGGACGGTTCCGGCAATCTCGAAACCTGACATTTTGAATTGTCTTCAACAGTCGACCGGCATGAACCAAATGTTGTCTCCCCTGCTCCTGCGACGAAGGCGAGAAGACAAGGTCACCACTGCCCCGCATCGAGCCTGAGCCTTTAGCCTAAGCACATCAGGCCCCTAAGCCCACCACGGGAGGCCTGAGGCCTGAGGCGCCGGTATCAGCCGCCAACTTTTGGCGCCTAAGCCGTGCTATTTTTAGCCTTAGGCCTACTATAGGTCACCAGCAGCCTACCAAGCCCTAAGCCCCGGACCTTTATGCTGTAGGTTGCAGTAGACCCAGATCTGTGCCTAGCTGCGGGACAACACCTGCTATCTTCGACCTCCACCAAGCAGGTCACTCTTCATGTATTGCTCTGTACTCTGTACTACAGCCTCCTCTGCCTCTCCTACCGACAATGAGCAGTGTTTCATGTGTTTCGGCTTATGCTGGCTAGCCTTCATCATTGTGCCCTCTCCTAGCTGATACCACGGATCGGTTGCCAGGCTACTCTGCGGTAGACATAGACTGTCTTAAGCCTGCGTCTTGTCCAAGTCCAGTAGTGCACCAGTGCAATGGATCACACCAGCATATCAAGCGAGCTGCTCGAAGTCTTGAAAGCATTCAACACTATTCTGCTTGATGACAGTCTTTTCCACACCTCCTTAGGCATCCCAAAATCCTCCTGGACCGATGAACTTGGCAGGCTGCGGGTATGGGCTGCAAACATTGGCGCTCATCAAAAGGGCCATTCGTCCCTGGACTACCGTCTGAGAGATGCTTCACATATCAAGACACAGATCGTCAACTTGCTGCGCAGTTTCAAGAGGGCACTTCGAGACCTTGAAGAAGTCCTCACGGCATTAAGCAGAAAAGAGCCACTGGCCGAAGAGGATGCTAAGGGTAGGGATGAGAATATGGACGAGGATGATGCCACAGCCGAGGTTGAAGACATTTTCCTTCACATCACTGAAGTAATCTCAAATCTCTATCGATTGTCTATGCTTGTCAGGCAGCCGAGTCAGCAGGACCGCCTTCTGAGGTACCGGAAAGATGATGCCCTTGGGTATGAGCCATTCGACAGACAGCACGTACTGGAGAAACTCCCCAAGGCCGATTCTTCGGTGATCGATAGATTGGGGACGGCCATTTCCAACCGACGTCGAGATCTCAAAGGTCTTGAGAGGCACAGGGCCAAATTGGCCAAAGGCATCAGTCATGCTCACCTGGACCATCATGACGGGGTGTCCACCGTTATGTCTGGGACTTTGGCCACAGAGTACAAGGAGGAAGATGGAACCGCACGACTAGAGGCTGAGTCTGTGGGCGGAGAATCTGCAGCCTCATCTGCTTCGTCTTTCCTGGCAGATGGCCAGCGCATCAAAATCCCTCCGCCGCCTCTAGGCTACGGGAGTGAGCAATTCTTCGAATGTCCATATTGCTTCCTCATCACAACCGCGGATAGCAGACAATCATGGGCCCGTCATGTGTTTCGAGACCTGAGGCCCTATCTCTGTGTATTCCCTGATTGTTCAACCCCATCCCAGCTGTACGATCGACGGCGAGACTGGTTCCTGCATCTGCAGACGAATCACTTGCGCGCTTCCACCCCAATTGCAGTCGCCACGTGCCCATTGTGTGGAGAGAATGAATTGCTGCACAAACAATTGAAACATCATCTTGCAATACATCTGGAGGAACTTGCACTATTTGCCTTACCGCGCGACATACAGGATGACGAAGATGATGATGATGCTACAGAGGACGATCGGGTTCCAGCTTGGATGTCTGAACCCTTCGGCATCATACATGAAGTTGCAAGAAGACTCGAGGAAGAGCGGCTTTGCCCTGAAGAAAGCTCTCGTAGGGGCAAAGAAAGCCACCACCGCGACCACCAGTATATCTCAGACTGAAAGCCAGGAAGCTGGAGCAAAAAGCCCCTACAAGAAATCCAAGCCATGAAGAAGGCTGAGGAGGCAAGGGCAGTGATGGCAGGTCCTGTTCCATTATCTCACATAGATGAGCCTCTATATTCAGGGATGCAATTTGGAGAGGTTTCATTTCCCCTGGCATCTATGCTGTTGATGGAAAGTAGGTTCGATCCCCAGCTCTTGCTTCCACAAAGATAGTGTCCACATCCACATTCCACCTCAAGCGCGTGTTTCGCCCAAGAGATAGTGATACAGCCTCACGCAACACCTGGCGGCGGCACCAGCTGCTGAATCTCAATCATGTTTCCATCAGGGTCTTCTACAACCAACAACTGAGCAAATCCAACCAGTTCCTGGCCCTTCACGAGCAGATCGCGCTCGGTCTGATTCTTGGTTGCAAACTCGCCAACCCCGAGGGCATTCTCGACCGGCTTGATACCCTCGGCGCTCTGACCGATGCGCTTGATGATCTTGACGCCCAACTTTTCCATCCGCGCTTGAGCTTTCTCGAGGCTGGGCACGACCAGTCCAATGTGACTAAAGGTATTGGGTCGCTGCGTAGTAGCTGTCATGCCTTCGTCCTCGGAGTTCTTGAAGTACTGGAACTCAATGAGTCCCGCGGCGTTGTTCTTCTCTCTCAGCAATTCCTGGCCCGTTTGATAGCCGGTGCCATTCTTTCCGCCGTGTGCATGGCCCATGTAGGCGACATAGTAAGAGGGAGTCAGCTCTGCGGTGAAGATGTGGCGCATGCCGAGAACCTTGCTGTAGAAATCTTGGCTGGCCGTGAGGTTGCGTACGATGAGGGAAAGGTGGTTGATATTGAACCCAAGGGTTTCTGCGTCCGCGGGACCATCATCACCGACGGTCAAGAAGTCAGGGCTGTCTTGACGGGATTCAAGTGCACAGGCGCGGGTGCCGTGAACTGCGAATGCGAGTGCGAGTGCGAGGCAGCCGGTCAGGAAGCGAATGGCAACCATTGTGATGATAGAATGTAGGCAGCGGTTGAAAAAAGAAAGTGATTGGCGATCCCTGTATCCCTGAATCCCTACAGAAGGTTGATGTTTCTTGTTGAGTTGGAACATCTGGATGGACTCGTGTACCATTTTATAGCCAGCCCTGGAGGCCGGCGCCAGCTCTCAACAAACCGTAGACGTTGAAGTTGCTGATCTCCTGGCACTGGCAGTGGATGAAGCGGGCCAGAAATAGGACCGATCCCTGCCTCCTAAGCCTAGTTTCTTGTTTATGGAGCGCGGGACCCGTTGAGCTCGTCGAAGTGTCCGGTTTTCGAAATATATCCGGGATGCTCGAGCGCGTGATGTGACTGCCTTGCACCCGCATACTACGTACGTAGTCTTGGCCGTGAGGCTGACCAGCACCGGAGTCGGAAACTCGGCTTCCAGCATACCGATACTGGACACTGGACAGATGTTTCATTGGCAATACCTTATTACCTAGGTAGTATCGTCCATCTACATCTGAACATGTACTCCGTGTACTATACCAAAACCGGGCCTATACAGCGCTACGCCTGGGCGTCCCACAACTTCTCGGCGTATGATTCGCCCTCGGATTCTCAGAGGGTCCACCAAGTCCACATCTGAATCCTAATCCGGGGTGTACTCAGTAGCTTTGCTCTTGGGTGATGCGGCAGTCTGAGCCACACACGTAATAGCAAGTGCTTTCTATATCCTGCAGACTGACACAGGTACGTCACTGCTTCCTGGCAATCCATAGGTTAGCGATGGCGCGGAGGAACACAAATTATCTACAACGGGCTGGTGCTCCCTCGGAATTGATGAGACATATCCTTCATCCTGTATACTGTATACTGCATCTTCATATCCTCGCAATGCATTTCTCTCGACGTGGTCTTGCGCTGCTTCCACTGTTCATCTCCGGTGTCCTCACCGACTATCTCACGCCAACATATCCAGCACCTATTGATTTGAGTGGAGATACCAGTTTCGTGGCCGCCAGTTGGAGGAATCTGAGCTCGACTTTTGACAGATACTTGAAAGACGAACAGAGCTCAGCATCAAAATCCTTGTCGGGCGTCGAGAATGTCACCTTTTCAGTCGGCATGTTTTCTCTTCATGATCCCGCCGCCACCAAGCTTCAATACCATTACACTGCTCCCGAAATCGCCAACGCCAAACAAGGCACGAACAAGGTCGACGGAGATAGCATCTACCGTGTAGCCTCGGTTTCGAAGCTCATCACGACCTTTGCTGGCTTGGTCGAATTGACTGAAGAAGATTGGAACCGTCCCCTTATACAGATCATTCCTGGTCTAGGAGCCTACTCTCGAGCTTATCCCCAGGCCCTGAACTCTCTCTACATTACCCAGTGGGATAAAATAACACCGTGGGCACTGGCCACCCAGCAGAGCGGTATCGCGACCGTGGGTTGGCCAGTATCTGACCTTGCCGTCATACTTGCGGCAGCCGTCGCAGAAGGGCTGGACGGGGTGGATGAGCCCACAAGCTACGGCTTACCACCAGTCAACGTCAGCGCGTTGGGCCCTTGTGCGACCAAGTACCTCAAGGACCCTACAAATACTTTTTGTCCATCGCCAGAGGGAATCGAGGCCATTGACGGCCTGCCGCCCAACTTCCTGCCCTGGACGACACCTGCCTATTCCGACGAGGGATTCATGCTTCTCGGGATTGCAATCTCGAACCTCACGGGCAAGCCGCTGTCCGCTGTATACCGAGATGCAGTCTTCGAACCGCTCGGCATGAAATCCTCGAACGACACCCACCCGACGGGAAAAGCCGAACTGGCACGGTCGGTTATCTCTGGCGACCCAGCCGCCAACTTCGCTCTGGAAACGGGCTTCACCACCCCGTCGGGGGGCATTCTGTCCACCATCAACGACCTCTCCAAACTCGGCATTGGCATCATGAACAACACGCTACTCACCGCCGAGACCACGCGCAAATGGATGAAGCCCCAGTCACACACCGCCAGCCTCAGCTACTCCATCGGCGGTGGGTGGGAAATCCATCGCTACGTCCATCCTGCCACGGGGAAAGTAACCGATCTATACACCAAACTGGGCGACTCTGGCTTCTACGGGGGTGCTCTCGTCCTCATTCCGCAATACGACGCCGGCTTCACCATGCTCAACGCCTACAGCAACCAAACAATTCGCTCCCCAGCTGCCATCCTCATCCTCGACCACGTCACCGATGCCATTCTACCGGCGCTGGAGGCACAAGCCGCGGCCGAAGCCAGGGCTAACTATGTCGGCACCTATGTCTCCACCGAGGAGACGTTGAATGCCTCTGTCACCATCTCCTTCAACGAGTCCTCGGTCCCCGGGATCATCTCTGGCCTCAGCGTCACGGCCTGGACCTTTAACGGCACCGACATCCTAGAGGGCCCGCTTTTCAATGGCATCAAACCACGCCTTGAACCCTCTATCCCCAAGCAAACCCCCGATGGTTTGCCTGGCCAGGTGGCTTTCCAGGCGTCACATCAGGTGCAGATGTTGACATATAGGGCTGCAATGGATGTGCCAGACTCAGGGGTCGTGGGGACCTGGACGGGATTTTACGCCACGAACGGTGACTTTGTGTACACGGATTCCACACGCTATGGCGGAGTGGGTCTAAATATGTTTGTGTTCGACGTGGACGGCGAGGGAAGAGCCACAGCATGCAGTCCAGCTATAGACAGGGTGACGCTGAGAAGGAGAGTGGATGACTGAGACTAGAGTTCATTCCTGAGTGCTAGGACGGACAGTAGTATGTGTACGAGTATGTACAGTACATATATTCAGCTTATTGAAACACACAGTACATATACCCAGCTTATTGAAACACACAGTACATATATTCAGCTTATTGAAACACGCGCCCGGAAGTTATCCAAACAATTGCGGCCCGTCAAGGTCTTCCACCCGTCTCGAACCAATTGGACCGTCACCTCGTATCTTGGAACGAGCGCTCCATCACCAAGATAGATAGCAGTTACACGCCATCTCTCGGTGCCGCAACGACTTCCATACTCATTTCGTCAAACATCACCTTTAGTACTAGGTAGGCTGTGTCAGGTCAGCCCTTTTCCCTTACCAAGGTACTGTAGATCAACAGCATCCTCGAGCTAGCCCAATAAGGCCTCCGTACAGCGCTCTGAAGGGTTAGGGTTCGGGTTATATTCGATTGGACTTCCTGGGCCCGCGAGCCAGGGAGGGCTGCGGCAAGATGCTGCTGGTCGTCTGACAGCTACGTGCTGCGGCGAAACAGTGGCTCGTACAGACGTAGAGCCGGCGGAGAGGACTAGCAGAAGATGCCTTACGATCCTCAATAGTCCTGGTGTGAGGCTTGAGAAGATGCCTTACGATCCTTAATAGTCCTGGTGTGAGGCTTGATGGAGACTGCCCCGAGTTTGCATCGGTGAACGAAGAGTCCTAAGGCATATTCGTATAGCAGTAGCCACACCAAGACCCCGCGGCAGCAGTCTCGTGGTTAGGGGCTGCTCATAGTATGTAATTATGGAGTATACGGAGTACATATACGTTGTAAGTATCAGAATAGGCTCTGAAAATGGTCCCAGGTTCGAAGAGCTATGTACGGATACTCCGTATCTATAAAGATAGGAGGGTCTAGCGCTAGGGATACAGCCTCGAGGTGAGTGCAGGGCGGCATGACCCTCGTCCCGATCTGGGGTGAGCCGCAAGAACGGTACGGTTACGTACAATCTTACGCCGTGCAGAATAGTACTCATCTTGGCAAATTTGCATGGTTTGAACGACAGGTTTGAGTACATGTACTTTGCATACTCCGCGTACATCGATATTGGGGACGAGCTTGGAAACCATTTGGACTCGCAAGGTCGAGGGAAGCGCTCTCGCAGCACTTGATCTGCATCATGCCAGTGCCCCTCTCTAGCTGATATATTACTCCGTACATAAGGTACATATCTGTTGTTGCTTTCTTCAATCGCCATCGCTATCGCAGCAATGTCTCTCCTCCGGCGGCTCTTCCGAGCTGCGCCCAACCCCAACCCAGCGCCACGACCGGTACGAACTCCGGTGTCGTTTGCGATCCACGTCGGAGCGACGTTCATTGCGATCTATTCTCTGTCTGCGCTGATTGCGCACAATTGGATCTGGTACACGGTAGGTGCAGTGCAGTGCAGTGCAGTGCTGTTCAGTGCAGTTCAGTGCAGTTCAGTGCAGTTCAGCCCTCCTATCCCCGTCCTCGTCCCCGTGGTTTTTTCTTTCTTCCCCGGCCGCTGATGATGTCGTGGCACCCAAAAAGGCAAACGCCGGCCCCTCCATGTATCCGACGATCGCCAGCGGGCTGTCATACACGATCTACTCTCGACGGCACAAGCGCGGGCGAAACATCCAGATTGGCGACGTGATTCTGTTTGAGAATCCCATATTCCTGCGCGGCAAGGCGTGCAAACGCGTCATCGGCATGCCCGGCGACTATGTCGTGCGCGACCCGTCCCAGAGCCCGACGGTCGGCGGCGCACCGGTGCCTGGGATCACCGAGGTCGACGACAACGACAACGACAACGACAACGGCCGCGTCCGAGAAGAGCCGACCCTCGTACAAGTCCCAGAAGGCCATGTGTGGGTGGCCGGCGACAGTCTGTCCTATAGTCGAGACTCGCGCTTCTATGGGCCCGTGCCGATGGCCTTGATCGCCGGAAAAGCACTGTACAATGGCGACGGGTGGTTCAGCTGGACTTCGTTTCGCACTCCGCAACTCACTCCGGTCCGAGGGCCTGGTGGGATCGCCAAGGGACGGGTGAAGGGAGACCTTCCTTTGGAAGACACAACTCCAGGCTGATCCTGGAAAAAACTGAACGCCGTCTCATAATCTTGAATATAAGCTCATCGCACAGGTACATGGCCCGTGCCGTTTTGAGGGAGAACACTACACTCATATTGTACATGGCTAATAAGGGCCAACCTATCTAAAACTGGACGGGTTGCGTCTCTTATATGGCAGCGGTTCGACCTTCTTCCGCTTGAGCTCAATATCGGCGCCCGCGAGACCAGCTCTTTCCATGACAGCAGCCGTGCTGTCATCCCATTTGGTCCGGAACAAAGACGCGCTGATTGGAGTCAACAGATGCCGGCTCATGAAGCTGCGGACTGTAAATCCGTCACGCTGAGCCTTCTGCCTGGCAACCTCAACATCAATGGGAATGTTGTCTTTTTGCTGGAGAATGACGATGGACAGTCGGTGGTAGGGGCTTCCCTTCTGTGCATGAGGCGGCAACCACGGCAGAAGAACCTGAGAATCTGGGGACAATCTGGTCAGGTCGACCAGAGGTTTGGTCGGGGAGATGGTGATGTTGGACGCTAGATAGTGGCATCTGGAGTCAAAGCTATCGGTCTCGAGATTCGGTACATCGGGATCGACAACGGCGATGGTGACCAGCTTCTCGCCGCGGTTGAAAGCTTGTAATGTAAGCTGGCATGGCTTCTCGCTGATGTCGGAGGCCACGAAATCGCCTGGTGCAACAGCCTTTTTCCCAAATGCGATTTTGACATCCAGTATAGGATCGACATTGGGAACGACATCTGGAACCACCTTCATTTGCGTGATTCGTTGGACGAGGACTTTCCGGGGATATTCTCGCCATTTCCTCTCTGCGAGATATCTGTATATGGGTTTGTTCATATCACCTTTGTAATGTCAGCTGGGTGGTCATCATGTCTTCGCACTCTGACGAACCTTTTCCATCCTCAAACCTCCTCTTCACACTAGGATCATTGATGTCGGCCAAAATCTTCAGACGTTCGAGCTCGGCCTCCATGCTTGCCAGTCTCTTTTGTTTGAAGGCCTCTCCTCCCCGAAATGTGCTGGGATCGGCCTCCCGAACGCGAGCGATGCGGGCTCTTTCTATCTCGATCTTTCTGAGTTTCTCCTCTCGGTCCTCGATCAGGATCTTGCGCGCTTCTTGGAAACATTGGTAGGGCAATTGCTCGAATGGAATGCGAGGAGACTGCGCAAGAGCCATTCGTCGTCGGCGTGACCCAACTGGAGGTCTACCGGCTCGGGCAAGTCTGGGCTCCAGTCTCGGGTGGTAGACAGTCTCCGGGTCGGGATTTCGATAGAAGGATGTTCTCTCGACTTGGGCTTGTTCATATGTCGAGCTCGTCGATGTGAAGGCACGGAGGGCAAATGCCGCTGGTGATTTCTCAATGGTTAGAGACCTCATAGAGTGCAGGAGGAGCGCACTCGGCGCCCTTGAGGGGGCCATGGTGATGGCTCTCGACAAGATACCTTGGTACAACTACCTAGTATCCAGGAGTATTCTGTTAGTCTCTCCAGTTACTAGCCAAAAAGTTTCGAGCTCAGCGACGCAGGAGAGTGCTTGGCGCGGCCGGGGGAGGTTGGTCACGTGGATTCTGATACCCCAATCAAAGGCGTTCAGCACTAATAGGTGTGTCTGACAGAATTTGCTTGGGGGACTCTGTTCGCGAGCCGCGTTGTCAGACATTATCCAATTCCCTCTCTGTCAGTCAGACCTCCACCTACAAGCAAGGTACCTACATTAACATGTCGAGTACCATACCTACCTACCTAGTACCTAACAAATCCTCCACAGGTACGTACTCTATACTCCATACGTTATTACCTGGCAGCATCATGCCGGCAATCCCGGCCCCTGGGTCTCTTTACTCACTCCGTAAATTGTTGAAAGTTTGATAGGTGCTTGACGTAGGGCGTCAGCTAACTAAGCAATGTAGTCAGCACGACCCAGCCTGTTCCTCGCAAGCCCATTCGCTCGTCGACAGATGGGTTACGCTTTGGGCAAAAACTCTCGATCTGCTGGTCCAACGCGAAAGTTAGAAGAAAACAACGGCCATGGGCGGGCACCGGCAGCGACTGTGAGACATCCAATCCCGCCATATCCTTTGTTCTTAAGAGCTCCTGCCGGACCATCATTCTCACAACTTGGTTTCTTGATGGCACCCCTTCTCTCTGCACTCTCCAACGATGTCTGCGACGGATCGAGAACCAGCTGATGAGGCAACAAACGTAGAGGGGAATAGGGCTCCGCCCGGCTACGAGCAGAGTGATCAGAATGGCGACTACAAGGAAGAGGCCAAGAAGTCCAGACCTGGCCTTCTCAAGAAGGTGGCCGCAAAGATCAACCTGGATCTCCCTACGTTCTTGATGATGCTCAAGTAAGAAGGTGCAGTTGTCCTTTATCAAGCTAACGGGTTTCAGAGGAGGAGCGTCGCCAGCGATTGCACTTGCAGCGTGAGTCAAACCCAACACTTCGAACTACTAGTATACAGCCAGGCTTATCGTGTTCAGCTACCAGAGCGATGGCTGGGCGGAAACATATTCGACCCTGGGATATCTGGTCGCGATCCTCTCGGTCTTGTCCTTGCCGATACTCCCTCGGGGTAAATTCATCCAGTCCATGATGACAGCGTTGTTCACCCTGTGTCTTGCAGCTGCAATGGCACTTCTGTCAATTCAGTGCGCAGTAGCTGCTCGACAAGGTGCTCAACCCACGCAGTACAGTGCAGCTGCTAATGTCACCGCATGCGTTTGGTTGTTTTTCAATCTGTATGTTGCGAACGCTGTTCGGGCACTTCGACCTCAACTCTTCCTTGTGTCTATTCAGTACCTCATTTTCATCATTGTCGCCTCCACATATGCTGCAACATTTCCCAACATGGCCGCAGGGATGAAATTCGTCAACACTCTGCTTAAGACCTTTCTAACCGGATATGCCCTTTCCACAGGAGTGTCATTGTTTCTCCTCCCAATCTCTTCCAGAAAGATATCATACAAGCTGATGACGGGGGTGTTAAATCTTATGAAGGAGTGCTTGAACACGCAGGCAGCCTACGTACATGCCATTGCTACATCTCAGGAGGGCAACGACGGCTGTCAAGACGAACATGATAAACTGAGACCCGCATGGGACAAGCCTGAGGCTGAAGTGTCCATGAAACAGGCCGAGGACGCCGCGAAGATGATGAAATCAAAACTTCAACAAGCATCGCAGCTGTTTGGTCAGCTCAAAATTGAAATTGGATTTGCAAAGAAAGAAATCGGCTGGGGAAAACTGCGAGCCGGGGATTTCACCAAAATATGGGGCCTTTTGCAGAGTATTTTTCTTCCGATTACCGGCCTATCGACCTTTGTCGATATTCTGGAATCCGTCAAAAACCAAAAGGCTCAGGGAACAGACCTAATATCTAACGTGGATATGGTTGAAGCTATTAGACGCCTTGAGGCGGACGAGTGGCGCGAAATCATTGTCCTGTCTCGCGGGTCATTTCAGAATGTCAGGGCCAGTCTGATCGACGGCTTGGCCCATATTTGCTATGTCCTGGAGCTTAGACCACGACCAAAGGCGACCAGCAAGGATCCCGAAATGATGGCCGGGGCACCACCTGCACCAGGTGATCCTAAGTTTGGAGAGCACCTGGAAGCCCAGATCAAGCTGTTTGAAGTACGCCGCCAGGATACTATGCGGCGATGGTGCGAAAAGAAAAAGATCAACGTTCCTGCGAAGTTCTGGGACGATCCGATGGCCCAATACAACTTCACAGACTCGGATTCTCTCGACGACACTGTCCGCCAGAAACATAACCATCAACAATTGTACCTGATGCTCTATCTCGACTACCTCCTATATTCAATCTGCCTCTCGGTTCTGAATATGGTTCATTTCGCCGATTCCAAAGTCCAGGATGGGACCATGAAAAAGAACAGACTCATCTTCCCAGGATGGAGGCGTATCAGGAAGTTGATGCAGAGTGGGTTTATGCAAGCCGATTCGGACCAGGGAGTTCCAGACGGGGAGGCTACGGGTATCATTATCTCGCTTGGGGCGTCGCTATCCAAAAAGAAGGATCCAGAACATCTTCCTCCAACAACCTGGTATCAACGTGCTACCGGCCATCTGAATCTGGTCCCGAAATTCCTGGGCTCTCCTGAGTCTGCCTTTGGATTTCGGGTGGCCGTCGCCAGCATCAGTGTGGCAATCATTGGGTTCATCCACCAGACTAGTCACTTCTACCTGGCTCAACGGGGCATCTGGGCGGTCATCATGGTCGCCATCTCGATGGGTCCCACGGCCGGAGTAGGTGTGAGCGGGTTCATTGGCAGAGTGCTGGGTACCGCTGTGGCAACTGCAGTCTCAATCGCGATTTGGTACATGTCGGACCAGAAGCCTGCGGCCATCATTCCGTTGTCATACGTCTATTTCGTCTGCTGCTATTACATTGTATTCAAGAAGCCCAAACATATCATCACCGCGGTCATCTCTGCAGTGACGGTGATTCTGATTGTTGGATATGAGCTGCAAGACCGCAAGATCGGCACCAAACTCCTAACGTCCAACGGGCAGGAATACTATCGCATCTATTTGTTGGCGCCCTACCGGTTGGCTTCGGTGGTGGCCGGCATTGTGGTCGCGTTCATCTGGACGTATTTCCCCTATCCGATAACTACGCACGCGACGCTGCGCAAAGATCTCGGAGCCACGCTGTACCTGATGGCGAACTATTACTCCATCACCCACTCGACGGTGGAGACGAAACTGCGGCACGGCTCGCTCGCCCGCCAGAACGACAAGTCGTGTCCGATGAGGAAGCTGGACAAGGCTCGAGAAAAAGTCTATGAGAAGATCATGGTCATGATGAACCGGCTGCGCGAGCACTCGGCATTCACGGTCTACGAACCGACCTTTGGCGGCAAATTCCCCAAGCAGGCGTACGACGAGCTCATTGGCCACATGCAAAAGCTGTTCAACTACATGGCCTTGACCTCGTGGTCGTCGCAGGCCTTCAACTCCAGCCCGGACGGCCAGGAGAGCGAGTGGCTGCGCGACTTCCGGCGCCTGACGGCCCAGTCGCACATCACGAGCGACGAGCTCACCTCGACGCTGTACCTGCTGTCGTCGAGCATGTCGAACGTCCAGCCGCTCCCGCCGTACATCCGTCTGCCGGCCCCCTTCGACATTGCCGAGCAGCTTTCCGCGGTCGACCCGGCCATCCTCAGCACCAAGCACATCGATGAACCGTGCTACGCCGCTTTCGCCGTGCTGGAGATTGCCGGCATCCTCATCATGCAGGAGACCGCACACGTGCTGGCCAAGATCAAGGAGTTGGTGGGAGAGGTCGACTTTTCCGTCCACTTGATCGACACCAAGTCGAACTCCGCCGTGAATTCCACCGACAAGCTGAGTCCTGGCCCAAAAGGCAAGGCTGACTGAAGCAGGGGCTGAGGCAGAGTCTGGATTACGACCTAGATCCAAGTTGTTTTTTTCCAGGCATGTCCATGTCTTGGCACAGGGATTGGGAGGCTCTACTACCTGAGTAGTAGGGGGTTGGCAGACACCAGCCGGCGTGGTTGTATCAACGAACGGGAGAAAAATAATCGCAGTCAGGATGGGTCAAAATTCGATTGGAATTGCTATTGGATATGTTGGAAGGCCTGGTTCCCAGTCCATCGTCTTCCCTGTGGGTTCAAATAACCAAAAAATATACAACAACCTAGCCCCTGGGTATCTCGAAGAATATAAACGACTAACGACAGACAGAAAAGACTGCCGAAGAGAGAAGAAATTCGGCCATCTTTCGCCTAACACCCACGCTCCAGTTTGCGAACAGTCCACAATAGAGTACTCCGTAGAGTAAACAGCATCATCCCGTACGCACGGTCTAGCCTCCACACCAGACAGCGTGGGCCTGCTGGACTGGCCACAGAGGCGAGCTGCTTATCTTTCATCCCACCACCACAAGAATGTACCCGGACTTGAGTTCGTGCTTGCTAGAGACCTTTTCGGGCAGATAGGCGGCGAATGCCTGCTCCGGTCAAGGTCAATCAATGCTGAGACAGTCTCGTAGATAGATGGGCCTTGTCTGGCTCCGATTTCGCTCTTTCAATACTGTAACGAAACCGGGCTTTCGTTGTTGGGCTTTGTTCTGTAATAACGCCGATGCCGAAACGGCGTGTGGCTGTGGCCCATGTCCTTATTTGAACATACTGTCAAAATCCATATCCATATTCTCCATGTTCATCATTCCATCATCGTTTAGGTCAAGGGATCCGTCGAAATTCATGTCGTTGGAATTGAGTAGATCGTCAAACTCGTTCGGTCCCAGTGAGGGGAGACTGAAATCGTTGATATTGATCTGCTGTTGGACGTTGTTATCAGTGGTCATGCCTGCTCCCATGTCGGCTCCTCCGCCAGTGCTCATATCGACATTGCCGCCCATGTTGAAACTGTTGTCGTCACCCGCCTGGTTGGCATAAGATTCCAGGCCAGGGAGGAGGGAGTTCAATGATGAATCATGCACGTTGAGGTTGTGGGCAGCCGCCTCGGCGTCGAAACCGTTGCCGAGGTTGAGATCGAAGTTCATGCCGTTCCCTGCGCCGTCCAGGTTGTCGCCTGAGGCCTCACCAAACATGGAAACGAAGTTGAAGTCCTCATTGCCTCCGGCTGACATATCTTGTGGCGTCATCTTAGGATGCTCTTCAGCCGTGATCGGTGCAACAGTACTCTCAGGTATCTGTGTGGGCCGAGCCAGCTTAGCCTGTGGTTTGGAGGGAGGCGCTGGGGTAGGTTGTGATGTCTTGACGTCCGTGGTAACAGAAACCCTCGGCTTCTCTCCTGTCTTCGGAACGGCTTTGCTCGTGTTCGTGCTGTTAGTTGCGTTCGCGAGAGCAACAGGAGGCTGTGGTTGCAAAGGCGGTTGTGGGGGTCGTTGCGTCTGTACGGATTCCTCAGGCTCTGCCGTCTTAACGCGTTTCGGTGCATTTTCCCTCTCGGACTCGACAGTCTTTTCTTGTTCGTCTTTGATTTCCTCGTGTTTCCTTTTCGCATGCGCCGCGCTGTCTTCTCTGGCTTTCGCTTCGCGTCGCGCCTTGTTCAAAGCCAACTGATGCTCGAGGTACCACTTTGCCTCGAGGATCTGGATCTCACAGTCGTCGAGCGCATCTTGGAACTTCTTCGCAGTCTCGGCGAGAACGGCTTTTGTGGACTGCGCATAGTTCAAAGGGTCTTTCATGGCATAGGCGATGCGAGTCACTGAACCGTTAAACATGCCTTCCACCGTTTTCACCGGGTCATAGGGAGGTTTAGGTGCAGCCATCGCGTGCGCATTCGCAACCGGGTCGAGGAGTGTGAGTGTTCGGGTACGGGGGAGGAGTCGGGGGACTTCAGCGGCAAGGTCATTCAGGCAGGGAGAGCAGATGTGCAGCTGCCAACTATATGTGTCAGGAGGTGAAGGTTCGAGTCGGGCCACAATAGCGAAAGTATATACTCTGTAGGAGTGACAGTAGTTGGCGGTTCGGTGGGTCAGTCACCAATCTATGTACTTTCCGTGAAGCTGGACAGCGGAGGCCAGACAGTGGCACTAATTACTGTACTGCGCAGGATGGAGCGAGCGCGGGCAGATGTTGATTAGGTAACCACGCCTGGCACCTAGGTGCCTACTCTAAGTACCTTACGGAGTACCCTGGGGACTGAGGACTGAGGACTTGAGGACTATGGGCCTTGGGCTATTGTCTGCGGGTAGCATTAAGCTTGACAGGCGCCGGGTCACCCCTGGAAGCCTGATCATCCCCGAGGGGCAGCCACCTGCCATCAAGCCTAAGCCTTTGAACGGTGGCGCCCCACTACTACCTGGTACCGACCGACTACTGGCACTGCGGCGGCCTCGAGGCTTACAGTACTCGTACTCCGTAGCCGCCTCTGACAGGCTTACTCCGGAATTGTGCTGGCAACTGCGACACTGGCTCACTGGCTCACTGGCATCGGCGCTTCCAATATGACGGCATTCTCTCCAAAACCTAGTAATCATCTGCCCACTCGCTACAGTATCTACAGTAGGTAAAGCTGCTGCGACCGTACCTATACTAAGCTAAGGTACTACCTACTTACTTACACCTGCGTTCCTCTCACCACTCTCACTCTCTTCTCTTCTTCTAGCCATCTTGCTCCCTGCGTATCTTCTTCAATTCGTCGCTTTTCTTCTTTCTCCATCTCCCGTCGTGTCGCTTGGAATTCGTGCATTGCAAGTTGGGCGTTGGGAACAGAATTCGAGCGATTCCTTATCTCTCCTTTCCTTCCGTCTCTCAGTTCACCACTTTGTGTGTTGCTCTGCTCTCCTCTGCTCTGCTGCTCTCGGTTTCAGCTGCTCCCACCATCTCCGCTGCCGCCCGCCAACCCTGAAAGAGCCATCAACCTCCTGGCGCGACCTCTTTTGCGACCGACCTTGTGCTATCTTCCTCCTACCTCCGAGTCTTGCATTGTCATCATCTCCTACTTCCTCGACGTTGGGCGCTCCTGTTGCTGGTTGGCTTGCATCTTGATAGCAGATTGTCTGGACTTTCGCAACCGAGATTTCCTTCTTCACGACCTGTTCTCGCGCTCCCTCTCCGCAGTACTATCCAATCTGAGTAGCTACTTGAGCTGCTGCCTATATTACAAGACATTTCCATCCGAGTCCTCGCCGCGCACTTTGTCTTCTGTCCTCTCAGTTGTCGCAAACGTTACCTTTCGTCAATATGGCGGAAAACCTTCCTCCTTCCACCCTGCCGCCACCACCTTCTTCCTCGGTTGGCGTTCCAGGTTACGAGGTTACTGGCAGCAATGGGCACACTGCCGCGGCCATGGGACCCCCTCCATTGCCTCCAGTCGTCATCCCTGCGAACACCAATCCGGTTCCCAGTCAAGTCACGCCTGGGTCTGCTTCCGCCGGCGGAGTCGTTCGCAGGGCTGCACCCGAGCCGAACAAAAGAGCACTTTATGTGGGTGGTCTTGATCCTCGCGTGACAGAAGACGTCTTGAAGCAGATATTCGAGACAACAGGTCATGTTCTCAGCGTCAAGATCATTCCGGACAAAACTGTGAGTAGTGTTTCAACATATGCTGTCATCGGTGCACGCTAACAGACCAGGGCCAGTTCAGTACCAAAGGGTTCAACTACGGCTTTGTCGAATACGATGATCCGGGTGCGGCTGAGCGCGCCTTGACCACCTTGAATGGTCGCCGGGTCCATCAAGCCGAGATTCGGGTCAACTGGGCTTATCAGTCCAACGCCAGCAACAAGGAGGACACTTCAAATCATTTCCATGTATTCGTCGGCGATTTGAGCAACGAAGTCAATGACGAGGTTCTCCTCCAAGCATTCTCTGTTTTTGGGTCCGTCTCAGAGGCACGAGTCATGTGGGACATGAAGACCGGCCGATCGCGCGGGTACGGCTTTGTGGCGTTCCGGGAACGAGCCGATGCTGAAAAGGCCCTCGCGTCTATGGATGGTGAGTGGCTCGGCAGTCGGGCCATCCGTGTCAACTGGGCAAACCAGAAAGGTCAACCATCCATCTCCCAGCAACAAGCGATGGCTGCGATGGGCATGAGTCCTACCACACCATTTGGGCATCACCATTTTCCCACTCAAGGTATCCAGTCTTACGAGATGGTTGCGAACCAAACTCCCGCCTGGCAGACCACGTGCTATGTCGGTAATCTCACGCCTTATACTACACAAGCAGATCTAGTGCCACTGTTCCAGAATTTCGGCTATGTGGTGGAGACTCGATTCCAGTCGGATCGTGGGTTTGCATTCATCAAGATGGACTCGCATGAGAATGCGGCAATGGCTATCTGCCAACTGTCCGGTTACAATGTCAACGGAAGACCATTGAAATGCTCGGTAAGTGCCTCCCACATATATATATGTCAAGAATGTGGTCTCACAAGAACAGTGGGGCAAAGATAGACCCCCAACTGGTCAATTCGATACGTACTCGCCACAGACCTCGGTTGGCTCTGCCACGACTCCTGGGGGCTATAATCCGGCCTCCCCATACTTCCCGCAGTATGGTGCCCCTGGTCCAATCACCCCGCAAGGTATGTCTGAAGGCCTATGTCATGGTTCCCAGCTGATAAATTATCCAGGTCCAAGTCCCCCCGGCCGTGTTCCCTGGGATTCGAACCATCTAGCAAGTCCCTATACCCCATCCCCTCAGTCAGCATATGGACAGGTCCCACCTTCAGCTGGTGGGTACGGCCGCGGTCAGGCTGCACCAGGAGGAATGTACCAACAACCTCCGCCGTCGTTCGGCAATGCTTATACCGGCTATCAGGGGTGAAGTCTGTTTGGATGGAACACAGCTCGTTACGGTCCTAAGGTTGTGTTGGTTATGCTGTGCATGTTTCGCCGAAACCACGGGATGTTCTGGCAATTTCCGGCGGGCTGGGGTTTCGAGAATACCCAAATCCAAGCGCGTGTAAGGTAGAAGGGGAAAGCCTAAGACCGGGGTCAAGTTACTCAGAGATTCACAGGATACCCATGTAAGCGCGATAATATACTTCAGGCTATTGATTGCATGCAATGCTGCACTGACAGGTAAATACCCTGTGCTGCATATGAATACGAAGACGATGTCCAGTTCTCCTATCCTTACTATTATGGGGAGTAGATTCACTGCTTTCATCAAACAAGGCTGAGCCCATGACTCGTGATGCATCGGCCCCTCCATCGGCCCGAGTCAACATGCCAAGCTTCTCTAATCTTCACGCGACCGATCTCGTCCTCACGCGTTTGGCCAGGCTCGTCTGCGGTTTCAATCGTACGTGTAAAGCCTGCAATCGCGATGCACCATCGTTACCAACGACCTCTCCGCTTTTCCTCCTTGCTTGAATCCCCGACGTGATTTTCGTCTGTGATTCTTTCCTTTCATGCACCCACACCTCCTCAAACTCGTCCTCCGCTCCTCAGTCTGCGTCCCGCGATCTCCGAAAGTATTCATTAATGCTGTCATGTTTGCTCAAGCCGTCCGACATGCGTCCTCGGAACAGGGTGACAAAAAGCAAACTCCTTTGCAGATAAACACTTCCGCCAGCAATCTCCAACGGGAGAAATCCCAGCCGGGCTTGAAAAGAAAGTTTGATCGCAGCCTGAGTACCACCAGCAGCGGTTTAAGTTATCTCCACGACCAAACATCCTTTGATGAGAATAGCCCTCCTGGCCCCTCGGTTATTGCTTGTTCCACGGTGTCGCCTCTGCCCCAGAGGACTTCTCCGCCTTCAAGCAGCGCTCCAGTTCCGTGGTCTCAATCGCCAGAGTCGCATTTTGTACGCCCTGATGCAAGGACTTCGCCAAAACCAGCGCCATCCCCTGAACGTGCCAGACCAAGCAAGAAACGAGTTCTTCCTTCGTCGTTTACATCAAAATCAGCCTCGCTCAACGAACAAGATGGAGTCAAGCACAAATATGCTGGACTTGGTGGACATGAGAACGCCGGCCGTTTTGATCAATATTCTGCACAGAAGCAATTTGATTCTATGAGCAGCCGGGACAAGGCGTCGTCGGCAATGTCAGAAATGTTACAAAAGGCAGCATCCATCCGTCAGCGACCGGCCACATCGATGGCACGGACGCCTGCAAATCGGACGGTCCAATCGTCCACCACACCAGCTGAAGCATCAAAACCCAGTGTGGATAGAGTGCCGGAGACTTTTCTCAGCGACGAGCAGAAGACAGTCGTGAAGGCGGTCATGGAGGAAGGGAAAAGCGTGTTTTTCACAGGGTCGGCCGGTACAGGAAAGTCGGTCCTGATGAGAGCAATCATCGCGCAGTTCCGGCACAAATACCGCAAAGAGCCCGATCGCGTTGCGATCACAGCGTCCACAGGCTTAGCATCCTGCATCCTGGAAGGACAAACTCTACACAGCTGGGCAGGGATTGGTTTGGGAAAAGAACCTGCACCCGAACTTGTCAAGAAGATCAAACGAAACCAAAAGTCGAGACAAAAGTGGCTTCGGACCAAAGTTCTGATCATTGATGAAATTTCCATGGTGGATGGCCAACTCTTCGACAAACTCGAACAGGTTGCACGCACAATTCGCAACAATGGTCGGCCATTTGGGGGAATCCAGCTGGTCGTCACTGGGGACTTCTTTCAACTTCCGCCAGTGCCTGAGAAAAACTCGATCGCGAAGTTCGTCTTTGATGCGACAACTTGGAACACTTGCATTGGACACACGATCCTTTTGACTCACGTCTTCCGACAGAAGGATGAACAGTTTGCAAGCATGCTCAATGAAATGCGCCTCGGCAAGATGAGCGCCGCTACAATTCGGGAGTTTAAATCTCTCTCGCGGCCTCTCAATTTCCATGATGAACTTGAGGCGACGGAGTTGTAGGTTTTGCCATATTCTTCATGCACTTCTCTTCTAATGACATACAGATATCCCCGGCGAGAAGAAGTAGAATTTGCGAACCAGAATCGAATGCGCAAACTGTCGGGCCAAACCATGACCTTTCATGCCGTTGATACAGGCGTCCAAGATCTCAACGTGCGAAAGGCCCTTCTTGCTAATTTCATTGCCCCAGAGGTCTTGGAACTGAAGAAAGGCTCGCAAGTCATGTTGATCAAAAACATTGACGCCCAACTTGTCAATGGTTCACTCGGGATTGTTCAATCTTTCATGGACGAAAGCACCTTCTTCGCCTACAAGGAGGACGAACCGGCTTTCCTACTGGCGCACGAGCCTGACGGTGGAGAGCTGTCGGATGAAAAAGCGGCTGCACGTGAGAAAATCCAGGCTGCCAGATCGAAAAGCACAGGTACGGCTGCTGGATCTACAAGATTGTGGCCCATGGTTCGATTTAACCTCCCCGATGGTACATCCCGGAGCATGCTTTGCTTGCCAGACGAGTGGAAAACGGAATCTCAACAAGGTGAGGTGCTTGTAAAACGAGTGCAAGTACCTCTGATTTTGGCATGGGCTCTGTCTATACACAAGGCTCAAGGACAGACTCTGACGCGGGTCAAGGTGGATCTTGGGAAGGTGTTCGAGAAAGGACAGGCATACGTCGCGCTCAGCCGAGCCAGAAGTAAGGAGGGGTTGCAAGTGCTTCGGTTTGACGAACGCAAAGTCATGGTCCACCCCAAAGTATTGCAGTTCTATTCCAAACTGTCTGGGCATGAGACACTCGAGGCGAAACAAAAGATCGCCTCCGCGGCCACTACGGTGACGGTGACAGAGAAGGATACTGGAAAGGGTCAAAGTTATACCGCCACCAAAAAGGAGACCATCAAGTTCTCCACGGAAGAAGATGATTTTGGGGATGATGACTTCTCCTTTGAAGAGATGCTCGAGGCGGAGACACAACTCATGCGAGCAAGTGGCACAGCTTAGTAGTGGTAGTGGTGGTAGTGGTGGTGGTAGTAGAAGAGAAGAATCATGGCAGCTTAAAGTCAGGTCTGCACCCATGATCTGGTAGCACGCAGCTATTCGAAGAGTATAGCAACTACAATAGACTGTAGTGGCGGTACAAATTCCAGGCCGAACGGATCCTTGATGGATGCTGCGTTGCACAGCTCGTTGGTCGGTCGTGTGAGAAAGTGACGAAAGGGGAAACTGAGGGATCAAAACTTTTGTCCACTTCGACATCCCGCATCACACACAGAAACAGAAACAGAACATTCGTCAATTGTTCAGCGTTTTACTCTCTTCAGCAGTATGCTGTGATAGATTACATCCATCCGTTCACCATGGCGTCCGAGTTCATCGGCTACACCATTCTGGTCACTCTCAAGAGCCCGCCGTGGTGGCCGAACACCCAGGTGCAGGGTGTCGTCGCCGACGTCGCGAACCAGAAGCTATTTCTACAGGATGGTCTGTCTCTATCTGCGCGGTGGATTCTTTTAGATGGTGCACTCACTGACTGATTGCTAGTTTTACTACTATGGAATAATCAACGACTGGCCACCTACACGCTCGAATCCTCCTCCATCGCCGACCTAGAAGTCTCGCCTGTTCAACCAAGGGCCAAAGAGGAATTACCTGCACCAGCTGCCCTCACTCATGCCGAGAAAGCCGCTATCCCGAGCGACCCTGAGACGCAGCGAAATCAAGCTGCATTCCTAGACCCCGCCATCATCAGTTACACAAAGCCTCCGATCACAGCAGCAGCAGTGCCTCCGACGGCGCACCCACCGCAACCGGCTCCCCCGGTTGACGGCGCTGTTAGCAGTCCTTCCACGCGATTGCCGAGGGATGGTAACGTGAATGTGGGGAGTAGCTCGGTTTCCAGCATTGCCACTGCTGTGCCCAAGTGGCCGGAAAGGAAAGGTACATCTGCAAGCGCAACCCTTACCGAACCGTTCGATGCGTTGCGTCTCGGGAACAGTGTGGCCGAAGTGAAATCAGTGGCGCAGACCGTGAATAAAAGCCAGGTCCGAGACACCCCCTCTCAAACTGGACCAGGAATCATCGACATGAAGGATGTCAACCATGGCCCGTTGAAGAACCCAAAGAAGGCTGGAAAGGGCAAGGGATGGCGGCAGACACCCCTGATTGAAGAGGTACCTAGATCGAGCAAGAAGAATCATACGCAACGAGGTCGCAAAGCTGTCGAAGACCTCAATGGGTGGGCGACTGAAGATGCTACTGACATTCAGGATCTGGGCGATTTTGACTTTGAATCAAACCTGTCCAAATTCGACAAGCGACGGGTATTTGACGACATCCGACAAGCGGACACCACGGCGGACGCCGACAGACTGGTGAGTTTCAATCGCAAAGCACGACCCGGGACCAATGGTGGGCGAAACCTTCATTTCACCGAGAACGTGCTGGACACCCCACATGCAAAGGACAAGGACCGATGGAAGAGTGAGGCTGGTGAGACTGAGGACGAAGTCCCGGAAGACCATTACAGCAGCGGGAAGGGGTCGAGAAGAGGCACTTCCAGACGGCCACTCCAGTCCAGAAAAGCAAGCGTCATTCCCGGGCATATTGACCAGACCGAATCTCCGCGGCCGCTGGGACGAATCCAGACAGCATCGCCTCTCAATGGTTCTGTGTCGGGCATCCGTGCTTCGTTCAAAATGGCCAACAACAAACCTTGCCATTGCCTCTCGCCACTCCAAATGCTTGAGATCGAGCAGTTGTGTATTTCCGAACTGGGGTTGACCGAGGACATGCTCTCGGAAAATGCGGGGCGCAGCATCGCCATGGGCGTTCTCAAGGTGCTACCCAGCGCCAAAAGCGTGGTTTTCTTGGTTGGTAATCACAAATCCGGTGCTAGAGCCATCGCGGCAGCCAGGCATTTACGCAACCGTCGGCTCAGGGTGACGGTCGTCGTCCTCGGAGGGGAGCGCGAAGAGCTACTGCTTGAGGTGATGCGAAAACAACTGGGAATCTATAAAAAGGGACAAGGATATGTGGATCGGTGGGATGAGTACCAAGCCAAGGCATCTGGAGGGGCCCCTGCCCCGGACGTGGTTGTCGATGCCTTACTCGGGGTACATGTCACATTTGAGGAAATCCGGACGGACGACCAGGCGACAGTGCTGGAAATGATTCGATGGGCGAATCGAACGTCTAGCGTGCTCTCCATCGATGTGCCAACCGGGCTGTCTGCCACTTCGGGGTTGTTGACCGAAGTGGATGGTCAAGCGCTGGTCATGGCAAGCAAACACGTTCTCAGCCTGGGAGCGCCCAAGACTGGACTGCTCCACGCCATGGCCGTGGATGGATTTGAGGTCAGCTGGCAAGTCTGGGTGGCGGACATTGGGATTTCGGCGGCGGCATGGCAAAAGCATGGATCTCGACGACAACATGGGACGGACTTTGGGAGTGAATGGGTGGTTCCGGTCAAGTTTGTTTTGGGGACACAAGGCTGAAAATGGAAATGGAATGGAATGGACATGGATACGGACATGGACATGGAATGGAAAACGGAAAACTGGGGCTGGAAGCTGAGAAGCTGGAAGCTATGGAGATGGGGAGATGGGGAGATGGGGAGACCCTATCAGCTCATCATTGCAAGTGTATACTATACTACTTTCTACTTTATGCTGCGTTCAAGCGGGTGGAGGAACAGGGAAACTATGTAGGTTCTTGACCTTTTTCCCGGTGTTCGTGTCACGAGGCCAGTGGTCGAAGTTGACCGGTCCTCTACGGAGTATACCAAGTCTTATAAAAGTCTTTTTCGGTCCTAACTTGGGCTTACGGTAACAAAATCATAGTTATAGTTATATCTTGGGAGCTTTGGCCCCAGCCTTGTGTGCTCGACTGCGAGGTTGAGTGAGGTTTATTCAGGTCGTGTTTTTTCTCTTTCATGGCTTAGTATATATACTATATATTATATTATATATATGTTCTCGTTCCTTGCCGAGAAGCTGTTCTGTATTATATCACATCACATCGTATCTATGGGTGTCGGTGTTGGTGTTAGTGTTGGTATTATATCATATCTATAGGTGTCGTAGTCGATGTCGGTGGGTGTCAGTGTTGGTGTTGGTGTCAGTGTCGGTGTTGTGTCGATGTTAATATTAGGGTTGGTGTTGGTGTCGATGTCGATGTTGGTGTCGATGTTGGTGTCGATGTTGGTGTCGATGTTGGTGTCGATGTTGGTGTCGATGTTGGTGTGGGTGTGGGTGTCCGTGTTGGTGTCAGTGTCGGTATTGGTGTCGGTGTTGTGTCGGCGTCGGAAAGAATACATCGCATATACAGAAAAGAAAGGTAAAGTGACTACCAGGAAGTCGTTCAGAGTGTACAATTCATCGCACAGCTTCGGCTTGGAAACGTAAACGTAGGTAAACGCATCTGTATCGGCGACTACAGCTCAGACCTAGGCCGGGCCTCTGTTCCTCCATTTCTCCAACAAGTCCCGATTGAAGGTCATGTCCAGCATGGCGGTGCCGAACTCGTCAATGTCGGCCGGGTCCGAGTGGTCCAAGACGGTGGCGCTCTCGAAGCGCTGCAGGAAGGCCACGTCCCATCGCAGGCACTGCTTCTCCCACTCGGTGGCGGTCGCGGCATTCCAAAGCCCGCTGCGGTTCGTGTACATGACGCCGCCGGGGCAGGTGGCCCAGCGCTGCTGCAGCGTCGAGTAGACGGGGCAGAGGCTGACGGCGACGAGCCAGGTGCGGCGGATGCTCTCGGCCAGGATCCACAGGTACCACTGACACTGCTGCTGCGAGTAGGTGGAGGTGGAGGTGGCGGTGGACAGCGTTGGCAGCCAGCCGACAAGATGCGGATGCGCATGCGTGGCAAGCGCGTGGGCGTGGGCGTGGGCGTGGGCGTGGGTGTGGGTTTGGGTGTTTGACAAAGTCTTTGCGGCCGAGCGAAACAGCCTGCCGGCCCAGCTGTCCAGCACGGCCATGTGGCCTTGGGCGACGTGGCGGGAGCGGATGTCGCCGTCGAAGAGGCCGATGATCTGGTAGACCATGAGGGCGTGCAGCCTCGTCAGCTGCGTGAACAGGTCAAGATGGACGTCTTGCTCTCCTGCGTCAGGGTCGGCCCACTCCTCGGCGTCAACCCTGGCCAGGATGGCCCCATTCTCCCGGAGTAAATCGTTCGACCGGTCCTCTACGATTTGGAGGATGGTGTCCGTGTTGGCGGGCGTGCGGTGGATATAGCTGGCCAGCGTGGCATACGCGACCTGCACGCACGCCGGGGAGTTCGCACTGTACAGACAGGCATGGATAAAAGGGTTGCTGCCGGTGGCCACCCAGCGTTCGAACCAAGACTGCAGCACCGCCACGTACTTCTTCATCGTCGCGATGCCAACGGGCACATCGGCCGAGGTGCCCGCTCGATAGGATATCTCCCACGTCTCAGGTGCAAGAAACCAGTCTGCCGTGGTCGCCTGCGTACCGGGGTTGGGGGTTGGGGCTGGGGGTTGAATGAGAGACGAGGGGGCAGTGAAGCCACAGTCACTGTCCAAGAGTGGGAATGCCAGGTCTGTGTCCAGCATAAGGTCATCTGCAAGGCTCAGGTCGTCTGCATGGCTCAGGTTCAGGGTTGCAGGGCGGGAGGAAGAGGATGTGTTGGTGTTGCCTGCAACTTCAAGTTGAACCTCAGCGAGCAGTCTCTCCGAGTCCAGTCTCGGCGCTGTGCCTCTGGAGAGCCCTCTCCCTCTCCACGCATCCGACAGCAATGGCCGAGCCGAGGACGCTGCTCTGCTTCTCGACGGTGGATAGACGCAGGCCGTGGCCCGATCCACACATCGTGCGCACGATGGTATCTGCCGTCCGCATTTCCGCTTCGACCTTGCGCAGGCGCTGCAGGCGTTTGATTCTGCGCGCGTCGGCATACCAGGGGCAGGACAGAACTGCCGGTGGTCGAGGCTCCCGATCTCGTCTGCGGCGGAAGTTGAGGCAATAGTCTGTAAGTCTGTAGTCAGTGAAGTGGGAAATATGGTCGAGTGCATTGCACCGAGAATTAGTGGTCGAGGTGTGTTCTAGACTCTAGAGGAGCCAAGCATGGACTAGCCTGTTTAGCCGGTCTCGGGCGTCCCAATAGCCATACTCTATTGGCTGATAGTCCGCACACTAACCCGCTAATCCGCATGGCGGAAGACTAGTCCGCAATATTGTATATTACTAATTACAGACATCAGACATCTCTCGGCCCTGAAGCACCGACTATGTACTCCAAGTCACCCTTCACCCCCTCAATGTATTTGTTTGGGAGACCGTGGCGGACAAGAGCCCCCCCGACATGTAGTAAAGCGGACCCTCAAACTGGTGTGCGGGCTAGCTCTCGGGACTTCGCATGCGTGTCATGAGGTGGCTTGAGTATATATATGTGTGGTGTGTGTGTGTAAGTATGAGAAGACTTCAAAGCAGACTTACAGTCCATGTCATAATTCAGTCCCCTGCTTTGTATCTCGCCCCCAAATCAAAATCCAAAATCCAAACTCACTCAATATGTCGGTGTACGTCATTACTGGTGTGTCGAAGGGAATCGGGGTGAGTCTACCTTCTACCCTCTACCTTATGCCATGTTTCGCATTGCCTGTGCTGAAACCAGGCAGTTCGAGTTGGTCAAGCAGATCTCGGAGGAGCCGAAGAATCTAGTCGTCGGTCTGGTCCGCGACAAGGCTGCGACCGAGAAGAAGATGGCGGCAGAGTTTGGCGGCCGCGACCGTTCCAATGTCCACATCCTCCATGGAGACCTCACCAGCTATGCCAGCCTCAAGCAAGCCGCTGCCGACACGGCCAAGATTGTGGGCGAGCGTGGGATCGACTACCTGGTTGCCAATGGAGCGTTCCCGTCCCAGTTCGACGCCTTTGACCCCATCGGCGCATTGTAGGTCTACTTTCCCTCTTTGGTACCGTCCGGACCGGACTGGCCTGTGGTTAACGCCATGTGCTGCAACAGGGGCGACAAGGTCGACGAGCTGGAGGAGGTGTCATCGAAGCTATTCCAGACCAATGTCGTCGGCAACATCCACCTTCTCAACCTCTTCGTCCCTCTTGTCATGAAGGGCACGGTCAAGAAGGTCATTGCCATTTCCAGCGGTCATGCCGACCTCGACTTGATCAACGACCTCGAGATTGAGAATAGTGCGTTGTATGCTGCCTCCAAGGCGGCCATGAACGTCGTGGTGGCCAAGTTCAACGCGCAATACAAGAAAGACGGGGTGCTCTTCGTGAGTCTCAGCCCGGGAGTGGTAGACGTGGGCCACTTTGCGGATGGTACGTACCGTATTTCTGCGCTGTCTTTCAAGATTCAAACATGTGGACTTTGTACTGATGCAGATCCACGCCACAGCCACTCCAGAACAGATCCAAGGCCTGATGAAATTCATGGGCAAGCTTGCAACCTATGCCCCTCACTTCAAGGGCCCAACCCCGGTCGACGAAGCCATCCGAACGATCAGGTCGACCTGGGAGAAGATCAGCATCGACGGTGGGTATGGTGGTGCATTTATCTCGCATTTGGGAAACAAACAGTGGATCTAAAACCAACTGAACGGTAGAACTTCAAGGATGCCAGATTCAGCGAGTTCATGATAGGCGAGAGAATGGTTCGGCGTGGTCATCAAAGCACAACATGGCACAACTCAGGTACAGATGAACACCCTCTGCGTACAGATACTGTGTGCGGGAATATACCAGGAGATGGAGATAGCTCTGTCTCTGAACGGGTACTCGGTGCTAGTAGCTAAATCAGGGAGGGGTAATAGTGGTCTGGTAGATAGTAGAGTCCATGTATCGTGTTGGGTACTACGGAGTACTACTACAGTACTGTATGTTCGGAGTATTATTATTACTATAGTACTTGACCGGTGTGGCTGTGCAGTGCTGGCCCCTAAGCTATAAGGCTTAAGGCTCCTTAGCTGTCCTAAGGCTAAGGCTTAGGAGGCTTAAACCACCCCCGGCCTCCTAAGCCCTAAGCGCCCCCTCCCTCCTAAGCCCCTCAGCCTCAGCTGGGCGTAAGCAGAGCAGCGCAGCGCCTTAGCCGTGCCGTTTACCCCTTAGCCCTGCGCTACGCTTCGCTTCTGTTGTTGCGTGGCAGGCTCAAAAGCTGACCTGACACTGATAGTCATCGACTTGTCGTCCAGCTCATCTCCGAAATCCGCAATCTGAAATCTGAAATCTGAAAGCTGTTACCTCTCGAAAAAGGTTCGCATCGCGGCGGATTTGGTTGGCATCGGACCAGCACCAGCACCAGCGCATACCCTTAGCGCTTACCCAACAGCTACTCCTGTTCCTGTTCCTGTTCCTGTTCCTGTTCCTGTTCCTGTTCCTGTTCCTGTTCCTGTTCCTGTTCCTGTTCCTGTTACTTCTACGGGTACGGTACTCTTTCTGCCACTGCTACTGCTACCGACCCTCCACAAGCTCGATCTTGACCTTGACGCGGAAAGGCGACACTGGATACGGGATACGGGATACGGGATACGGGATACTATTTGTGTTGAATATCTCATATCTCCGGCGAGTGTCATCGTGGAGGTCTCCATCGACTTGGATTCCATTGGAGCCTTCTGAATAATCAGATTGAGTGACTCAGGTATTGGTGGAATCGACTAGTCACTACAGGATATTCCTGCCACCGACCAGGCGTTCCGTTGAATCCAACCCAGCATCGGTCGGTAGTTGTCCGCAGTCGACATTCATATTAGCCTCTTATCAGGCCGACAGCTCCTCGGGATCGGGATCAGGATCAAGATCAAGATCAAGCAAGACACGACCCAGCCCAGCGTTGTCATCCAAACCAACCGCAACAATGTCGTTTCTCCAAACCAGCTTCAAGACAGGCTACATCACCGACCTCATCCTCCCTCCCACCCCCGAAGGCAAGACCCTAGCCGACGTATACAATGCCGGAGTCGAGGTCGCGCTCAGCATGGCCCAGACGCCGGAGCAAATGAGCGCGCTCAACCCGTTCGTGTACAGCGTCAAGACCATGGCGCCGACCGACCCGCACGCCGTCGATGCGTCGGCGCTCGCGGCCCATTTCGCCGTCGACCTCGACGCGCCCTACGCCGCCGGCAGCTTTGTGCATTACGAGATCAAGGACAAAGTGCCCGTGGCGCTGGGCTATTCGGCCGATCTGACGTATTATAGCGCCATCCGCCGGACCTCCGAGGGCATCGAGGCCCTCACCAATCCGGGCAGTGGGGTGTTGCTGCATGGGCGATGGATGATCAAAGCCGGCATGGGCGATGGGGCTGGGAATGAGGGTAGAATTGGGAATGTGGCCGTGGACGCGCCAGATGGAACAGTGGATGCCAACGCCAGCGCCCACACCCAGACAGGAACAGGAATAGCAACAGGAACGGACGGCAGAGTCATCAATCTGCTCGAAACAAACACCATATCATGCAGCGTCCTGGTGGCGTGGTTCATCAGGGCCAGTATGGACAAGGCCCATCGCACGGCGCACCAGCGGTTCAAGGACCTGTGGACCCAGAAGATGGGGGAAAGGGGGTTTCCTTCCACATGACTTGATAGAGGGACCATCCTTCCACATGACTTGATAAAGATGGGGGAGAGGGACTATCCTTCCACTTGAGTTGATAACAAGGAGGAGGTTGAGCAGAGAGACATCGCCGACTTAGGACATGAACACGAGAAACGAGAAACGAGAAACGACTTTGATGTTGGGGTTGGGGTTGGTGTTGGGTTTGATGTTGATGTTGACTTTGGGCTTGAACTCTCCTCTCTTTGGGTTTGATATTGGGTTTGGGTTTGGGTTTGATGTTGACTTCGGGGTTGACCTCTCTTCTCTTGGGCTTGATTTGGGGTTGACCTCTCCTCTCTGTGGTTTGTTTGGGGTGGACCTCCTCTCTTTGGGTTTGATATTGATGTTGATGTTGATTTTGGAGTTAACCTCCTTCTCTTTGGGTTTGATATTGATGTTGATGTTGATTTTGGAGTTAACCTCCTTCTCTTCGGGTTTGTTCGGGTTTGAATTTAGGACATACGTGCCCCGTGAGATTAGATTCGATTGAGACCCTGGCCCCGAATTATGATGAATGGGAGGAATGGGATGGGCTGTGATGGGATACGACGGCATCGGTGTCGAGACGATGACTTGAAACCTTCTCTGCTCCTACAATTGAAGATGACTTGAAACTTTCTCTGCTCCTGCAATCGACCTGAATTGAACTGTATCGGATGGGGGAGGGGGTTCACTTTCACTTTCACTTTCATGTTTCCACACCACATTGAAAGAGGCAGCACACAGTTCGGAGATGATGAATATTCGAAGGTGGAACCGTGGATTGATGAACTGGGTGTGTCGATAGAAACAGAAACACAACCAGAAACAGAAACACAACCAGAAACAGAACCAGAACCAGAATAGAAACAGAACCATGAATGAAATAGAAACAGCCACATCGAACACGAAACACGAACCTGATAACTGACGTGGACGTGGGCGTGGGAAGAGAAGATTCACGCTTCTGCTCCTTGGGTATCATTGTGTACATACTCCATACAGTATCTGCAGCTGGGCTCACGCTCACCAACCGTCGAAATTGCCAAACCCCCCTCCTCCTTTCACCTTCTTCCGCACCGGCTCCTCAGGCTCATCGATAAACTCGACAATCTCATCTTCGTCTTCCTTCTCCGGCGCACGGTCGGTGGAGAGACTCGCTTTCAGGTATTTGCCCACTCCACCACTGGAATCGCCGCTCTCGACAGTGCCGTCCTGCCGGATCCTCTTCCCGGTCCAGGTCGTGCGGTCTTCGTCCTGACGCTGTTCTTTCTGCTTCTCGGTCTGCTCCGTCTCGTGCTTCTTCTTCCAGAACTCTTCAAATGGATCGATCAGCACGACAGCTTCGACAATCTCGACGTCGGTCGTCGGCCGGTCAGTCTTGTCGACCGGCGTCTCTTCCAGCCTTTTCAACACGTCGAATGAACTGCCCTCGTCGACCACCCGGCCGAAAATCGTGTGTTTCCGGTCCAGATGGCTGGTGGGTCGGTATGTGATGAAGAACTGGCTGCTGTTTGTGTTCTTGCCCTTGTTCGCCATCGATACCACGCCACGTGCGTCGTGCTTGAAAGGCCCCTCGAGCTCGTCTTCAAAGTTCTTGCCCCAGACGCTCGTCCCGCCACGGCCGGTGCCTGTAGGATCGCCAGTCTGGATCATGAAGTTGCGGATGTTGCGGTGGAAGATGATCCCGTTGTAGTAGCCTTTTTGCACCAGCCGGACAAAGTTCCATACGGCCTTGGGGGCGTGGTCTGGATATAGCTCGAGAGTGATATCCCCCACTGATGTGGAAAGACGCACGTATCCCTTGTCCTTTACACGGCCGCGCTTCAACAGGTATTCTTCGTCCGACATTAGTGCCAGAGCGGCTGATGTGTGCGGTGTCACTCCTGTAGAGGTTAGAGATGCGGCGGCCAGACCTGTCGTATGTCGGGTGGCATTGTATGGAATAGGTTTGGAGGCCGCCACGGTTGATGACTTCTTGACTTGGTTGCCGGACTGGGCTTTCTCCTTGGCTTGGACCAGCTGAGCGTTCGCCCGTTCGGCCCTGGCCTTTGCCACTGCTTCCTTGGCCTTCATGATCTTAAGGTCGGCAGCACTGCCCAGCGAGGCCGAGTTTATCGAGGCTTCTTCTTTGGGAATCCCCGAGTCCTCTCCATCCCGGAGGTATTTGAACGAGCTCAGGTTGCGCGATTCAATGTTCTGCGGATCCTGAAGCGTGATCACGTCTTTCCTGGAGAACTCTTCATCCGACATCAGATCCCGCCACATCTTGGGCTTGATGTTCAACCGCTCCACAGTGTCATAGGCAAATACGTTCGCCGAGTCGCCATGTCGGATTGCGACAATGTGTGTATTGTCCGTGAAGACCTTGTATGTGACCGGGTCGACATAATCCCCGCCATCATTCTTTGCAAAATTCACTTTTATGAGGTCCTGCTGTTTTAAAGGTTTGCCATTCGTTGGATTCGTGTCATGTTTCAGGAGCCACCGTATGATGTTCTCGTGGTCGAAAATCGTCCCCTCGGAAGTGCACACGGGAGTGTTGAATGGTTGTAGGCTCAAGGCGCAGTAGTTGAACGGCAGCCTCTTGAAAGCGGCATGGGCACTGGCGTCAGCGCGCACGCCTGAGCCTGCTGAGGCCGAGTATGCGACGGGCGAAGCCCATTCGGAGTGAGTGATCTGAGTTGTTAGTATGGAGGAGGGTAACGGGGGAGTTGTGGTCGTACGTAGAGTTTATCGGTTCCTAGTGAAGCCTGTCAGCAGGCTGAAGCGAGTGGGAGGCGTCATGCTGACCTTTGCCCATGTTCTGTCTTCAGGGAGTTGTGCACTTCGTGATGTGTTCGAGCGAGAAATATCGTCTTGTCGCCTGTCAAAGCGATGCGGAGGAGCAGATCGGCACACCTTCTGTTTCTGTGGGGGAACAAGGCTCTCTCTCAGCCTTGTCGTGTCCGTCACCCTACAGGGGTATCACATGTCCTCCGAGTCTGTGCAGGGATCAAGCAACTTTTGTCTTTGGTTCCGGCGGGCGACTTCTTGAAGCTGTGGGGCCTCAAGCCCTCGTCTTGGTATGCAAGGCAACCTTGGTCACGTTGGGCTGCCCTGCTCCTTTGACGAAAGCAAAAGTTCCCAGAGAACACAGCCACGGCGTCATGGGCAGCCATCCTCCCACCACTCCTGAGTCCTGACCGCTGCGGCCTCGTGCTGCACTCTCTATTGGCCAACACACCCCATGCAGCGCCTACGCTTGCGAAAGTTCCAACAGCAACAGCGCCCATTCGTCGCCAGACTTGGGTCGGCGTTTGTGGTTTTAATCAGAATCAGCATCAGCCAGGAGCCATGTCAAAAGTTCCGACTGCAATACTTTCTTCTGTCCTCTATTTAAGAATGCTCTTCCTGTTTCCGTCGACCAAGGGCAATCGGTCAAGAACTTCATCAATTTTTCGACCGGCCTGAGCCCTCCTTTTTCCCAGGATGGAGACATTGTTCCAGTATGAGGCCCATCTGGCCGAGACGTTTCAGGACCCTATGGTTATCGATATCGGCAACGCTGATGATGATACCTTCGACAACGCCAGATCATACGGGGTCAGCGACGACCCGGGAGACTCGAACAACAGCCATGCCGATCAAGTCACAACGGATGCTGTCACAAATGATGCTGATGCTGGCTTGGCCGAGAAGACCACAGCGCGTGCTGATGTCGGCTCTTCAGAGCCACGCACGAAGAGATCCAAAGGACCCCCTGCTGCCCAGTGGGAAATACACCGTGATCTCATCAAAGAGCTATACCGGGATCGAGAACTCAAGCTCGAAGATGTGCAGAAGATCATGAAGGACCAACATGGGTTTGATGCTACAATACAAATGTACAAGAAGCGTTTGAAAGACTGGAACGTCCGCAAGAATTACACACAGGAGCAGAAGCTTGAAGTTCTCTCAACCATGCAACACCAAGCCTCGCCTATGTCATTCGCCATCAATGGGAAGCCATTGAAGAGATCCCGACTACGGCGTCCTGTTCGGCGGAATGGAATGCGCATGGCTCTCGCCCCGAATTTGAGAGCATCCACGCCGGCCCACATTGGTCCCCAGCTGTTTTCAGCGACAAGCCAGCCACAGCAACCACTGCAAGCTCAGGATGGTCGAGGTAGAAGAGGGGATTCGAGACTCGATTTGAGATCCAAGACGCCACTCCAACGGCTACAGTTCCAGCAATCCCCAGAAACCTGGAAGGTCGAGATCATCCTTCGCCATGTCAAACAATACGACGACCAGGAGCTCGACCTAAACATAGGCTTGTTAGAAAATATGCTCGGCCCTCTTTGCTCAAGCCAGAATTTACTTTCAACAGATAAGCGATGGGCGTTCACATTGTTGAACCAAGCCTGCGCAGCCGCTCCCGAAGTTTTCAAGGCTCAGCCGTTCATGTTACTGGAACAGATGATTGCTGTATTTTCTCAGACCGGATGGCGGGGGTACCATGAAGTGAAGCGGCTAGTAATGAGACATTTTGCAGCAATTGCAAAGCAAACTCATGGAGAAAATCACCCAATTGCATTGATTTTGAAGATTTCTTGCACTGACCAGATCGTTGACAGTATGCTTCCCAAAATTGGCCAGCTTGTGGCTGACGTTACAAGTACGAAGCTTCGAAACTTGAGCGAGGAGTGGCTAGTGCACCAGGGCTGGGTGGCCCAACAGTGTCTGGGCTGGGGGGACCTGGAAGCAGCACAAACGATCATTAGTCGCATCCTGGTCACCACAGAACAGCGATTCGGACGGCAGCACTGGTTATATATGTGGGCCATGTCCCAAACGGGGATAAATCTATACCTCCAGGGTCGACGGGAGGAAGCAGAGCAACATTACCTCGCTGTGGTGGGGGAATTCTCGGAACAAGCAAGCAGACATAAAGTGAGTCTTCAGGCGAGGTCTTATATCGGGCTTGCTTGCATCTCGGCACACAAAGGTGAAGTCAGCAGATGTAAGAGATATGCCATGCAGGCACTGGACTTGAGGTTGCAGACTTCCAGTGATGACCCCGCGGCAGATCATGCCCTGCTTGATTACCTTCTCACTGTGAAGATGATACTAGCCGAATATGGCACGAGTGAGGAGGTAGAGCAGCTGCTTGTTGACTACGGATACATCTTGGAAGCTTCCAAGAAGTGGGAGCTTCGTCCAGAGGAAGCACTGGCGTGAGTCGCATGGATCATCTATTCCTATTTCCAGCCCAAGCGATGCATATATGATATGGTAGTGAGCACAATCTATGGAGCGTCTTCTATGTGCATCAAATCTAAGCAAGCCATCTGTCAACCACGCCCGTGGCACAAGCACAAGACCTACTGCGGAATGCCCAGGTACTCGTAGTACTCCTTCAGTCCTGGCGACGTCCAGGTGTGGCGCTCCGCAAGATCCGAGATCCAGACCATGCCAACGACGCCGGCGGCATTGGAACCAGCACCTCTCTCCAGGCCACAATGGCGCCTGGGGACCAGACACATCCACTCCTTGACCAAGATGACATTGTACGCCGAGCCTCCGCCGGCCGCTGCATGAGCCTTGCGCACCTCGCCGAGCAGCCGGCCGTACGTCTGGACGAGGCAGGCGTCGTCGGCACCCTCGGGCAGCCGCAGGACGAAATGCTTGTGCGGGACGTGGGCGATGTCGCTGGCGATGGTGAGCTCCGACTCGGCCTTTTCGGGAAACAGCTTGAACCCGAGCTCGCTCTCGGCCGGGTATTCCCACAGCTGCATGTGCTTGTGGCCCTGGCTGGAGCCGGCCTCGTAGCCGCAGTTGTAGATCATCATGTACGGCCGCGACAGACTGGGGTGCCGAAGCAGTGCCCAGGCTGCCGCCAGGTCGCTGCCGTCCAGCCCGTCGGACTGCGGCACGAACTTGCGCGTCACCAGAAGCAGACTGGGCCGGTACACGCAGAACTTGTTCAGCATCAGGAGATGGTCGGGCCCGACCGCACACAGCACGAATTGAGGCTCCGGGTTCACAAATGGGTTCCGCCCTTGTCCTGTCTTGCGCTCCGGCGCGTCCGAGGGGATGATCGGCTTGCGCCGTAGATGTGGTACATAGCGGATTTCGGCCTGCAGGTGTGGCGAAATAAGAGGCCAAGTTAGTCTCGTGTTGGTATTCCTGTACTAGGAGAAGCCGAATGAATTGGGGAGATGAAGACGGAGGTAAAGGCGAAGCAAGGCTTGATTCGTGTTTGTTCATACCTTGAACCCCTGGTCTTCCACAATCTCTCCCGTCGAAGGTTCGTAGATCAGCTCGCCCTTGGCTACCAACTCGTCGAATCGGGACAGTGTGAAAGCCTCCAGGTCGGAGGGAAGTGTTGAACTGGCCGCCGATGAACCAGTGCCAGTGCCTAGAGGGGTCTCGCCATTGGATGTCGATGTGGGGGATATGTCTCCCATTTTGAGGGTGAGGGTGAATTGGTCAAACCCAGGGTTATTCGTGTTATCCCTTCCCTTGAGCCCTTCTTCTAAAACGAACGAGGTGGCTGGACCAGTGTAGCCGTGGTGGCTCGCAGGGCTTAGGCTTGTGTTTGTCGTCGCCGTCACACGCGGGATGTCTAAAGTGTTAGGTGGCCCCTATCTTGTCCACTTCCCATTTCCCACTCGAGTTTCATGCAATTAGGCACGATGGTGAAGGTGAAGTTGAATTTGGCTCGGCTTTGGAATTAGAAGAGTGTTCTTATGCTTGGAGAGGTTCCTAGTCGTTATCTATGATGAGGTCAGGGGTCAGGAGTCAGAGGACAGACTCCAAGCCCCGACGCGGGTTGAAGGCTGACAGGTCCACAGTTTCACATTACGCAACCGTGGTTATTGTTCAATTTGAGAAGGGAACGGCCAGACGCCTCGAGCAAGCTACATGTCCCCCAGGTTAGATGAAGGGTCTCTACAAAGAACGAAAGTCGCAGCGGAGCATTTTAAACAGGCCATCGTGTCTAGGGGTTCAGTATTTGGGAGCGGAGTGATATCAAGACATTGCCAATGCGTAATGCCTGCGTGTTCGTAGAAGAGGCACTGTGGCTCTAGGGTTCCAACAGAGTATACACGCACAGATATCTTCTTCCTTCTCAGTAGGGGGTTTAATCATACCTGGTACGTCTGTTGGATATCCAGAACTATTAGAGGTAAGTACCTACCTAGGTGGTAGGTATAGAGTAATTACGGAGTACAGAATACAAATATTTTGCATTGACGGCAATGTCTCCCACCGCAGCCGAGCTAGACTCTATCGGGCAATTAGAGCTCGAGATCTTCGTCTTCAAGTTTCGCTGCGCTCGCCGCTTTGGAGGTATCTTTTTATTTTTTGTCCCGTCGCTGTCTGTCCTGCCACTGCCACTGCCAGTGTTTGTCGCCGCACGCGGGTTTCACTTTCACTTTCACGTTCTTCTTCCATTCTCCTCTTCGTCCATTGTCTTCTTACCGCGGCGTCATGGCTTTCTCTCGCTCCCTCACTTCCTTCCTGCGCACTTCGCGGCACATTGCGGCCCCTGCTCGAGGCCTCAACCCCGTCAACAGAGTCTTTGGTCACGACAGATTCGGAGCCCGAACCTATGCTGCGGTCTTCGAACGAAACAAGCCGCACGTGAACGTCGGTATGGTTGGACACTGATCTTGCCGTCCGGAACTGCTCTAATCTTCTTCTTTTCAGGTACCATTGGCCACGTCGATCATGGCAAGGTAATTCAATCTTTCCCTCGAGATCCGGATCCGATGTCCCAGGCTCACTCCTCTAGACCACTCTTACTGCTGCCATCACCAAGAGACAGGCCGAAAAGGGCTATGCCCAGTTCCTGGAGTATGGAGCCATCGATAAAGCCCCCGAAGAGCGAAAACGAGGTATCACCATCGCAACTGCGCACATCGAGTACCAGACCGATGCACGCCACTATTCCCACGTCGACTGCCCTGGCCACGCCGATTACATTAAAAACATGATTACTGGTGCCGCTCTCATGGACGGTGCTGTCATGGTGGTTGCCGCAGGTGATGGACAAATGTAACATTTTATATTTCTCACTGGTCAAAGCATGAGGATGGGCTAGCTAACACTCAACTCACCAGGCCGCAAACCCGAGAGCATCTGCTGCTGGCGCGTCAAGTCGGTGTGCAAAAGATTGTTGTTTTCGTCAACAAGGTCGACACTGTCGAAGATCCTGAAATGTTGGAACTGGTCGAGATGGAAATGCGTGAATTGCTATCTACCTACGGCTTCGACGGAGATGAGACCCCCATCATCTTCGGCTCGGCTCTCTGCGCCCTTGAGGGCACCAAACCCGAGATTGGCATCGAGAAGATTGATGCTCTGATGAACGCCATCGACACCTGGATTCCCACTCCGGTCCGCGATACCGACAAGCCTTTCATGATGTCTGTCGAAGAGACCTTCTCCATCTCTGGCCGAGGTACCGTTGCTTCTGGCCGTGTCATGCGTGGTATTTTGAAGAAGGACTCGGAAGTCGAAATCGTCGGTGGTGGCGATCAGGTTATCAAGACCAAGGTCACGGATATTGAAACCTTCAAGAAGTCCTGCGACGAGTCCAGAGCCGGCGACAACTCGGGTCTTCTGCTGCGTGGTGTCAAACGTGAGGACGTCAGACGTGGAATGGTGATTGCAGTCCCCGGCACGGCCAAGGCACACCAAGAAGTGCTCGTGTCCATGTACGTCTTGACGGAAGAAGAAGGTGGACGGAAGTCAGGCTTCACCCAAGCCTATAAACCCCAGCTCTTTATCCGGACCGCCGACGAGTCCGCCACCTTGGCCTGGCCCGAGGGAACCGAAGACACCAGCAAATTGATCATGCCAGGCGACAATGTCGAGATGGTTCTCAAAACAATCCACCCCATCTGCATGGAACCTGGTGAACGATTCAACCTCCGAGAAGGTGGAAAGACAGTCGCCACTGGGCTGATTACAAGAGTCGTGAAATAAGCGCGCGGGCGTGTCAATAAGGATTTGATCATATGAACAAGGCAAAAGCCGCCATTCCACGCTGGTCCGACCATCGAAGGCCGTGTATCAAAATGTATGTTTAGCCACCACATTTGGAGACTTGTGACATGTGTCTGAAGCTCCGACTTCAAAGAGGGACATGGTTGCTGGCTGTGGGGATATTTTGGAGGTTTGTGGATGAGCTGGCGCAGAACTCGCATATATACCTCTCTACTTCCCAATTCAAAAGTGTGTAAAAATGATATAATACATAAAGTACCAGCTTATGACATTCGTGGTCTGTGAATTAATTACTGCGAGCGAACATTTCTTTGAGAGTCGGATGCACGTCGATTACTATTCAACGAGGCAGGCTTCCCTCGGCAGTTGTCTATGTGTGTATAGAGTACAAATACTCCGGACAAGAGTCAAGCTCAAGATCGCCACGATTCGAAGAGGTTGTCAGCCGTCGCCGTCATCATCATCTAACACATCATCCCACCATCTCACCATTTCACCATCTCACCATCCCACACTCAGCTCGCTCCTCTCGGCCGGTTTAGTATTTCAGCCAGACCACACCAGACCAAGCTAGGCCATCATCTAGAACTATTGGAGACTGGGGACTGGGAACTGGACTGGGGACTGGGCATTGAGCATTGAGCATTGAGCATTGTGTGTTGTGTGTTCCTCGCAATGGAAGGCCGTTGCCAGTGCGGCGCCGTCCGCTTCACCACGCCGCTCGCCCGCCCGCTGAAGATGTACGTGTGCCACTGTCTCGAGTGTCGGCGACAGAGCGCGTCTGCGTTCGGCGTGACTGCTATCTTTCCGGCGTTTTCGCTGTCGAACCAGAAACAGAGCCGCACCGCGACCGTCCCGGAGGTGGAAGAGACGGACTCGAAGACAGACTCGAAGACAGACTCGAAGACAGACTCGAAGACAGACTCGAAGACAGACTCGAAGACAGAGTCGAACCCAGAGGTGGATGTGGAGGTGGCGACAGCCGAACAACAAGACACCGACACCAATCCCGATCCCGATCCTGATTTCGATCCCATCGGACTCTACCAGCACAGCAACACATCTTCCGGCCGCGTCAAGAAAGGCTACTTCTGCAAATTATGCGGCACGCGTCTCATGCACGACGGCCCTACCCACGTCGCGGTCAAGGGTGGCTGTCTGGAAGCATTGGATCGGGACCTGTTGGATTCCGCCACGCATATCTGGACCAAGAGGGCCATTGTGGCTATTCCGCATGGGGTCGAGTCGTATTCTGAGGAGCCGCCGGCGTAAAGAAAACAGAACAGAACAGAATAGATCTGGACTGGACTGGACTGAACGCAACTGAACGCAGACTGAACAGACCTGAACTGAACAGAACTGGACTGGACTGGACTGGACTGGACTGGACTGGACTGAACGCAACTGAACGCAACTGAACTGAACAGACCTGAAATGAACGCAGACTGGGAATTGGCGGCAACTGATGATGGACCGGAAACCAGAACAGACTACACCTGGACAGAACTGAACTGAACGCAGACTGAGCACAGACTGGGAATTGGTGACGACTGATGATGGGCTGGAAACCAGAAAACGAGAAGGATTTCGCAAAGCGACAACAACGTTCAGTATCTGGGTAGATGCTGGGCAGGACCGCAACGTTTGCTGTATGAAAGATGAGGAGTTATGGGCCGGCTCATGGAAGGTACCTGGGTAGATGGTGGATGGTGGATGGGTGATAGTACATGTGGACCACAACGCTCGTTACCTACCTACCTATTATAGATGGTAGGCATAGGCATAGGCGATGGGAGGTACTTGGACGTTACCTACATACCTAATATAGATGGTAGATAGGCCATGAGAGAACTTGGACCATACCAAACGACAGTTGGGAGAGCCGTCATGGACGTCTGGTATCAGATAGGGGAGACGCGTGGAAAACCGTTCACTTCACATCGTATGCAAACCTGGAAACCCCAACGAAAGACAAAGGCTCATAGACAGTATGACAGGTCAATCGAAGTCCCCTTCCATGTGCACAGTGCATAACTCTTCTTTGCGAGTTCAGTGCGGTTTGTTCTCTCAAGCAACTTCACTTGGCATATGCTGTATATGCATTTCGTACAGTGATGTCTTTGTACAAATAAGTAGTAGTAGTAGTGGTTTAAATGGTGATCATGACCAGGACCAGCAGATGATTCTGGCCTCCACTGGTGCCTGGTGCTGCATCAGTCCGTCGCCGTGGCCTGCGAGGAGCCCACCCAGCTTTTCTCCCTCTTCACCATGTTCCAACTCGACGAAAAGTGTGGTTTGGCGGAACGGCTTTTGATTGTGTCGTCTTTTTAACTCGTCGACGCCAGCACACCCGTGGTCTCGGCCTCGCTTGCCGCAGTCTCTCGCTCGGCCCGCCGTCTTCTCTTCTCAATCAGAAGCTCTTTCCGCTGTCGGAGCATCTTGAGCTGTCGCGCCTCCACGCCCTGCATCCAGTATCCGAACGACCCCCCGATCCCTGCGAACAGCGGGTACACCCATAGTGCACCGCGTTGGAAGAACGGTCTCATTTCAATGCCCAATTGGACGAATCGTGTAGCGATGCCTGAGCGAGAAGGATTTTATGTCAGAGCTGCGGTTTGCACAGAACAACAATCCCATTGTGCTCGGAACGTAACCTACCAAATCCGGCCCAGAAAAGGATCTTGTGAACCATCTTGTCGAAAGTTGGAGTTGGAAGGCGCCCTCGGCGCAGCGGGATTCGTGGACAATTCGAGCAGACTCGGAGCTGCGGCAGAGACGAAGGAGGATACAGATACGCTGAGTGGCCTGTGGAAGTGTTTGTCGCGGCGGCACTGAGCTTGGGGTTCGTAGATTCGTAGATAGGATTTGGGATTTGGACCTCCGAGCTTCAGCCTGCCTTGAGCCTCTCACAGCCGAATCATTCCCAATGCATAATAATGCCAAGGTTTGCTCGCCCCGATTAGGAAGCCGGGTGATGCCGCCCTTGCTCACGCCTGACCCTAGTACACTCGAGTGACCTATTGTGCCACCGTAGTAGTAACTGGCGTCATCTACTCCGTACACTTGACCGTATTCTCCCACCAACATCGAGTACCCGAGAGCGAGTACCCGAGAACGAATACCCGAGTTCCCGCATACCCTGGGTTGTTGCGCATAGGATAACCTCCCTCGATGGAGAGTGAGTGAACCTCGCACTTCTACATCTACAGAGACGACGAAGCCGGACGGCTAAAGCATCTTCACCTCAAGAGAATGGTCCCATGAATACTACTGCTACATCTGCAGCACCGCGAAGTACCAGGCACAAATCACGCTCTTCCCTGGCCTGCTTGCCCTGTCGCTCACGGCACCTGAAATGTGATGGAGTTCGGCCATACTGCAGACGGTGTATCGTAGCCTCCCAACAATGCCAGTACGCTCAGTCGCGAAGAGGCGGCCTCGACCGCGCCGCTCTGGCTGAGCGACGCAAAAGGCTCGAGGCCACGGGGTCAACTCAGGCTGAATCTGAATCGGCCGACATCTCGAGTCCACTACAATCCTGGGTTCCTCCCCCACCACCGCCACTGTCTGGTGACGTTGGAGCAGACATCACCAACGACTATGGCCCAAGTGGTGAATCTTCAACAAACGCAGGATCAGGATCATCAACAAGCTCGCCCCGAGTAGACATTGGCGACGACATTGAAGGGGATTCTTTGATCGCTTCGTACTACACCAACTTTCACAAATTCCACCCAGTTGTATTGCCACAGAAGCACTTGATACGAATCCACCGGACCCGAAGCATAAAGTTGAATTTGAGACCTCTCGTTGCCGTACTTCGCCTCATTGGTCACATTTACAGCGCCCGCGAATGGTCGACAAGTCTCAGGGATCATGTCGAGACTTGCTTTGCGGAGGCTTCGCACGCAGACCCGACCATGGTCCAATGTCGCACATTGTACTCCATAGCGTTGTTCTGGAACAATTACAAGGACGAATCCAAGAAGGAAATGGACGCCGCTGTTCGACTGGCACTTGATCTACAAATGTTTCGACAGGAATTTGCAGCCAAGCAAGGCTCGCAAGACGCCGTGTTGACCGAGTGCTGGAGACGGACATGGTGGACGCTGTACATGGTCGATGCCTGTTACGCAGGAACCCTTGGAACCATGAACTTCGCCACTATGGATGTCGTCGCCACTGTCGACTTGCCATGCGAGGAGTGGGAGTATGAAGAAGGGGTGAGTAGTCCACCGCCCAGCGCTGCCTTTCAATCCGATCGCCACCCTTCTTCTTGGCAATGTCAGTGTCGCATTGCTTCAGTACGAATGACTAACAATGATCCTTTGTCTGTATAGCAAATCCCTGAACCCAAGACACTGCAAGATTTCGATTGTCGCGACCTGGCTCCAGAATCAACCTCGTTCTCGTCCTTTGCCTATCTCATTGGTGCCGTACGATGCGCCGCACTGGCAATATCTACAGCACCAAAGGTTGCGACTAGCGAATGCTCCCAACAGATTCTCCAGGCAGCCGATGCGGTCATCAATGGATGGCTTCTTTTATTGCCCAAGGGCCGGAAACAGGTCATGAGCAAAACTGGGGAGTTGGACGAACTCATGTTTCAAGCACACCTCTTGATCCACGTGTAAGTATCTCTCTCAAAACTTGACCCCTGTGCCATTTTCAGTAAGCAGGCTGCCAACCAAAAATGCTGATCCCCCTCCCCCTTTTCAGCGCAACTGTCGGCCTCCACAGACCATTATCCGATTTCAAGTTCAACCCGATAGAATGGATCTCGACTTGTGCCCGAGCTCCGCCCCGCGAAACACCCACGCCAGAACTCATCAATGTGCATACGGTGCGAGTCTTGAAGTCGATAGAAGCACAGATCCGGCTTTTGGCGTTACCGACGACGGAGCAGTTCCACCACAGTCCTTTTACCACCTGCATGGTCAGCGAAGGAACCTTGGCGCTGCTCTCGGGATGCAAGTTCCTGTTCAAAGGAAAAGAACTCGCTGTCGCCAGGGACCAGATTCGTATGACTATTGGGTGTCTCAAGGTACTGGGTGAGATGTGGCCCAGGACGGCAAAGAACGTACAGGAGCTCCAGATCATCGCTCGACACGTTCTTGGGCTGGGGAATCCCCGGGCGACCGAGCCAGACAACAGTGTCCCAGGGTCCAGCGAAGTTCCAAGTCTTTCATCAAGCGACCAGGACCAAACGATGAATGAGGGACCCGATGACGGAGATCCGTTGTCGTCCAACAACAGCGATATCGATATATTTGCTTCCTTGGGCTCTATGGAGGATGTTTGCGGATGGTATAATAACTATTCGAGCGGTTTCGGTCAAGACCCTTCTTGGTGGACAGAGACAAGCCTTTCGTGAGGTAAGTTCTTCCGCGCAGTTGCGGTGTTATATGAGCAAAAGTTGCCTCTTAGGAGGGGATTGAACTAGTAAGCATTCCAGTCGGAGCTCGCTCTTCTAAGTCTTATGACATGTGCACATCATTTGCAAAACCCTTGTCTTTTTGCGCCGTCTTTATTGAGTCTCAAACGTAATCACAACCTTCTTGTTCCGCCCTCTCTGTCTCGCACGCTCCCAAGCCAGTTCTGCCTTTTCGAAGGGGAACGACTCCACCTCCAACGGTTTGATGGCGCCCTCGGCGACCATTTCCAGAGCCTGGCTCAGCCTGTGTGAGTCCGGCCTGACGATAAAATACACATGACGCACTTCTGGATGGCTGACGGACTCTTCAGGTTTGACCTTTGCGTCGAACGCCCATTCTGGGGCCGGATCGCCAACGGTGACGATGGTTCCATTTCTCTTGACGGTTTCCCAGGTCTTGGTCAAGACGTCTCCGCCAACCGTGTCAAAGACCAGGTCGACGTTTCTGATGTTATCTTCCCAGCCGGGAGTGTCGTAGCCGTGCACCTCGTGTACTCCAAACTGTTGTTTCAGACGGTCGTGGTTCTTGGCCGAAGCCAGAGCAATCACCTTGGGAATGGCATTGCCGCCGCCAACTATCGCCAGTTTCTGCGCCAGCTGCACCGCCAACGTCCCGACCGCGCCGGACGCTCCGGTGACGAGGACCGTCATGCCCGCCGCAAGGTTCCCGTGATCCACCATCGCCTGCCAGGCCGTGAGGGCCGGGATGGGTAGCGCGGCGGCGTCGACGTGCGTGATCCCAGGAGGCTTGCGGGAGACCTCGTCGGCAAAGCACACCGTGTATTCCGCTTGACCTTGGCCTTGACTTGTCGTGAGGATGGCGACTACGTCCTGGCCAACCTCCAAAGGACCACTGTACTCGGGACCCAGGGCTTCAATGATGCCCGACACCTCATGACCAGGAATTCGAGACGCCGACTCGTAAACTTCGGGCCAGGTGACCTCGTCACCGGTGACTCCAGCGGCGAGAACTCGAACCAGGATTTCGGCGCCCTTGGGGGTCGGAGTGGCCATGGAATCATTGGTCGTGATTCTAGGGGACGAAGCGTCTCCCAAGATCTGAATGGCTCTCATTGCCCTGAAATTGTGGCTCCTGGAGTATATGTGTCCTGGGTCACTTCTTGGGCCACTTGTGTTTCTGGTTTCACCCAAACCTGACGACTGGTGGTGCAAAAGTTGGACTTTGAAAGGAGGCGAAAGAAGCCGTATTGTATGTGATTCCAGTCTTTATAGTCTCGCATTTCAATCGGAAATTCGTTCAGGCCGTCGTGACCACACTTTCTCCTGCTCACACAAACACCCACCCACCGGTAGGCTATTCGGGGCAGTTCGTTTGGGATATGACTACCCGACCACCCCGAGACGCCAGCCGCCCTTTTGGCTACCCGACCGGTTAGCCATTTCGCATTTCGGGCCCTTCTTTTCTGCATTCTTACCCCGGCAATGCATGTGTTGTTGTGATGCGTTGGGCAGCGGAGTCTATGGGACTTCATCTTGTTCTTCCAAACATTGATAAATACCTCTTATATATACTTAAGGACTCAGAGTGCCCGTCAACACTTACTTCATCCAAAAAAGACCAGACACAGATATCCGACCACACAACCCTCCGGACAGTAAACCAACAATGGACGCTCCACAGACGTCCAAACAAACAAAGTGAGTAATCAAACTTGGGGATGATGATGATCGTCGAAAGAGGACATGAACCGCTGAACCCCCTTTTTTTTGTTTTCTTTTCACCAGGAATCGGCCCCGAGAAACCGTCAAGCTATTGTACGACTACAAGCTCGAGAACGCGCCCGGCAAATCGATCGTCGGGCTCCAAGTCCACCTGCCCCCCGGGGGGTTCACGCCTCCTCACCGACACGGCGGCGCGACCGTCGTGGCCACGGTGACGGACGGCCAGTTCTTGAGCGGCATGAATGGCAACCCACCCGTCGTCTACGGGGTCGGGCAGAGCTTCATGGAGCGGCCCGGGTGCCACCACACGGTGGCGGAGAACAACAGCCAAGAGAAACCCACGTCGTTTACCGCCGTGTTTGTCGTCGACTCCGAGGTCGTGGAGAATGGTTACGCAGGCCTCACTGTGCTGGATGAGGCGTGAATAATACTTGGAGCTATTGAGAAGAGGTCTCGAGGGGAGAAGATTTAGGGGAGGAGGTCTCCAGGGCTAGGGCCACAGCCTTTCTATAGACACGGATGGAGAATCAAATTCTGGCCCAAGTCTATTTAGAAACCTCATGCAATGGCGACTTAGATGCTGCGGTCAGTGTCAGTGTTCGTGTCCGTGTCTGCCTTCTTCTATACGGCTTTCAACCACTTCTTCCCTTCTGCACACGTCCTCCACGACTCACCAAGTGGGTGGGCCGAGCCTAGAGATATATCGAACAGTCCGATCCGATCCGGCCTTGTTTGATGGCTTGGTCCGGCAGCGTGGAGGAGCAACAGGTGGAGATGGCCAGGGTAGCATGAGATCTTTTTGGCGAGTAGTAGTATCATGAAGATGTTAAACTTAGGCGCATTCCCAGCCTTGTTCTTTAACCAGAAGGCTGATATAGGCATACTATGTAGCCTGGGCTCCCCCCATACCGCTTTGACAGCGAACATGGAACATTTCAACCTTTTGACAGAGAAGATGAAGAATCACGAGTGTTGAGCTGGGGTTACGGCGTCTGAATCTAAATCTGGCCTAGAAACCTATAGTAATACCGCAAGGCTGCCAGGGTGTGTGGGGAGGAGCACTCCCGCTCTATCGACAGTTGAGCCTCGTTGAAGCCGGGACAGGCAACACTTCCGAGTTGTTTACTTTCACACCTACATCTTCACCACTTGATCTTGGTCTCTATATTTCTGCCGCACCCTCTACCTCTAGGGCACACAACACCAAAAATATTCATGCTGGCACACAACCCCGAAAATATTCAGGCTGGCTCACCGTCCAAAAAGGCAAAAAGTCAGCGAACAGAGGAGCCCCCTCGTACCTTCCTGGTTGTTGATCAGATGGAAAATTCCTCTTCACCTGATCAGAAGGCCCCTCCCGCCAACCCTAAGTGCAATTGTGACCTACTCGTTTCGAGGAGGAATACCACGACCTGGGTCATACCAGCAGGTCGCGCTCTTATGCGGCTTCGGTCAGTCAATTACGAAGGAAAAATCCGCTACTGTAATATATGACCTGTGAATTATGAGTTGTGAATTACAATATCATGTGACTGGAGAGGAGGAGACGTCTGCCAGTGTAAGTATGTACTTTACTAGGTACTCTACTCCTACTTACCTAGGAGTGCTGTAATGCGGAAGTGTTGCTCGCACGATCATTGTTGCATACACCAAGGATCTGTCAAACTTAGGCATTCCCAGCCTTGTGCTTAACCAGAAGGCCGGTTTAGGCGTACTATACACTATATAGCCTGCTATCCCCTGCGACCCTTTGATAGAGAACATGGAACATTTCAACCTTTGACAGGATCCTGGTACCATGGCCAGTACTATTCCTATTTCAAGAGGGGAATGTCTCAGGGCACACACTTCGACACACACTCGCTCGTCACTTTGACGAATCGCTCTTCCTAGCTAGAATCCATAAAAACTTCACATCAACTGCATCTTCCACCGTCTCTTGCACAACCACCTCCAGTCCTGCCTCTCTCACCTTCTCCATCGTCCCTTGGCTCCCCCAGCCACTCCAAAACATCCACCCCTTTTCTTCCTCCAGCCAGTTCTGCACCTCCCTTTCCGGTAACTCTTCCGCCGCGAAGTTTGCCAGCAGCCACCCGCCCGGTTTCAACCACGCCACGATCTTGCTCAGCATGTCGACTTGCTCAGAGCGCGGGAGGTGGATGATCGAGTACATGCCGACGACGGCGTCGAAGGTCGCCGGCGTGAAGTCGAGGGCGAGCATGTCGCCCTCGAGCAGCGTGAGCTGGCCGTGACCGGGGCCCGGTGGGTCGGGCAGCAGTCTGGCGCGGGCGAGCGCGAGCTGGGCGCTGGAGATGTCGTTGGCAGTGACAGAGAAATTGGGGTGGGAGAGCAGCTCCTGGGTGACGGGGACGCCATAGCCGCAACCGAGCTCCAGCACGGAGACGGGGACGGTGGTGGTGATAGGTAGGCGGCCGAGCAGCTGGTTCAGGTAGTGGAGGCGCGTGGTCGAGTGCGGGATTGTCCATTCGTTGTATCTCGGGGCGATTGCATCGTAGGAGGCTTTCATGCGGGATTTGAGGTCAGTAGGGGGATCATTTGTGTTTGTGTTCAGAGGTTGAAGGTCGAGCGGTGGAACGGTTTGCTCGGCCATTGCAATGGGATACTACTAAGGGCTGTCTATGGGCGTTGGAAAGGTGTGCAGAATTCAAATTCAGATTGTCAGAATGAATATCTCTAAAGGTATGCTCAACTTAGGTAAGTACTTCCGGTGTTCGAATGTGAGTCACCGGTATTGAGCACTCCATACACACGATCGACAGTGCGGGTTGTCATCAATGGCGACATGCAGGGTAGACTGGAGACCACACCAAAGGCCGGCTTTGACCTGTACATAGGACTTACCTGAGGCCAATGCGTCGAAGATGCACGAAGACCACTGGTGAATCTGAGTTATGTACGGAGTACAGCAACTTGAAAGCCTGTCTCCAACCGATCCAAGGTGGAATTATGTCTTAATCACAGGGGGTTGAGGTGGAGGGTTGAGTCCTGGGCAACAGTGTTTAAAGCGGCGTGGTCGGGGTTACTACTCCGGAGTGCGTAGGGCCGGGGCGCAGTGAGCGTCTACGGCCACGGCAGGTCGCCAAGGAGTTTCTGCACGTGACCGTCTTCTTCCTCCTCCAGCAAAGTTTCTAGGCTTCGGCCACGCGACTGAACCGCGCGTGAAGTCCATTTGAAACACAACTCGACCAACTTCAACCTCAAGTGGTTGCAATCGCTGAAACCACCGCCCAAGGCAGGCTTCTACGGTTCCGACGCCGACACCCATGAATCGAGAAAACTATGGCTGATACCTTGATGGCCGATGGGCCAGCAGCCGCACCCGATTCATCTGCCCCATTCTCCCTGCGACCCCGTTTCAAGATCTCTGACCTTCCACTTGTCAAAGAACAACGGTCCACGATCGATGCACTCCTCCTCAAGTTCAAGAAGCAGGGCGGCTACGACTATCTTCGAAAGCAAGTTTGGGCTTCGTTGAATACTCCTGAGGCCAGGGGCGCCCTCACCGAGCAGATCCATGCCATTGCACACGCAGAGATCGAGAAAGACCCAAAACTGCTGAGTCGGGAACGCGGTAAAGCAGCGACATTGATCCAGGGTGCCGTGGATCGAAGCGACATCTACCAAAATGTGGAATCAAGAATTGACACCGAGCTGGCCAAGCACTCGACTCCTATGCTGTCTGCAGTGCGTGACATCCGCAGGGCTGATGTTGGGCCTGAAATGGCGGAGGAAGAGGAAAAACGCGGCAGTAAAACGGACGACCAATACCAAGCAGAGACCGAAAACCGGGCTTCTGAAAGAGAAAGGAATCGGGCCCGAATGGAACAGTTGCTCCGTGAAACTGCAGAACTGAAAGCTAAGATCAAACAAGAAGAGGAGAGGAAACGCAAGAAGGAGGAAGCCAAGCGGGAGGAAGAAGAGCGAAAGAAGCGCGAGGCCGAGGAGGAAGAAAAGAAAGCCGCCCGAGCTAAGCAACGAGAGGAGGAGGAACAGCGAGAAGCCGAGAGAATAAAGGCAAGGGACGAAAGACACAAAAAGCGTGAGGAAGAACGACGAGAAAGGGAAGCCCGTTATGAGAATGAACGCGACCGAGAGAGAGACCGCGATCGCGAACGTATTCGTGAGCGAGACCGTGAACGAGAGCGCGACCGAACCCATGGGCGGGAACGGGATCGTGACCGGGATCGAGATCGAGAGCGCAGGAGAAGCACTGAGCGGAGAGGATCTCGAGCAGAGTCACTTCTCGCCAAAGACCTGCCTACTGATGAGAAGGACTTGGAAGCAACGGCCCTCGAACTACTTTTGAACGAAGGCAAACAGCTGGCCGAAAAGTCCAGGCAAAGACCCGAGTTCGATTTTGAAAGATCCAAAGTACATGACAGTTCTCGAAGATACGCTGGATCGGATCGCTACTCAAGACGACGAGACCGATCTCGAGATAGTTACAGACATGATCATGACCGTCGAAGCCGATCTCGCGATCGACGAGGGTCTATACAAGAGAAGGAGAAGGACACGGAGAAGCCAAAGGAAAGGGCGAAGGAGAAGCCGGTCGAGAAGTCGGTCGAGAAGCCATTGGAGAATCTAAAGGAGATTCCAAAAGAGAAACCCAAAGAGAAGCCCGCGGAGAAGGCGAAAGAAAAGGAAACGATTGCCACTCCTCGCCCGCGAACCCCCAGCAAGGACCGTGAAGAAGGTGAAGCACGGAGTCACCGGGACTCGGCATCACCGGTTGTCGATAAAGCGATTATCGACAAAGCCGCCCTAGCCAGAGACAGAAGACCTCGGTCAGCTTCACCTTTGAACATTGACCGTTATGTCCCTGGAGGCGGGTTCCATCGTACCGATGAGGAGCGTGAGCGGGCCCGGGAACGGCGCCGGGCTAGAGAATTAGAGAGAGGAGTAGAGCGCGAGCCGAGGAGGAAGTATGACAGCCATCGCACAGACAATACAGACCGTGATCGCGAGCGAGAGCGGGACAGAGAGCGTGATCGGGACCCTGACCGGAAAGATCGCGATCGAGACCTCGATCGAGAGCGGGAGAGAGACAAAGAACGCGACAGAGAGCATCGATATCGAGAGAGGGATCGGAGTCGGGAGAGAGATCGCGGTCATGACCGTGACCGCGACCGGGACCGGGATCGTGACCGGGATCGTGACCGGGATCGTGACCGCGACCGCGACCGTGACCGTGACCGTGACCGTGACCGAGACCGTGACCGTGACCGTGACCGAGACCGTGACCGTGGTCGCGACAGAGATCAAAGCAGAACACGAGGCCGAGACCGAAGCCGAGAACGGGACAGAGATCGCGACCGAGACCGAAGCAGAGAGCGCGAGAGGGACCGGGATCGAAGAGATCGCAGTCCCCGACGTCGTGAGGAACGGAGAGACGAGAGAAAGGACGAACGTCGGGACGATAGGCGAGACGACCGCAGGGATGACAGAAGAGAGAGTCGACGGGACAGAGATCGCAGTGACGTTCGCCGAGACCGCGACCCTGTTCCGATTGATCGGTACGTTCCAGGACGATGATCAACTACATCGAGTTCATCCGGCCGTCAATGCTCGCGCAGGCACCGGCCGTCCCATGAAAGCCGGCAGAGGCAGCAGGGGCAGTTGGTTCGGTTGACTCTGGAGATGGAGGTTTATCTTATCCGAGTGTTTTCTGAAATTGAAATCCGCGTTCGACCTCGGTCTTAGATCTGGAGACAAGCCCTCGATGATGGCACGTTCCAGCAACAAAATACTGCGCAAGTTGTCGCCTTGCTTTGTCCATATGGAGATATGGGTGAAGTACAGTCGGGGGGAGAAAGACATGCCGAGGATATGATCGTGTTCTGTGAGGGTCAGTCCTGATGAAGTGATCAAGGCTTCGAGTCCGAGATAGATACCTGGTGCGATGGCGGCTTGCAGCTCCCCACCACAGCAAAGGATGCACACCTCTTCCCACATTCTGACGGCTCGATTGTTCTCGGGACGCACCCGGATCAGCCAACGGCCACCGTTTTGGTTCTCGGCGTCCTCCCACAGCGGCTTCACTCCGGCGCGAAAAATATGCAGACTGTCCTTTTGTTTGAGATCGTTCCATGGCACGTTGTTGAAAATGCGGTAGAAAGCTCCAATGTCGGCGACGTCCTCCACCAGTGTTTTCAGCAGGTATTCGTCCTTGTCGTCTGGTTTCGAATGCCAGAGCGACCAGCGATATTGAAAAGGAAGTGGCCGGAGCTTGGTGATGACTACTCGGTGGAGGGATGATGAGCGACGAGGCGGAGACGGTCTAGCCGCGACGGTGACGCTGGAGACAACGGGAGCAGAAGATCGATCAGATACCATTGTCCCCGTCCCCGTGCTGGTCCAGGACATGGTGGTAGATTAGATGGTCAACAAGCAGTCAACTGGAGGGAGTCGTGCCCACGTCGATGGAGGGGTTGCCGTTGTAATATACGAAGCACTGGGAACCTGGAAGATATGTACGGAGGACAGTAAGTTTAAGTTTAGGAATGGAAACAAGAGCGGGCCAGTAGACGAACCGCCGGTGCTCTTCTCTCATCACTCACTCATCATCTAACTACTTATGTAGGTAGCACGTAGTGATCAGTCGGGATCAGTCGGCTGACCGGATACGCCATCTCAAAGATCAATGCAGTCGTCATCGTGGTCGCATTGTCGACCGGTTACGCGCCCAGGGCAGCATGACGAGTGGGATGATGTGAAACGCGGCTGTGGGCTGTGGGCTGTACTGTATATAGTATCTAGGTGGTGTAGATACCTCTGAAGTGTGCGTGGTACGTACAATTCGACGTGCCATTTACGCGCCCGGGTGGAGCGACAGGCTGAAACGCAACACCACTCAGAATCACCACTCACCATACATCACACACCTGACAGTGTACACCACACACACGAAGCGGCTGGCTGGAGCTGGATCATCGTGATATGGCCCGCCTTCACACTGGGGTGTGCGGAGAGCGAGGGTAGCCATCCCATTCATTCGTCGATACTGGACTGAGTACTGAGTTCTGGACTATTTGTTTTACACTGGTAGGTGACTGGCACTTGATGATGCCCAATCCAATCCAATCCAGTCCAATCCAATCTAGTCCAATCCAGTCCTACTGTACGTCTCTTCAGGGCGGGCGTGGCCACTTGAACATCATACATCATACATGACTTGAAGAGCAAGAGAAACAACTTGGTCCCGCCATCGGCCTGGTCTGGTTTGGTCTGTCTGGTTTGGTCTGTCTTGTCTGGTCTGTCTTGTCTGGTCTGTCTGGTTTGTTCTGTCTGGTTTGGTCTGTCTTGCTACGCTGCTCTGTGCTGGGCTTGCCAACATCAACCTCAACTTCACCAACTTCACCAACTTCACCACCTCTCTTGGCGACCACAGTCTCATACTCGTACAGGTAACATGATACATTAAAGTGCCAGAATTCCTCTCAACAATTCCAGACCTATTGGCCTAGTGGTCAAGCACACTGTGTTAGTCAGTTGCTTGACCACTAAGTCACTAGGTCTGGAATTGGAGGGGGCTCGACTAACCGAGTTTCTAAGGCGTTTCTGTCCCGGTTTTAAATCCTCTCTTCGAGGACCAGTTGATCAGAGCGACTAATTAACGACAAATACTTAGCCCCCCCCCTTGCAAAAAAAAAAAATGATTTGATTCTAGTTTTCACCTCTCTAATCAGCTCTTCGGGACTGGTTAGGGAAGTGTTTTTGTCTCTGATCAGTTCTTCAGGCTGGTCAGGGAAGTTTATTTGTCTCTAATCAGTTCTTCACGCTGGTTAGGGAAGTGTTTTTGTTCCCTGGAATACCTGTGTTATGGGACTGGGACTTGCAGAAGGCACCGGCAACACTTGGTGGACCGGGTGCCCTTGCCCTTGCCCTTGCCCTTGCCCTTCCCCTTCCTTGCCCACGCCCGAGGTTTCTTTTCTAAACTGGAAACGAATCGATCGATGATCTGGCTCTAGACGACTTCATTGATCGATGCTCTGCCTCTAGACGATTCGATATCGTCTGCTCCTGCTGCGTGCGAGACGCGTGTACTCTATAAGGTACGTGGTAGCACACGTGGTAGACATCTCTGCATCCGTTGGATGACGGGTTCAGGTTCAGATTCGGGATCAGGTACAGGTTCAGGCTCGTGTTCTTGTTCTTGTTCTTGTTCTTGTTCAGGTTCGCTGGTAACCTGTAACCTGACCATGTTTAGAATGGAACGGGATAATTTCACTTTTGTACAGGTCCAGGCGCGAGTGCAAAGAACACGTCAATGCGACATGGGGAACAAGGGCAGTCCCGCATTACAACCGGACCACCTTGACCTGTTGATACCTCCTTGTTCTGACTGTAGGCCGCAGAGCGCGTCATTCTGGGGTGGCATACCTATGTACGCAAAACTGAGACTGGCACTGGTGGGAGTGGCTGCCGACTTCAACTTCGGAAAAGGATGAATTCTAGCGGAGGTGATCAGAGATGACAGATTTTAGATTCCAAGCTTTCGAATCGCCGGCATTGTAGGATTTGTAGCATCCTTGTCTTAGTTTGGAATCTCACTATCTTTTTCGATTGTGAATATGCCAACATAACTTCATCCTAGGTAGTAAGGCAAATGACAAATGGCAAAGGGCAAAGGCATCCACCGGCAGACGAGGCTGAGGTGCCAAGCCTAACCTCGCCAGAATTTTTGTCAGACGAAATATAGATGAGGATGAGCGTCACGGTGTGATGCTCGACCGACCACCACGTTTAGGCATTTCCCGTGCATTCAGTTTATTTTCATTTGATATACATCATTAATATCCGAGGACGGAGATTGGATGCCCTGCATTAGGCCTTTCTTGTACGCATCTTAGATGAACAGTCACAGTCGGTAGACGATCGTTCCGAAACATGTCAATGTCGAGACACGGCGAAGAACCACCTCTGAAGCGACGCAATCTTTCTCCCAGAGCGGATGCAGCCGAGTCTGGAAGGGAGACAGTTCAGACGGCTGGACATAGTGGAAACGAAGACGATCAGGATGTATCGGAGTCCTCAGAAACATCCTCGTCTGAAGCTGAAGATGACTCGCGATTTCATCGACGACCACAACACCATCATGACAGGTCAACAGCGAGAAGTGATCTGGATCATGAGGACGAGGAAGAAGAAAGCACATCGTCTTCTGGAAGCGACGACTCGGACGAAGAGGAGCAACTAGACAGAGACAGTGAAGAAGACGAGACTGACGATCCAGCCCTCTCGACTGCCGCTGCCGCTTCTCACCTGCCGACGATACGACCACGATCCTCTGGAGAAACATCAGATTTAAAGTCTCGGCTGCAAAATTTCCTGCCCCAACTACGTAAAGCAAATGCCGAGCTGGAGACCTCATCTGACATTACGGAGAGAAGAGTCGACTACGTGGCAGACGATGCTGAACAGTACATCGAGATGGACCTGGGGTTGGGCGTGCTGAGTGAACAGCGGCCGGGGGAAGATGGCGAAGTGAGGCTGAAGCTGGCCCATTCAAGTACGGATGAAGAGGATGGAGACTCCAGCAGCGAAGAAGGAGAAGAACAGCCGGGGGGAGACGCGGTCGAAGGTATTCTGGCTCGACTGAAAGGCGAAAAGGTGCGTCGAGGGTCGAAGAGGAAGGTTGAGGAGTTGGGTTGAGATTGCCGAGCGTCTTCCACCGAGAGCATTGTTATTAGAGCACACGGCTCTTCATGATCTGATATGCAGCACAGCACAGCACAGCACAGCATGCAAATGGACAAATCCAGCTCTACTCGGTACCTCGCTGGGAAATCGACGAGGCTGCAGGGGCACGTCACGTGTAACTCCAGGCGCTGGACGTCATTGTTTGGATCTAACCCAAAACGTCCGGCGACCCCCCAAAACTGCCCAACTGCGAACTGCGCTCCTCTGGCCTGCGCAACAATCAGTCCGCAAGATGGTCCTGGCGTAGCTTGTAGCTTATCGCGCACTCCCCCTGACTCTGATCTTCGTCGCGGGTTATTTCATGTACATCTCCTTGCGCCATCGCTACTGTCTTGTCCTCGAAGAGTGTATGCAGCTTTTGGACCAGGCTACAGACATGGTGCCGCCCGCCAGAACCATCACCAACACCCACGACACTCGGACCAAGACTCCGACCCCTTCATCCGCCTCCAGCCCATCTTTGAGATCAAGGACGCCTGTCAGTGTGCCCATGGCACCCTCAAACGGCAATATGAACCCAGCAGGAAACGTCAAGGTCGTGGTCAGAGTTAGGGGGTTTCTTCCACGAGGTGATTTTTACTGCAGCTCAGCCGTTTGGGCAACGAGACGAGACACTGGCTGACGGAGTATCTCAGAAATCGAGAGAGGAGCTCAATGTTTGATCGAGATGAACCCGCAGACGCAATCAACGAGACTTCTCCCTCCGCCTTCGAGCGATCCTGCCAACGCCCGAGCTCAGACTCGAAAGGTCCTGGAGGAGAAAACGTTCACCTTCGACAATTCGTTCTGGTCTCACAGCACAGAGGACAAGCATTATGCCACACAAGAGGACGTCTACAACTGTCTGGGAGAAGAGTTCTTGGACCACAACTTTGAGGGCTACCACACCTGCATTTTCGCCTACGGCCAAACTGGCTCGGGCAAGAGCTACACCATGATGGGCACCCCCGATCAGCCTGGGTTGATCCCACGCACTTGCGAAGACCTTTTTCAGCGGATCGAGTCGAACGAGAGCGCCAATATCAGCTACAGTGTCCGCGTCTCATACTTTGAGGTCTACAATGAGCACGTCCGCGATCTATTCCAGCCGCGGACAGACCCTCCCCAGTATCTCAAAATCAGAGAGTCGCCGATAGAAGGCCCGTACGTCAAGGACTTGACAGAGATCCAAGTCAAGAATTACGTCGAGATTCTCAAGTATATGCGGATGGGCGACAACTCAAGAACGACGGCCTCGACCAAAATGAACGATACTTCCTCGCGTTCCCACGCCGTCTTCACCATCATGCTGAAGCAGATCCACCACGACTACCGCACCGACGAGACCACCGAAAGACTGGCCCGAATCCGATTAGTTGATCTGGCGGGCTCTGAACGTGCAAAAGCAACCGAAGCGACGGGCCAGAGGCTGAGAGAAGGGGGAAACATCAACAAATCTCTGACAACGCTTGGAAGGGTGATTGCTGCACTGGCCGACCCCAAACATGCCCGAGTACACAATTCCAAACGGTCAACCCGCGACATTGTCCCATATCGTGACTCGATCCTCACCTGGTTGTTGAAAGACTCGCTGGGTGGAAACTCCAAGACCGCCATGATTGCGTGCATTGCACCGGCCGACTATGATGAGACATTGTCGACTCTCCGCTACGCCGACCAGGCCAAGCACATCCGCACAAAGGCCATTGTCAACCAGGATCATGTTTCGTCCGCCGAGAAGGATGCTCAGATCGCCGAAATGCAAGACACCATCCGTACTTTACGATGGACTCTGAGCCAGCAACAACAGAATGGCAGTGTCTCGGTCATCAGAGCCGTTCAAGAAAGTGCCGAAGTTCAATCGGAGAAGATTCGCGAATTCACCACCAAGTACGAGAATATGCTGCAGATTATGGAAGAGAAACTTGCCATTTCAGAGTCGAAAGTTCGCCAGCTCGAAGAAGAAAAGGAAGCCCTGAGCATCCACCTGAAGCTGGTGCTTGAAGAACTCAAGAACCCCATCGTCATTAATAAGGAGGAGAGCGTGTCACCGGATACGCGGTCGAGAGCAGCAACGCCAGACATGATCTACGAAGACGACACTGCTTCGGGTGACGAGGTCGACACAGACTCGGATTATGACGATGAAGCAGCGGACATGCAGGAGGAGATGGAGGCGCTAATATCCGACCTGGCCATGTTCAAGAAGAAGCTGGCAGCCGACCACGAGATGCTTGGTCTGAGCGTCACGGCATGATTGCGGTGTAGACGGAAGACAGGGACGGGTTCAGCTGTGCTGGAGAAGAAGGATGTTTGGATCTTCAGAAGGGGGAGTTTGACGACTGTGAATGATTGAATACCAAGGTAGCGAGGCGTTCGGGTGTACCCTATCCAGACTTGATAATCGTAGCAGGAGAATAGCAGATTGGGAGACAAAGCCTATCATCCCCAGCGGTCTGTAATAAACGTTGGACACCATTCATATATTCATATGCTAATACCCCAAAGCAGGTGGCAGCCTCGTGCCCGACCGATTATGTAGTAAGCAATTATGTAATCCCCAGAGCCAGCCTTGCGACCTTGGCGCAGATTGATGTGACGGGCCGCCAAAAATGTTCCACCTGCCACTCTCTGGCTGCTCTGCTCTCCCACTCAGAGTTGGACAAGTGCGATAGAATAGAGATGACTCAGTCATCTTCCTTACTTCCTCTGCTTCACCTGCATTCTCAATCCCCTCATCTAGCGACTTCTCTCCTGTAACGTCTACGTCCCTCGTTGACTCATCGATCTCGGACCGGGCAGTCTGCCAGCCATGACTGATTTGAATTCCTCAAACCCCTCCGGAGGAAGTGCGTCCCTCAACCCAACAGCCACCTCCTTCACTATGCCACCCTCGGATGGAGTACCCGTGACGAACGGGACTACTCAGCCATCCGGAGATGTTCCTTCGAAAGAGTCCAAGAAATCAAAACCGCGGCCAGACGGCTCTGCGCGAACGGCGACGGAGCAAGACATTGCAGAAGCCGGCGCCGGAGTCAAATTGACAGGGGCGCTCTTGAAGAAACAAAAGGCTGCGGAAAAGGCAGCCAGGAGAGCGGAAAAGGTGGCTGAAAAGGGAGCGCACGCACAGCAACAGGCGCAGACGCAGACGCAGACGCAGGCTGGACCGTCAGGCACGAAACTAGAGACTCCTAGACGGCCGTCGACGACCAAGAGAGAGAGCGACACCGTTCCTCATCACAGAAGGACACCTTCGTCCGGTGCAAGACAGCTGCCGATTCGTGGGGCTGCTCAACCGCAACCGCAACCCCAGGCCTCTGCACCTCATGAAAAGGAGAAGCGCCACGAGCTCAATCGCGTTCCCATGTTCTCACATCTCTACCCGAAAGAAAAGAGGGCCACTCTTGCAGGAGCCGGAAGGGAAATCCACCCCGCCGTCATTGCACTCGGTCTGCAGCTACGAGACTACGTGATATGCGGCGGGAATGCTCGCTGCGTGGCTACGCTGCTTGCTTTCAAAATGGTCATAAAGACGTACACGACTCCGCCCGCTGTCGCTCTTTCAAGACACTTGCTCACCCATCTCAACCATCAAATCGCATACCTACGCAACGCTCGACCTCTGAGCACCAGCCAAGGCAACAGTATCCGATGGCTGAAGAACCTCATTTCCACCCAGCCTGTCGAATCCACCGACAGCGAAGCCAAGCAAAGCCTGTGCGAGGCCATCGACTTGTACATTCGCGAGCGAATCACGCTGGCGGACGAAGTCATTGCGCGCGAGGCCACCGAGCGCATTGAGGACGGCGACGTCGTACTCACCTACGCCAAGAGCAGCATCGTGGAGAAAACGCTCATCAACGCGCACCGGCAGGGCAAGAAATTCAGAGTCATCGTCATCGATTCACGGCCCATGTTCGAGGGGAAGAACCACGCGAGAAGCCTCATCCGCGCAGGTCTAAAAGTGCAATACGCCCTGCTCACCGCAATCGCGGACATTGTGGACCAGGAATCTGTGACCAAATGCTTCCTCGGGGCATCGGCTATGCTGGGAAATGGGAAGCTCCTGTCCCGCGCCGGATCCGCCATGGTTGCAATGATGGTCAAGGAGTGTTCAAGGAACAAGAGTCGAAATGTCCCTGTCATTGTACTGTGCGAAACGGTCAAGTTCAGTGCCAAGGCTGTGTTGGACAGCATCATCCTAAACGAGTTGGGTGATGCCGATGCTTTGGTCGATTCGGCCCAATCCGGGGTGTTTTCTACGAACCCATCTCTTGCCGCTGCCACTGCTGCACCGTCCAAAGGTGGCAGTAAGAAATCCGGCGCCAAGGACAAGGATGAGGACGATTCCGACGACAAAGGGGCTGGCTCAAACAAAGGTCTAGAAGAGTGGAAGGATCAGCCAGGACTGTTTCTGTTGAATATCATGTACGATGTTACACCTGCCGAGTTTCTCGATCTCGTGATATGTGAGCTTGGAAGTCTACCGCCCGAGGCGGTCCCTGTGGTTAATGGCGTGCATGGAGACGACCAGGCGCTGGCATGAACGGCGACATGGACCGGACATGGGCATGGAAATGCAAATGGAATTGTGGACGACGCTTTCAAAGAGATCCTAGTTGAGATGATTCGCGGGTGATCTGTATCCTGTGGTATACATGCTCAGTGGTAGAGCATTGTCCTCAGGTGGTTCTTTTTTACAGCTTGAGCATGAGCATCTGACAAGAGATATGCATTCGTCACGAGCGAGATGAGGTTGAGGTTGAGGTTGAGGTTGAGGTCAACCGGGCTATTCGTATTTTGTAGAGTACGATGGGCATGTTCAGTGATGATGAACGCGGTGGGTTACTAGAGCGTGTGTGGCGGCGAGTGTCGCTTCTCTGGGTCGATTCGACTCGATTCGAGACACGGCACAGATAAGCAATTAATTGTTTACAACCAAAAAAGAGAAGTAGTCCAGTTAATCAAGAGTGTAAAGTGCCAAACCAAAAAAAGAGAAGTAGCCCAGCCAGTCAAGAGTGCAAAATGCAGCGTTGTTTCTTTTTTAGGGGGTTCTCCATTCCCTTTTAAAGTCGGGTAAAATCCGAGCCGTACTATAGCAGAGAGCTTTCCTCTTTCATAGAGTACGATGGACATGTTCAGTGATGGACTCAGCGGGTTCCTAGAGCATGTATGGCGGCGAGTGTCGCTTCTCTGGTTTGATTCGACACACGGCACAGATAAGCCAGAAAAAAAGAGAAGTAGCCCAGTCATTCAAGAGTGCAAAGTGCAGCATTGTTTCTTTTTTGGGGGGTTTCATTTCCTTCTAAAGTCGGGTGGAATCCGAGCCGTACCGTAGCAGAGAGCAGAGAGCTTTCTCAACGACGGGAAAGCTAAACGAAACGTTCTAGGTCGTCATCCTTTGCATTCGAGATGGCCATTTCCATCACCATCACCGTCGCCATCGCTCCAGCTTTTCGTTCTCTTCGCCCCTCAATCAATCAGACCGGCACCGACACATCCTCCCCCATGGAATGACAGTTGGCAGTAGAGCGAGGGGTCAACGCAGCAGCGACCTGACGGTTCCGTCACCCTCTCGTGTGCGTCGGGTCGCAAATCAATGTCAAGTCAACTCCTTCCCTTCCCATCTCTCGCACTCTTCCTAACCACCAAACCAAACCAAACCACAAACGAGCCGTCCGTCCGTCTCTCCATCTACGATACAGTTGCTGGTGTTGACTTGACTGCACGATCGATTTCTGTAGATAGATGGATTGATGGATGGATGGAAGGATGGAAGGATGGATGGTTGGATGGATTTATCGGTGCTGTTGAGAAAACGATGTTAGCAAACCACTATCGTCGGCCGGTGGCCAATTTGGATTTGGATTTGGAATTGTCTCGGCTGGCATCTGTGCATAGTCGCCAATTTGGAATTATCTCCGTCTCTTTCTGTGCATGTAGATCCCAACCGAGTCGTCCTTCTGTGCATGTAGATCCCAAGCATGTGGTGCAGGAGTAGGGGGGGACGGCTGCCCATACCTTGATGAATCCAATGTCCTGGCTCTTCTCCCGGAAGCACTGACGGCAGATGTTCAGGCCATATTTGCGGATCAGACCGGCTTTGTGTGTGCAGACGCGGCTGTTGAGTTGACGTTAGCGGAATTCTTCTCTTCGGTTCCAACACCAAACGCATCCAATGACACGACATGACAGGACAAGACAAGACAACTATGGTAATTGTGGTGTAGTGTAGTGTAGGGGAGAATCCCTTCTCTTTTCTCCAGAGAACGAGTCCAATAACCAATTATGTGCGTATTAATCCCTCCTCTTCTCTTCCTTTTTTCACCTCTCTCTCTTCGTATGATCAAGGGCTGTTCTAATTCGTACTCGTCTCTCAAGGTGCTCTTTCTCTCTCTTTCAAAGGAAAACGCGGGGAGAAACGTACCAGCCACGGGCTCCCTTGCCGAAGCTTCGCGGGCGCGAGTACCAAACGCTCTCGTGAGACATGATTGCGGTGCGGTGCAAAAGTTGCAGTTGTAGGGTTGCGCGAAGAGCTTTTCTGCGGACTGCCGAACAAGTCAGTGGGTTTGCTCACTCAGGCCGGTCTGTCTATCTGTCGAGAGGAAACCGAGTATGGTATGATATGAGAGTGTGTACATTGTTGGACTTACTTCCCAAGGAGCGGTTGCGCGAGACTGTGTCTGTCGGGGTGGTCGAGGTTCGTTTGCAATTCTACCGTCGCGGAGCTGGCTTGAAGTCCCAAGTCTGCGATTCGAGAATGTGGGCTTGGAGCGCCAAGAATTACATTCACTTTCACATTCACGTGATGTGCGGGCACTAATCTGATCGTGGAGCCTTGTCATGTGACTGATTGATAATTTGGTGTGACAGCACGCGCTTTATTGCCTTGCCAAGACTTATAAAGACGTCGAAGTGCTTCGACGCGCTAACGAGGCGTGTTATTAGTCCAGCAGACTTCTGTTGAACCAAGCCTTTGATCTAGCTAGACTGATATATACAGCACCTCCTAGACACTAGAGATCCGCTGGCTTCATGACTGTGCTGAGCGGAACACCCCTCGAGTCCCGTTCACCCATGCTTTTCATCAGCTTATTTCCACGGATTGCCTCACCGAGTGCTTGTCGCCCTGGCCCACCTGCTCCTCGCAGCCCTGAGTGAGTTGAAATTCACCGCCGCCCACGTCCACCACCTCTTGAGCATCTACTTCGACCAACGGACCGGTATAGTATTTGCGACCCCCAGCATACCATAAGGAGGTCGACGCAACAGCGATCAGAGCGACGTACGCAATAGCGTAATTCATGTTCGCACTGGTGTCTGGTCGATAGTCGGGGAAGATGAAGATGATGCTCACGAACAAAGTCCACAAGCACGCCCAAGCATTCACCAATTTCGAAACCATTGGCTGGCCCATCGACCATGGCCCCGGCTCAAATTTGCCGAATATAAGTTTACAGGCGATAGGGATGCAGTAAGACCAATCAAAGGCGATTGCGCAGACGTTGAAGACCCCGGAAATCGCAGTGTAAGATCCCAATGCAATGAGATTAATGGCGATAATCCAGAAGATGCAAATCCAAACGGCGTATAGAGGTGTGTTCGTACGCTTATTGATCTGGATCCAGGTAGTTGAGAAAGGTAGGAGTCGGTCGCGAGAAAAGGCGAAGACCGAGCGACCGAGCGCCTGGGTGGCGGTAAAACAGACAAATTGCAGAACAAGGAATGCGGCAATGGTAAAGAAAATACCACCGCCTTTTCCGAGGGAGTTATAGTATATCTGAGCCACGGGCTGTTCGATCGGAGAGGCGAGGATACTGTCGATATCGCCCATACATAGGCAGAGAACGATAGTGAATAGCCAGCCGAGGATATAGGTACAGCTCATGGCGAGGAAGATGGCTCTAGGGGCCAGGATTGCGGGATCTTTGATTCTAGGAGGCTTATGTTAGTAGTTTGATAATTAGAAGATTATCAAGCAAAACTCACTCTTCGCTAATATGAGCCGTCGAATCATATCCTGTCATAGTCCAGGATACGGACAAAAAGCCGAGCAGAAAAGAAAATCCTGGAGTCCAGCCAGACTCGGCATCGACGTTCGTAAACACGTAGCTGGCGTTATGTTTATGCTCTGTCTTTACAAGAAGTGCGATAGCGCACGCAAGTAACAGCGAAAAGTGAGCAATCACGTAAGTGCTGGTTAGTCTCTCTATCCACGAGGTAGGCAGCGAATTAACGATACCACTCAGGACAGTAAGAGCGGCCATAACTCCTACCGTCGTGCCCGTGGTGGGATACCAGTCAAAGTCTCGGCCCATAGACACGGCGGCAAGGAGGATTTGTGCAGCGCCGTACTCGGACGAAGCCAGCCCAGTGAGTTGGCCTAACAGATTCGTCCAGCCCACCAGCCAGCTGATAGACGGAACCCATCTCTGAGGAGCCAGTCGAGATACGCTGTAGTATAGGCCTCCGCAGGTCGGGTAAGCAGACACAATTTCGGCGACCGAGGCTGCAATACACATGCAACCTGCGCCGGAGATCAGCCAGCACCAAACGGCGGATGCTGAGCCACCAGCGTATAGCGGGTAGACAAAGGTCGTCGTGACGGTGGAGAAGAGTCCAGAGATGCTGACAGCGAACGAGAAGGTGGAAAGAAAGCCGAACTGGCGCTGGAAGACCTTGGTCGAGCAAGCTTACATTAGCACTGTCCTGCACCGTGTCGGGAATTCTACACACAGACAGAGGGGGAGATAGGGATTTCAGACGGGGGTGGCGAGCGACATTCATCCAATGCCGAAAGTCGGGGCGAGGGGTAACCTACAGGTTTGTATCCAAACTGTGTCGCAAGAGTTCGATCGGCCGCGTTGAGATGTATACGATGCTCGGTGTTGTTCACACTCAGACGACCGTCGATGGCTTCGGCAGACGCAGCAGATGAAGTTGTTCGTCCGTGGAGATCCATGTCTACTTCACCAGGTACTCTTGGCGATTTCAAATTCAGGTAGACAGTCTTTAACGCAAAGAGAGGCAATGATCTCGCAAGGGTGGAGGTCGTTTAATAGTCCTTATGCAGTTCGGGTCAGAGAGCATTGCTATGGTGGGAAGGTAAGCAAGCCGGCGCTTTAAAGGAGCTCGCTTATCCACGACAAGACAGAATCCTGTGTGAAGAAGCCTTGTAAGTCGGTCCCAATCTGTCAAAGCTACTACGGACATCTGCGGATCGAGTCATCTTATCTTTCTCCTACCAATACCTCTAGATTCTTTCTAGGTTGACGGACCACTCTGCGAATAGTGGCACATTGCGGACTAGTCTCCTGTCGGCGACCTTTCGAGGATCAACGTAAACAGAAGAAAGCTTCCTTGTAGATCCATATGTTTCGTGGATATCGAAGCACGAAACCCCGAGGATAGAATAAATCATTGAGAGGAGTCAAGAACCAGGACGTTTTCTTAGGAAAGCGAATGCTATCACCGTAAGGCTCGTCTAGTCCCGAAACGGTAATTTTGTCCCTCTAGCGTTGAAACTCGCGACCCGCAATATCTCTTTCTCCTATCCATGAGCGCGCTCTTCTTTCTTGCTGCGTCATTCGGATAGAGATAGATAGAGGGGTGACTAGAGCTCACTTGCTGAGAGACCCGAAGCGTGAGAACGCCATGGTAGTGACATAACCGACATACTATGTGCCACCGGGCGCATCGGACGACCAAGCTCGTCCCCCAATTACAGTTACCGAATGTTGTACTCCTGAAAGGGCAGATGAACCGCTGACGATGGGCTATTGCTGTCTATTGTAGCGAATAATCTAGAAGACTACCATTCTGTGGCAGCTTTCATGCCTTCCTGGTCGCATGCGACACGGCAGAATGCTTCCTCGGCATCGGTACACTCCGAAGTCATTCCTTCTCCTCTCCGAATGGGAACAATCTGTCGGCCCAGCTTGCCCTCCTCCATCGCATGTTGCTGAACAGCGTCTTTGACCAATCCTTTGAAATATATGACGCCTTTCTCATTGTGCGGGTGAAGTGGTCCACAGACGTAGGCTTCTGCGTTGAGGTTGCGTTGAGCACCGTTGCTGAGCCCCTTGTCTTCATTCTCAATCTGCTTGAAGAATGCATCGATGCTCTGAAACTCCTCGTCTGGGATGCCTTTGCGTCGATACACTTCGTACTGCATCTTGACCGTCTTGGCAGAGATCGGAACAACCCGCATCAGGTACGTGTATTCATCGCTGTAAGAGAGGGTCAGCATTGGCTCATTGATTGCTGCTAGAGTGACGACTCACGAGATGGTGACGCTGGCATTGGGAAATAGGTACGTAGGTTGTACTCCATACTTCTGTTCGACAGTGGACAGTGTTTGAGAGTGATGTTCGATCCATCCCTTCTGGCAGACTACATCGTAGGTGTCTAACCTGGTAGTTGCGAGGATACCGGGATGAGCAGTTTGACAATGATAGCACTAGAAGAAGACATACGCTGGTTAGTCGAGCGCTACACCACGAGAGACCAAGGCCGTGGATTACTGCTCACCTCGTTGTAGTTATCGATGATATTTTTCCAGTTGTAATCTCCAACCATCTCCCAGGAATGATCGAAATTGAAGTTATCCATACTAAACTCCCCAAGTCGGGGTTGTTGATCCACGCCAGCAAAATTCTCTTCCCATGGCACTGTCGGAGGCTTTGCTGAGTCTAGATTTACCCAAACCCAGCCCAGCTTGTCCACATGGAGATGGACTTCGAATAAAGAAAAGTCGGCTTTCTCAAAGTCCGCAGCAGTATCGAACCGTGGAGCTTTTGCGAGATTGCCAGAAAGACCATAAGACCATCCTAGAGTAAAGGAGTGAGTTGATTGACCTTACATCTTCTCCTTGAGGCTTGAACTCACCGTGATATTTACACGACAAGATACTTGCCTTGCCAGACTCTGCCTCCATGATCGGATACGCTCGGTGGCGACATATGTTCAAGAATGCTTTCAGTTCGTGTTTGCGGTCGCGGATAATGAAGAAGCTATATCCGGCCATCTCGAATTTGACGAATTCTCCCTGATTCTTGAATCTCATTGAATGAGAAACGCAAAGCCATCTCTTGGAGAAGATGGCTCTTTTTTCCAGCTCGTACATGCCTTCTGACCGATACCAGGAGGCGGGAAGAGTGCTATGGGTTTCTGTATAACCCATGGTTGTCGAAGTGTGCATAATCGTGGGACTGAAGAGAGTATCGAATAACGCACTGGCCTGGTTATCAGCAAACCCATGGAGTAGCCGAGATGAATCGGACCACGAGCTAATGTCTATGTCTTTATATCATTGAGTGTTGTACACTTCTTGCCATTCTTAGACCTTGACAGGCATTGGACGGCCCGTGGAAATCGGAATGATGACTGAGGGCAAAGGGCAAAAGCCACGAGCCCTGAATTGAGTAAGACTCTTGCTGTTGACCATCTCAAACGGATTTCAGCGCTCCGACTCCTAGTCTTAAAAGGAAAGACTATGATATCTACTTTGCAAAGGTAGAGGAACAGGCATGTTCGCAAACTCTGACCAGATATGGAAATTGAGGGTCCCATCAGCCTTATCATTTCAGCCAATCAACATCTTTACCTCCTTTACCTGAGACACTTCATTGGCTTTAGCTTTAATAGTCAGAATAATTTGCACATGAGACAGATTCTTCAGAATACCACCTAGATTGCCGGTCAGAATTCTATTGAGGATCGTACTTCTCAACCTTGTAGTCGAGCCCATGATGCAACAGGTAATTAATTCCAGGCCGAGCTTCGGGGTCATTCCCAATTTGCTGTCCAGCTGAAAACGCCTTCTCCAGGTGGCCGGCATGCTTGCCACTGCCGTCGAAAGCACAGTCTTCAAGAAATGTAATTCTGAGAGGCTCAAAGCCGCAATAGCCAAAGACTCCGTAACGCCAGACATGTTGTAGATGCTTGTCGTAACTCCAGCGATTCAACTGGTTGGATGATGCTCCCGTCAGAGCCAGAACCGTACAAGGTCGATGTTTGAGTAGACTCCCCTCCGGGTCGTGTTTCCATCGATAGGCCCAGCCAGCAGACCAAACTCGGTCCAGCCATCCCTTCATCATGGCGGGCATTCCGTACCACCAGACCGGGAAAATGAAGAAGATCCCATCCGCTTCATCGACAAGTTTTTGGTGTTCTAAAACGTCATCGGGCATCTGAACGCCCTCAAACTGCTGCAGATCTCGTGTCGTGAAGATTGGATCAAAACCTGTCCGGTACAAATCTAGAAGCTTGACCGTGTGACCTTTGCTTTTGGCCCCGGCAGCAGCCCGTTCGGCCACCGAGTGTGAAAAGGATTGCTCATTCGGATGAGCAAAGACGATGAGGATATGCATTGGACTGGCTGTGGGTTCGTGCATTTGATTGATGAATTTATTAGGGACTTTTGTTAACAGTCGGAAAGCGGTCAAGCATTGAGGTACCTTATATATTGAAGGGTCTCACACCATCTCGTAAGCATAGTCCATTGGCTTTAGCACGGAGTAGTCCGCACCTGTTTCCCTTAGATCCAGGAACGCCAGGCCCAGAGGGACATCCACTGTTGCATCCCGTACGGAATAGATCCTCGGAAACCGGAGTCTGAAGACGTGTTCTGGCAACTGTGCACTCAGATCATTAAAAATTGCCACTTGCTGTCAAGCAACACGTCGACCCAGAAGACATCCTTTCCCTGGTCCATCAGTTCGCAGGTCTTCAAAACAAGTGTTTTCATGCGGTTGATGGTTTTGAATGGAAGGATAGACTTTACGCGCTCAAACCGAGCCAAGACAGCATTTCTTGCTTCCAACATTGGGCCTGACGAGAGCGCATCGTCCCCGTCCCCTTGGTCCGGTTCCGGTGAAAAGCTTTTTCTTGGCTCATCCTCGAGCTCGACCGGCACGCTTTGCCCCTGGTGTGTTGTGACGGTTGGAGTTACCCACCCCAACTCGCCAGAGATAATGACCAGTAGTATGGCCTCAATAGTTCGGGTGCCAGAAAGCTCATTATTTCCTCCAAGGATACGCAAAGCGTGGAGGGAAAGTGACCCCAGGAATTGTCGCCTTGATTCCCAGTCAGGATAACAAGAATCTGAAGGTAGCCCCAGGGTTTCAGATGTCAGCTTGGATCTGAGTAGGTCGGGGAACGCATGATAGAGTAACAAGAGACCGCATACGCGGTACGCATTTGCTATGTTGACCAAGTCCGTAACTGGAGTCGAAGGATCCTTGGGGTCCGCAATTGAATCGGATCTAGGGAAATCCAGAGTCTGTAGTTGACTCTCGAGGCCTCGAGCTTTTTCAATATTGGATAGGGACTGTAAGAGTTCATCCGTGGTGGTCAATGGACGATCAAGGACTCTGCGTCGTTGCGAAAATACCAGATATCCAACCTTGCCGAGCAGGTACTGTACCTCGGACGAAATGCCGGTCAGCGGGTGAGGAAATCGACATCCTGTTGTTGTTCGCATTCCAGTGAGACGTGGAGGATCGTGAATGACTTCCCGAGAGGGGTCACACGCGAATGAGAGCATCATCCACCAATACGTCAAACATTCTTCAAAGTACTGATAGTTCTGCAGCGGGAGTTGTAGTTCTTTGCCGTCGAGGTCGCGTAGCAACGTGGCTGCCGCGTTGTAATGAGCAAGACCGAGGTCATCCAGGTCACACCAGCTGCTGCTGAGGCCAAACATGATAACGACTATGATAAGTTCTACCTTTTTCGTGGATGAGAGTTTGTCGATTTCTGAAAGGTTGAATGACAGTTGATTTAGAGTGCTGATGCGCGCTTCATTCATAACAAGCTCAAAATCCTGCTCCCTTGTCAAACTCAGTTGATAGGTACCAGCAAGAAACTTAAACAAAGAGAAGAGTAGAGGTGATCGTGCCCAGGAGCAGAGAGCGGCTGGTCGGAATGGACTGAAAGAACCGTTGTAGATTGATAATACGCGTGCGAGAGCATCAGAATACGAATCCACGAGGAGCGTGTTGTCATCGAAAACCGATGTTCGTATATAGGTTGATGGTAGCGCCATCAGAGCATTTGATGGAGGCAACAATGGCTCGTGTAGCATTTGTTGGCAGATTGAGCTGCTTAGATCATTGTCCGACAGCCCCAGGTCAAGTAATAGAGTGTGCGTCTTCACTGGTAGCTCAGCGTTGGAAACAACGTTGGTGATATGAACATTGCCTGGGCTGGAAAGGTAGATGTTGGGTTCTTCGCTTATCTTGTGCTTGGGATTCAACGAATGAGCAGGACTGCGCCCAGGTGACACAGCTTTTCTACCGCCTCGATGGTGTTTAGAAGACCATCGTAGAGGCCGGTGATAACCGGGACAAATCCAACCGCGATTTGTACCTAGAAGTCGATCAGAGCAGTTATAGACCAGACCTCAGGATGTCCACGTTTATGACCTACATCCTGAGCAAGAAGGCTTCTTTTCGTCACATTTGACCTACGCATCCATTAGCACGCCCATATTTGTCTTGCAGTAATCTCGGAGAAGAGAAATCTCACTCTACGGCTCTTGCAAGTACCGCATCCGCCCCTGGATTTCTTGAGCATGTCTTAGAACTTAGCTGCCCCCTGGTTGCTGAAATAGGTGTAGGTTTCTAGGGTAGCTGGTGACCTCTGACAAGTTGTAAACTAATTATGAGATGATCTGGAGTCGCTTCGTACGATAGATTTAATCACATCTATGACCGCGTTGCAAGACTACTCTGTATGGTACTCCGTACTCCGTACTCCGTCCTCTGTACGGTGAATCAAGAAAGCCTCTTGACATAACTTGGTGGAAGCCTTTCTTGCGGTCTCGAATGGGAGTACTGAGTACTAAGTACTAGTATATGATGAGTTTCGTGTTTCGGCGATTCTACATACCGAAGAAAAGACCGTTGATTCTGTCGTTGATGTCTTTCCGTCTCTACTGTTATAATGTATTACGAATTATGTTTATTTCGTCGGTCAACTCACCTCCGGATACAGGATACACATAGCTGGATCTCACCGCTCATGGGGATTTCAAAGGAACCTTTCCTAGTCTTTTGTGATTCTATGGATTTACGGAGTGTGAAGGCAAGTTCATTGTTCATTGCTATCTACATCTTCCCTTGCCACTGCACTTGATGTCTTGTCTTGTACCACAGGAAAGATGGAATATCCGAACGGCGCTCTGTCCATACATGCGGATCTGCAGCTCTGAACGAGGGAGCTTGATAGCTGGACTACAGACCATACTGTACGGATGAACGGGACTGATGAACGGATATTCGAACCCGACATCAAATGAGACGTGGAGACGGAGAGTAGGGAATGCGACACCGACACCGACATGCCGCAAACGTAAGAATGTGTATGCTGCAACCGTGGGAACGCGACAGTGACAAGCGCAAACGTCACAGCAATCTCAAGCAGAGAACGATGCCCCTTGCCCGTGCACTGACTCGTTACCTGGCTGGCTGATTGATACCTTTCACCATCTGAGAACATGTCAGTTAGAAGAATCTCGCACCTGGCACCTGGCACCCGGCACCATTGATATACGAGAAAGTCGGAAGGGGAGAAGAAAACAAACTTACCCAAACGTCTCCTCGAAGTAATCTACTCCACGCTTCCCATTCTTCAAGGCCTCGTGCACCGCTGCCCGGGCTTCATCAGCCATCGCCGCCGGCCCACAGGTCAAGATGGCGATCTTGCCACCAGCCGAGCCAGCTTCATGGACTTCATCGATGACACCGCGGACGGTCTCTCTGATGTTTGGCCGGCCATAAGTAATGCCGACTTCGGCGGTGTGGTTGGACGACACTTCGATCTCGGCCGCCTTGATGGTCTCGGACGACTCCTTGCGAGAGGTCGCGTAGAAGCTGCAGTGGATGTCTTCTCGAGCCAAGAAAGGCCGCAGTTCGCGCGCAGCTATGTCGCGGATCATGGCCGATTGCTTCGTCGTCCATACAAATGTGATATCCCGCGTGCGGGTTCCCTTTACTTTCGACTCGCCTGTTGCTGCTGCTGCTGATGACGATTGTGATGCCGCTCTGATCACATGTTCCTGCAGATACGGTAGGGCCCCCGAAATGCCGGTCCCTCCTAGAATGAAAACGACATTCTCATAGGTATGCAGAGGACTCGTTTCACCGTATGGACCTTCGATAAAAGCTCGCGGATTGATCAGTCCGGTTGGAGACTTGAGGCATTCGTCTCGAAGGCGCATTGTCCAGCTGCTGAACGGCCGCACAAAGAATGTCAGTCTATATCGGCCATCATCCTCTTTCGTGCCGGCTTGACCCTTCTCCGAAGAGACGGAAGTGGCAGATGAAGAATCTTGAGAGGGCGAAGTTTTGGCGGCGGCTTTGATTTCCGCCTCCATCGCTTTCACGACATGATCGTGGTTGGGACTTGGCTCGACGGCAACCTCTTTGCTGCCAGCTTGGACACTCCAGGATGCCAATGTGAAGGGGTGATTTTCCCAGCCTTTCCACTTTGCGGGCTGGTAAATGAAGTAATGTTGGCCTGGACCAGGTTTGAGCAGTCCCGACCCGGGAGTGACTTCGAGCCTGATGAGATCAGCCGCTTGGTCATAGGTTGCTGTGGTTGTTGTTGCTATCGGGGCGCTTGAAAGCCTCACGCGGAGGTTGCAGTATACCAGACGGACGATGCGGGCAAATCTGTCGAAGAGCCAAATGGCAACGAGCGGCCACAAGTACGGATCGTATTCGCCGTCAAAGATTGCGGTATGACTTTTTCACAAGGATTAGCACAGCAGCATTCGATGTGGACCACCCCAACTTACTAAAATAGTCCGACGATCGTGACTACTGAGAGTGCAATGTGTATGAGCAGGAAGATCTCGTAGCTGTGCCGACGGAAGTAGATGGACGAAAAGAAGAGCAACAAGCCCATGGCGATGGTCGCCTGACAAGATGAAACCTCAGCTGATCATTCGTGTCGAGCAAGAACAAATGTTCACTCACCATGCCGCCCATATACCAGTATTTCTCACGCCGGGACTCGGCAAGCTGGTCATCTACGGTAATCAGCCACCGGAGAATTGATATATTGATTCACCCATGAGACTTACAGTCGGCCTCGAGGGCCGTATATGCGATGGAATGAACGATTGCCTGAACGGTGGCAATGCGAGCAACATGCCTGTGGAAGATGTTGAAGGTCGAAAAGCTCCACCCAGTCAACCACAGGAAGATGTTGTTCCGTCCCGAGAACATCCATAAGATGGGCAAGTTGGCGTAACAGATGATGCCTGTCCGGTCGGCAACATACCGCCATATCTGGAGAGCTCTCGTGTAGCTGTGAGGTGGTCAGCGAAGTCTAGCAGACATGCATATCAGACATACTATAGATTTGGCACGAAGATCTCGTAGGACACACAGCACAGTACCAGATTCAAGATCCAGAACGAGACGACGATGACTGTCTCCATGCGCGTGGGGACGGTACACCACCAGAGAAGTCGCTGGTGGTGGGATCCGAATGCGGCCGGAATGATCAGGTTCGTGCGAACCCAGTGGTGCGCGGTGCCAAATACAGACAAAGAGCGTGGTGCGTGGAGCTTGACTCGGCGTTCCTCGACGTCTCCACGAGTCGGTGTCCGGCGCGCGTGGAAGAAGTGAGTGAAGAGGCGGTTGACAATTCCAATCAGTAGGATGCCGCCCCAGAATCCGTAGACAGCCCATCTGTGAGGAGATCAGACACAGTCTTCATGCTCATTGCTTAGAAAGAAAGCTTACCCATATCTTTGGTCAATGGTATATGAATTCTGGAACACGCTCTGGAGCTTGTTAGTCCGGCACCACTGCAGCCTCTCGAGTCCGGTCTTACCGTTGTCCTCCTGCCAGCAGTATAAAAGTCTTTGGAGAGAAGAACTGATTGGTTCCATATCTTTGTCGCGTCAATGTCACTGTACTCGACGACAGGAAGCGAGGCAATGTAGGCGTCCGTCAGGCTGGGAAGAACTTCCGAGTATGGTGTGAGTTCGACCAAGGCGTACTCGAGGCAATACTCCCCCAGCATCTTAGAGCCAGCCTCGATTTCATGTTGAGTACAGTACAGCTTTGTCGCAGCCCACATGGAATGGACACTGAGATTGTTGGAGCAGAGATTCACCCAGTAGCCACTTGCTTCTCCCCCTGCGAATGTAAATTCGGCAATGTCTGTACGAATGCCATTGATGCACTCTATTGCAGGGTCGTAGCATAGGGCTGGTCCCAAAAGGGAGGCCAGAGCAAAGACCAAAAGTGGCACATCCATCCTGAGCGTCAAGAGGTCGGTCGGGACCAAGTTGCAGACTGACACCGACCGCCGAGGTGCCTACTAATATACTGTACACCTTGGAGGATGAAATGCAGAGTAGAAAATTTTTCCACGGGTTTCATCAGACCATGGTCAAATGCTAGGTGGCGCTTCTGGCCCACTGAGGGAGGCCGGATGCATCACAATGGGGAGCACGTGGGTTCAAACCTTTGCCTTTGTTCGGACTGCACATTCCAATCACCTGCCAGACGCCGCAGCCGTGACAAAGAAATAAATGACAAAACACGAGGCTTCCTGCGCTCTTGGAAGTTGTTTCCTCGAAGGAACCACCCTTGGTAGGGAGGGAGCGTGAAGGGCGCGGGATGCTAGCGAGGCTTGGGGGAAACCCGACTGGGCTGCTGCCGTCCAGATCATTCCAAAATAACCCATCACAATGCTGTTTAGCGTGGCCTGGGCACGCGAGCAAGACATGGCCATGCATATTGGCGAGAATGGAGACCAAGCTTTCTTGTATGAGAAGATAAGCTCGCCCTGATGTCGCAAGCTCACCAAGCAACCGGGAGGCGTTTGTGACCGGGAAGACTTGGAAGACGCCTAACTTCGACTCTGTAGAGACTGTCACAATAAGGTCTCTTAGAGATCTGAGTTTACCAGCTAGGATATGCCCACACAACGACGAACAGTGTACTGTATTTGCTCTCTTCTCTCTGCAGCAGGGCAGCATGTCCCTGTCTTCGCGTCAGGTCAGGTGGACTCAGTGGACACTCAGCCCAAGCCTGAACAGGCATAAAGAGGCGAGGCGACAGCGCAGAGTGACATGATTCCAGCGCTGCTAGCAGACCAGACGGCGTCAAGGAACGTATTGGTACAGAGCAGGGACAGAGTATATTCTCGACTGGAAGCATGAGTGGTGGGGAGCGGCATCGCAAGGCTGTGGGTCTGGTTGTGGTCTGGGGGCCGGGGGCTGCTGATCAGATAAAAATTCAGATTATCTTATCTGATAAAAACTCATACGGGCTTGGCCAACGCCGGGTTTGTCGAGTCAGCTTCAAGTACGGAGGGAGCAGTGTTTCTCCAGAACCCCCGAGCCCATGACCCTCCGGGATGAGTGTGCAATCAGGGCTCAGAGCGGAATTCTAGCTCCACGAGTTTCAGACGATCGGTGCCGACGGCTTAAACACTCCGAGCATCCCGCAGCTGTCGTACCGATATCGGATTCTCCATCGTCATTTAGTCTGGCAGGGACCAGATGCACAGTTGGGTAACATTCAAGCAAAGTGGTACTAGTTACTACGAGTAATGTATGCTTCTTTCTCTGGCTGCCTTGGGCTTTGGGCTTTGGGCTTATGTAACAGCCAGTTTCTTGTGTCCATACCATATACCCTTCTTTCTTCCTTCACGGCACTCAATCGGTCAAACACAGAGACCCATCCGCGATCACCAACAGTTTCTACATTCGGTCTCAAAGGGGACGGACACCATAGTTGGAGCATCATACAGAATAGGAGAGTGATGGTCAAATATAAGGGCAAAGCTGCGACGTTGAGCGTATTCAGAAGCCGAGCTTGGGAGAAACGAAGCCGTGCCAGAAAACCTGGTCAATTCAGCCTATCGAATGACCATCTGCCCCTGCTGCCATAGCATCATTGTCTTCCACTTGAAACCGTGCCTGTTTAGCTCGGCAATCTCCTCCTTTGCCAACCTCCACCCCAGAGCTGGCATGTTGTCGAAGGCCTGACTTTCTCTCCTTCTACCCACCACCGGTATCGCTCCTTTGCAAATGTTCCAGTTCAGCACCACTGCTGCGACACTCACATCGTCCTTTTAGCTAGACAGTGGAGAATCTTGAGCACGGGTTCAACATGTTCCATGTCATAGCTGCTGAGCTGGTGTTCACTAGGCGGCAGTCTCCTTTGAGTATTTCCCTGACAAACGACCCTGAGCAAGGGACGAGTATGACTGGAACACCATGCCAATTTTCTTGCAGACATCAAGCATGTCTTCGGTCTCCGGCAGTCGACGCAGGATCGCATACCCGCACTGATTGGTTGCAAGGGGAATATTGTACGTACTCGGCCAATGCATCCTTCATATTCAACATGCTCCGACCGACTAGTCGGCTACATCCACAGTCTTAGCCATTCCTTCTTCGGCACACTCGCCTTGCGGTTGTAGTGTTTACGTCAGTGTATCCAAGAGGCGACATCATCTCAACATTATCCTTACAAGATTCAGGGCGGACCCGATTGACATGTGGTCAGTAAGAAAGGATACGGCGATCGGCCTGCTCAAACCCAGACGTAGGACCAGCAGATGATCGCGGAGGAAACAAGTCCATTAGGTCCGGAACGAATATCATTTTGTTCCTTTTGTATTGACTGGATACCCCAGGCGTGTGTACAGCCTGATCGCAGGAGTTATGCAATGCCAGATACTAAGGTACGTGAGGAAGTCATCCATAGGTATGGTGTGTCGAAGTATGTGCCCTGAGACATTCCCGTAATACCTAAGATGTAGTCCGCCAGAGAAGAAGCGCCTACTACGCCGTATAGACTCTAGGGCAGATCATTAGACCTATGAAGTGCAGAGGTGCACACAAGGCCTGGGAGCAAGGCCGCCACTAGCAGTGTAGCGGATTCTTCCCCAGATTGTGTCGCCGATACCCATGTTTACTCTTGTACCATCTTCCATTCTACCGATTAAAGAAGTCCCCAACACCAGGTCCTCCCTTTACTTATCTCTCTGGCCTGCGTAGCACGCCTCAAGCCATCATGGTAAGCCCACCGTCGCATCCCGTGCGAACCCTCCTGGCCCCAGAACTAACTCGAATCTACCGCAGTCGCGCGACTCCTCTGCGACCTACGTGCACATGACCTCCTCACGGCTGGCCGACCTGTTCGAAGAATTCTGCCGTCCTCCTTCGTCGACGAGCTTCCCACTCTTGGGCGCCACGACCAATACCCACCAAACCGTCGCACACCACCAGCAACAACAGCCAAACGGCGGCGACGGCGGCGGCATGGCCCAGCTTCCCGGCCATTTCATGCCGTTCGAGGAGATCACGCTCCCGCCACACTTGATGCCACTGAACCCGGAGGATGAGGACGACGTGGTGCCGGACATGCACGCCGCGTTCGGGATCAATCGCGCCCTGGGCCAGGGCCAGGCCGGCGGCCCAGGCGCGGTTGGCGGTGTAGGTGGGAGCGGTGGCGCCACAGGATCTGCCGAGCCCGGTGGTGAAGCGAGCAATGCTGGCGTGCAGAGGGAACCTGTCTGGAGAGACTTCGGGCTCGGTCCGCTCGTGGCCGATGTGAGACCAAATGGGATTGGGGAGAGGCCTGGGCCCAGGAGAGAGGGTCGACGTACCGGAGTTTTGTTGTTACGATGAGCCTTGCCCTACAGGGAGAGGGAAGAGAACGCTTTACGGCTTATGCTTATGACGATATTGTTGGCTTGCAAAACGCGTCGGATGCGAGACGGCAAAGACGCCAGACCCGGGGAAACAGATGGTCTATTATTATTTGACATCTAAATCCTCACGACTTCGACCCTCGCCCGTTCAAAAACTTTATGCAGAACACTTCTTTCCGACTTCTCTTCCTCAGCCAAAATGCGGGGGTGCAACGAGATCTGAGAATATGTTCCTGCGGCCTTCCGCTTGGACAGCTGGCCCGGATTGATCACCATCACGCTATCAACGACCTTAACTTTGTCAGCTTGGAACACATATGAGGCTATCATCGGAATTGGTCATACCTTCACAGACGGGGTCAATATGCTGGGCAGGACAAGCACGTCAGGCTTGACTTGCATCCATTCACCCAGCTTCAAATATCCGATATCCAAACACGCTCCTGTGGCTTTGACCACACCATTGCTTGACAGTTTATCCCTTGACATAGGCGGGAACAGCGGAAAGAAATGCCTCTGCTCGATCAGGTAGCCTGGCAATCTGGTCAGGAGGTCTGATCCGGCGCCGTGGGCTACTTGCTCGCGACTGAGCTCGTATAAAATATCTTGGGATGAAATGCCAATCACCACTTCATTCAAAGAGACATAGCATGGATTTGGCAGCATGGTAACTTGCTTGGGCAAAGAAAGATCTTTCCGCGGAGGCCGCTCCTGTGGCCAACTGACGTGCTTGGTGATTACGTCCCGCACGCTGGGGACAATAAGGACACAGATCCCCGGCACAGCTGAGCAGAGGCGTTGAAGGGGTCCAGAGATCCACAAACGGAACAGTGCTGTGAGACTCGCTTCCTGGTCTAGACCCCGAACATCGGGCAAGTCGAAATCTCCTGCCGCAAGCATGGGGTGTTCGATATCAAGGAATGGACCGTTGAGAATGAGGGCATCAACCATGTTTTCGGCCGCTTTCTCACAGAGTGCTTGGAAAGGCTCGAAGTCGAGGTTGTCATCGGCCGTATACGGCCCCGAGGCAAGCATGATGTTGAGAGTTGACGAGGTAGAATCCTCTGACACTCCAAGTTTCTGGTTGATTTCCTCGATCTGGCTCGGGACAGACGAGGGCATGGGAAGCTTGGGAACTGACAGGACCTCTTTGACAGTGAAGTAGAGCCCAGAAGCATTTGTGCCTCGCACGGCGACGATCTGCCCAGGAAAGAACTGGTAGGATGGCAAGGTATCGACTTTCAGAGGGACCCGCAACCCGGCGCCCATCCGTCTCGACATCTCTAGCACCAACGACGCCGAATTGAGTTTCCCCTCCGCGGTATCGGAAGCGATCCTGCCCACGGCAATGATCTCACTTGTGCTTTGAGCGGCTGCGTTACCAAAGGCCGAATCTTCCAAGTTGTGGGCTTGCTGAATAACGGCCATAAAATCGTCGATTCGGTCGTCCAAGACCTCTGACGCGTCCGACAAATGCATGGCCATTGGTTTATACGCGAACTTCTTGTAGTCGGAGCGAAGCACCATACGGAGACGGGCTTCTGAGAATGGGGCGATGGGTGCCTCGGCCGAGGCGAGATGATCGTTCAAGATTTCGACGATCTGCCCTGCGTTCTGTCGTTCAGAAAACGGGAAGCCGCTGATATCAACGTCAGCAATCATATTCACATTCTTCACATTTTTATGTCTGCGCAGGGGGAAGATATCCATACGCAGGTCCGTCCATCTTGCTTCCTTTCGCCGGTGTCTTTGTCTTGCTTGTAGTCTCTGGTCGACTGACCTTCCGCGGCACGGGGGAGTCAAAGTCTGCTTTTCGTTTGACGCTGCCATTCCGTCGCGGGACTGCGTTCGGCGTGAGTTCATCGAGCCTGTTTCCTCTCTCGTCAGTTCTCTTCTCCGATGGTTCTGTGTGCTGTTGAGACCACTGGGGTCTGCTGTGTTTTCCAGCACCGCAGAGTCACACCTGGCACCACTTACATGCCGAAGACGTCTCCATTGGCACCGGCCCTTGGAGTAGCATGCACCGCAGTCTTCCTCTCGGACTTGACGGCCGACTTCTGCGCGCGATCCCCGCGCTCGACGCCATCCTGCACGTCTTTGGCGAACATGCGTGCAGTTTCGAGATCGAGCTTAGTCTCCTCGCCCCCCATCTTCATACAGTACACCTCCCATTTGATGAATAGTTCGTCGGCCGTCAGAGAGTGCAGCCGCAGCGTCGATTCCAGCACCCCGAGGATATCGGGTGCAAGCCCGCGGCCGGCAGGGTCGAAGACCGCGTTGAGATTCTCTTTGGCCTCCGTCATGGCTGACGGAATATACTGGAGGGAGTCGTATGGTGCGGTGGAGGCTCGATAGTGGTGTTCAATAACAGCATTGAATTGCTCAGAGTTGCCAGTATCTCTAGTAGTAATTGTCCTTGACACGGTACGGAGAGTACAACAGTAAACTGCGCGCGACGCGTCCAACCACGTTGGGCGCGCTGGTAACGTGTTAAGTGGGCTTGGCGGGCAGTCTTGCCGCTTGGGCTAGGAGACCTCCTCACTCCTCCTGGTGCCGCCTGAAAATGCTCAACCAGCCACGAAACCAGTGTCAAGGAACGCCAGGCAGGCATCTTGCTCTGTGCCTTCTTTGCCGTCGTCATCACCATCGGCCTCAATCAGGCCTATGGCGTCTTTCTCAGCTACTACTAGTATCTCGCCGACGGAAGCAGCCCGAAGGACCTGTTGCTTCAAGTCTCGAGCAAGGCCATGCCGGCCTTTATAGGGACCTTGGGTTATGGACTGACCTCAGCCTACCTTACCTACAGTAAGCCTGCAAGGGTACTTGAAGCCTATAGGGGAACTTGAAGCCTGTAAACGGAGACGGGCTCACGCACCTCCAGGGCGATGAAGCTCGTTTCTGGTCTCTGTTGTCCGACACATGCCACGACTCATGTTGTGCATTGCGAGGACCACCAACCTAAGGCGAGACGTTCATCTACATCTACATATATGTACGTGTACATGTAGCTACTAGTTCCCGAAGATAATATCTTCACCAGATTAACAACCGTGGGGATATCTTCATCAGCATGACAACCGTGAGGATATCTTCATCAGATTGACCGTGAGGTCCAGTAGTCCGGGAGCATCGAGTCCTCGACTTGCTGAGGGCGGAAGCAGAGACGCGGCAAGCAGGATGCGATGTATCTCATAGATAGGAGCCCTTGAAAATGTAAAAGTAGCTACTATGTGTGTTCACGCATAATGATGCTCGTTCTTGCCAACGCCAATAATGACCAAGATCTTCGATCCCATCTCGACATGATCACGCTTAAGTTCAAAAATGCGCTGATGACGCTTCACACTGCTCGGGGGAGTTGGCAGAAGACGAGCTATAGCAATACGATTTCTTTTCTCTCAAGCCACTAGGTCTTCCTCTTCAATGAGCCAAGGTATATTTTGCTCAGTCTCTTAGCCGGCCCTCTATTCCCTAAGAAGCATTACCCAGCTCGAGACCATTGTCCAACCAAACGCCCAGTCATACATAACAACGCCAGGCTATGTTGTCCAACTAAGTGGAAATCATCGTCATCGTCAATGTCAGGTCGGATTCGTTTCCTCTTGTCCTTCCACCAGCAGATAATGTAGGATATCACTGAGCGACAAAATACCCTTGAGGTAATTGTTGTCATCTACTATCATCAACCGATGAACTCGGGACCTCTTGATCGTCTCGAAGATCGTGTCCAGACCATCCTCCAATGAGCAGCAATATATCCCTGGATGATTCGGTGATCGCGCTGAGAGCACTTTGCCGACGGTCCATGTGAGGTTACCGTAGTCTCCAGTCTTGAGAATCCCGATAACGTCGACGGCTTCGAAAACATTCAGGAGAATGCCTGGACCGAGTCAGCAAGGGTGCTCCACGAGTTTGATGGGGCAACGTACCCTCGGTGGTAACAACAGGGACACTCGATATGTTCTTCAAAACCATTTCGTCTACAACATCCAAGACAGTCGTGTCCATGGTGCAACGAACAATATTCCCGTAAGTTCCGAGTTTAATCATCGCAAGAGGTTTCCTCAGCACTTCGGTCTCTTTCACGTTCATGGCAATGAACTTGAGAATTCTGTACTGAGTAATGACACTGGTGACCATTGTCCTCTGGGTATCGCTGTCATACGATACTAAGGGTATTCGACGGGCACGAGAGACGAGTTGTTGTCGCAAAGCATCATAAAGGATTGCTTCGGGCGAGGCTGACACGGTCTCAGGAGGCTTGACATCTAGGACTTTCTCGACATCTTTGTCTTCCATCAGCTTCGAGCTCCGCACAACAACGTCACGTTTTAGATTCACCTTTCAAGTCGCTCAGTAAGAGCTTATCCACATCTTTCAACTTGTCGGCATGGAGATTATAATATCGAACAACATTCAGGTAGTCGTTGACTGTGAGCAGACCGGCGTAGGTGGAGGTGGAGGAATCCCACAATGGGGCAGAGACGATGCCTGCGATATTAACACGATGCCTTTTGGCCGGATGTGCATCCCACGTACCACATTGAACCAAAATGTTCAAGCTCTCTTTGACAGTGAGCCCGACATCAAGCTCGATGAGCCTGAAGCTCAAAGGTAATACATCGTAGCAGTTCCGAATTCGCAGAAAGTCTCGGATCGCCTTCTACCCGGAAAATCAGTGTCCACGCAGAGTTTGGTGGGTGTCAGAGATGTCCTCTTACCAAGCCAGCTCTTTGATCACGGTCTATCGGCCGATCCGGCGGCGTAGTAGGGACGGTTGTTCGAGATGCAGCTTTGGGGCGGAGCAAATCTGACGGTCGGACAAAGATGCTCTCGTGACCCTGGGGATGGGCTGCGTGCGCAGTGGAAGGAAGAGGGTGATTCGCAGAAGTCGACGGTTCGTTTGACGGGGAGGGTGTCTGGGTCACCTCGGCGTTCTCTACCATGGTGACTGCTCAAACGGCATCTTTTGTTCCTTCGAGGGGAGCGTTCTTTGTCTCGCACAGGCTGCGCTGGGGTTATTAGAAATGCTGAGGAGGGATGCGTGACAGTGCCAAAATGTGGAGAAGGCGGGCAGCACACGCTGGCTGAGGGCGAGAGGGAGGCGGAAAGGTCGGGGCAGTCAATGATGATCGCTGGGTCCCCATCGAAATGCAAGCAAGAATTGGCTTATCCGCTGGCGGACTCAGTCCTTAGGCTTCGATCTGGAGATTGTCCTCTGGTTGGTTGGACCAGACGGAGGGACGTTGGATGGCGAGGACGGAGTAGGGAGATGATAATAATAGACGGTGGCTGCATTTGCTCCTGTCCTAGCCTGCGAATTCCACCTTCGCAGGCTTCCCAACTGCAGATTTGGCATGTGATCTTCCCAGCAGCATATCTGTACGGAGTACGAATACATGTGCGCAGTTTTGTCAGCTTCGCCCTGAATGGTTGGTTCTCACATTTATTGTCTATCACTATGCCCTTTACAATCTGGAACTCCTAAGGTCTCTTGAGGCAGAGCTGCAGAGAAGTCTACCCAAGGACCGTTGCTACCCTATCCCCTGGAATTAGCTGCCTGTACTCCGTACATGCCCTCAACTCTATGCTGCGGCGACAGCCCCAGCATTCGCTGCCGCGTCCTCCTTCTCCCGTTCGGCTAGACTCTTTTCTGCTCCCTTGAGGTAAGCTTCATACTCACCAATCCTCTTGCCTCCCTTCACCCATCTCTCCCAAGCTTCCGACCTCTTCAGGTCACACAAGTCATTGAGGGCCGGCCAGTATTCATCATGAACGTACTCAAACTCGACATAACCCCCACTCTCTTTCAACAGTTGCTCCCTGGGTACATGCAGACCCATGTCTTCGTTGAACCGGATCTTCTCTCGTGTCACTGGGTCGATGAAAGGTGTGATCAATTTGAAGAAACCCGAGATGTAAAACGGGACATTGGCCACCAAGGCGCGGCCGAGGCGTTCTGGGTAATGATTCTGAAGGATATGCAGTGTTTGCCTTCCCTGAGACAAGGTTGCACCTTGTCCGGCCTTTGTCTCCGCGAAGTTGATGAGCAAGGCCAGCGTCTCTTGTCCAGCAGGCATCAGATCAATGGCTCGTTCGAGCATGAACACCAGATGCTGGATTTGGCGTTCACTTCGCTCGGTGTTCTGCTTGGATGGTCTCAAGTATTGGCACGGTCTTCCGCTATTGTCCCAGCCCAGAATCAACTGTTTGCCAGTGGCATTTTCAATCGAGATGTAATCCCGCGTCAGCTTTGCCAGCCCATATTCGCGCCGCCAGATCAATGTATTCTTCAGCCTAGTTTCAGCTTGTGCCACATGCCAGGTCGTAGCTCTCAAGTAGCGCAAGAGACAGTCGCGAGTGAGGAATATTCGTTCCGAATCGGTCAGGGGCGCTCGCTTCGAGCCTTTGGCGGAAGTCTCTGGTAGTTCGGTCCACGTTGACACATTCTTCAGCAACGTTGCATATTTTGTCTTTTGCTCATCTGTCAATGGGGGTCTTGCAGCAGGCTTCGCAGTCTCGAGAGGTTCGGCAAGGGGTGTCCTGATGACTCCATCGGCAGAGCTGCGTGGCAGACTCAGCGTCTTTTTAGGAGCTGCAACGGGGGGGTTGTCGGCGGTTTGTGCAGGTTCGTCGCTGATCCGGAGCTGGTTCACACTCGACGCGACTTCAGTGGCCGCCTTTTCAGGATCGGTCGATCCATCCAGAACGATTGGGCTACTCGATACCTCGGCGGCCATGCTGGCTGTAGGGAACACGTACTCCGTAGTCTGCGGCCAGAGAACAGAGAAACAAAAAGGTCCGCTCAAGACCCTGGTTGGGCGGCTTACATTTTGGGATGGCTGCAGGTCGTTGGGAAAGTGCAAATGGGCTCCTAAGGCTGCGCGGAACTCCTTGAGCCGGCCGAGCTGATCGATGGATCCTAAGCCACAGCACCAACAGCCACGCTGCTCCTGACGCCGCATCCAAGAATTCATCCGCCTCCAACGATCAGATCGACTAGCTGACTTATTAGACCAGTATTCCGTATTCTACTTTGTATCATTGAGTCTTACTTCTCGTCTTGTAGTCTCTACTTGTCCGATCGCAACTCCATGTTGACCTAGCACCTTCAACTCAGCAATTGCTGCTCTCGTCAGCCTCGTCCTCCGCCACAAGTGTGAAGATACTGTGAAGATACTCTAACAGCCATCAGCCAGCAACTACCTGCACACTGTTGGACTGTCTGTCCGCATGCTAATCATTTCGCCCCCGCTACTGTCTTCTTGTATCGTTTCGGGGGCACTTGCGCCATCGGAGACGAAAAATTCGCTCGATACCGTTGACCTCTATTGGTGACTCTGGACCCAACGTCAGGATGAGTTGTCCATTTTCCTCCGTCATCTTGGCCACACGAAGTTGAAAGGTGTCGACCCAGTTAGGTGGAATACTGATCTTTGCATGATGGAGGAGTGTCTGCCGGTTTCCCGGCTGCTCATCAAGATAGAATGGCCCGCTATACGCCATTGTTTTCTTTCCTGCGTTGGCAAACTCCTGTGCTGTGGCTCGTAGCCAGTCTGTTTGGTAAGGCTGGACGTAGTTCCATTGCAGCACAGCTGCCATGTAGCCGTCATGGCTGTACATGATCTGCCCTTTGCACGCCTGGCCCATGGGGTAGACTATATCGTCGGCATCGTCGATGTCGGCTGCGGTGAACGACAGGAGTTCCCAGGTCCCCAACAATCGAGAGAGGAAAGATGGCATGGTCAAGCAGAATCAAGTTCCTTGAAAAAAAGACACAGAAATGTTTGTAGACGGAAATAGAGAGATGTACAGGCTCATGAGGTTTGAGAAAGGGAGAAGCCCTCCAACATATAGACATTTTTTGTTTGAAGGATGCAAACAACGGCAGGAACGAGATGATGCAGCGCGCCTTCACCCAAGAATACGCTGGACGATGACGAAGCATCGCATTCAGTCAGTTACGGCGTCCACAGACCAGGGAAGAGTCGTGGAGACTGTGATATTTCGACTCGCACCTGACACATCCCCGGTGAGTCTTGTCTTGAGCGGAGCGGAGGAAGTCAAGTTCGATGACTCTTTTGAAGGAGTATGCATGTCACTATCCAGGGCATTGAGCAACATATCGGTACTTGTAGCGTAGTCCCTGGGCAGGGAAGTACCTTTCAAACTACTATTACCTAAGGTACCTATTGTCTGTGCCAGTGGTGCCGGTGTCCGCAAACTCGACTAACCACTCTGTAGATTGAGCTGAATTCCAAGGCTAAGTGCTCTTTCTTACTTAGAACTTAAAAGGGAAACCATTAGGAATTTGGGGAGGGTTACCTCCTGCGTTCGCCTCGTCAGCACGAGATTGATTGCCAACTCGTTCGGGACAACAGACGCTTGCAGGACGAGGCTGATGCCCTTTTTCGCACATGTTCTTCATTCGTACGCATTCCGCGACCGCAGATCGTCTCGGATGGTGGAAATGGTCATTTCGTGATCGGAGACTATGGGTTTGCTCTGCAGCGGAGTGGGACGGAGAAGTAAGTGTGCACTGCTTGTGCGCAGGTTCAACATCTCTCACGCGACTAGTAGGAGATGTCATATCTATAAAATCTATAACTTGACCTCTGCGGGCCTGTTCTTGCTCTGCAATGCCTCTATCACCTCAGTGGCCCCGCGCTCTCCGCTCCTCACGGCTCCTTCCATATACCCCTTCCAGACCACACTCGTCTCTGTTCCAACAAAGTGGACATGACCAAAGGGCTCTCGGATGGCATGGCCGACGGTGCTCATGACACCCGGGGGAGTGACGGGACAGGGACAGCCTTTACTCCACTCCTCCTTGCTCCACTCCTGCTCGAAGACTTCGACTGGAGCATAGATCAAGTCTTTATCCACGCCGGCATATATCTGCGCGACATGGGCAAGGATCTCGCTGCGACGCTGCGCAGCCGGAAGCTTCGACCACTCGCGGCCCACGTTCGCCACGGGGAAGCAGGTCAGGGCGAAGACGCCGTTCTCGGTGTCGGACGTGTCGCGGATCAGGGTGATGGGTCCAGCACCGTTGCCTGTTTTGCCGTCGGCAGCAGTGTTGAAGGAGTGAGCAAGGCCAGCCAGGCCGGCTGCGGTCCACCAGGGTGCCGCATAGACCAAGATCACCTTACTGAAGTAACCCAGCTTGGTGGACGAGGAGAGTGCCAGTTTGGCGCCGGTGAGGGCTGGGCTGAAAGTGATGTCCCTATATAACGGGGTCGGCACCGAGACAATGACCTTTTGGCTCCGGATCGTGAGGTTGTTGGCGGTTTGGACGATTGCCCCTGCAGCGTTCTGACGGATCGAGGATACGGGGCTAGAAAGGATGACGGACCCGGGGGTCAGGAGAGAAGCAAGGCCGTTGGCATAGGATTGACAGCCTGTGTTCAATGTGGCGAGAATGAGTACGGGGGTCAAATTGTCGAAGAAGACAGGAGACGGGATACTGGGTTACTCACCGGTCTTGGTTCGAAGATGCTGTCCGCCATGCTTCCCGTCCGACCTCATCTGCACGAATCCGCCTCCGCTCTTGCAGTAGTGCAGGAAGTAAAGGGCACTGATCTCAGATCCATCGATGCCGACCATGGCGCGAACCCAGAGGTTGGCATATTCCACCGTCTTCGGAAGGGCACCTGACTGCTTTGCAAACTCTTCGAAAGTCATCGAGTCGTAATGTTTGCCTGCTATCCAAGGCTTCTCTATGTCAATGGTTTGACAACGGGCCTCAACCAGATCTCGAAACGCGGCGAAATTGTCCAGTTCTTCTTGACTGTCGAACTGCGCCAATGTCAATCAAGCTGGATCCTTAGGGTTACAACGCTTTGGGGATTGATGACCTACCGGCGGCAGTTGCCCAAAAGGAAACCGTCCGTGGTCCTGGAGGACGCAATCGCCTTCAGTTGTCTGGACAATATACTCCAGCCCAAACCTCTGGCCCAGAGCCCACATCTTGGACTGGTTTGTGTCGTTGATCCACGCGCCTCCAAGGTCGACGACGCTCTTGCCGTTGGCCGTTGGCACCGTCCACGTCTTCCCCCCAACGCGATCTCGGGCTTCGAGAACGATGGCGCGCAAGCCTGCTCGCTGAAGATCATAGGCCGCCTGCAAGCCACTCAATCCAGCCCCGACGACCACCACGTCGACGTTCTCCACCTTGCCAGGAACCAGCGGAAGCAGCGGCGCCGCCAATGCGGGATCTCTCACGGCGGCGACCGCCTCGATCTCGAACAAGAACTTGGGGTTCGCCAGATACGGCACCGGTACCAAGGCGGTGGCCGGCCGGTGGCCTTGCAGCCAGTCGAAGATGAGGGCGGCATGTGGTCTGTTGTTTGGGTCGTAGTTGACAATATAGTAGGTCAACTTCAAGACGTCCCGGGGCGTGGCGCCTGAGGCTTCCAGACAATGGCCGAGGTTGACCAGGCTCTGTTTGATCTGTTCCACGTACGAATCAGATATGCTACCGTCACCGTGCTGGCCGACCATGCCAGAAGTGTAGATGACTCTCGCTGGGCCGACGGTGTGGCCGACATGGGAGAATGGTCCCGTGCTCGCGATGGCCGAAGGCTTCAGCGTCTTGATGGCGGAACTGGTCGCAGGCATCTTGGAGGCTTGGTTGACCGGGCGTGTGATAGTGCGGACCGGTTGAGATTACAGCATCAGCTGGCCACTCTCCCTGTCAAAGCATCGCTTCTACTTTATAGCGACGGGAAGGCGCCGCGACAGGGTCGCATGGGGTGGATAGGCGGAAATCTCGTGTCTCGGCCTCTGTTGTGCAGTGGGCTCCATCACTGTCACCGACTGACGGCTGGATGGCCGTGTTATCAGCTGCCACAGTCTCCGTCTCATCTTTGCGCTCAGTGAAGCCAGCAAAGCCGACGCGGCGATCTATCGCGGCGTTTCGGCAAAATCAAAATCAAAATCAAAATCACTAATTATGTAGGCCTTTAAGCCCCTAAGCCCCTAGCTTGTACGGTCATGGTCCCACACGAGGCACGAGACACCGAGACCCAAGATAGATCTGCCCGACTGACCACGACCCTCTTTTGCCATCACCATTATCATCAAGGCATCTTCTCCTCGGCCTGTACTCGGTGCTTCACGACAGGGAGGATGAAGGCTTGTAGTGATGCTTTTACACCAGGCAGGACGAAGGCTTGTGGTGATTTATTTACAATCAAAATGATACAGCTATTCATGCTTGATCATCTCAAGCGTGTCAGGGGGCTTAGGCTAGCAAGTCTAGATCGGCCCTCTTCCACACAACTAAGTGTATCTATGCAGCTCCTCGGGTTCTCTCTCCTGATCTCCTACAGTATCCGTACTTCCTTTGGGCTCCAGGATCCGAAAGCAACAGGACCAGCAAAACCCTTCCTTGTTCGTTTCTGGGGTTCTCTCCCTCTCCGTCCAACTTGATCACCTACAATATCAGTAATCCCCAGGCTAGTACTCCGTCCAACTTGGCCACCTATCAGTGGTCCCCACCCCAGGCTAGTTAGTAGATATACCTGAATTTGTCAAGCCGACCCTCAGCAATGGCGGCCTCGGCCTCAGCGCCTTCAGCAACACGAAGCTCCTTCTCGTCGAGTTTCCTGTTCTCCCTCTTCAGCAATGTCCGGAAGACAAGTGTTGTCGCGACGGCGCATAACAAAGCTATAGCCTCGACGGTGCATGCCATCCAATAGCGAGGAGCTTGATCGTCTGGATAGATGTAGCCGGCAATGATGTTTCTAAGATGAGAATTAGCGGGGGAAGCAAGAGAGAAATAATGGGGAATGGGAGGGGGAGGCTAGAGAGAAATAACAAATAATGGAGGGAAGAGGAAAGGGGAGCAATTTACCCAAGTTGAGAAAGCATATTCACAAGAGCAATGGCTGCTGCACGCTTTGGCGCTGGTCGAGGAATGCAATTTGAGATCCTGAGGATGAGTTGGTCAGCCATATGCATGTATGTATGGTATCGAGTGGTTATGGTTGCGGTAATTGAATTCTCTTCCATGCGGTTGTCGTCAATTGAATTCTCTTATCCAGTGATAGAATTTTCCTTCTTCTCCCGTGCAGTGCAGAAAAAAAGCTTACTTACCATGCCAGATTACAGTCAAAGGCGATGTAGACCGAGCAAGTGACCAGGAACAGCGAGAAATACCGGGCACCGGTGTTGAGAGAACTGGCCAGGATGATCAGTCCAACACAAGTGATGCCGATCGAGCCCAGCATGTGCCATGTGCGTTCCTTCTTGATGTCTGCGTGATGACATCCATAGACGCTGGTGGCGAACGCGAGAAGGTATGGTGGCACGATCAGAGCATATGTCACCTCTATATCAAGGGGGGAAGCCCCAAGTTTAGCGAGACATCCGCTGAATTGCAAACACAAATATTAAGAAAAAAGGGAAAAGGGAAGCTGAATCACCCACAAAAACATCAAGAGAAAAGGGAAAAGGAAAAAGAAAAACGGGAAAATGCAAGTCTGATATATGCGAGGAGCGCCACACTCACCTCTGGAGAAACCTAGCGTGCCGACAACGGTAGGATAGAAGACGACAATACCCGCGCCCACAGTCAAGAAGATATGGTTCCACACCAAAAACCAAGTCTTGTAGTCTTTGACGGCCAGAACAAAGCCCTGCCACATGGTGACATTGTCCGATTGGGAATCATCCACCACGCCGACGTCCTCGATCAGGCGCCAGATTGCGATGGCGCGTTCCTCGCCCTTGAGCCAACGTGTGTTGTGCGGGTAGTTTGGAAGCAGGAAGACGGCGATGATGGCGAAGCCAAAGGTCATGCAGGCTTCGATGATGAAGAGCCAGCGCCAGCTTTCGAGCCCGTGCGCGCCATTGAGGTCGGTAGTGACTCCTAGGGCAATCAAGCTTCCGAAGGCTGGAAAGAATCTAGTCAGTAATGGTGGGAAGAATCTCGTCAGAAATGGTTGTTGTGTTGTGGTTTATCGCAACGCAATCTTGGCTAGGGGGGCAGGGGCACGGGCTTGATTCACCATTGCTGAGCATGTTTCCGCCGAAGAGAATGGCACATCTCATGGCCATCTCTTTCCTTGTATACCAAGACTAAAATGAGATGGAACGTCGACCGGTCAGTTGTTGTTGGGAGAGAGGGAGGGAGGGCGAGAACTCACGGAAAGCAGAAAGACTGCACCAGGGAAAAACGGGGCTTCAACAATCCCGAGGAAGAATCGGACGGTGACCAGGCCAGTATAGCCCTGCACGGCGGCCGCGCAGCCAGATACTATGGCCCAGATTCCCATCCAGAAGGGCTGAGATCAATTAGCTTGTGATTTCAAGGAGCGACTTTCTTTTGTTTTTCCAAGTCAAGCTGGGAATGGAAAGGATCAGCTCACCAAGTAGAGCGACGGCTTGGATTTGGACAGCATGAGATTGGAGGGAACTTGAAACTAATCCCACTTTGTTAGCCATGTAAGACGGGAGGGGGAATGGGGAAGGCATTCGACTTCATCAGCCATGTAAGACGGATAGGGGAAGGGGGAAGGGAAGACGGCAAGGGGAAAGGGGAAGGGTATCGACCATCTGAGACTTACGAGGCAGTATCCCACGTAGAGAATGGAGAGACAAGTTGCGCTTGACCCGGTGTTAGCGAGCCATCTTCATGAAGCAAGTGAGACTTAGGACGGACAATTGGGTGCTGGTGAGATTGAGGTCTTTTTGGATACCAACAATCTTTGTAAATCCTAGAGCATTTCGATCCTGATATGAAAAACAGTAGGTTCGCGTCAGCCAGCAGTTCTTTGTTCTTTATTCTTTTTCACGCATTGAAAAACCACGACCGGGACTGACGCATCAACACGACCGGGACCGACGCTCTGCGACTCGACTCACGATATAGTTGAGAATGTAGAAAGCCAACAAGGTCGGGAACAAGACCAAGTCCAGCTTCCTCTTCAGCTTTTTCTCGACCTGGGCCCGTCTCTCGGGAGACATCTGTGCAACCATGGCCGCCAGTCCAGGATCCGTGCCTTGGTTTGTCCACACGACTTCGAGTTCCGAGCCGGCGCCAGAGCCGTCGACTTTGGTGGCGCCTGCGTCGGCCGTCTTGCCACCCACGTCGGGCTCGACGACCGCCGTTTCAGTTTTTGCTTCAGACGACATCCTCTGATGATTCTGGGGTGGAGCAAGCCTCGCTGATGATTCCGGGTGGGAGTAAGTTGAAAGTAGAAGTCGATCGAAGGGATTCACAGTAGAAATCAGTCAATGGACTTGGGAATAGATGATACAGTCTCCTTGGGTAATCTGCACACTGGTGAGGGACTTGGACTTCGGCATAGATGTTCTAGTCCGTTGGCCGCTCCCAGGGCAATGGCCTAAATGATATAGACTTCATGATCGTGCAGTCGTTTACTCCATCTTCCTGGCTGCTACAGTACGAGCCGCCATGTCGGAGATAGAACCATGTTGGAAGGCTTATCTTGCGTGAAGCTGTAGCGACGAGCAGGACAAACGAACAAAATTCCATGGGGTACGACCCGATAACACCTGTGGATCTCGGGCCGTTGGTGTTTCGGCGTTTCGGTGCTTCGCTATCAGAACAGTGCATGGTTGGACATGTATGGAGTATGGAGTAGATTGATCTCCACCCGTGCACGGCCGAACTGGCGGGAGTGCATCAAAGCGTGTAGAAGAAGAAGGAGGGGATCAATGATGGCGTCGGTGAGAATTATATATGATATCAATCTACTCGGCTCGCCATTTGCAGCCTTGTAAAGTTGTCACATCCCAATTTATCAGTCATCATCTATCACCCTCTGAAGCTCTAGAAAACCGACCCCTGACTAGCCTCAACATGTCATCTCCGTCTCTGACTCTTCTCAACCCGGCAAGTGTTGCGCCTAGTGGACCTTTCTCCCACGGCGTGGTCATTCCTTCCGGCCATGATATAATCGTTACGGCAGGACAGATTGGGACCGTCGATGCCCAAGGCACCATCGCCGAGTCCTACGAAGCCCAGGTGGCGGCCGCTATTGAGAACCTTGGTGCTGTTCTGGCCGAATATGGAGCCACCCCCAAGGATATCGTCAAGTTGACGTACTACATTGTCGACTATGGTGAGTGATTGGCTGAGGTCTCTCCAATGACTTCGGTGACGGCTGAGATCTCTCCAATGACTTCTGGGCTAACCTGACCTTCTGCGCTTCAGATCTGTCCATCAGGCCCGTTCACATCAATGCCCTGACCAAGTTCCTCGACGGACACAGGCCGGGAACAGCGCTGATAGGAGTGGCAAAGCTGGGGAACCCTCGGCTGAAATTTGAGATTGAAGCGATCGCTGTCGTGAAACCCGGGACCGTGTCCGCACCTGTTGTGTCTGGCCTGGCGTGAGCATCTCGAGAGGGTCTCGCGCCTGATATGTATCATCTACCATACCCCTCCATAGTTGGGGGGACTGCAAAAAAGTCAGATCTGGCTCTGATCAAGGCAATTATTCCAGGGGCAATGTCTCTGATCAAAGCAATTATTCCAAGGGAAATGTCCCTAAAATGTCCTCGAGGCTGATGTTGGCCAGCGGGTCGCTCCAATATAATGACTGCCATTCGTTCAGGTTGTTCTGCCATCGATTGAGTTCCAAATGCATGCTGCCGACACTGGTGTCTCCCAATGTCGGCGGTTGCACCCACTCCATCTCTTGAGGCGGTACTTGGCCCAGGGTTGAATGCACGGCGGTGGCCGTGCTGGTAGACATGACTTCGGCGCGAGATACAGATGTCAAAGACGAATCCTCCTCCAGTTGGTTTGCAATCACCGAGGACGGGGACGTTAGATTAAGACCGGCGGTGTTTTCGGCCGGTTTATTGGCATTGGACTGAAAGAGGCGCAGGACCGAGACTGCAAACAGCCAGTGTCGACTAAGCTTGCGCAGAGACAACAGCCCCGAATCATACTTCTCCCGGTACCGCAGGGCGAGGATGGAGTTGTGGCACTTCAACTCCCCGCTGATCTGGAGCATGGCGGTGAAAAGACTACTGGGCGCCCAAAACCAGCAAGATTGGAGGGCGCCATGTTCCCGTAAGCATTGGAAGTTCTTGATGATGTTGGAGGCAGCGTCGGCACAGATTTCTCTATCGCTCGAGGCAATCCTCGCATGACTGTTTGCGTGGTGGGATGTAGTCCGATGGAACTGGATAAGCACGGTGTTGTATGTGAGATGCAGCAGCGGCACCCAAGGGCTGGTATCCATCATTAACCCGGTAGAGCTTTCACGAAGCACGGGAGGTAGATGCATCGACCATTCGGCCAATGCGCGGTCCACCACCTCCAGCGCATCACTCCTGCTGATGCCCAATCGGCTGGCTTTTGCAGAGAAGTGAGATCGCACCAGCTCCGAGATGGTAGCGCAGAGCTTCGCATGTTGAATGACAAATGCGGCTGGCGTAGGATCGATCGACGAGTCGAAGTCGTCCGGTTGAAGAGGGGGCACATCACAGTCGTCCAAGTTGCTTCGAGGGTCAGTCCAAGCTCGAGCAGGAGGATGAGAGAGAGCGCGAGGATGAAATGAACTGGAACTGTGAAGTCTCGCTTACATAGACTGTGGCCGACCGTAAAATAGAGACACCAAACAATCAAATTGAACCAGACACCACCAGATCATCCTCCAAATGCGCTTGTCCGTGTCCGGCATCATGCTATGGCCGACCTCGCGATGCACTAGCTCGATTGGAGAGTCAGCAACGGCCACGGGAGCAAGCGGACCAGCAATGGGAGAGATGGATCAGGCAGCTAGGAAGCAGTCTTACTCCCGAGTCCGATGGCGGTCCTCGCAGCGACGCCAATCCACCACCAAGCATTTGCACAGATATCGTCCCCGCCATCAGAAAACCAGGTCAACAGCAATGCCGCTTGTACCACATGCATTCGATCCGCCTCGTATCGGCCGTCGAGCAACGCCTTGGCCCGACGAAAGAACGCCGCCTTCAAGTCCTGGACGTTCTTGAACGACGTGGTGACGTGGCTCCCCGCCAAGCAGACGGCCTGGAGGAGAAGAATGGGAGGGGACGACTTGGACTGGTGGTACTGGGCCAGAAACTTGTCTTTGTCAATGATGGGGAAGCCCGGGTGGACGGAAGCAAAGTAGTCTGCTATCAGCGCATCCGACACGTGGGCCGGGGGCAGCACAAATGCGTCCTTGGGGATGAGATTCGGCGTCGCCGGGCCCTGCGAGTTCCTAAAGCCGCGCGGAACGTAGATGTCGGAGCAAGGGTAGTGATACACGTGGTGGTTGGCCGATCTTTGGCGCGTGAGGTAGTTCAGATTGGCCAGTTCGCTCCCCACGTAGGTCGACCGGGCTCGGATCGGGTTGCACTGGAGATCTTGGGTGAAGAAGTCGACGAGATGTTCTTTGGCCAGCTCGAAGTCACCTTCGTACCCGGGGGCGGTCGGCTTGGGACTGCCTTCCCCTTCGCCTTCCCCATCTCCTTCCCCTTCCGCAGTCTCATGGCTCCGGGCCTCTGGAAAGCGGGCTTGAGGACTCTCTGCAAGGTGAGCGGCTTGCCGTGCATCGTGGCCGTTGCTGTTGCCGCGCTTGCGCTTCCGGCGCTCTGCCACGGTGCATTGAACACTGGCCGACTTGCAATTGCTGCAAGGGAACCCGTTGATGGCGCCGTCGCACTTGACTTTGCGGGCATGGCAATCCACACAGGCCCTTTCTGTGGCCAGTCAGCTCTCCGACTCCCTGCTGAACGCGACACATGATCCTGGCCATCACTTACTCACAGGCCGAGTAGACGGCCCTCGAGATGCGCTTGCTGGAGCGCCGGGCCTGGATTTGTCCATGAGTCGGTCCTAATGTGTTCCCACAATGATAGGAATGGAAGGATATCTTCTGTCTTCTGATTTCGCGAGGGTTGAGGCCGAGGGGTACAGTATATGACATCTTTGCCGAAACTCCAGGACGCCGACAATGCCGAAACACCGAGTTGCCCAGCGGGGTGAAAAGGCTTAGGCTAACGAGGCTGGATCCACCACTATCAGATACGGCTCGATGGAGGAGATTGCGTCTATTTTCGAGGGTTGCCTATGTCTCACGGCCTCTATAATGACCAATTGATTTGGTTGAATTCCTCCATGCGTGGAAAAACAATGTTTGTATTGCAATATGGAGTCATAGTGTCTGGTCTGTAAATAGAAGAAGAAGGGATCATTCTGTTGACCCTCAGGAGCTTCCAGCCTGCAGCTTCCTATCAACGGCATTCTCAACCAGATCCACGTGGTTGATAGTCTGTCCATCATGGCACCTGCAGCTGAATGGCAGCAAATAGCAACGGTACGTGCTGTGGCCATATTGGACAGGCACTACAGCCGCTGACCTGCTATGTTGAAGCAAACCCAAGAAGCATTGGCCGCAAAGATCCCCGCGGCCTGGCGTTTGCCTCAGCAGTTCCTGGACTCACAGCAGAAAGACGTGTCTGGAATCCCCGCCGTCTGTGGCATTCTATCTGAGGACGACCTGGTGATTACTGCTGCCGACGCCACCGAACTCTTGCACCAGATTCACACGGGGGTGTGGACTGCTGAACAGGTCTGCCTCGCTTTCTGCAAACGAGCGGCAATCGCTCAGCAATTGGTAAACGCCTTCAGTCACTGCTGGCCGCAACCATGGCTAATTCAGCGCGCTCCAGGTGAACTGTTTGACGGAAATCTGTTTCGACGAAGCGTTGCAGCTCGCACGGGAACTGGACCGTCACTACCAGGCCACTGGCCAGCTGAGAGGACCGCTCCACGGCCTTCCAGTCAGCATCAAGGACCATGTCAACGTCGCAGGGCTGCGATCAACCCTCGGCTACTGTCGCTGGGCCGACAACCGGCCCAGTGAAGATGCGGTCTTAGTCCAGGCTCTCAAGCAGGCCGGGGTGGTGATCTTTGTCAAGACGACGATGCCCGTCACTGGCATGGCAATTGAAACCGTCAGTCAGCTCTGGGGTCGCACCAAGTGTGGTTTCAATCGAGCCCTGGTATCTGGAGGAAGCTCGGGGGGTGAAGGAGCACTGGTTGGTATGTACGGGTCGCCCATAGGTATTGGAACTGATATTGCCGGTTCCATCCGGGTGCCGTGTGCCTTCAACGGGCTGTATGGCATTAGGCCATCCACGCGCCGCCTGAGCTATGAAGGCATTACTTCCAATGTCAGCGGCGGGCGCGCAATTGCTGCCGCCATTGGGCCCATGTGCCATTCAATCCGTGACGTCGAACTGATATGTCAAGTGGTGACCAAAGCGAATCCATGGTATCAAGACCCCAATGTTGTCCAGAAGCCATGGCTACCAAGACCTGCAATTCCAACCAAACTGTCCATCGGCCTCTTGAAATTTGACCAGGTCGTAATGCCTCATCCACCCATACTGAGAGCGCTGGACGATGCGGCAACTAAGCTGAAGGCGGCGGGCCATGAAGTGGTTGAATTCACCCCCTATCAGCATCAGCGAGCCTGGGACATTGCTGTAAGGCCCATTGGTCTACCCAGCATTCTCTTCTCGAATGTGTGACTGATACCCTATGCACTGTCTAGTATCCTCTCTATTATGCGACCGGGGGCAAGGAAATGCAAGCCCATCTCGATGTTACAGGCGAACCATGGCCGAAGGCGGCAGCCAAATTGAGCGCGAATCCAGACCTGCGAGAACAGTCGGCAAGCGAATTGTATGCTGTATGTGATGCTGTGATCGATCGTTGGAGGCACCAGCAAGAGGATAGCTAACAGAAAGACTAGCTACACAACGCTCAGGACACCTACAAGAAGGAATACCTCAAGCACTGGAACGCGACCGCGAAATTGACGTCGACCGCAAGGCCCATTGATGCGCTTCTGTGTCCGATCAACCCATGCGCCAGCTACCCCCACGACTTCTTAACGTAAGCCACAATACTCAATCTCTCGGGAGATGGGAAATGAGGAATAAGAAATGGCGCTTTCCATACTGATGATCGAGCAGATGGTGGGGATACGCCGCTCAATGGAATCTCCTGGACTACCCGGGCGTGATCATTCCCGTCGGATTCGTTGACAAGGATCGAGATGTCAAAGACACAAGCTACAAGCCTACCTCTGCGATGGACAAGGAGCATTATGAGCTATGTATGTCTCCCTCATTGCGACTCAGAATGGTTTCAGGACTAACCAAGTGGCAGATGATCCGGATTTGTGGCACAACGCACCCATCTCGCTACAGCTGGTGGGAAGACAGTTCGAGGACGAGAGACTCCTGGCTGTAAGTGCAGTCGTGGATGAGGTGGTGAGTGGAGGGAATGCATAGAATGTAACCATGAGGTGATGGTCTCCATACCGTGGTGAAGGACTGAATGGAAGCTACGAGGAGTACAGGACTTTCCTGTCAAAGGTTGAATTGTTCCATGTTGTCTATCAACGGGGTATGGGGAGAGCCCAGACTATATAGGTGTGCGTGTACCTATACCTATACCACACCTATACCAGCCTTCTGGTTAAAGGGCAAGGCTGGGAATGTCTAAGTTTGACATTTCCAAGTGGCAAGGATCTTGAATCGAAGGCATCCAGTCGGATAGACAGGACCATGGTTCTGTCCGGGTCCTGGTCCGTCTTATGGTTTGACGCGAAAGTCCTCCCTCCTAGCCACTGTAGCTCTATAGGAGCGACACGATTCGCAGTACAGGATCTTGCCATGACCGCCGTAGGATAGATACATGTAGCCGGCCAGTCATCTCCGTAGTGGCATGGCAATCCCTCGGCATTTACTATAGCCCTAAGCCTCTGGTCTGTCCCCGGCGTTTCGGCGTATACGCTGCTCCTGGACTCTCCTGTCAGAATTGCATCTTTCTCCACACACCGACTTGCCAGGGAGGGGATCAAGAGACTGGGATCGATCTAGGTGACTCATATCCCCCGTTACGTCTAATTAGAGCTTACGGGTTCTAGAAGGGCCATCTACATACCATATAGATTTGCCGCTCAGATTCATCAGTCTCGGTTTCAGTTTATATGCGAGGCTTCAACATTCACGACTACTGAGGACTGAGGACCGTTGGCGCGATCGAAGCTTCAGCATTCACGACTCCTGAGGACTATTGGCGCCTTCAAGATGATTGATATCCTTGATCTGATCGTCGAACGCGGCGGCAATCCCGAGCTGGCCTGTCAGTCTCTCCGGAAACGCTACGCCGACGAAAGTCTCGTCCACGAAGTCATCGGACTCTGGCAAGATGCATACAGCGCTCGCTACCGGGCTCAGCAGGCACGGGCACAGATGAACCAGACCCAGAGGGAGATTGGGCACATGCATAGATCCGGACAGGATCCCACGACGTTACTGGCCAAGAAGGATAAGCTGGACGAGGAGATCAAGGCACTGGAGCACGAAGCCACGCGCCGAGAGGACCTACGGGACAGAAGGTGTAAATTGATCCCAAATTATGTGCATGAGAGCGTACCGATCAGCGAAAACGAGGTGAGTGATTCCGAAGGGGGAAGTGGTTTCTTTTTTGAGAGATATATATACATATACACAACCCCACCCCCCGACCCCCCAACACTGCAGTCATGGCTTTACACCGAGTACAAGCTGATTGTTCCGCTAGGACATGAATGAAGTGGTGGCAAGCTGGACTCCCGCGGGCGTTGAGTTGAAGAAGAAGGACTGTCTGGCTCATCATGAGGTGATGACCAGGGCGTGGCCTTTTGCTGATTTCGCTCGTGGTGAGAGAATGAAAGAAGCCTGCAGGAGCTTGCGAGGCTGAAGCCCCTAGTCCCCTGAGCCCGCCGATCGAGGGGAGACAGTGCTGACTCCCGTAAAATCACAGGCGCCAAACTTGTCGGCCATAGAGGCTATTTTCTTCGGAAATGGGGAGTCTTCTTTAACCAAGCCTTGATCAATTATGGTCTTCATTTCCTTTACGCCAAAGGCTACGATCCCATCCAGCCGCCTTTCTTCATGAAATCGGAGTACATGGCCAAGACGGCCCAGCTGGATGACTTCGAAGAGTCGTTGTACAGGGTGGTAGAGAACAACCGCCCAGATTCGAATTCCGACGCCAAGTATCTGATTGCCACCAGCGAGCAGCCGCTGTCGGCCATGTATGCCGATGAGTGGCTGGCGGAATCGGATCTACCTCAGAAGCTGGCCGGGTATAGCTCCTGCTTCAGAAAGGAGGCAGGCTCCCACGGGCGAGATGCTTGGGGGTTGTTCCGCGTGCACCAATTTGAAAAGGTAAGTCAAGCAAAGCATGTGGTCGTCATCGGTCGCGAGACGGACAGAATCTCCCTTTCCTTCCCATATCAGTATCTCAATTTGGTGATGGTAGCTAATCCACCTTGTTTGGGCGGGACGCAAAGATCGAGCAGTTTCTGTTTGTAAAGCCCGAGGACTCCTGGCAGAGTCTGGAAGACATGAAGTCGGTGGCCGAGGAGTTTTACCAGTCTCTGGGACTGGCCTACCGGGTGGTGGCCATCGTCTCTGGCGCCCTGAACAACGCTGCGGCAAAGAAGTACGATCTGGAAGCCTGGTTTCCGCACCAGGGCGAATACAAAGAACTCGTCTCCTGTACCAACTGCACCGACTACCAGACCCGCGAGTTGAACATTCGATACAGACCCAAGGAAACCAAGGCGGACACGGGGGTGCGCAAGGCGTATTGCCACGCCTTGAACGGCACGCTCTGTGCCACTGAGAGAACGCTGTGTTGTCTTCTGGAAAACTACCAGACCGACCAAGGCGTCGTGGTTCCTGACGCTTTGAAGCCTTATATGCCCCCAGGCACACCGGACCTGATTCCCTACACCACAGATCTACCCAGACATATGGGGGCGAAGAAGGAGAAGGAGCCTCGGTGAGGGCAACCTTCCTGTTGCTGGTTGGACAATGTACCATGTAATCGATCGAGTCGATCTTGCCATCCCGCCTCAATACATCTCACGCCTTGTACAGTCTCTAGTATACACATGGCTATTACTGTATAGTATTAGTATACAGAGTACTGTTCCAATGGCTCATCTCGCGCTACCTTAGTTCGACGAGCTCTAGGTTATTGTGCCCGAGGATTGACTAGACCGGATCTCGTTCGGAGTACAATGAGGAATCCAACGCCAAAGCCTCAAATTCACTCAACTCATATTGTGACGCAGTGGCTACACGATCTCCAAGGTTGCCGTCATCCAGTACACCACCACCATGAACCTGAGGTACACGACATTTACAGAGCTTCAAAGAGGCTCGGGGAAGAATAGCCACGGGGTCGGTGGAACAACAACGCATGCTCCGGAGAGCCATATTCCGGTGTCTCACACGGCTTTGTGTGATCAAGAGGTTAAGCGGCCATCAGAGAAATTCTCATTTCACTGGCACATCACCCCTAGAACAACAAAGACTTCTTACAAGCCGCTACCACGGCCAGGATCATCCCTTTGTCACCAAATATGTGAGCTCGGGCATCCACATTCCCCGAAACGTGAAGCTAAAAAAATTGCAAAACATGTTGTTCCAATGTCAACATTCCAAGCACTTGGCTGGAAGCTCCTTTTCTCTGCGCTTCCAACCCTGTTCTTACTTGATCTGCGGGTCTAAACAGCAGAACAGAACATTATGAAACAAAGGCACCATATGTCCGAGACAGATCTTAGCTCAACGCGGTCTACAGATCAGATCAAGACTCTGCAACGGGCTTAAAGAGTAGGCCACAGAACGACAGTGATCCAATATGGTTCCAGCTTCCACCGGCTTTTGGGACAACTTGCCCAAGATTCAGTTGACCAAAAACGCGCGGAGAGAACTCGATCGGAGAAACACTCAAGCGGCTCTAAACTCCCAATTGGCCGACCTACACTCGCACCAGCAGATCACACAGACACAGTCTACGTGCTCACAGTCTACATGCTCTCAGTCTCTCATACCAGCTTCTGAATATCTCGGTAGTTGTAGACCGAAGACTTTGGCGAAGATCAAACTGTCTGCTAGAAACGGCGGCCCATATTTATCAGACCTCAGGGATGTACGGAGGCGACATCCATTCTGTTCTCAACACTAACTAACAATCTCTAGCCTCTCAACCGAGCGATGTCATTTAAGCTAAATCCCTCGGACACTGAAAGGGACACTGAAATGGACACTGAAATAGCGCAACGCAGCCAATCTTGCGGCCCGTATGACGGGAATTTTGTGCAGAACCTCGAGGATGGTGGTGTCTACCTTGACGCCCATGAGTTCCCAAAACCAGCCAATTGGACGGAGATCCATCAACGATTGTCGCAACCCAGACCATCTCTTTCGGGCTCCATGTTCTCAGAAGAAGAGTTTTTGGACTTTGTGGCAAGGGATGAATCGGCAAAGAACGAGAAGATGGTCAAAATACGAGTGATTCCTATCATCGAAGGGAGAGTTAAGGATTGGAAATGCGTTGCCGGTGAGAATCCATTCACCAACCTCGACCCCCTAACAGCTTTCACGCTTGCTCCCGGGACTCCAGACACCTACTACGGGGCGCGTCCGGAGCAGCTTAGTCTACAAGTGCGTGATGAACTCAGCAACCAGATTATCCCATCGCCAGAAGTTGGTCTTCCTATGGTACCGAATTTCTTCCTCCAAGTGAAAGGACCGAATGGAACCCCGGCTGTCGCGATACGTCAAGCTTGCTACAATGGTGCACTAGGAGCAAGAGGTCTGCACAGCTTACAGTCATACGGCCAAGATCATCTACCGTCCGACAACAATGCTTATACAATCACGAACACATACTTGGACGGTACGCTCAAGATGTACCTCACTCAGCGCACTCAGTCATCTAGTCCCGGCAGTCGACCCAAATATTACATGCATATGCTCGGAGGTTGGTGCATGACGGGCAATCTCAAAACATTCCGAGAGGGTGCTGCATACTACCGAAACGGCATGGAATGGGCAGAGGAGCAGAGGAATGAGGCTATTAGGCGGGCAAACGAGAGAGTGGGCTGGGAGCCCCCTCGCCGGTATCTAAGGAAACAGTGAGTGTGGACCGAGGAAGCTCAAGGCTACGATGACGGTTGGACAACAAAAAGGACTTTTCGATTACAGCAACGACATTTGAATTGCCTTCTCCTATTCGGCAGTCCACAGTTTCGGCACTGCCATGATCCCTGCTGATTTTTCAACGATTGTTCTGGCATTATCTATCGATAAAGTGGTCCAAGACCTCGGGTCTGCAACATGCAACCATGGATAGCTTCGGCCATTTCCGGAGGAACGTTCCAAGATACGACCATGAGACGTACCAAGAGAGGGAAGCGGTATGGTCAGACAATACTCCCGCGCCATTCAAGCCGAAGAACGAAACCAAGAACGAAAAACCAAAAACGAAAAACCAAAAACGAAAATGGAACCCCGTCAATTCAGAAATCTCGTCTCGCGCAGGATCCCTATCGAGCACAGCTGGCCTATTTTCTCTTTTTTCTTTTCTCTTCCTCTCGCTACCCACACTGCTCAAGTGAAAGTGACATGCTCCATTTTTGTCACATAGCAGCTGGAATTATCATAAGAATAGATCGATGATTCCATTTATGGCTTGTATGTTTGTCACCTAGCCGCTATAATTACCATAAGAGTAGATCAATGATTCCATCTGTGCCTTGTAGGACCGAGTCAAGCTGGTACACTCTATCTCCAAGGCGGTTGACCGTCGGATATGCGATATGCCACAGGGAACAAGCTACACGTGTGTATGGGTCAGGGTCAGGTGGAACGGCAGGTCGTTCCGGAGATAATCCTGTCGAGTAGGGTCGGCCTTGGGCTCTAGTTTATGAGAGGAGCAAGTGTAAAGAGAATGGCAGGATAAACGAGACCGTCGAATCAAGGCGAAGGTAACAGTCAGAGAGAGGATGAATCGAAAGATGAACGGGAGAGCACAAGGCTGAGTCGCGAGGGGAAGGATCTAAAGCGGCGTGGGCTTGGTGAGCACCCACGTGATCTGATCTCACCTCCCGAGCATTTTTCCGTCCGCCGGCGACGTCAATAAATCGTCAAAGTCGCCAAACACTGGCCGGTCCTCAGAGTTTGACCGCAACAATTACACTTGTGGGCTTGTCGCGAGTCTGTCGATGCTTTCAAAGGACTACAAACGCATGTTCAACAGTTAGAGGACTGCTGGGGCAGGGTCTGTTGCACCTTCCAGAGATCTAAAATGCCGCCGCCGATACGTGACCCTACCAAGCGGATGACCGCAAACCCAGCAAGACCCGTTGCAAGGTATCGTCCAGGAAAACCAGTTGCGGGCCAAGAATCGTCTGACGAAGAAGAAGAATCGGAGGAGGAACGACAAGTCCAAGCCCAAGCCCGGCCAAAACCTCAAGCGAGACCTCAACCAAAGCGGCCCACCCAGGCACCCGTACAGCAAGACAGCGAGGACGACGATGAGGACGGCTTTGTCACGGAACCTGAGGATGAAGAAGAAAATCAAGATACAGCGGCTAGGACGCCACAGCAGTCAGCAAAGCCTACTTCGGCGCAGTCTAGACCAGTGCCTATAAAGCGGATTGAGACACAAGGCGAGTCGGAAGAAGACGACGACGATGATGAAGAAGAAGAAGAAGAAGAAGAAGAAGAAGAAGACGGATCTGAAGATGAAGAAGAAGACTCATCGGAAGAGGAAGAGAGTTCATCTGAGGAGGAAGAGCCTCGGAGGAAGTTCCAGCGGCCTACGTTTATCAAGAAGTCCGAACGGAAACAAACACCCACAGATGCGTCCTCCATGCAGATGACCAACGACGCTGGAGCTGGAGCCGAACTCGACACGCAATCACGACGACTAGCGCAAGCGGAACAACTGATCAAAGATCGATTAGAGCGCGACGCATTGGCGCGCGCACAGGGAAGGAAGGCATGGGACGATGATGATGACGTGCTGCCGGAGTTGATGGTGGACGACACGGACGGCGTTGACCCGGAAGCGGAATACGCGGCGTGGAAGTTGCGAGAACTGAAACGATTGAAGCGCGACCGTGAAGCCCTGGTGGCGCGCGAGCAGGAAATCGAGGAGATCGAGCGTCGGCGCAATTTGACGGCCGAGGAGCGCGAGAAGGAGGACCAGGAGTTTGTAGAGAAGCAGCGCGAAGAGCGCGACGCCGGACGGTCTCAGGCACAGTTCCTGGCGCGGTATCATCACAAGGGCGCCTTTTTCCAGGGCGACGAGGCCACCGAGATCCTCAAGCGCCGCGACGTCATGGGTGCTCGTTTCGAGGACCAAGTTTCGGACAAGTCGACTCTGCCGGAATACATGCGTCTGCGCGACATGACCAAGCTGGGCAAGAAGGGCCGCACGCGCTACACGGATCTCAAAGGCCAGGACACGGGCCAGTTTGGCGACGACGTCAAGAGATGGAAGGGCAGCAACGGTCCGGGCGCGCTAGGGTCAGGAGGCGGCGGAGCCTTTGCAGGTGTCGACGATAGATTCCTGCCTGACGATCAGCGTGGTGGCGGAAGATCCGCTCCCAGCGGTGCCAATGCCACCGCGCTGGCTCCCAGGTCCGACAGGACTCGAGATCGGAAGAGGTCGTATTCTGCATCCAGGTCGAGGTCTAGGTCCCGCTCCCGTTCGCCGCGGAGGCGAAGAAGAGATGACGACCGGTACGGTGACGGTGATGGTGACCGTGACCGTGTAAGAGACCAGAAGCGACAACGGGCATGATATGGAGATCTGAGTCGCCATAATTATCATGAGGTAGACACAGTATCTGGAATTGTACATGATTACATGATCCTGAACCACGAATGGCTTTGCCTACTGTACTATTTCTACTGTATTTACGTGATTCCGAACCACGAACGGATTTGCCTACTGATTGACTTCTACTGTATTCCGTAAAGAACGTGAGATGGAAACACCCACCGAGTACGTAGGCTAGGGGCATCTGCTCGGCTCAGTACCTAGGTGCAAGTGTAGCGTGTAGCGTGTAGCGGGATAGTAACGGCTAAGGCCTGGAATTGATTCTTGATTCCTTAAGTGAGAGTGAGAGTGAGAGTGAGGAGAGAAGAACGGGTACGGGAACGGGTACGGACGTGGCTTCGTTTGATGTCACGATAGATAGATGTGGACAGGACAGAAAGGGACGGTATCCCCATCGCTCGCGGCACTACTACTACTACTACTACGACCCTGAATGTGTCGACACGGGCATAATCGATCGATCGAAGGCGAACTCGTGCTATTCAATAATCATTCATTCATTCCTTCCTTCATTTATTTATATATTTGGGTGTCATTGAGCATTAAGTCATTAAGCATTAAGTCATTGATCATCGTCATTGATCATCAATCCTTCTCTAGAGTGGTCCCATTCGACCACGTAGATGTAGATGTAGATGTATGTAGATTTATGTAGTCAGACTCATGCAGTTAAGGAGTCAAGATCAAGTCGACTAACTTGGGTAGGTAGGTACATCATACGCATATGCATACAACAAACAGCAAACAGCATAGTCTCCGAGATCTGCACAAAGGGACCATCTAGTCAACCACCAGTCAACCAGTTAACCATCTAACCAGTCAACCAGTCAGCCAGCCAGCGTAATTGAGGTAGTGGTGTTGATAGTGGTAGGGAGATACAGCAACCCTGGGTCGTTTATCATGGTATCTTGTCGCCATGCTCACCTGTGTTCGTGTTCGTTTGGCTGCGATGTGGGATATAGATACAGACATGACTTGCAGATGTAGACATGACTTGCAGAAACAGACATGACGTGACTTGCTCGACCATTACTTAGGACCTGTCCTAACCTGGCGTCATAAAGTCGGCGGTGTCTGTGTAAATGCAAAGACAAACGTAAACGTAGACGTGAACGCAAAGGCAGAGGCAAATGCAAACGAGAACGTAATGGCAAAAGCAGAGAGAGGCAAACGTAAACGCAACCGCAACCGCAAACGTAAACGTACAAGTAAACGTCAACCGAAAAGCATACGTAGAAGTAAACGTCAACACAATGTCCCTGTTTGTCGGAAAGGGGTATAAAAGATTGCTCAACTCGAGCCGACGCACTCTCAACCCTAACACACTCCCATTCCCATTCCAAATTGACCAATCTCCAACAAGTAACACCACTCCAGGAATATATCATATCAAATCCTCTGAGAAACCCCTAGAAATGGATGCCTCCCGTAAGTCATGTTCGATGCATCCTTCCCTGAAACCGTGGAAAAAGCCATGCCGCTGACCCCAGAGTCATAGTCATTCCCGTGGGTCCCACCCAAATCCCAATGCCAGGGGGCACGCCTCCTCTCGCCGAACCTAGACCGGATCCAGGACCTCCAGGCTCGCCGCAACCGATCCGAGCAATGTCCGGGAAGAATCTTGTCCCTCGCTGATATCTGTCCGACAGAAGCCAGGGCCAGGGGGCACACCTCCTCTCGCCGAACCTAGACCGGATCCAGGTCCTCCAGGCTCGCCGCAACCGATCCGAGCAATGGCTGGTAAGAATCTTGTCCCCCGCTGACATCTCTGTCTAACAGAAACCCGGCTGACTGACTGAACAAGACATCTTCTGCCGTGATCCAATCCGACCAAGAACCCCTCCAAACGTACCTTGGGACGATCTCCAAGGCACAGGCAGGGGAAATGGCGTTATTGGAATGACTGAACGAGAAGTCGATAGCGGCGAGAGCACCACTCCTGCCGATAGCCCTCCCCACAGCCCACATCGTTAAGGAGTACTCGAGTTCCACGTTTCCGTTCAACTCGGGGACTGTAGCTGGCCAAGAATGGTCATCTGTCGGATGTAAGACAAGCTGGGACAATTGGACTGGATACCGCATCTCCAGGAGCATGCTCAGGTTGAGGCCTATGTAGTTGTTGGGGCCAACTGGTGCTGGTCCTGATTTGTGCTGGTCCTGATTCTGCTGAAGTCGACATAGCACTGTGTCATGCCGAGTCTACCATGAGTGCCACTGAACCCATGGGACGGGATCTGGCTGAAACACCACACATGGCATAGTGACCAGCAATACCATTCGACTGATTCTTCCTAGACCGTCCTGAATAGCACTGTTCAATGTCGCCATGCCTATCGTTTGCCCTTGACGCTACCACTGCAGCCTGGTGTCACTTTCGAGTGCCACTACCTTGTCCAAACTCGGTGTGCATGATGGTGTAATTCATGCCCTGGCACTCGGTCATCTTGAACGCGTTCTTGGCCTCTTCCGCCACCATCACCATCGTCTTGAACTTCAGGTGGTCATTCTCACTTGACCCCCTGCCTCTCCAACTCCTTCTCACGCTCCAAGACATGGTCTTCGAACTTGATCAAGAACACCGTGCGATTTGGCCAGACATCGGTGGCGGTGTTGTGCGCCGAGGCTTTACACTCGAACCCGGCGCCGTCACAGACTCCTTCAATGATGCCGGCAATGTAAGCCGCAACGCTCAACTGGCTCATCTCCTTGGGCACGGAGATATACTGGTTGGTCAGCGGGGTGTTGTCGATGATCATATATTCGCCCGGGTTGGTCGTCGACTGCTCCAGAGAGTCGGCCGGGCGCGAGAAGAGCAAAGGGTACAATTTGGTCGTCAGAAGCGTGAGCAGCGGGAGCAGTCGAAGCGGACGGTTGGACCCGGCTGCGCCACCGCTCGAACTCGTCGAGGACGTCGAGCTCGAACTGCCTGCGGGGCTGGAGCGGTAGAGGATCAGATCTAGCATCTTGAGCCCGAGAGGGTATCCTTGTTCGTTCAATCTCTTCTCGAAATCCTGGATCCCCTGCACTCGTCGGTGCGCGTACGACACCATCTCCATAAACAGGTAGGCAAAGCTGGCCCGGGAGAGTTCGGCGTTGCGGGAGCGGTTCAGGTTCCGGTCGTAGATGGTCTTGCGTGTAGAGGGGTATCGAAGTGTAGCCGTCGTAGTCGTACTCGCTCCCGTGCTCATGCTTGTGCTCGTCGGGTTCGCCGTGCCGCCGACAAGAGTGCTGCTAGAAGTAGAGTATTGAGACAAATGCCGCGACGGCGACGACGCGAGTGAGGGCGGGTAAGAGGGCATTGTGTGGCCTGGACGTGCGGCGGCCATTGCAATGAGGTGAGGCCCTGTTGGAAATGAAACTGTTGGACCTGATGCTGGTCTGAATGTATGGAGTAGTCTCTCATACTCCGCACTACAGAGTACTACGACGATAGGTGAATTAGTGCTCCAGAGTAGAGCCAAGTAATATTACTTAACACCCTATGCCCAGCGGTAGATGCTAGATACATGTAATCTATTCGTAACCCCGTATTTGTAAGTGCTATGTAGACACGTACTGTGAGGATACGAAACAACATAACAAAGAGGCATGACGGGCTGATTTTGTATCGCTCTACTGCTTCTCGTCCAACCCTAGCCATAGAGTCTTAGACTCCATACTCCGTAAATGGGTAATCCGTCCCTTCACGTGGCTTGAACGGCGGCCTCGCGCAAATCATGCGAACGTGTACAACTCTCTGGACATATCTATCGAAGAGTGAAGCTCGTTGCGGAGTGACAATCTGCCTTGCCAACATCTACCCGCAGTGCTGTTCAATCTATATGCCATCCAGGATGGCCCTGTCCACCTCGTGTGTGATCCAGTCTGTCCTCGGCCTCCTCGGGCGGGTTTTTTCTCTTGCCCCCTGGAGCCTCTGAAGAGCTATCCCATTCTTGAAAGGCCTTTTGTCGTTGCCTTGAATTCCATTGTAGGGTCCTGGAGATGCTATTGACCCACTCTTCGATTCGTCGGCCGGGTGGCATCACACAGGCGAATGGATACCTCGACGCCGAGATGGTCACATAATCTCCCGGAAATAATTCAATCCTATAGAGGGTTATGAAAGCCCTCAGCAATGCATGGCCGGACTTACCTCTCCCGTCCATCGAAACTCGCCCAACAGTTTGCTCTAGCATCGTAGGGGACTCCCAACCTCAGGACAATGGTATCAGGCAGGATGATGGGTCGGAATGACAGTGTGTGCGCGCAGATCGCCGTGACAAGAATGACCGGGTTTTCAGGATGGCACAGTGATCCGCCAGCGGCCAGATTGTAAGCTGTGGAGCCAGTTGGCGTGGCCACACAAATTCCGTCGGCTTGGACGGTCGTCAAGTGTTCTTCGTCGCCGAAGAGTTCAATGGTTGACATGGTCGGGTTCGGCCCTCGGTCAACCACAATATCGTTCAGAATCTCGAATGTCCCGTCGGGTTTATGTGTGTTTCGGTCGTCCGCTTCCTCGCCAATTAGCTCCTCCACGATATCTCGAACCTCGGCATCATCATCTCGTCGGCAGCATCGCATGACGGTGCCTTCGAATCGTAATCTCAGGCTAATCGTGACACCGTCCCTGAGCGCCTGTGTAAGTGTGCTCTCGTAATCACCGAAATCGAACTTGGTCATGAACCCCAATGAACCCAAAGAAAAGGACAACACCGGGGGAACCACGGTCTGGAATAGCCAACTCGCATAAAGCACTGTTCCATCTCCTCCAAGCGTGATGACAAAGTCAAATGTGTGCGGGTGCTTGCGTGCCAGATCCACAGTCCAGTACTTCAACCGGTCTTTGTACGAAGGGTCCTCGGCAATCAGACCCTCTGCGTCAAATATCTTATTGTCCTTCATCGTATCCTCCACATAAACAATATATGGCACAGACCGATCCTTGGATAGGAGCCATTTAACCACGTCCCTTGTTTTGCCAATTAGGGTCTTGTCGTACACCTTGGTGAGCAGGAAAATCGACCGTATCTTTAATTTGGCTTTGAGATTGGACAGTGTCTTTGCCAAAGACCTCACGCTCATTGCCATATCACTCAATTGTTTCTTTGTAAGCAACCGGGATTCTGTCGCGCGCACCTCTTCTCTGCGCGTCCTGTCCCCATTTGGAGGCCCGGCCGGCGCCTTTCTATCAACCTCGTCAATCTGTTCGAGCTTGGATTCGACTATAGGCTGTTGTCCCAAGGAGGTCTTCTCGACCAGGTTGTGGACCAGGCATTGCGATTTCGGTTGTCGTAAATGGTATTTAGATGGGATTTCCACTTCGGGGTGCGCAGGGAGGACGACCGAAGATTTGCGGCGGCGGACACTGTCAGAATCGAAGACGACTTCGATTTTGCGGTTGAACTCGTCCTCGCTGCTGGAATCACCTTGTCGCTGGAGGGGCATCAGTCTTGCAATCAGAGGGCTTGTGCGAACAGAACCGAGGAACGATAGTCATCAGACCGTTGACTTTAGCGCGATCACACGTACAATTTCTGGTATACACTCACTGATCCTCCGGCTCAGGTGTGGAGCTTCGCTCCTTCCAGACATGATGGAGAGGCGACGAGAACCTGAGACGAGGTGATGATGACCGTCTAATTGTCCGCTGAGAGACACACGTCTTCAGGAGGCTCTCATGATGTTCCTATCCGGAAGAGCAGGGAAGTCTGTGGCAGTTGCTGGTGGGAAGGAAACCTAACCCATCAATAATGACGACAATCGCGGGCAGTTCAACAGTCAGCCGCAGGCTGGAGTTGATGATTCAGCAATCTCTTTTGGGTAATGCACATGTTCTCGGCAACAAAACGGCTGTAGCGCCAGCATGTCAGCTTGTGAAGTCAGTAAAGTCAACGCTGCCTACACTACACCTTTCCTTTCCTACTACACAGACCATTGAGGGTGGTAGAACAAATTTATTTCAGTTCCGTGGTATCACTGCCTAAATACCATTGACCACAGCCAACGCCAAACGCACTGGGTATCACTTTTGTTCTGTCTCTCGTAAAGTCATCAGTTCGTCGCCTTTGTACAGCTCCAATCACAGCACAGGGACTATTGGTGTGCTAGGTTGCCGCTGTTCTTGCAGATGGTGGCCTACTTGGCTGGCCGTCCTCATGCTTGGAAGCGACAACTCCTCGATATCCTGTTGCTTGGCTGGACTCTCGACTGCCGATTCCGACTCCAATGATGAAGGTGAAGCAGACACCGATGGACTCTCGGTTGATGATGCAACGGCAGACATCAAGTCTTGCCGATCTATCCCTGAATCTCCACTCGACCATTCTGCCATATTCTCGACTTGATCGCTAGTTGAACCTGTGTCAACGTTTGAAATGTGGTGCTGAGACGTCCGGTTAAGACCCGACATGCTCATAGAAGCATCCACTTGTTGCTGGAAGGGTATGGCCTCATAAAAGAGCATGAACCCATTCCCCGTGTGGAGGACATCTTCCTCGGTGATTTTGGTCACCAAGTCATCATTGAAGGAATACCACTCCTTGCCACGTTGTCCCAGGGCGACATAGTGGCCATTGTCGTGCCGGCCATAATGCGTCACCATGCATTTAAGTTCATATTCGGCTTCGACAGAGGAATTGTTCCGGACAATCGGGGCGCACCACCTGCTGAGAAAGCGCAACTTCGCAGGCACGGCAACGCATGCCCTGTTTTTGAGTTGATTCCCGTAACCATCAAAGATACTTCGATTGATATGGAGAACCAGGTCCTTGGGCAATCTTCCCACCGTGATCTGCTTCGTCTTTGTCCTCAAAATTGGCTTCCTTTTCACCGGCTCCTCGACCGACTCCTCATACGAGCCATTGGCGCCATTGTGGGCCAATTTCGTACAGTTCTCACACTCGACTCCCTCAATCTCTTCTGGAGCCGTATACTCATTCAGAAGGTCCTCTAGGTCGGAAGGGCCCCGAATGCCCATATTTAGGGTTAGGCAGTTGAACTGATTGAACGAAAAGCCTTCCGTGAACCCGCAAGTCCTGCATTCAAGACACTGCGCAGTCATGCCATCCATAGGATTTCGTGGCTGGGACTGCAACAGACGTGGACCTGATTCTTTCGGAGCCTCGGAAGAGGACGGCCACCCATGTCGAGGAGGAATGCCCTCTTCAGACCGAGCATTGTGCATCCACTGTGCCCTTATACACTCTAGACCAGGAACAGAAGAACGGGTTAGGACTTTGATATACAAACCCGCCTCCTTCTCGACTGTCTCAAGCAGTCGAGAGAAGTACTCCTGCGCATCTTGCTGCTGCCAGCTATCCATGGACTTGAGAACGTTGGGGGTCCAGACAGTAGCCTTCCGAGGGGTCCAATCCGTGAGCTGTTCTAGCAAGCACACCAGCGCCCTGTGCGTATCTGAAGGGATACCGTACCTCTCACATTTTTCCAAACTGCGCTCCATGAAATTGGAGAACGCGGGCAAGGAAGCCAGGCCCTGAAGGACACTATTTTGATAGCAAGAGTTATCCCAGTTTCCCAAACCCGGCGGACACGCCTCGTTGCTCAGTGAAATGTATTTGCCCACCCCTGAAAGGCTCCTAACCTTCCGCAGTGCTAACGGCAGCTGGGGTTGTCCGAATATCCTCTGAATCGCCTCCTGCTTTGCATATATGTCTCCAAATTGAGCTCTAGCGAATTGTGCTTCTTCGGGCCCAAGACGTCCAAGGCGAAGCATGCCGTACTGCATGACGTAGAGGAGGGGTGAGGGGATGAGGTAGATTAATGATTCGTAGAGAGACCGTTTGATGGTGGACGGAGAGGCGTCGAAGTATGAGACCACATAATATCCGAAGACGAGAAGGGCAAGCGTCGAGATGATTTTGGTCTCGGTAGGGTAGAATGGTTTCTGGGGAGCGTAATCATAAAACGGGCTCTCGTTTGCCCTCGCCGGGAGGCTGCTCATGTCGAAGGAAGGGAAGGTGGAAGTCGCGGGTAGCGATCTGAAAATCTGGCATATGGGCTGATGAGGCTACCACGCATGTCAAGATATGGAAGTGTATAGGACTTTCTCAGATGGTGACAGGTTGATTCCACTCTATTGTCGCCGCCGGCAGGCTACATAGATGACGAACGGACCAGCAAGCTGTATGCGAAGACTCCTCATTTACTTGCATTGTCCAAGGGTGGTCACGCAACCTGAACTTGGCCACATTCACGAGGCGCAAGGCTTAGGGGCTTGGCCCAGGCGCCGCTTTACCCTTCCATGCACCCTCCGAGTCGAGTGTCTACACCTTACACCTCTATCCTCTCCGCTAGAATCAAAATACCCTCGAATCCGTACCGTAGTCCATAGCGGCGAGTAGCTCTCTTGTCTCTCGTTATCTACGGCCTTCGGCTTTCTTATTGCTATTCTCCTTCTTTTCTAACCTAAAAATCATCGACCTTCCCGCTCGTGGCTACAATTAGACGTACCGTGACCATAGACGAACTTCTGAGTTTATGCAAGGGCTAACGGATACTAGGAAGGGGTATATAGAGAAGTTGATGGAGAACGCGGAGCTCAGAAATATGTCTTTAAGATAAGATACAGAAAGATTACGATCGAACTCTATGAGTCAAGGCCTTCTTGACGAATGGACCTCGATGCCTCAAAGTCTCCTTCGATTCTTACTAGCACCTGGGCACTCCGGATTGATAGAGGGACACTGGTATGATGGTCCCCGTGAAGACCTGGCAGTATGCGTCGTTCTCATTCTGGACCAGATCATCGGCAAAGATATATCCCGTGAGAGATGCGAGCAATCTGAAGGAGAGGAAAGGAGAAGTAACGAAATGCATATTATAAATGAGTGATAGAGCGAGCGACAAGAGAGTTGGTTCACCTATTAGCAATACATGATATGGAGGCAAGAATGTTTGCGCAGAGCCACAGGATGAAGAAAGACGACCCGGTGAAAAGGGCCGTTGGAACCCCTAGATGAAGACCGCATCGACAGGCCATAGCCATCACCTCCCTCGAGGTCGTCTTCGTGCAGACTCCAGAGGATGATACGGAACAACGTCCCCCCTGAAATTGCTTGATTAGCTCGTCGACACTGAGATGATGGTTTCCAAGTGTACTGATATCGCCACCCAGACCCAGGCTTGTTTGCGCCTGGAGATGGATTAGTGCCCGTTGCTTAGGTGCCGCTTGGTAAAGCTAACAGTCACTGGGGGATTTGGGTGCTCCTTATAAGACGCTGGGGCCGCATCTTATGGGGTTGGTTTCTGAGCCTTGGGAGCCTTCTCCTTCGGAATCTGGGAGGTGGGTTCCGATGGGAGATGAATTTCCCAAAATGGAATGGAGAGGAGAGGAGATGAGAGAAGAGAATGTGACGGAAATCGTTTCTTCAACCTCTATCAGTAGTAGGATCGTATCTGTGCGTGTCACATAAGGTGTCTTTCCGTTGGGATCATCGACGATGCCTGCTTTGGGCCAGTCGGCCCACCGGCAGGGCATGTGTGATCCTGACTCAAGGGCTTCCGCCCAACTCATCCGTGCTCATGGTAACATGGTGTTCTTGACCGGCTCTATATCTTTCGACTGTCGTGCCTCGAGTAGTATGTGCCCCGAGGGCATCCAGTTCTTCAGCCTCTCTCGCTTCCCGGGAAACCCGTTTCCGCTCTTCCAGCTCCCTCAAGGCTCGCGCAGGATCTCCTGTGGCCTTCTTCACCCACCACCTGTCCCACAACCACTCTAGTGCCTGGCTCGTCATCTGCTGCAGGTAGATCAGGTTAGGAATGTGGCCGTGTGTGACCTCGTGCCGTAGATCGACAAACTTTTGTGGCATCCCGATTGTCGCGGCGTGAGCATACATCGAGCTCTCTCCCTTGGCTGTTGACACAACGGTAGTACCGGCGCTGGCGCCATCCAGAGCCATTTCGGCGGCATGTGAACGGGCAACTTCGCGGTCAACGAATCCGTTGACGAACCTCGCAAACGCCATTGCATAGATGCTCTGCATGGCGGAGTCGGAGATGCTCCGTTCTCCCTGCGCTCGACCTCTCTCGTCGTGCAACAATGCTTCGGTCAACCCGGCGGTTGCGATGAGCGCAGCGGGCAGTTGACCGGCTTTGAAAAGCCACAGGTTGACCCGATTCACGGCTTGCTGCCGCATGTCTGGCGGCGGGATTGAAAAGCCGTCTTGTTTCACATGACCAGGGAAAAACCAGTCCCGGACCATGGCCAGTTCGGACTCGTGTCGCCATGGCGAGAATTGCAGGACCATCATAAAGTGTAGGGTCTAGGAGCCAGATGATTGCATTGCATTTTTGCAGCGCACCGAGATCAAATGTCCGAGCTAGCGCCAGGTGGAAGCCGCCGGATCATTGTCATGATGTGGTACGCAGGGCGGAGGACGGAGACATGTAAGAACTGCAGACACCTACAGGGAGTCAATTGTTGTGGGAGGTGAATAGGTAGGTATGTGTAGATTTCTCGTGTGTCACAATGCTATTGGAGGACAAGTCCCCGCCATCAATTGCCTGGGAATCAAGCTCGTCGATCCGCCATTCGCCATTACTCCGTACTGCCGCCATATACGGATACTGTACTCCGTACTCCGTACTCATAGTAGACATCCCTTGGTCAAGTGCAGGAGGCAATCTCAGTCTTAAGAGTATCATTTCCACATGGTCTAATGCAGGGAAGCCGACTGAGTCGGGCTTCGAATAGTAAGCTGCTAATCTGGGTATCATTGCTCTAACATCACAAGTCGCAGATGGTGACTATGTACAGTACACAAAAGCAGTGCAAGGGCGGCACCGAGCCCGCATCTCATCAAATCGTAATTCATATCCAACCGTAGCCGTGGGATGCTGCAGGGTAATATGCACTGTTTAGCTGGCTCAGAGTCGCCAGGTATTTGAAAGCAATCGGGTTCACTTCTGACTGCGTGCCAAAGGTGAGATGGCTGGCGATGGACTGGGAATTGTAGTTGGCCTCACCAGAGGAGTCGGGCGCATGTTCAAGTACGGCGTCCTGCTCAAAGGTTTCCTGCCCCTGGGCGGCTTCATCATCATCATCATCCCCCTCTTCTCCCTCTTCTCCGTCATCCTGCTCCATTGGCTCAAAAGACTCCTCCAACTTCAACGCCCTCCTCCCAGAAGAGAGCCCGGCGCAGAGAAAGGAAGAGGACTGAACTTCAGCAGGCGAGTCGTACAAGCCCATGCCAACTAATTCCTCCGCATCCTCGTTGTCACCGGTGTTGTCAAGCGACAAGGTGCCGAGATCCATGTTCGGCACCGGAAAAAAATCCGGTGAAGATGGTGCTGTCGGTACCTCCCCTAGCATCGCCCCTTGACTGAATTGCCATGGAGGCTGGGGAGAGGATGACTGGGGGAACATGCCGAAAGAGTAGGGTTGGACTTTGGGAGGATCTTGGCCTAGCCATGCCTGTTCACCAAAGTGTCGAGCTTCGTACGCCGGAACCACATCTGGGCCAGGCAGTTCTTCGAGAGGTGTATAAAGTTCTTCCATCTGGGGCTCGTTGATAGCCGGATAGGAGATGGGAGTGAAGAGTCCGTTGACTTGGGCGGTGGAAAAATTCCAGCCCGAGAAACCCTGATCACTGACTGAAGGGTCGAACACCATGTCATGCTCCTCGATGGATGTTGGATGCCAGCTGAGAGGCCGTGAGCGAGAGCTTTCCGAGCACTGCCATTGCTGAGAGTGGACGTTGGAACGGAGATGGTCAACAACGGATCTGGCTCGTGAGGAAATGGTAGCTGCTGTTGTGGTCTTTCTCCTTCCCAGGTCTCGCGGACTACCGTTGCGGCTATTAGATTTGACCACCTTGAGTGGTCGGGCAAAGTAGGATGAGACGCTGGCTGTGGCTGCTGGATTATATGGCACTTCCAGTGCATGGCCCCAGGTCTGTGAAGTGGCCATGCTGGTGGAATTGATGTGATGGAAGAGTGGGAAGATTCAGATGTGCTGGATGGGCGGTCAAGTCCATATCTAGAACCCCTTCAAGGAGTGAGAACAAAGGGTACGTATAAACGGCAAGATTGATTGATGCGTGCCGACCAAGGGGGAGAAGACGAAATTAGACTGGCACATCGATTGTGGCAAGGCACAGACAAGGCCATGGTTAGTGTATACAAGTGCAGTGGAACAGAGTTTTGGCCAGGTGGACAGCAAAGACCCAGAGCCAAGGTGAAGGCGTTTAACCTGGAAGCACGGTGGACAGTGGGCAGGTACCAGGCGGCAGGAGCCTTGATTGATCAATGCACGAATCACCGACTTGCCAAGTTGGGAATGAGATGGAGGCGAGCGGGCGAGATGCGTCAAACTGGAGGGTGGCGGTAGCGGTAACGGTAGCGGCAGCAGTAAATAGTAGTGTTGTATGTGGGAACTGGGGGGAATGCATCAAACTTTCCAGAGTGAAAGGTTTGCGACACGGGTAGCGGTAAGCAACCGTAGCGCGCATTTCCGTGAAGAACATGGGAAACAGGTCAGGCCAGGGTTGGTGGAATGCATGGCAGCAAGGGGAGCGTCAGAAAGGGCCGTGTGTGGTATGGGTTGTAGCAGAACAGGGTCGGATAGGACGGTAGGAGAGTTTGATTATTAGCCGACCGATCAGTCCAAGTGCTATCGATCTGGATTCACTGGTGACTGCAGCCTGGAACCAAGGCTGTCAAAGACTCCAAGGGTGAGGTGTCAATGGTCGCGAAAAGCGTGAATGTGTCAACAGGGTTGCTGTTTTAGCCTGAGGCGCCCCGAGGATCCATACCCGTCCATACCCATACCCATACCCATGAACAGGGTGTGCCACGTCCCAGGATGCCAACTGCATGGTCCATACTAGTATCCGTGTGGGTAGGTGGTGTAGACAGGACAAGGGTCACAGGGGTCAGCCAGCCGAAGACACGGTTCGCTCGTCGGCCGGGAGGAACAGCAGGGGGGAGGGGAAAGGCGGAGCCGATGCTCATGCTCTCAAGAGGCATTTTATCATTTAGGGAAGAAACCAAGAGAAACCCCGTCGCGGAAGGTGTTGGAAGGACGCGGTCAAAGCGGTGGTGGTGATGAACTGTGGCTCCTCCTCTTTCTTTTGGCCTGGCAAACTCAGCCGGAAGAAAGCCAGTGGATCCGGACCGCAGTTACAACTGTCAGAAATCGAAAGGTGGGCGCCGGGTGAGGCCGGTGCACAGAATGGAGTGCGGCTTAGCGGTTCCCAGAGGCGAGTCGCGATCAGGACGCATGTAATACTCCGTAGTAATGTATTACTCCATCCTCCGTATCCGTACGAGAATGAGGAAATGAGGAAAAAGAACAAGGAATCGGGTGGATCGTGGGTGTGTATGTGACACTGTGAGAGGCTGAGTCGAGAGACCGAGAGGCCATGCAAGAACAGAGCCCTGCATGGGTTGTCAGTGGGGAATGCGGAATGGAATGAATGCATACCTAGGAAAAAGGGCACCAGGACAGGACCCAGAGTTTAGAGGGATCTCGATTCTCACGAGTCCATGTAATAGAAATTAGCGACTTTGCTTGATCAGGAACTCGCACCGTAAAGAACTGGTCGGCAGAGGACTGGCGTCCCGACGAGACTCGATCAGGGGTGTGATCTCACCTAAGCCGGGAAGAGGAGACAGAGTCTTCGTACGAGCATCCGTACTAGATGGAAAGATGAAGAAATAATGGAAGCCTCAGAGTCAACCAGGCAGCAGCTGGTGCCATGTGGGGAGAGGGGTGCAACCAGGATCAGGGAGGGAGACGCTGACAGGGGATCATCGATATCATCATCCAGCCGATACGCAGTACGAGTGGCAGGGATGGCTCGGAGATACATACAAAAGGCGGAAATGAAAGTTGAAGCCTTGGGCACATTCAAGTGGGATGGTTTCAACGTCCCATGATGCACATACTACTAGGACCGGGGTTTAACATTCACGCTGTCTACCTACCTGCATGTTAGGTAGGCGAGTCCTAGAGCTACACCGTCCTACACCGCAGTGCTGACAGGACGGCATGGTCGACAGCAAAGACGGAGGGGCCTGAGGCGCAGGTCGAGCCCTTGCAGCTGCAACGAATCGACGCAGACTGTGATGGCGATGAGGAGGTGATCTCCTCATCCTGCCACTCTCGACGGTCAGTAGGTAGTGGTGCTAGCTACCTTAGGTACCTATTTACGTAGGTTACTACCTAGGTACCTACCTACCTTAAGGTAGTCTGTACGAGTAGTGTGCGGCGTCCAGTTGCACCCTTATTACTTCACCGGTGAATTGCAGATGTCCGCATACAGCGGGACATCTCAGCTACTAGTTCAGGTAGGTCGTACCTAGCACCTAGGGTTTTAGGGGATCCAGAGACCTAGGGACCCAGGGACAGAGTAGTAACGGGGTGGCCATCTTCATGCTAGGCGTCCTCGTTGTAAGCGAGACCAGCCTCCAAGACCACCGTGGCACCGCCAAAACACAAAACCCGCAGGCAACAACGCCCTCCAGTACCCGCTTGCTGCCCCTGCGTGGTGCCTGCGCCTGATGCCCCGAGCACCTACAGGCTACAGCACCCTACCTGACCTTAGGGATGTAGGGAGGACTCAGTACTAACACTTAGTGTGGCATGCCCAAGGCACCGTAAACCATCGAGCAGGGTTAGAAATGATCCCTGTGTCCACTCGCCACGCTGGCCATACTGCGCTATGATTGTTTCTTCTCCTGTGCTTTCCTGTCCTTGTCCTGCTTATAGCCAACCGTTAACCTATCACAGTATGCTAGACACAAGCCAGACCGTCACATCATCAGACTATGTGTATCCCTTGCACTCCTTTCCATCCCGCTACGAGACCGACAAACCCGACCGCCACGAATCCATACCGCGTCACCTCTGTCCAACCGCTGCATACAGCCTTTCACTCCGTAACGCTTTGTTCCCACTTAGCACGCCGCCCCAAAGGGATCCTCTGCCTCTACGAATACCTCGGGCCTCACCACCTGTGACGGGTTTAACTACTGACCGTCTCAACCCACTCTCATTTGCAGCCTCCTCAGCCCGATTTGCCGCACCCTTCGCCTGTCAATCTTGAAAATAACTGGGCTCTCACTGCCAATCCATCACGGGGCCGCAATCACAACTGCCATGCGAGACACAAGTGTATGGGAGACAAGAACTTGATCAACCTAGCACGACCATCCCCGAGTCGTGGCACAATGATGCATGCAGGTGTTGGCAGAGGCCTGACATCTTGTCTAGCGACCAACCACAGAAACTCAGCTACGGCGCTGCCTCCTACGGGGCTGATTTAGCTTCACAGTGATCAGGAGGCCGAGTTGGTTTTCACAGTAGGCCACAACTGCTAAGAGAGCCATGTTTCGTGAAATTCATGGTCTGGATCATCCGCCTAGAAAGGACCTGTTGTCTATTATTGAATAACAGAACTTGTGGCTTATAGGCTGAGATGCAGCTCCACCCCTTGCCTACCAGGTTTTATCTCGTTCCCATGGTTAAGAGCGCTCACTTGACGCCCGTTGAGCAGACCCGATGGGTGATTATTGAAGACAACATTCCCGGACCCGTCTCAGCAGTAGGGGGTCATATGTATGCAATAGTATCATGTACGGATATCTTGCGTGCGGACTGAACGCTTACAGAGTCCTGGCGCGTCGACTCGGCGGTAAGTAAAATCATGAGAACCATCGGGGCAGTGGGTGCAGCTGGGCTGAACGAACCCACACCCGTGGACGTTGATCATCTCGGAGCGTGCATGACCAGACGCTGGATGCAGGACTGTCTGCACCACAACGTACTATTATTCGCGTCGTCAGTCGATCCTGGCGTCACCAACCCGCTTGACCATAGCAGGGCAGGGGAGCAAGCAGCCTCTTATTAACCCGGGCATCCGAACCGCCACGACCAACCAAAGCATGCCGGCTTACTGAACCTGAGACTTCCAATCCTAGGGGGTGGGGTGTCGCACAATAACTTGAGGACAGCTCAGGAAATCACACTGATGGGCTAGCCACCTGTGACAGGGCCGGCGCCCTCCCCATCAGTCTCAGGGTGAGGCGCAGAGTAGGCCGTGCGCCTCGATATCAGAGATCCACCTGGGTAGCCATGCCCATGGTCCGGGCTACGGTGCAGCTCCACAGACCACGTTGTGGTGGAAGATATTTCTCCAAGGCGCTGAGACGCTCGTCCTCCGCCTGATGGTGAAATGGAAGAGCGGCTCCAGCATTGGCAAAACCGCTTGCAGCGACCAAACCTCAACTATGTTGAAATCCACAGCATTCTCACATTCTCAAGGACAAGACGCCCCTTTGGGGTTGCTTGCCTTCAACTATCTGTACAGTACCAGCCCAGCCGGCAGCCGACCCCAGCTTTGGGCAACGGCGGTGTGGGTCTAGACCTGAGGGAACTACGGTACATACCTACGCAAAGCATCGCATGGATCGGCTTTTGGTGACATCCAAGTGGATCTAGCATTGCCCCAATCGATGCTTGAAGTCGCGCAAGGAAGCCCTAGTGCTGCATGGTTCCATGACTCCTTTTTCTTTTATCTGATCCCGCTCTAGGTGCCCCTTGTTGCGCAAAACCCCTCCGAGGGACGCAGTGGTCAAGCCGGTGCCTTGACCACTGATGGCCACGCGCTAATGTCTTCGCAAAAATTCCCGGTGCGCATGACTAGGGTCGGATGTCTGTCTTCATCCTTTGTGACAAGACTCGCTTGTCATTTCTTACCATCGTACGGATACTAAGGTGCTGGCTCGTCGGTGTCTCAGCATCTAAGGATCCATCTCGGTTAACACCCCAGGCTGCCGTCGGTCTTGCATGGCCTCTTGGTAAAGGTCGACTCTATTCGCTACTACGTACAAGCTCAAGCCATCTCTACGCAGATGGCCTCGCTATCCACCTCGGGTCTCACATCTCCTACAAATACATTGTCCTGTTGTGGTGCCACTTGCCAGTGTTTCGGATGTCTTTCCTGGCAACAGTCGGCTTGCGCCCTAGTCTTAGCCTGTCAAGGGAAATAGTCTCCAATTCGAATTCATCACCTAGCGAGACCGAGATTCTTCAGGATCTTATCACCGCCGCCCAACGGCGATAAGATCGGTGTTCAGAGAACAGACGCGGAGGTTACCTGGACCGGAGCTCCTTACCACGAACCAGGATACGGAGTACGGAGTACGTACTTGCAAAAGTATGGTATGTATATCCATACTCCGTACTACCTCTCTAGGCCCACCAGGTGATTTTATTGTGTGCTGTTCTCGCCCGTTCTAGCCCCGTTGGCAGCTACTAGCTGGGCATCTCTTTGTCGATCAGCAGCAACATCGCTTAGCGTTCATCGTACGAGTACGAGTAAGGGAAGACATTCACAACCCAGCCTAGCAGGCATTTGATCGACACGGACGGGAGGGAGTTCATGCGGGAAACGCACCATGCATCAGACAGCATGACGCCTTGCACGTTTCAATTGACGGTTCCGTCGGCCGCCGATGCCCTTGCTGTCGCTCCCGGACCTATTATCACTTTCGACAAGTCTTACTCAGAACAGCTTATTTTGTCTGACTTCCTCAGAAGACCGAGCAGTCATGCAGCTGTTGGCGTTACACGTTATGACAGCTTTGGCCAATGCAATGTGACGAGGCAGACTTCCATGATGTGTGAACCTTCGGCATGCTGTTACTACTTGCGCACAGGCCGAGAAAGAGAAACGCACGGCACCTGCAAGGGGCGTGCAATGAATGACCGTCGCGAGCTGACCGAGATGCGCGTGGGAGAGTAGATCCGACCCCTCCTAAGTACGAAGAACCTATCACAGCTGCTCATCTCGTAGGATCTTCGTCTCTCACCCACGGCATTCAGGCATCATCCATGGGGCTTGTCTGCGCAGTGAGAGTTTCCGTCGACCTGGACAAAAGCCGTGAGGTTGCATTGCAATATGCCGGGGCGGTTCCCTTGACCTCCAGTCCACTTGTTCAACTGCACCCGGCTACAGGCTCTCCATGCTTTTTGGTGAAGAGGGCAACCGCGAGTAAGAAAGAGTACGAGTAATTAGTCAGGATATACTGGATATACTGGATCCCGTGACTACGACGTCCCACCTCCACATCCCGAGTACTCCGGACTGCTTCCTACTGCCTCTCCCTCGATGGTACATACTCATCTACCATATCCAACTCATAATCAAAGTACGGAGTACATTACGGGCGGTAGGACGCCCTCTCTCCTGTCCCACCCTTACGAGTCCTCCCTCTTGCTTCCGCTATTTCTAGAAATCCGAGGCTTCTGGAATCCAACAGGCACCACACCGGCTTCATACATCATGGCAACAGAGTCGAGTCAGGCTCCGGTTGTCGAGGACGCAATCGAGTCGGTTGAACTGCCAGCCGCTTCCGTACCGCTACCTCCTACCGTTGCGACTTCGACAATGACAATGACAGTACCCCCAATGCTACTTGAGCCTGTCCCGCGGCGGAGCACATTCAGGACGTTGACAGTGATGATCGCTCTTTTTGTGAGTGTCAAATGACTTCATTTGCTGATCAGATCAATACCACCGATACTATTACCACTGGATCATCTGGTCTCGTGTGCCCTCGTTTCTTTGCTGGACGCCCAGGGTGTTGCCCAACCCATCCCTGTGGAAGTCAGCACGACAGCTTGCACGGGCGAAGGCCGGCCCAAGATCAATGCTCAGCCAGATACTGACTCTTATGACCTACCGTCTAGTCCGCCGAGTTCATTGCCGCTCTGAACACGACCATCGTAGCCACTGCAATCCCCACGATATGCTCCGACCTCCAATCGGCATCTGGCTACTCCTGGATCGGTGCCTCCTATGTCATTGCCACGACCGCTGTCGGCCCAATCTGGGCCAAACTGTCCGACATATGGGGCCGCAAGCCTATCCTGCTGCTGACCGTGGCTCTGTATTTTGCCAGCTCCATCATATGCGCGGCCTCGAGCAGCATGGGCATGCTCATCGTGGGTCGGACTCTCCAGGGCGTGTCCGGCGGCGGTCTGGGTTCTCTGATCAATATTGTCGTATCTGATTTGTATAGTATGAGGTTCGCATCACATTACCTGCCTGTCCATTCATTGATCGGTCTCGTCTCATTCATTGATGCTTTCTCCCAGGACTCGTCCTCTCTTTCTCGGCCTTCTTCAAGTCACCTGGGCTGTCGCCGGGGGCCTTGGCCCAGTGCTCGGCGGTGCCTTCACCCAGCTTCTGTCGTGGAGATGGATTTTCTGGATCAATCTTCCAGTCGCTGGGGTCGCGTTCTGCCTATTACTCCTTTTCCTAGACGTGCATGATCCCAAGACCAAGTTCGCCCAGGGCATGAGGGCCATCGATTGGGCCGGGAGCGTTTCCATCATAGGCCTCATGGTCATGGTGCTACTCGGTCTGAACTTTGGAGGTACCGTGTACCCGTGGGACTCTCCGAAGGTCATCTGCCTTGTCGTGGTTGGTGCTTTGATGGCCATTGTGTTTCTCTTCAACGAGGGTCGACTGGCACGCCACCCCATCATGCCCCTTGGCCTGTTCCGCCACAAGTCGAATGCCGCATGCCTTGCTCTCGGCTTCACACAACATTTTGTACGTTTTGATGGTCCCATGAATGAATGCATGATTGACTGATTGGATGAATGATTGATTGATTGCATGATTGATTGGCTTGTACTGACCTCAACCCCGGCGGCCCAGGTCCTCAACATGGCAGAGTACTACCTCCCACTCTACTTCCAGTCGGCCAAGGAAGCGTCGCCTCTCCGATCGGGAGTGCTTCTGCTTCCACTGATCGTGCTCACAGCACTCACGGCGGCGGCGGCGGGGATCCTGATCCACCAGCTCGGTCGATACGTCGAGCTGATCTGGCTCGGCATGACTCTGCTGACGTTCGGCAACGGCCTGTACGTATGGCTCGACGCCACCTCGTCCCTGGGTTCAATCGTTGCCTTTGAGATCATTGCTGGCCTGGGCACCGGTCTTCTCTTCGACCCGCCCCTGATCGGCCTTCAAGCGCTGGTCTCGCAAGACGACACGGCCACCGCCACCGCCACTCTCGGCTTCATGCGCGGCATCGGCGTGTCTCTGTCCATCGTCATCGGCGGCGTCATCTTCCAGAACGGAATGCACCTGCGGAGCTCGACTTTGCGCCACCACGGACTGCCGGCCGATCTGGTCCAGCAGCTGTCGGGCCCCGACGCCGCCACCAACATCGATCTCATTGCCACCGTCTCCGACCCGGCCCAGCGCCTGGCTGTCGAGCAGGCCTTCGCCTGGAGCCTGCGGAATCTCTGGATCCTGTCGACCTGCATCGCAGCGTGTGGTCTGCTTGCCAGTGCGCTCGTCACCAAGAAAGAACTGACCAAGGAGCACACCGAGACGAGGACCGGCATTGCAGAAAAGACGGAGAGCATGGTCATTGTGCAGGACGGTCGAGGTCGGGATGCTGCACATGCACGTCCTGCTGTTGGCAACGAACACGAACACAACCACGAATACGAACGCGATGGCGAACACAACCACGAACTCGAACACGTCGCCGCTTAAGAAGTCGATGCCATGCTATGCATGCCTACTCCTTATAAAATACCCCTCTCTCCACCAGTGAGATCGTGGCTCCGCCAGGTGTAGGTGGCGCGAAATGGAAATGTTTGAGAGGTACTCCAGTCTCCAGACTCCAGTCTCCAGATTACAGTCTATTACTTGCTTGGTCAAGGGGACAAAACCCTTCCCTGCCCTGCCTTGCCATCTTGAGGAGGAAAAGGACCGCCCAAGAAACTGGAATGGTATGTTCTACGACTAGTAGAATAGGAATGTCGAGGGCTTCTGCCTCTCCGCCGAGGAGGAGCAGGAGCAGACGCTGGAGAAACGACGTGAGTGCACAGTCGACGGACCATCGTCGTCTCGAGCTAGAGAGATTCGACGGACCATCGTCGTCTCTAGCTAGCACCTATAGAGAGATTCAACACAATATATATGTTTTTAGAGAGAGAGTTTCGACGCGTAATATATGTCTCTACCTAGCTAGAGAGATTCGACACAATATATAAAGAGAATCAACCAGCTCCTTTGGATTGGGTCCTACAGTAGGTCGCACCAGGCGTCGTAACTACATCTACATAGTAATAGTAACATGGTAAGTCCCAATTCGGGCTCATGTCCCAGTTCCAGTTCCAGTTGCCAGTCTAGTCACATTGATTTTCTTGATTTGATCTGATCTGTGGCTATTATGACCTTGTTGTTAAACGTTGAACTATATGATATATGATATATGTGGTTGAGTGGCTATTGTGGCCTGCTTCACTTATCTACGTCGAACCTTGCTTTTTGTCAACTGGCGTGCTACTCCTTCGAGTCTGGCGTGTGCCCTTGATGGGACTGGAGCCATCAAGTCGACTCGACGTCTCACCAACGCCGCCTCTAACTAAGTCAACGACATGTGCCGTTCCATGTCGGCTATCGAGTCTCTGCCGACAGGGTTGCGCTGGCTGGCACAAAGTGTGAAATGCGCATCCCTCGCTGATCATACACCTTCTTGAATACACATCCCTCGCTGGATCGTATACCTTCTTAGGGCGAACACTACTTTCTTTCACTTATCTCCCTCCTTTCCAACTTTGCTCAACTTGCATTCTTCAACTCGCGCAACTGGGCCATAACTTCACTGGGGTCTGTCTTGCCGGTGACCTTCTTGATGTCGTCGGTATGCACGCGCATGAAAGCATTATGTTGCTTCTCCTGGCCGATGGTGAACTTGCCCTGGGTCTCGTGGTTCTCGTCGGCAAAGCGCTCGAGCTTCTGGACCGCCTCGTTTGCGGGATCGACCTTCTTCAGGAACTTGACGTTCGACTTGGTGTACTCGTGGCCCGGGTAGACCTTGGTGTCGTCCGGCAGGGCGGCTAGAATCTCATTGAGTGCGACGTGCATCTCGGCGCCGTTGCCCTCGAAGAACTTGCCACACCCGCCGATAAACAGCGTATCGCCCGTAAACACCGCCCGCTCTCCCGTGCTCTTGTCCTCCATGTAATAGCAAATACTGTCCTGTGTGTGGCACGGCGTGTGCAGCGCCGTCACTTGGATGTTCTTACCGATGGTGAACGTCGAGCCGTGCGCCGGCGTCTTTGTAACCGCTTCACAATCTCGCCCGCCGATGACGGGGACCGGTGACGACAGCGATTGCAGGATCTTCTTGTTCCCGCCTGCGTGGTCCCAGTGGTGGTGAGTGTTGACGATCGCCGTGAGGTTCAGCTTCTGGGATTGTTCCGACAGTACGGGCGTGACTCTGAATGCATCCGAAGGGGTTACGTTAGCTGTGTCTGTGAATGGTATCGTGGGTGTCATGCTATGGCTATGGGGCCGTTGCTGTGTCGTTCACATACTCAGGAGGATTCGCTGGGTCAATGATCACCGCATCTTTGGTCTCGTCGTCGCTCACTAGGTACGCATAGTTGTTGGACGAACCAACCCCTACGGCAGTGACTGTTAGCTTTCCTCGTTGCTCTATTCCGTTCCGTATTGTTGCATGTTAAGCTAGATTTCTCGGGACATGGTCTTTTTTGTTGTTGTATGTTCAGCTAGGCTTGTCGGACATGGTCTTCTTGCTTCTCTTTTCTTAGATCTCCGTCTCTCCTTCGGGCCAGGGAGACAGCCCACGAGCATTCAAGCTCCGTCCGAGAGCAACAGCTTTTAGAGAGACGTACACAGGGGAATGCTCAGAATATGCATCTTTCTCAATGGCTGCTGTGCCAATCCCGATAGCGACCCAGAGGTAACACCGACTCGGCTTCCGTGAAGCTGCGGGGTATTCGCAGGACGAATGAAGGATGCGAATGCGGTACTGGTGGACAGGATCGGTCGGATGAGGCGTGAAGTGAGCATGAATGACGGGCCTGGAGGGATAGGCTATCTCGGGGATACACCAGGTCAAAGCATGAATCTTGAAATAATAGGCGACGATTGTGCAATAGTAGTAGTACAGTACAGAGTAATAAGTGCAGGTGTGCTAAGCACGTCTTGCGTATGAGATCATATGGAGTGTAGATAATGTTAGGTAGTACGTACTCCGTAGATACTAGATAGTGTTAGGTATGGACTGTCCCAGTTAGGTGCCAGTGTACCCCATGCGAGCGCTCGGCTAGGTACAACTGTAGGTGACCTCCGCCTCCTTGGCCTAGGGCTCTAGGCTCCTGCTCCTCAAACACAACGGTAACCACACCTCTGTGTTGCCACGACATGTCCGCCTCTTTCGCAGACACTTTTAGGACTCCATCAGGCAAAAGGAGATCAAGGCCATCTTTTATTTTTCTCGAGGTCTGGCTTGCTGCACTCTCCCATCCACATCAACGTCGCTGGCGCCAACCGATGGCTGACAACAAACCCGGGCACCCCAGGCGAGCACCCTGAGACGCCGCGTATCTCACAATGGGAATCATGGCTTCACAAGAAAGTCATGCTGACGCCTCCCCGGTCGGAGGCTCACCAAGTCACGGAGGACTGTGTCTTCCGTCTACCGAGTGAAGCAAGCGTAAGGAGGCACCAGGAGACACCAACATCACAGACAGAGGATGCTGCTGAGGTCGGCTTCCAATGGCGTTCACATTCATCAAATGAGGGTTGAAAACATCCTCAATTTACCCCGACTCTCTCTAGATCAAGACTCTATGGTCCCATAGTCATGATGATGGCTCCGTCGACTCATGCTCAAATGCCCGCTTTCGCTCAACAGTCTTTGGCTTTGAGCCATGTCAACCACTCTATCCTTTCCGGCCATGTTGGGGATCCAGCCTCTCATCCACCCATTGACTCTTTCCCAATGACTGTACCCGTGGCCATCTCTGACCTTCACAATGCGGTCCTCTCTTTCTCCGTACATCATAAATTGGATTCCCATCAACGCATCCATACTCAGACAGCCCGCAGCGCCGAGGAAGAAGGGAGCCGCTCGAGCCACCCAGGCCCATCTCTGCGACCCCTCCGAATCAACCCAACCGTGGTGACCATAGGGACCGTAGTCCTCCCAAGCGTTTGGATTGGCGAGTAGCGACGTGGAATAAAAGAAATTGCCGCAGAAGGCGGCAAAAAACAACAGCGGCGAGAGGCCAGCAGTGGACTGGCGCCGCCAGTTCTTGTATAGTTGAGGCAGTCGAGATCCGAGATATAACAACGTCGAACACCACGACAGGATCGTCCCGGCTATCTCAAGCGGGGTATCGACCCGAAGAAGATGAATTCCGTGCCGGTAATGATCTGCGGGAAAGGGTATAGGGGCCGCTGCGACATTTGACGCCAGAGAAGACAGTGTTGCTGCGTACATGAATGTGCGTGGAGAAGGGGATGGCATCCAGCTGGCGCCCGCCTTATTGTCGTACGATAGGTCGCGAAGTGGCTTCCCATCCTTCTCTCCATAGTGCACTAGCGTAAAATGAGGTGCTTCGACGTCCCTAGGATTGGCCGATTTGTTGGGACTGTCGTCTGAATCACTCACGTGCGCTTCCTCACCAGCGAAAGTCGAGTTGATGGGAGACAGACCATTGATAATGGCACTATCTGTGTCATCAAACTCGCTGCTGCCGCTTGAGTGCAGGCTTTCGGCATAGATACATCTCGTGCAGTAAGTGTACCAGAAATATTGAACGACAAGGCATACATCAACGAAGACATAGTAGCTCGCAATAATAACTTGCCACGCAGCCTGTTTTGTGAACAGTGCGCCCAACAGGTTGGTCAAGTCACCGAGCAGCCACTCCGCCAAAAAGAATATGGACAATCCCGCGGTGGACTTGATATGATAATTTTTGAAAATCTGCGGCAGCTGCGCAAACAGCCATGATATGATTGACAGAGTCCCCAACAGTGTCGACAGAGCAGCCAGAGGGGTGGGTATGCATATCCCAAAGTACGCAGAGACTTTGGCGAGTATTGGGTAGGTCGGAGAACAGTGATCTGGAAGGCGTGGCGTCGATAGGAATGCCAGATACGACAAAGTCATGATGTGCTGAATCGAAAAGACCCGGCTCGAACGTTGCGAGGCGCTACTCCAGACGTTGTGTTCGTATCATCTCTTGTCGGCTTTGTCGGGAGATCGAACCAAGCAGAGGAAGGTTCCTATGACTCACGCGCTCAACTCCCAGCCAACGTGAGTCGTCTGACTTCCAGGCAATCGGAATGCAAAGACCCAAAGAAGGGTTTGAGATGCCGTGGGCGCGGGCGGCCGAAGGGTATCTCGGAGTGAACGGGGATGAAGGATGTTGGCTGAGAGAGAGGCGGTCTATAAGCTCGTGAGCTCGCTGAGGAAGGATATAGGAAACGGCCAAACACGACAAAAAGAAAGATGCGATCTATAGCAGTAAACACAGCAGCAGGTAATGCAGATTGGGGGTGGGAGGAAAGAGTGGGAGGTGATCACAAGTGTTGTCCGCGTCCCTCGAACAGAGAAGACCCAGATAAGGCAGTCACATCCCCCTCCATCGCGGCGAGATTGGGGAGGTCGGCCACCGATCCGACCCCATCCACGACGGATGATTCGGGCGCGGACGATGGGACGAGCCGAGGATTGGATGCGTATTATGTGCAGGTGACACTGCAGAATGACTTATCGGTACTGGGGAATTGGTCAGACGCAGGCCAGCAGCACCAGCAGGAGAAGTATTGGTTGCAGGAGAGCGCTCGTGTGGAGGGAGAGATAGCTGGTGGCTGCAGCCTTCATGATAACTGATGACTGATGACTTGACTGTTTCAGTGTCTGATAAGAACCTGGGGCTGGGGGCGTTGCAGGGTCCAATCGTGCTTCTGTGCTACACCAGCATTGGAGCCTATCTCGATCTCTTGGCGTGAGAGGAGAGGGAAGAGGGAGATTGCCGACTGACCAGCGACCACTAACCACTGCAGTGCGACCAATCGGTACGGAGTGCTCTGTATAGTGTACAGTGTACAGTGAACAGTGTACAGCATTCAATTGTATCTATTGTTTTCAATCCCGCCCCCTCTTGTTTCTTTCGCCGGTTTGTGGCCTGTCATCGACACACTGCTGGTGGTACTCATGCCTCGACTTAGCGCTGTCACGAAGCAAACCCCAAACCCCGCCAACGTCCAGGCTCGCTTCTTATTACATGATGAATTTCGTCGATTTGTCCAGAAAGTGGATCGTAAGATCCAGGACCCGAACGACCACAATATCATACGTTGAAGCGTGCCTAGAAGGCACTATGCCAAACCACCACTAATGTATTTGTGTGTCACACAGGCGCTCTCTTCCACGTGATGTGAGCTTCCGCGACATCTGGCGACCCTCAAGTGATGCGGCTGGACCACTGTGCAAGAAGTCAAGTACACCATATCAGTCTCCAGCCAAGGTTTGGGAAACACTATGTGTGAGTATCGACGATGCTGACGCTGTCCTGCTCAGTCACCGCTTTGCCATGTCGCCATGCCAAATGTCCAATTGACCGGAGTTCCACGCGACCATCCATGCTGATTCTGCTGTCGTTTCAATCTTTCTAGCCCCGAGTATTCATATGCTACTCATATCTGAGATCTAAGTATGGCCAGGGAATTAGTTAAAAGGATATAATGCGGGCCGAAGAACAAAAGGTTCTGATCATTGGGCAACTGTCGTGTTTGACATTGTTGGAGATGAGCCCGAAGCCGACAAGACCGACTCATTGGCTGTGCTGCAACAGATACCTATCTGAGTGCTGCAGAGGGATCTAGGATCCAGGATCTAGGATCTAGGACCAGCTGACAGAGGACGGAGGTTGATATTGACAACTGGGACTAAAGTCAAGCGGCTTCCCCAGCATATGTGCGACTGCCTACCTAGGTACCGCAGGAAGTCGCACAGAGCCCCGCAGCCTCGCCAACGTCATACCTTTCAATATCGCTGGTGTCGCAGCCTCGTCAGCCTGCAGCCTGCAGCCTGGACATTGGCTATGCACTTCCGGACCATCCCACGTAGGTTTCTTGTCATAATAGATAATATTATGAGTACTCGTAAGCCCTTCGCATTTCTCTCGGAACATTTCGACATCCGGTTGATCCCTGTCCATTGTCGCTGCCGTCGGTACCTGGCCCGTTGATGGCGTTGCAGAGTGCGGCTGGTGCTGATGTCACAGACCTGGAGCAACTCCCCACCAGCCAATCACGGCAGATCTCTTTCTAATGTGTGATGCAACTCCTCCGGGCCAGGAACAGCAGGCCCAATTATCAATCCCTTTCGGATTGCCCTTCCGCCTCAAATTGGTCGAGGCTCTGTAGAACGTTGTTGCGGACTCGAGTTGTGTGATTGTGCCTGGTGCCCCCCGCGTAAACCATGACGAAATGCCACACACATCGATACGTCACAGCAAACACGGTGCAACAGCTCCTGCCGCAATAGGTAAGTGGCCGCGAGGAGGCAACCACTGCGTTCCCATCTGACTGCGCCTGTTCCAAGCGAAAGCTGTACCTGTAGCTGTTAGCTGTTGTTTATTATGCCCGGTCCTCACGCCTCGCTGTCCCTCCATCCTTCTATCCTTTCCGAATGGCGCCTTCTGTTACAGACACTGTTCGAAATCTAGGAGCATCCGTCGCCGATACTGTAGCCACCTCCGTCGCAGCCATGACTGAGAACAAGAAGGTCGCAGACCTCCAGAAGGACGTGAAGGATTCGCACACCAAGCAGCACTACACTACCGACTATGGCATCAAGGCCTCTGATCTTGACCATTGGCTGAAGCCTGTAGACGAGAAGAACAACAGGATCGGTCCTCACGCCCTCGAAGACCAGATTGCCAGAGAACGGGTTTGTTGTGTGCAGCCATTTGCCTAGGACATGTGTTAACCTCGTCCTAGATTCATCGCTTTGATCATGAGCGCATTCCTGAACGCGTCGTCCATGCCCGGGGCGCAGCGGCACACGGAACTTTCAAGCTGTTTGAGAGTGCAGAAGACGTCACCTCAGCTGGAGTACTGACTGATACTTCTCGCACCACGCCGGTTTTCGTTCGATTCTCAACTGTCCAAGGCAGCCGAGGCAGTGCAGACACTGTCCGAGATGTCAGAGGCTTCGCTGTCAAATTCTATACTGACGAAGGCAACTGGGATATTGTCGGAAACGATATCCCCGTCTTCTTCATTCAGGAATCCATCAAGTTTCCCGACTTGATCCATGCTGTTAAGCCAGAGCCAGATACTGAAGTCCCACAGGGCCAAAGCGCACACAACAACTTCTGGGATTTCGTCTACCTGCACCCCGAGGCAACCCATATGTTCTTCTGGGCCATGTCGGACCGGGGTATTCCACGATCCTATCGCATGATGCAGGGTTTCGGCGTCAACACCTTCGGCTTAATCAACGCCAAAGGTGAACGACATTTCTGTAAATTCCATTGGCTCCCCGAGCTGGGTGTACACTCGTTGGTGTGGGACGAGGCCCTCAAACTGGCTGGCCAAGATCCGGACTTTCACCGCAAGGATCTCTATGAAGCCATCGATAACAAGGCCTATGCGAAGTGGAAGTTTGGCATCCAAGTCATTGCGGAGAAAGACGAAGACAAATTCGACTTTGATATTTTGGACGCGACCAAGGTCTGGCCTGAAGAACTGGTTCCTATTCGCTACATCGGCGAAATGGAGCTCAATCGCAACGTTGACGAGTATTTCACCGAGACCGAGCAAGTCGCCTTCTGCACCAGTCACATTGTTCCTGGCATCGACTTTACCAACGATCCATTGCTGCAGGGCCGCAACTTCTCCTACTTTGATACCCAGATTTCTCGTCTTGGGATCAATTGGGAAGAGCTTCCCATCAATCGCCCTGTTTGCCCAGTCATGAACTTCAACCGTGATGGTCAAGGGCGCCACACCATCACCAAGGGCAAAGCCAACTACTGGCCCAATCGATTCGAAGCAAATCCACCCACTGGTCCTGGAAATGGAGGGTTTGAGTCGTACCCGGCACAAGTCGAAGGCATGAAGCAACGCAAATTGGCACCCAAGTGGAAAGACTACGTCTCCCAGGCCCAATTGTTCTGGAACTCAATGTCGGAGATTGAGAAGAAGCATATCATTAGTGCCTTCTCCTTCGAACTTGACCACTGCGATGACCCCATTGTCTATGAACGTCTGGTGACACGCCTCACCGAGATTGATCTCTCTCTGGCGGCAGCCGTGGCCGAAAATTCTGGCGCGCCAACTCCTACGAAGCAGGCCACGGCCAACCCTGGTCACAAAGCCAAGGGGCTCAGTCAGCTGGAGTATCTGCCAGCGGAGCCAACCATCAAGTCCAGACGCATTGCCATTCTGATCGCCGACGGCTACGATGCAGCGAGCTACGATGCGATCAAGGCGGCTGCGCTCGCGCAGTCAGCTGTGCCGTTCACCATTGCGACGAAGCGCCAGGAAGTCAAGGCTTCCAACGGCACATCTTCCGCCAAACCCGACCACTTTCTCAACGGCATGCGCTCGACCATGTTTGACGCCATCTTTATCCCTGGCGGCGCCGAGTCAGCCAAGACGCTTGCGGGTATTGGCCTTGCCAAATTCTGGGTTCGGGAGGCGTTTGCTCATCTCAAGACCATTGCTGCCGTTGGCGAAGGTGTAAAGCTTGTTGACGTTGCTCTCAGAGAGGCAGAGGGTGTCCAGCTGGCGGCCGAAGGGTCTTCTGACGTTGTGGACTGGTATGGTGTCGTTACGGCACAGAAGCCAGATACAGGATCTTCTATCAAGGATAACGTGAAGCTGGTCAAAGAAGCCACGGACTTCACCAGCAAGTTCTTCTGGAACATTTCGCAGCACAGAAACTGGGCTCGAGAATTGGATGGCCTTGCTGATCAAGTCCCGGTCTGATCAAGTCACGTTTTGATCTTAGTTGGTTGAAGGGGGGACATGCGACACAAGCACAATGGTACCTTGGGTTGCTGACCGTGTGCAGCGTAACTAGAAAGCTAAGGCATTCAATCATCAATCGTAATGGATTATTCCGTGTCATTCTGCTCCTGTCTAGGTTTACCTTATGCTTGATCTAAGCCAGGCGAACATTGACTGTGATACTGCCTTGTCAAGGAAGAGGGCAGAAATCCACACCAGCTATGCGTGCAGTCGGAGCATTACGGAGTAAGGTTGCCAACTTGGTGCACCACAGTAATATGATCCTCCACAGTAATATGATCCTCCACAGTAATATGATCGATCGGTTTTTCCGTAGATTCCACCACTTCTCATACAACGCGTGATACTTCCACCCAAAATGCCATCCACCGCCCAACTGATTGAGGAGAGAGTGCTCCAGGCGTGTGACGCGTACAAACGCGGCGCAAAACAACCCCGGGCGGAGGCTCCAAATGGAGTCCGTCATCCCGGTGCATGCCACAGCCTCACACCAAACTAGGCCGGAGGAACCTCTAGGCTGCCCTTCGTGACCTGCACAGCCGAACCACTGAGCAATACCTGGGCAATCTCGACGCCCGGACCGTCGTCGCGCGACTTGACGCCGACCTCGACGAAAATCTGACTCCTTTGGCCCATCTCGACGCCCTGCGTCAGCACATAGCGGTAGCGGCCAGGCTTACCCTCCTGGAGCGCGAGGTATGAGGTCAAGGCGCTGGCGGCGCTGCCTGTGGCCGGATCCTCACGTGAGCCGAGACTGCGTGTGCGCAGGCTGCGGACTGGTACGTCCTGGTGGCCTTTTCTATCGGCGTCAGAGGGGGTGGTGGTAGCAGTGGTGGTAGTGGTGGTGGTTCCGAGGTCGACATAAAAGTATGAGACGACGATGCCGTCACGCCAGCCCTGGTCTAGACCGTCTTTGGCGGTATAGGTGGCATCGGCACCGACCAAGTTGTGCGACTGTGCGGCGAGAGAGTGCAGATCAGGCAGCTGGGCCAGGATAAAGGTCATGCCCTTGACGATGCTGACGACCGGGTGGTGCGCGAACGGTGTGTCGGCGAACGGCGAGGCGTGGATGTGCAGGTCGTGAGCGACGGAGATCTGGACGCCGGAGACGGCAGGGTTCAAGGAGATGCCGAAGCGGCCTGCCTTGACCTGGAGCGCCTTGACGCCATTCAGCCCGTCGTCCTGCAACAGCCGCAGCAGGTAGTTGGCCGTGCCCACGGTCGGGTGGCCTGCGAATGGGACCTCGGCGTAGGCGGTGAAGATGTCGATGCGGACCGACTGGTCATGGCGGTCGTGCTGCATCTGCTCATGCAAGAAGACCGACTCGGACAGGTTGAACTCTCGGGCAATACGCTGCTTCTGGCTCTGGGAGAGGACGACGTGTTGCGGCACTCTGATGATGGCCAGTGGGTTGCCTGTGTATCGCGTCGAGGTGAAGACGTCGAGTGTGACATAGGAGAGTTGGGTCGGTGTCCCTGGTCTTCCCTGCGTGCCTGGTATCTCTGTTCCGGATGTGTCCGTCGCCATGATGGATGGTTGGCTGCGTCGAAAATCGAAACCCTAACGACAGCAATGGTACTGGAAGGGTTCAATGCAAGTAAATGTGTAGAAGGGAGCAAGAGACTCCGTGTCGGTCTCGATGATCAGTAATATACATGTCTTGACAACCCAATGACTCATGCCACGCTTAGCTCAACACGGTGGATTCCTAAGGTTACACTCGAGGTCGGATGGTGCAAGCGACGACTCCTTTGCATTTCCTGCCTGAGCGCCCTCTCCGTTTGGTTGAGTTGGGAAGCAAGATTCCTTTCCATATCTTGTCTGAGCTCCCTCATCATTTGGTCGAGTTGGGAAACAAGACTTCTCATGTGGACAGCGACAGCGACCGTTGGTTGCTTTAGCGAACCTGAGGCTGGCACCTCCAACTCGGCCAAACTTAACGATGCGATATGTAATTGAGGTTGGACTTCCACCGTAGTCGTGCCTGTCTTAGCAGGATTCTCTTTACCGGGTTCCTCCCGGTGGCCATCTGCTATGGACTTCTTCGCAGATGGATCTCTTCTGGCCTGCGATGCTTCGTGAATGGATTCACCCACGACGGGAGGAGACTCCCGCATCCGCGTATGGATCTGGTCGAGAAGAGCCTGGCCGGTGACGGGTATGTTGTCTCTCCTCATTGCCTTTAGTTTTGCGGCCCATTCCGGTAGTAGATCCCCGGCTTCGTTGTAGGGTCGAGCTAGATTCATCCAGGTCGCCCAGGAGCGTACCACTCGAATGGCTGATCCAACATCCTCGTGGAACCACTCTTCGTGGCCGACGCCGCACTTGCAGGAGACCTCCTTGAATCGGGAGTCTCGCAACTCCAAATGCACGAGCTGCTCGACCCGGAACGCGTGGGGGATCCAGTCTGTTGAGTAGTGATGTTCAGTAATCCGGCCGCAAGTCCTTCTCGCATCATCCTGTCTTTTCTGCACTGAGCGTGCAGTAAAGCCAATCTTGACCATGACACCCCTTCTCTCGACATAGACGATTCCCGGATCCCGAGCCCTTTTCGCCAAATTGCTGTGCAACAAGTCGAAGAATGTTCGTGTTCGATTAGACCCATAAGGGATGTACTTGACATTGTCAAAGAGAGTCATCTTCCCTGCGGCCTCACCCAGCGTGAGGGTTTCCGGTGGAGGCTTGCCGACAACCTGCTTGACATTCGACTGAGATCGGATCACACGACCACTGGGCGGCGTCTGGAATGGGGTGCTGGAGCCAGAAGATGGTCTCTCATCCAGCTTCTGCTTGCCGGCCGCCACCTTGCACTCTTTTGCGCTCAGTTCAGTCCTCCATTTTTCACATATGGGCCTCCCCAGCTCGAGCTCTCTGCATATCTTTTGGTGCTGCCAGCAAAAGGACAGGTCGAGAAACCGGGCGAGACTCTCGTCAAGACACGGATCGGTCAGGCTACTGCTCAAAATGGTTTGGTGGAGTGTGGCTGCTGATTTTCTGGTGTATCGATCCCGGCACCGGAGACAACGGCTGGCCTCTGTCTTGACTGGGAAAATGCATGTCTCGTCATCACGGCCAAGGTCCCGGAATTGAGGCAGATCTTTGGCAACTCTTGCCATCTTGGAAGGAAATCGCAAGAAGCCTGGTGGGAGGAAGATACATCCAAGCTTCTCGCGGCGTTGAAGACAAGGAGCGTGAGCGGCCATATATACTGAACTCCTCGAAGCTTGAGGATTTGGGTCGCGATGAGCTTGAACGGACGTATGCCGCAACGCTAGAGTAGGGCCATAGCTATCATGTGGCACAGTGGTGCATTCGTACTTCCTGACGAGCAGGCACCAGCACGGAAGCCTGCGAACGTTGGGTGTGAAGAGGAAGCGCTCTCTCTAGAAGGGTAATCATTGCCGAGTAGGCCAGAGTCGAGACCTTGAGGATTTGGTCACTATTCTAGAGGCCGAGTATGACCAGACCGTGCTCTAAACCCCAAGTCGCAAGTGCCAACCCTGACTGCGATACGAGGTGCTATCGCGGCCAGTCTGGACAGGGTAATGGCTGGCAGGAACGCATTGGAAACAACGCGATAGCGCACAGCGGCATCTCGAGGAGGCTGTATCCGAGGAGGCCGAGTACTCCGTACTGCGTACTGTAATCTCGTGATCGAAAACCTCGCTTGAAAGGTATAAACATAGTAGCAGCTAAGGTGCACAGCCAGGCGGCCTCCCAAGAGGACCATGACGCGATAGCGCGGCTAATGCAAGCCAGGTTCTGGAAATGAATGCTTAGCAGCAGCTTTGGAATTCCCCCTCTTTGCAGAATCAGAGGCAGACTCGGGGAGTGACACGATGCCAACACTGTCGCCTACTTGAGGGAGATTTCAATTAGCAGAATGCACAGTTCTCTTGCGGGAAGAGAGTGTTGTCCAATTCATCACTCAGGCGACTCCCTGTTGGCCGAGTCGGAACTTGACAAGCTATGCACACGCTCATCAGTGAGCTCCTCGCTAAAATGGCGGCTAAAGGCAGAGGCCCTAAGGCTCCTTGGACCTAGAGTTACATTGAGCTCTGGTGGCTGGTGCTTGTAAGTTCATGAGGCTGAGGACCCGGCGGTCGTTGTGGACTCAACTATCGCGGCTAGATAGTAGATCTCCACGCTGATTGGGGTTCGGCGAGTCGGGAGGACTGAGGGACCTGTCCGGGGTCCCCTGCCACATCTTCCACATCCTATGGTCCAAGATCCCCTCCGCGCCCCGATCATCGTTGCTGAACCTCCCCAGGAAGAGGTGACTGATATCAGGCATTCCACTGAGGGGTGCATACGCTCGAGACCCCGCCCAGGATTGAGGGCTTTGTCGCACAGGTTTTCGACAATTCGACAACTGCATTGTTGCCTATTCATCACCTGGTTGTATAGATGTGGTCTCTTCGTAAATGCTAGGTCTTGACTTTCATGCTTCAATAAATTGATTGATTCCACAGGAGAGATACCCTGAAGTCTTTGTTATAGTGTTAGGCGTTAGCATTGCTACTGATATTTTCAGCACTGATTGCTGGCACCACTGACCAGTCAAGCCTTCTGTAGGATGGACCATGTCTTGTCGAAGGAAGATGTGAAGGAATACGATGCCTTTATCCCTGCAATCCCCTGGCTGGGATACGACCACAAACCCTCAGAGACGGTCGGCACATTCGACGACTATGCGCTGCAGCGGGGCTGGACCCCTGACAACCTACTCGATCTCAAAGAAGGCAGACTCCAGGTCATCCAACAAAACTCTGTCAAGCCGTTCCTGCAGAGCTGGTTCAGTATCGGTCTCTGGGAAGCCGCTTTGGGAAGAGGTCTGGAGAAAGACGACTTCATTGCGTGGAGAGATTCCAAGGCCATGTTCAGCAGCGAGAAACTCAAACCGATGGTCAGAGATCTCGTCGAGTACTTCATCCACGCCGCCGAAGATGACTCTGTCAAAGTTGAGATCACCATGCGCCTGAAGCGTGTTCTGAAGGCTGCCAGCCTGTGGAACAGAATGATGAGCGAAACTCAGCTCTTCATAAATGCAAATCCTGACTTCTGCGATGAGACCTTCCATACTGTGATGCGGATGTTCACCATACTAGGGGTGACGCTGCAGTACACAGCTGAGCATCTGGCGGAATGGGGACCAGTTGGGTTCCGCGCCCAGGTCCAGAATCCTTGGAGATTCACACTCGCACTTCAGCAGAGGCTCAAGGAGCGCATGATCGGACGTGGTTGGTGTCCATACATCCAGACCATGCTCAGTCCGTTCAATGTGATCGTGCAGGAATATGCTGCCATTGTTGGACCGCCGTCGACTCGGTTTCGCCATGATGCGTGTTCCGCCGCTGGTTGTGTCAGGCACAATATTGACGACAGTGCCTACAAACCTCTCCACACTCGACCAGACTGTCGGTGTGGATGGGTACGGCCGAGCCTTGACCGAATCCGCGAGATTCTGGACAATGGACAAGTTCCTCTGATGGACTTGACCAAGGTCTTGGACGCTGAAGACGGCAAAGTTGTGCATGTCGTACCGTTTGAACCAGGAAAGGCCGAATTTTCTGCCGTCTCACACGTATGGTCTGGTGGCTTGGGCAGCACCTCGGAGGAAGGACTCCCTCAATGCACTCTCCACCATCTCAGCGGCTACATGGAAGCTGGGAAGCTCTCCAAACTCGTCTGGATCGACTCTCTTTGCATCCCGCGCGACAGGAGGCTGCGAAAGCTGTCGATCCGCACCATCAACAAGGTGTACACTCAAGCGGACACGACCCTCGTCCTTGACCCAGAGCTCATGCACTCTCCCTCTTCCAGTACACGTCGGATGCTGTTATGGATAGCTACGGCAGCCTGGATGCAGAGGATGTGGACGCTTCCCGAAGGACGACTGTCTCGACGTCCATTCATCGCTTGGGAGGATGGCGCAGTCCCTCTGCAGCGCTGTTTCGCGGACGCTGCAACCGACTTTCACAACCCAGTCACTGGTGCACTGGAGCCAGAATTGTTTGGTCTGCTTTCCCAGGAGATAAATCAGCTTCGATATATACACCAGTCTTTGGGTTACCGCACCACGAGTAAGCGGGACGACGAGGTTCTGGCTCTCGCTGCGCTTTTCGACCTCGATCTCAAAAACTTCCTGGACAGGACATCCTCAGATGAGCGAATGGCGCTGTTCTGGATCTCCCTCAGGCACAAAGTGCCAATTCCGATGAACATTCTTTTCTTGAACACTCCTAGACTCCCAGTTCCAGGACTTCGCTGGGCGCCCAGCAGCCTTCTGAACGCAGGAAGGCAGCTAAGCCTCATAACGGCGCCAAAGGGAATTGATTCCTATCATGTACACTTGGGCGACGATGGCACTCTGACGGGAGCTTATGTCGTAATTCGCCTGGACAAAAGATCGACCATTGTGCTGAACAAGTTCAATCCAATCATGCTGACCTTTCTTCCAGATCCAGGTTCAACACAGCTTTGCAGGGCTCCTTTCACCATTGAGGCTGGCGGCGCACGAAAAGCAAGGGTTCTTGATCATGTTGACGCCTTTGCGGTCAATGTAACCAATATTGAGGCCACAACAGCAGAGCTTTTGGCCAACGAACTTGTCGCTGCCGTTCGGTCTGCCGTCGCGCTGACATTGAACACTCCGGAACCACGGGATGAAGGCCACGCGGTGCCTAGCCAGAACGATTCCAAAGCTTCAAATCAACCACCCGGTCACTCATTTAGAGCCCGTCAGCGACTGCAGCTGTCACCCATAGAGACTCGAGGGAACGAGATGATTTCTGGAATTGTTGGGTGGGCACGGATTTCGATATCCTGAGCAGGCCTTTGGTGCTTTTCCTGATGATGCCATACCGGTGCTCCGACATCAAACAACACTCCATCAGACACGAAGACATGACCTTGACATAGCCATTCAGACAGTCACCAACTTTAGGCGTATTTGTTGCGAACCATCGATAGCCTTGCTAGAGTCTAGTGCGATCTGCCAGCTGCACTGTGCCTTGATATGACCGAGTCTGTATCGTCGCCGGAGCGTGCTGGTACTCGGGGCCGCCGCCATTCTTCCGTTATAAGGGTACCGTCATCATGGATAACAAACATGCATTCTTCTTCCAGAGACGTTTCTTGCTCATGAGAGGTTCCTTGGTAGATAACCATGCATTCTTGTCCAAGCGACGCTTCTTGTTCACCAGTGCGGGGTCGCAGAAGATACTCATTTAATTCTACTCTCGGGACAGCCGTCTGAGTTAAAGGACTGGGAGGCCCCTCTGTACCAGGCTGTGGAGTATGGCTGTCGGAGGTATTGCTGGTCCCGGTTGTAGTGGTTGTAGCTTCAGTGCCTCTTCTGAGCTCTGTCATGATGGCCTTGGAGGCAGAAACTTGTTCATTTGCAAATTTCTCTATCCTCTCCACCAAGGCCCGAATCATTTGATCCTGCGTTGCCTGACCATGGAAAGCAGCGCTGTTGTTAACCACTTTGACTGCACGTGAAGCCTCGTAGTCGCGCTGAGCCTCTTCGCATTCTCGTTCAAGCAATTTGATGCGTTTTTTCAAATGTTTACTGCGCCACCATGATTAATTCAGTCGTTCCACGGCCTGCAATGTGTCCCAACAGACAGGTGTAGCACTCACATTTCGCGCTCTTTGTCGACTGTGGCCTGGCCCAACCTGCGTAACTCATCCATGATAGCCATTTGGAGATGAAGGTTAAATGTGAACGAAAATATCAGGATGCTCAGTTTCATCGGCTCTAGACGGGCCAAAAGCTCTTTCAAGTCTTGTTCATCCATAAACATCCACAGCATCTTGGCCCAAACCCGAGCAAGTGGAGAGAAACTTGGATCATGAAGAGGACCTAATCTTTGAAAGGCTGCTTTGATATCGTGCACTGCTTCTTGAATTTGCTTTGTGAGATCATAGAGTAGTTTTCTTGCTTTGAGATCCTTGCTTATTGCCAGACCTTGTCGGTCCAAATCCGTCATAGTCTTGTGGAAGAAATCGAGAACCGATGAGAAGGTCGAGACGGATGTCTTGAGGCGTTTCACCTTTCTAGAAGAACATTTGAAAGACTGGTAAGACCGGTTGCATAATTTGACTAGCTGATGTGATGCCTGAAATAGTGTAACAGCTGCAACCCCAACATCCAAGCCGGTAGCCATGTCGTTCCAGTATGCCAGGAATATGCGGGAATCCAAACTCAGGTGAAGTACGTCTGTAGGCAACGCTGCATTCTTAAAGCATGAGCCGGCCGCAGCACGGGGTACCTGAAACCGCTCGGAGGGAGGCTGCTCTGCATATTGCACACGAGAGCTGCTGCGCTGGCTGACTACTTATCGAATGCAGCTCGTAGCCGAGAAGTTGCCATGGGTCAACAGTTGCGCCATTGGTTGATGCTTTTCGACCGTCGCTGCATGTGCAGCGCGTCCGATGCACCCCATTTTTCACCGGTTTATATTGGCTTGTAATATTGGAGAAAGGGCAGTGTGTGCTTACATCGGCAAGTGGCTATTCTTGCGGTCACCATGCTGCTCCAGGGGTACATGTCTGCAAGGTGTGGATTGTCCATGCACAGAAGGCCTGAGTGGAAGGTCCCATGCTGCGTCCGGTTAGAAATCACTGGGTCGACTCCGTAGTCGCAGACAGAAATGAATCAGGCTTGAATTGACAGCGAACTAGCCTCCTCAGTAAAAGTGAGTCTTCCGGTTGAAACCAGACCAATCCTGCTTTAGTGCAGAGGGATGCGAGGTTGCGGGAAAGGAAACGAGGCAGACTTGGATGTGTGAGACCGAGCAATGTGGGCTATTGATCAGTCCATCTTAGTGGCAGGGTAACTTCTCTTACCGTCTGCGGCCCCCAGAAGGCCTCTAGCAGAGCATGGGGGGATGTTGGTGGGCGCCGTAGTAATCGCTTCAACTTGGATGGCATGAGGTGCGCCGTGTAGCCCGGTCGTGAGGAGTCAGGACAGTTGAAAGGAAAGCCAGCAGGAGGGATTTGCGAGACTGCGCCAGACTGAGAGTCATGCAGAATGCTCCACCAATCACAAGCTTCCCAATGCGCCATTCCACGCCAAACTGCATGAGGAAGTTCTGTCTTGGCGACGTCGGTACCTCACTGCCGTGGCAGGTTGACTGCGGTGCTGAACTCCAGTTGAGCTCGACGCAACCGTCGAATACCAGCCACAAACAACGCAGCAATGTCGTTCTTGCGGTCCCAGAGCTGCCTGCGGCTCTCTAGATCATACAGGCAAGTTCCTCGATCGACGAGATGGTTATCGCAGACACCGCAGCGAAGACTCGGCGAGCCGGACCCGAAAGCAATCCCCGACGTCCAGGCCATGCAAGCGACCGAAGACCAAGCTTCCCTTGTTGAGGTCGAGGATTCCAGCATCGAGGCGTACCATCCACCCCATCAGCCTAATTATAATGCGCCGGTCGACTTTGCCACGTCGCTCTACTCGCCCGTTCCGAAACGAGTGATGAACGGCAGCGAACCGGGGGAGATCACGCCCGCCGCCGTCCTTTCCGGGGCTCCCGTGGATCTACAAGCTCGAACAGTCAGGTAAGGAGGTGCCTCGTAGTTCAACATGGAATTTGCACCGACTAAGCACTGGTTCTAGAATCTACAAGCAAGCCAAACCTGCCACGCAATCTGGAACGTGGGGTTCACACGCCTGGCGCTTGGACTGGGATGTCCTGCCCAAAGGCCATCGGTGGGAGAATCCCCTCATGGGCTGGCAATCGTCGGGCGACGTGATGCAAGGCACCAAGATTTCGTTCAAGACCAAGGAAGACGCGGTTGCGTTTGCCGAGAAACAGGGCTACGAGTGGTATGTTCATGAACCGCAGGAGCGGCGGTTCGTGCCCAAGGCGTATGCCAACAACTTCCTCCACGAGTCGGGACCGAAGATAAAGCACATCAAGACGAAGTAGGAGAGGAAGGGAAAGTGGGCAGGCAGGCGTGCACATCAACAAGACGAAGGAGCACACCATGGGTGAGGCTTGGAAGTGCGCTCTGAGAGAGTGATATGCAGGTATAAGCAGCGCTTTGCTACGACCAAGGAAGAAAGAGAACCTCCCGCAGAAAGCCGTGGGTTGGTTCAAGGGGCGTTGCGCATTTGTGTTCATGCTGTACCTGGCCGGCGTGTATATATTGACAGAATAAATCCCAGGACCCAAGACATGAAGAACAACCCACATGCCACATACCTTTTTTTCATATCATTGAATGACCCAGGTCAGGCTAATCAGGCTTTCCGCGCTTGTCGTGTCCGGGACGCAGATCTCAGATGGCTTTCCAGCACCTCAAGTTAGATATGAACGAACTCCAGCCTCCAGCACCTCGAGTTAGTTATGATCGAACTCTACCAGCTATCTCGACAAGGTCCCGCTAGCACTGGCAGCAGATGATTCCAATATGAGAGTAATTAGTACTCTACCAAGCGAAAGAACGGGGTTTCATTGATCGTCACGTCCAGTCTCTCCAGCGTTCCACTCAGACGACTTTCTCAGCATTATACGGGTATCTTGGGAATCCGAATTGGGATTGCGAATCGCATCATATCATCAAACGGAAACACTAATCGTACAAGGGTATCCTATCGTCCCAATTCCATTCCATCCCATCCTGACTTGGTCGCTGGCATACAACGACCCAGCAGCCGTCATGTCATGCCATCGTTCGTTATCAGCCGTCAAGGGTTTCATATCATGTCATCGTGATCAGCAATCAAGACGGGTTTCAAATCTTGCATCAGGGCCCATGCATTCCATTCCATTCCCGTCTCCATCCCATCCAATCCACTCCCGCGCAACATATAGCCCAGATCTGGCCGAGCACAAACACTGGCATGAAGCCCGATCCTGCGCTTAATTGGCATTGGCGCTGGGGCTGACACTGACGCTGACGATGACGCTGAGAGGGATTTGGGATTTCGTCGACTTTATTTTCCTTTAGACTTCTAGTAGTTGTGCTTCGCGCCCTGCTTGTTCACGTCGGCCTGGCGATTGTGGCTCGTCTCATTCACTTTGTCCTTGACGGCATCGCCGGCGGCGCGTAGACGCGTGGAGGTTCGCACATTGTGGTCTTTGGCAATCCTGTCACGATCACAGCATACGGAGTCAGCGGATGGTTTCAGAGGGGTAAATGAAGAAGAGGTAGGAGGTCACATGGGGTGGGCTGGGGGTAAATCAAGAAGAGTGAAAGGGAAAAGAGAAGAGAAAGCATACGACTTGTTGGTCTCTTTGCTCGCCGTGTCGCCGGCACCCTTGGCCTTGTTGGTGATGTAGTTTCCTGCGGATCGGAGGGCGTTCATATCTGCGGTTGGGGTGGGTTGGATCTGACTTCAGATGGACAAATCGATCAAATAAACAATAGGTAAAACACTTCCTATTCTTATAGCGTAGAAGAAGGTTGGGGTATGTAATGTAGTGGAGTAGTTTTCAGATAATAGGAACTACAATTCCATCCACCGGCAGAGATAGACACACATATATATACATGTGTGAGGGCGTGGGTGTTGTCTTCTCTGCACTACCAACCCTGCACTGCCTTGCCATGCACTGCCTGTTGTTTGGAATACGGCTACACGGCTACACCCGCCTCAGGTGATCGATCCGACCCAGACCGGAACATTCATCCAAGAGGCAGAAGCAGAGGCAGAAGCAGACGAGTAGCCAGTCACGCCGCATATACGGAGAACAGCACTCCATATCCGTACGCATGTGCTGTGCAAGCTAACACCTCAGGATAGTGGACATGACATAACTGTCGCCCTATCACAGTCCCGACTAGTAGCGAAAAGAACGAAATCTGGTTTGGAGTCGGGGCTAGAGAAAGAGGCGGGTGACCGATGACGGTGCACAGCGTATGGACTGGATAGAATCAATCGAAGGAGAGGGAGAGAGGAAGAGAGAGAAGAAGTGGGAGAGGAAGAGGGAAAGTGATGGATGGTGGTGGTGGTGCTTGATGCCCACAATCCATCCATGTACGGGTAATGTTAACCCTAACCCTAACCCTAACCCTAATCCTAGGTGTTCTGTGCAGAGTACTCCGTACGGATACAGAGTACAGAGTACAGTGTTAGATTAGGTACTACCTTAGGTGTTACGGTATACGGATACGGTCTATGTATACGGTCATTGAGGCGAGTACTGTACTCCGTACTGAGCTTGCTGTATGTGTAGTGGCGTCGGTCGATTGATGGTGATGGCGATGACGTTCCAGAGTCCAGAGATCCCAGCCTGGCAGCCAGTACGTGTAAGGCTGAACACTGAACACCGCACACCCTGAAGCCGGAGCAGGAACAAGAGCAGAGCAGGAAGAGGACAGACAGGTCAGGGCCAAGGTACACGCACCCCATATATATACAACAAGTTGAACTACCTTAGGGATCCCTCTTTGATGTATCTACGACAACTCGATGTCCATATATGGTCGTCGATTGTGGTCTATAGATGTCCCTCTCCCTCTAGTCTTTCTCATTGACCCTTGGCTTTTGACCTTCATCTACCAGACCACTACCACACTACTACACTACTACACTACTAATTCCCCTTGGCCTCCGATGTATAGGTGCACTTGTAACTCCTGGGTCCTTGGTCCGGGAACCCATGACGAGTCAACAGGTAGCTTGTCTGGTAGTCCGGGATGCCCGGCCACACGAACGGACTTGCTGTGTTCCAGCCATTGTCGTTGCAATTGCCCACCTCGTACAAGGTGCAGGTGAGACCCTTGTCGGGCCCCATGGATCCCTGAGAGCCGTAGTTCACGTTGTAGCATTGTCCGTTGTTGACTGGTGTCCAGATGCACGGCAGGACAAAGTTCTTGTTCATGCATTCGTACACGCCGCGACTGGCGGTGCGAGCCTGGTGCGCGTGTAATTCTCCGTCTCCGTCTCTTTCTCCGACTCTTTCTCTTGCTCCGTCTCCTGCCTGAGTGCCCTTGAGATGAGGGAACCGGATATCTGCTCCCATGTCGCTTCCAGGCCCTTCCACGTCTCGGGCATGGCTCTGCTTCGACCCGCCATCCCACTTCTGCTCGGCCGAATGGCCATGTGTGGACGCAGCATTACCGTCCTGGCCATCCGACAAGCCACCGTGGTTCTTATGCTGCGTTTGCGGCTTGCCGTCGGAACTCTCGTATTTGCCCTGTGCATACGTGCCTGTCTTGTACATGGCGTTTTCACGGCGACGATGAGTGGCGGAATGGGCAGCACCGTTGTTGTCGTTGTCGTGGTCGTCATCGTCATCGTCATCGTCATCTCCAGATGTGTAAGCGTGGGCGTAGACAGTACCCGCTCCAGCACCAGGGTATTTGCCGGAGAAAGGGTGAGCTGCACCTGCAACCGCGCCGCCATCTCCTGTACCACTTGGAGGACCGCCAGCTCCACGTCCAGGGCCGTCATGGCTCCCTTGCACATCACCGGCAGGTGGTCCGCCAGGCTTCTGCCATTGTCCAAAGCCGGGAAGGGCAGTGGTGAGGGTGGCCAACGAGCCTAGAAGGAGGACCGAGTTCTTGATTGCCACCATGTTTGTCAGCGAGTTCAACAGTGTAGTGTATTGGAACAGATGTCAGCGAATTCGATAGTGTATTGTAACAGAGGTGAATTTAGTATGTGTCGAATTGTATGGAGGAACTACCTACCTCCTCGAGGAGTATATAACATGTACAAGATCAGGCAGCCTGACCAAACAGAGGTGAAAAGAAAGGATGTGACTGTCTTTGTCTGGGGCTTAGGTTTCCGAAGAACCATCTCCAGCCCAAACAAGCACATGGCCAACCCACTACAGCCGTTTTCGCAGCTTGCAGCATCCGCTCGGGGCCTCAGGGCCTTGTTCCCGCAATGACAATCACGGCTGGCCCTCCAAAATCGTCGAGAGCATTGGTCATGAATGGAAGGGCGGCGGTGCGAGACAAAGCCCGAGCTTGATATTGTTCTTGTGGGACGGGAGGCGGCCCTTGATATTGTTCTTGCAACATTCCGAGAATGGCCTGAGCCGGCCCAAGACAAGGCACTGCAGTTGAAAATCATCAATCATCAATCATCCGCCCCCTACACCCGTGTCTTTCTTTCTTTCTTTCTTTTCGATCGTACAGGAGATGAACCGTAGGTTGTTTCCCTTTCGATCGCACACGACATGAACCGCGAGTTGTGTACCGGCTTTGGCTTACCGTTCCCACAGCATGACATGATTGCTGACTTGCTTTGGCGAGAGCGAGAGCCCCTGGTCATCTTCATAGCGACGTGACCTCTTTCAGGAATACCATGAGATACGAGATACTCGGTGGTACAGTAGCCTTGCAGCAGTCCCTGTCTTGGGGAGCACGGCTACTGTGAGTTGTTGGTTCAACTTTCGGATTGATTCGACTTCAAGGGCCTTGGCTGTTCACTGTTCAGGGCAAACACCAGAACCTCCTTAGCCCTCTTATTATTATCTCTTGTTCTCTCGTTAGCCTTGTTATTATTATCTCTTGTTCTCTACTTAGGTTTCTTATCTCTTGTTCTCCCCGGGGCCTAGGACCCACCCGAGTCCGATTAGGAAGGAAAGGGAAAGGGATGTACTCTGTAATTAATTTCATTCCATCATGATTCATGTTTTCCCACTCATGCAAATAAAGGAAGGTCCTCGCGACTAGTCTACTCTGTAGCGTCTAGCTTCGGTCGCTTATCTCCTTGACGGCAGCGATCCTACTACAGTCATAAAATATCTCCCCCATCCGCTCCTCGGCGCTCAATTCCGAAAGTCTACGGATTAATCATCTCCTGTACATAATGTTTCACTGTAGCTAAAGGACATCAGGGTTCCGTCGGGATGGCATGTCCGATAAATACGGAGTACCTGTACGGAGACAACCAGGCGTTGAAGGATCCAACACTATTAGTACTACAGTCCAATCTACCTGAATCTTTGATCTTGAAGGTACCCGATCTCCGAGTTCCCAGATTCAACACTATTAGTACTACAGTCCAGTCTACCTGAATCTCTAAATCGTTGAGACCGAAGGCACCCCATCTCCATCACCGTTGATATTGAAGTCCCCCCATCCCATCACTATCACTTTTCCATCTCCAGGTCAACATGGCACGACACACATTCACGCGAGAGCAGATAGACCGCTATTTCGACCGAATATGCCTGGCCCCAAGCCAACGGATATACAACGTGGTCGAGCTGGCAGACTCGGACAAAGTGACGTTCCTCAACCTGCTTCAGAAACACCAGCTGTGTAAGATGCCGTGGGAGAACCTGTCGATGCACTATTCGTGGCACCGGGTCATCAACGTGCGGCCGGCGTACCTATTCAAGAAGATGGTGTACAGCGCCGGCGTGGGCGGCTACTGCATGGAGGCGAACTACTTGTTTCATCTGATCCTGCATAGTCTGGGCTTCGACGTCTTTATGGCCGGCAGCCGCATCTTCCGCACGAACACCAACTCCTACGGCGGCTGGACGCACGTCGTCAATCTCGTCACCATTGCCGGCGTCAAGTATTTGCTGGACGGGGGCATGGGTCCCAACGGGCCGAATTACCCGATGCCCTTGCACGACGGGAAGGTCGTGACCCAGGTCAGTGGCGACTCATCTTCTCTCCTCATATACTCATTTTCTCATATTCTCCTTTCTCATATCTTCTCCACTCGTATTTCCCAATTCTCTACAAACGAACCGCCTGTCTCACTCTCATGGTCCATGTAGATTGCGCCAGCCCAGATGCGCCTTGACTATGAAGGCATAGCGCAGAATCTCGACAAGTCGCAGAAGGTGTGGGTGTACAAGCACCGCTACGACGAGACCGCCGAGATGGTGCCTGTGTATTGCTTTCCCGACTTTGAGTTCCTGCCAGCCGACATTGAGGTAAGTCATCCACATGTATTGTTGAACAATCTGCCCCTCCCATCATAAGAAGACAAAGGGGGACGACGTGGTTGAAGAGGGCTGTAAGGCTGCAACGCTCCAACGCTCCAACGCTGTAAGGCTGCAAGGGAGACCATCGAGCCTGGACCAAAGATGAAAAATGGGAGGCCAAACGGTTAACATCTTTGATCCTCCAGTCCATGAATTTCGAGCCTATGCTCAACCCTAAAGCCGTGTTCGCGCGCAAGGTCATGGCCGTCCGATTCACGACGGACCGCGAAACAGACGACAGCAGTGACGGGCCAGGGTCGCCCAGCCAGGAGGCGCTGGAAGGCGAGATCGACGGCTCGCTGTCGCTCAACCACGACGTTCTCAAGTGGCGCCGCCACGGCAAGAAATTCCTCGAACTCACATTGGACACCGAGGCTGCCAGACTGCGCGCTCTCAAGAGATATTTTGGCATTACGCTGCAGGACGAAGACGTCGAGGCCATCCATGGCACGAGAGCTCAGGTTGGACCAGACACGGAGCTCAGTGGGCCTCCTTGAGGAGTTTGAGTTTCCTAATGTCAAGGGTATAGAATCCTAACGTCAAGTGTATAGACTCTAGAGAAGGAGTTGGAGTTGGATAGCAATACCGTGACGTTGGATAGCAACACCGTGACACTATTAAAGGTTGAAATGTTCCATGTTCTCTATCAAAGGGGTATAGGGGGAGCCCAGCTACCCTAAACCAACCTTTTGGCTAAAGAACAAGGCTGGGAATGCGCCCAAGTTTGACAGACACGGCTGTGGCGCGGGATTGGTAGTGCAACTCTACACTAGTATCTGTGAATTATCCTGTACGGTATTTTTAACTCCAAACCAAGTCAAGCCGTGACTCGGATATTCTGAGGCCCCAGTGGAGGCGTGCTCGAGGCGATGTGGCATTGATGCACTGCAGCTGGTCAGTCAAATGTTAAATCAAGTGCTAGCAAGTCTGGCCCGGGTGCGTACTCGATCTTGGGCCATAGGCCAAGGGATACTCAATGGCGCTGTGCAAGACTCCCTATTGCGGACAATGAATCAGTAAGGTATCCGAATCAACAAGGTATCCATCTCATGGACCGTTCGCAGCCCTGTTTCGCGGTTGCCAGCACCCACCCAGTTGTTCCATACGACCATGCTGCCTTCTTGACACGGTGGGATCAAGATATACTCGGGGCCAAAGAACCGGTCGTAGATTGGATTGAGCCAGGCGTGGATTTCCTCCTGGTCTTCCACCACCCGGGTTTCGCCGTCAGGGTCGGGGCTGTGCTTCAGATGCAGCCGGAGGACGATGTCGGGCATCAGCTGCAACCCCTTCGCCCCTGTGACGGGGTTGATCCACACCATGGGATATTTGTGAACCTTGTGGGATTCCCATGGAGGAAGTTGGTCAAGCGGGACGGTGTTTCCACCACTTCTTCCGGGGTTAACTCCCAATCCAGTGGACCGCTGCCCTCGAGTCCCTGACCAGGCAAACGGATGCGGCGCCGGCTCCCAAAAGCTGTTGTCCACCGTGGCTTTTTCTTCCGCGGTCAAGCAATCGTACAATTGAGAGCTGCTGATGAAGGCGGTGCTGCCGGGAGCACACTGGATGGTCCGGCCCGTGCCATCGTCGAATCGAACCGTCACGTCCGGTCCCTTGGGCGCCTTCACGCATCGGAAAGTCGTGACTCGTGACGGGTGGGATCCGTAGATGATGCCGTCGAAATGGAACGTGTTAAATCGTGTCTCGCCGTGGCCCAGTCGCTCCCGGGGCAAGGGGTCCGCGTGGAAATCGACGTGACTGACAGCGTCGAGCGTTACCTCTCGAAGACCATAGTGATCTGGACCCTGGTAGCCGTTGCCCACGAGAGTCACGCCTCCGAGGGAGTGCGGAATCACATGGAACGGCTTTTTCTACAGCACTCAGTCAGTCGACTGCCACATGAGATCCTCATTCATTTCACATACCCCCAGCTTGCCGAGTTCCTTTGTGGATTTGCCATACCCGAAGCCGTGCTGAGGGCTAGCATCTGGGTCAAACCGCTGCACAAAGCCAAACTGGTTCGCAGGGAGAAGATTCTCCTGGCCCTCGATGACAACGACACTGTGTGTATAGACTGCTTCTCTCAGTACCGCAAATGACTTGTCGTCTAGGTCATTCAGGTCTACCCCTGTAATTACGGCGCCGAACTTGGGCACGTCAGCAAAGTGTCAAGGGCTCAGACAAGGATTTGATTCTTGCATACATTGGTACTTTTGTCCGACCCATGCTCCAAAGGTCGGACAACAATATGGCGGCTTTCTGCGCGCGGCATCCTGACAGCAGGGATGGAGGAATGGAAAGAGCACGGAAAGAGTCACTTAACTCAACCCAACTCTGCAATAGATTTCTTGTTCTGCGACAGTAGTACTGTGTCCTGGATGCCAACTTATCAAGTCTTCGAGAATGAACTGCTGCCAGCACAGATGCTGGGCTGGCTGCCTTTCAAGATGAAATCGGAGATCGACGGGCAAGATATCTTGTCGAGCACCGATAACGCGATCGCCCCCCGGACGGTAAGTGTCTTCGAGGCTGTGATAGTAATCCGGGGGACGTGACTGGCAAGGATACTAGTGTTGTCCAGTGAAGATTGGTTGAACTCATTTTTGTTCTTCCCAATACGCCCAATACGCCCGATGCCGTCCGTTGTGCTAGGATCTAGGTTCATATCTTCCAATTAGTAGACGGAGTGATTTCTGCATGCCAAGATAGACAGCGAGAAGTTTGGTGATGTCTACTTTGTTGGCACCGAACTCGTGGAAGAGTGGCGTGGCTACATGGAGGGAGCATTGCGCAGCGGTAAGCTCGGTGGTGCACAGGCTTTGGCGGATTCACGCTCGGACGAGGGGTGACTGTAGGTCAACCATCAGGTACGTCGTATAGCGCTGGAAGAATGAAAGGCTGAGCTATGGGAATATATCTCCATGTTCTCGAGATTGAACCAGTCCCCTGGCCGAATGGCCTCTCAATCAACGGTCAGAAGCTGCTCATAGAAGCCGCCTATTTGACGGGCGCGGTCTACCAGATGGATTTCCAGGATCCAATGTAGCTTCTGCCCGTCCTTGCCCACACGCCTCATCGGCTCCTTGCTTCCCGGGGTGATGTAAAGAGAGACGGTGTCGTTAGCTATGCGTTCGTGGGGAAACAGGCCGACCAGGTGGCCTGCAATGGAACCGCCGAACTCCCAGCCAGCTTTCTGGGCGAGATCGCATGCAACGCCGTAAAGCTCTTCGCCTGTGATGTCGGGATGGTCCTGAAAGTGCGCTTTGACCTCCTTCCACAGAGGCTCTAATGCATCGTGCAGCTTGATCTTGATCGGGTCGTCTCCAAGCACATAGGTACGGCCAAAATCAGCCTCCCAGGCCTCGAAGACCGGGCCCAGATCGACGAATAGGATATCGTCGGGCTGAAGAACGCGGTCAGGAGGGTTTTCGCGGTAAGGGAACAGGGTGTTCGGTCCGCTTCTGATGACCCGCTTGTGCCAATGGGTTCGGATGTTGTGGCGTTTGGCACCAAGTTCGTGGATCTCTTTGCTTAATTGCGTCTCGCTGACGCCGGGGCGGATGAGGGTTTGTCCAATCTCCTCAAACAGCTTGGTAGCTTTGATTTCTGCATCCTTGAGGTAAGCAGCACGTGCCTGATCCGTTGTCTGTGCGGGCTCGGTTGCCATTGTCCAAGGCTTGCTATGAGAGGATGGTGCCGATATTCCAGAAATGCGGAGAAGGTGTGAGATGGCAGTCGTTTCTATCCCTACAGGAGAGCGAGCTCTTTTTATCCAACGAGTTGGCCGGATCTTGGCAGTCGAGTAGATCAGGGTTGACTTGCGTGAGACTGGGTGATAACTTCAAGATGGAGTAGAGGGGAGATGATGTTCGGACACCACTAGATAGACTGAGGGGTTGGCTCGTCGCCTTTGTCCGCATGGTGGTGTCATCTGGCGTCTGATATCGGGGGAACCTCTAGCCTCTATCCCAGGAAGGCAGACGGTCTGTGGGAGCATCAGCATGGGATGGGGCCAAGGGACTTCCCCGGCTTAGAGATTGGGGAATTGCAATCAGCTGTGCTTGACTCGTCAGCAACTTGAACTGGTGCCTGCGAATCACTAAGGTACCTAAGGTACCTTGCTGCTCTGTTGCTGCTTAAGCACGGCGAACACCAGCACAGGGCGGCGTCATCCTCGTTTCCGAAGCGGGCAAGTTCATCTTCAAGTTCAGTGCCATTGCCTCTTGGCATCAGCCAGTCAGAGACTCCGACCTCAGCTCTTCTACCAGAAATGTACCGGAACCACCACATCACGTCCGTGGTTAAGAGCCTGACATCCTGTTGATCCTACCAGGTCGAGAGGACTTGAAAGTGAAATCCATTAGCGCCCAAATATCGCGACCCCGACGGACTACTCCCTGATGAGGTCCTAGCCCTGATCGCGGTATTCACGTCCGTCGACTGTATTGCGGCTTTGAGCGACGTTCCAACATGAACCGAAAACAGAGACGAGCCAAAGACTTATCCACCCGACCTGGCGGAACATCCATCAAGACCGCAGATGATATCCCCTTGGCGAGACCCGACCCAAGCCAATCCAATCCTCGGAGAGGAAAGACGTTGCTCGAGATCGCAGCGGAGCGTCAGGCCCAACTAGATCCGCGCTACAGATACGACAAGGATGCTTTCCACCCCCAGAATGTTGTCCAAGTTAAGATCGGGGAGGACGGACGGGTTCTACACGATGATCCCAGCGCACCCTCGTCAGATGCAGCGGTGGAGACGCCGTGGCTCGACACGCTCCTTTTGGCCGTGTCCCTGTCGGCCATCCACTTCACGCTGGAGACTCTGACGGTGCATCAGTACGCCCAGGAGCTGCGTTTCCCGCCCATCATCCGCCGGACGCTGTTCGTGGCATTCCCTGTGCTCACGGCCATGATTGCCCTGTTCCACGGCCAGTTGCTGCCTGCTTCGGCGCAGAGGGTGCCAGAGCCACTGAGGCTTTGGACCCTGGCTCTACGCCAGCTGGCGTATGTGGTGGTCGCGAACGTCGCCGGCTGCTATTTAATCCAATTGACCAACGACAGAGGCTACTACGCTGTCATGAAGAACGCCCCCAGCATAGGTACAATTTGGGTCTGGACCGTCCTTGAGCTGGGGTTGCTCGGAGCGTTGGCTGGTGTGATCGGGCCGGGTATCTATGCTTGGTGGAACGGTTATGGGATTTTCTGAATACAGTCCTTCTGTCCAAGTCTGAAATAGGAAAAGTAATTATTATTGGAAATCATAAGAGGCCATTCTGAGGTAGGATCCGGAGAAGGTCGGTGATGCGACATTCGGAGTCGGACATGACGGAGAAGATGAGAAACCTTCCACCTTTACGGAGAAGTGAATTTTGTTTCATGTCCAACCGGACACTACGGCCCACGGGCCTGGTGCGTGCCTGAGTTCAGACTATTCGGGAACCTTGTGGGACAAGTTGTACGACGGACCAGACCTTCGATGCTCACCGTAATAGAAACCAATCTAGTCTGTGAGGGCTCTGTGCGACGTGCATGGCGCCATAGTGGACAACTCACTATTCAGTAGTGGCGCTTGAAAGTCGACGCCCTTTGACTGTGTGACTCCCACAACGGCCATCGGGCCGCAGACATACGCAGGAGCGGTACGTAACTCACCAGAGGTGGAGCACGCCGGAGAAAAGCGACCTGTTCTTGGTCTGGACAAAGACATTGGCAAGTTGTCGGGTTAAGGGGGGCATGTGTCCAAATTGGAGGCTTCGAGAAGGGATCAAGGTGGATATTCTCGAGTAATCATCGAGTAACACCGGTATAGCGACGGGAACGAAGTATCCAACGGATGAGGTGTTCCGCAACACGTTGGGAAATTTTTTACCAAGGGCGCGAATCGCATGGGGAAAGTCATGGCGATATTTTGAGTCACAATAATATCACCCTGCCGGCCTGCGGAGAGAGTCTGGATTATTGGTGGGTTTTGGCCTGAGCATCTGACAGCCAAGGGCACCACGACTCGAGGGTTGTAGTAGTACTCCGTAGCCGTAGACCTGATGGTCATGTTGAAGACAAGCGAAAAGCCGACTCAGACTTGTCGTCCCCCAGGAAAACATGATCTCCGCGGACACACCGACGCTTCGATCGACATTGAAAGGTCCTGCAAGGCATCAGATGATGTGCGATGATGCAAGGGAGTGAAATCTCTGCCGTAGAAGCCGACAAGGGCTTTGCGGGGTGCAGAAGTGGCTGTGGCGCCGCTGCTTCATTGGGCAACCGACCACCACAAGGCCAGAAGTTCATCGATCGAGCCAGAGTGCGTTACGGAACAAACTGCCAGGACAAAGACGGACACTTGGTCCCTGCAACCCTCGTACAACGACTGTCGAGCCCAAGTCAGCTGGTCCACTAGTCTTTTTCATCTCGATGATCTGAACCGCGGAGGGGGTGACTGGCGGCCCGTGTCCTCAGTCTCAGTTTGCGCTGGCTCTGAATTGGCATGACTACTCTGGTCTCCGATTCGAGTTCTCGTACTCGTACCAGCAGCATGTCTCGGATGGCAGACGGATATGTGTACTGTCCTCCGTATTTGCAGTCACCACACGCCACTTCTGTTGCTGTGGTTGTCGGAACCGTGATTCCCTTTCTAACGTATATTTCGTGATGTCAGCCAAATGTTTCGCCATCCGGAGTTCCAGTGTTGTCTTGGGCTGGACTGGCTGCGGTGCATTCATCTGGTATCCGTAGGTGGTAGTGTGTATGGTGTTTCGTACAGCAAATCCCCAGCGCTAGCCCATCTCTGCAGGTGTGTCAGTTGCAAGCGGAAGTCTGCTGAGGTCAAATGGAATCGCGTCCTGCTAGCGGCTAGCCGCAGTGGCTTTGCCTTGATCGAGTTTCCATTATTCACACCGTGCATGTTTGGAGCATCACGCCAGAATCCCCAAAACATACAAAGCAGCCATAACGGCCCATATGAAGATTTTTTTCCCTCGCTGTTCTCCATAGAATTCTTTGTCCCCCTCCTCCATTTCGAAGTGCTGCGGAAGCACCAAACCCAGTGGGAACTGCGCCGGACGAAGGAAACGGTATTTCTGTCAGCGTCCAGTTAGCACTCCAGAGTCCAACCGAAGCCGACGTCACCACCTGCGGGAATCAGTACTATACTCACAGGCAAGCCTTACGCAGCGCACCTGCACCTGTGCGAGGACCGCGGGCTTGGGGCTATTCCAACCGGGGAGGGAATAGGCGAGTGATTAACGGGCGCTTTGGCGCGGTGCTGAGTTGGGCACCTGGTCTTGTGGTTGGGCGCGGAAGACGACCTGAGGAACCCCACCACCCCAGCACTCGAGGCCCCTGAGCCTGCGCCGTCCAGCTGTCAGCAAGCTTACGCCTGCGGTTTCGGCTGCTCCTTCGCCTAAGGCCTAAGGAGCCTAACCTAAACCTAACCAAATTCTGCGCCTGCCGCCGACGCCCCCGCGCGTCACTCTTCCCTCCCACTTTTTCTCGGCGATCGACATCATGCCTTCGAGAAGTCATCTCCAAGTTCACCACGGTACCTCTTATTCCTCCAGACTCGGACAGCCTCCCGTCACCGTTATCGACGTAGTCAGTGCTCTGCAGCGGAAACTGACTGCCAACCATCCTGACTCTCCCACCATCGTCTCGACGAGACGCCCTTCCTTCTACATGGACAGTTTACTCCACCCCAAGAAGGACAAGAAACGTGACGATGCCAAAGATGGTGACTCCCATGGCCAAAAGCGGAAGTCGCTCACAATGCGCCACTCCAACAAGTCCAAGGACCGCAACCTGGGTCACTCTCCCCGTGTAACGCCTGCTAGGCCCGGTCGGTTTGAAATGATCATCGAGTCTCCTCCTTTGGTATTGTATGGCAACACAGGCAATTCCACCGGCGCCTTGCTTTCAGGCCGCCTCAAATTAGTGGTGGATGATCCGACCGGTGAGCTGCGGCTCGAAGACTTCACTATGGTGTTGAAGGCTACCGTGCAGACAAAGAAGCCGGTCGGCAAGGATTGCAGAGACTGTATCGAAAAAACAGAGGTGCTGAAGACATGGACATTCCTCTCCGAGCCCAAGACCTTCCACACAGGCCAGGACAACCAGTTCCCTTATTCTTTCCTCTTACCCGGTCATCTCCCTGCCAGCATACAGTCGCAACTGGCCTCGATACAGTACTCTCTTCTTGCAACTGGAGTCACCTCTCAGGGCGAGAAGATCGTCTTCACCCATCCTTTAACGGTTCAGAGAGCCATTCAACCTGGGCCAGACAAGTCAAGCATCCGCATCTTTCCCCCCACTAACCTGACCGGGCGAGTTCAATTGCCGCCTGTCGTTTACCCCATCGGCACTTTCCCTGTGACCATGTCTTTGAGCGGTGTGGTGGAGAAAAAGGGCGAAAGCCAGACTCGATGGCGATTGAGGAAGCTGTCGTGGCGGATCGAAGAACACAGCAAGGTCACCTCGACCCCTTGCCCCAAGCACGCTCACAAGGTGGCGGACGGAAAGTCGATCCAGCATTCCGAGACTAGAGTACTCGGCAATGACGAGCTCAAGAGCGGCTGGAAGACCGACTTCGACACCGCTGGTGGAGAAATTCAGCTGGAATTTGAAGCCTCTTTGGCAACCAAATCCAGCCACAAAGCAACATGCGATGTCGAATCTCCTGCCGGGATCGAAGTCAAGCACAACCTCGTACTCGAACTCATTGTCGCGGAGGAATTCTGCCCCAACAAGAACACCCAGTTGATCACTCCTACCGGTGCTGCACGTGTCCTAAGAATGCAGTTTGCATTGGTCGTCACAGAACGTGCTGGCATGGGGATCAGTTGGGACGAAGAAATGCCCCCTATGTACGAAGACGTGCCAGCATCCCCGCCCGGCTACGGGAGTTCCGACAAGAATGACGGCGCCTGGGGCGGTGCTATCATGGAGGATTATCATGGCCCAGAGCTCGAATATGAGGCCCTTGATGACATGGGTACCCGGCCCGGAAGCCTCGCCGTGCGCAGTCGACCACAGAGCAGGAACGACAACCCCGGCGAAGGACCTTCAACAAGACCAGGTCCAGTGAGTAGACATCTTGCAGGATTCACCCCTGACGAATTGGATGCCGAACCTCCTCAGTATGCGTTGCGCGGGACAGAAGAGTCCTCAGCTAGCAGCCAAGATGACCCTGTGGAGGACTATGAGGAGGGTGTCGCTGCCACGACCCGGCACTAATCCCACCTCGCGATTATCGATCCAACAGAAGACCGCACGATGTAACGACAAGTTTTACTTCTATTGACTCTTGAGCATATTTACGAACAAGCCGAATGGCTTTCCGGAGTTTTATGTGGGCGGACTCCTCACCTTCCGATATGATACCCTTCATTGTACCAGCGAGTTGATTTAACGCCAGTGTGCGCTTCGAACTGTTATTGCATTGATGGATGGGCTGGTACAGGCCTGGTGAATTGCTTGGGGTTATTTCTCCCCCAGCTATCAGTTTGTCGTCAAAGGGCTGAATCGTGCAACCGGTTAACAGGGCATTTATAGCCAGGCTCAGGCCGAAACAGAGCAAGATACTGTACACACAGTACAGTATGATTTTCCGTGCTCCCCATGCGAGAAGTAATCAGGTTGAGCTGTAGAGACAAGGCTCCCTTGATTCGTATAAATGAATGATAGAAAATTAGTCTTTAATTGCCATTGAACCCTAAATTGCTCATGGGACAGTATATGAAGACGGGGATATTGCTATGGGATCCTATATGAAGACGAGGAAGACCATAACCGCAACTAATTACCGAGTTGCAACAGTGAGCACTTTGTAGCTTTCCAGTGTCGGATGCGGATTAACAATCATTCTTCCGTTGCATCGTCCATTCAGTACTCCAATTAGCCTGAGGCTCTAACGCTAGTACGTGTCGCTATACAGAGTATATTCACACACACACACACATGGCATGGGATGTAACGGGCTAGTTGGCAACGTTCTTAGCCCAGCAACATTTCCAGTTCCTCGACACGACGCTTCCTTCTCTCCTCTTCGGTGCCGCCGGCGCCGGATTGGCCTACACCAAGGGAGCCAGCCACGGCCATTTTCCTCTCCTGCACGCGGAGCATCCTTCCTTCAATGCTGTCCTTGGTGACGAAGCGAACGACTTCAACATCCTGCGTCTGTCCCATTCTATGTACCCGGTCAATGGCTTGTGCCTCGACGGCAAAACTCCACCACGGATCCATCATGTAGCAATGGTTGGCCGCTGTCAAGTTCAAGCCTACGCCGCCGGCACGGAGCGACAAGAGTAGGATGCGAGGCGCCTTAGGGTCTGACGCATTGTCTGCGTTGAATGCTCGGATGACCTGGGCACGAACCTTTTGGGACATGGTCCCGTCAAAGCGAAGATGCTGAAACCCGTGTTTCGAGAGCTGCGGCGCGATCAGGTCCAGGAAAGCGGTGAACTGGGAAAATACCACCGACTTGGCCCCCCTCGGCAGTGCAGAGAGGTGCTTCAGCAATGCCGCGATCTTTGCCGAGGTAGAAGCTGTTGGAGAGTAAGGGTGAATCCGCCGAAGAGAAATTTTGGGAGGTTTGGAAGCCGCTCCATCGGCCGAGTACATGTCTCCCTCGGTGTCGAACGAGGCGGATGGACTGTTATGTTTGACCACTTCGAACACGTCTCTAGGGTTGATGGTCTCGCGGCACGAGAAGCAGCGAGGGACCTCGCCCTTGTCCGTCTGATGTGAAATGAGCCTTTCCAGACAATCTTTGCATGCACTGTGCCAGCAGGTGGTAACGGCAGGGTTCAGCATCGGCTCTTCGTAGCACAAAGGACACTCGCCCCCAGACTCATCCTGGATTTGACGAAGCGCATGCGTGGTGAATGTCGTGATCGGGTCTTTCTCTGCCGCCTGGTCTTTCCCGGCCAGGTTGGTGTCTTGGGTGAAACGGTCGATGAGGTCTTGGAGGTCCATGTCATCGGCGAACCCGTTGGCGTCGGCTGCAGCTGCAACCGCGGCATCTTCTTCGTCTGCTACCAGGTCTTTGTTGCGGGTCAGAACTGGGTGGCAGCATGATTGCCGGAGCCGTAAAATCTGGGCAAAAATCGTAGTATACGACTTCAACAATGTCCCTGCTTGGACGGATTCGTTGAAGGCTCGTTTGGCTCGAGTGAAAATCAGGTCGTATACCTCCCGTTCGGTTTTCGAAAGCTCAACTTCCTCTACGACTATAGATTTGGGAGGTAGTGGGACGAGCGCTTCGCCCTCTGGAGTCTTCATATCTTTCGTGCGCCGAAGAACCAGTGGTTCCAACACCGTTTGTACGACATTCAGTGCCCGCGCTATTTCCTTGGATTCGAAAGGCACTGTAATGAAAGTCTTCCAGTAGGAGAAATTGCTCCAAGGTTCGACCTTGAGGAAGCGGACCAGGCTGAACAAGTCTTCCAATCGATTGACGATGGGTGTCCCCGTCAAGACCCATCGGTGTTTGGCTTTGAGTTCGTAACATGCCTTTGATGTTTTGGCTTGTCGGTTTTTGATCGTATGGGCTTCGTCAAGTATCACCCGGTGAAACTCCACGGAGAAAAGTCCGCCGTTGGATCCACGATCCCCTCCTGCGGCCGTGACCTGTCCAAACTCCGATAGAACCGTGCCATAACTCGTGATGATGACATTCGGAGCCGAGGCGGCATTTGCGGCAGAGCACAGAACTTGCAAATTTGCCGTCTTCTCACTGCCATAGTAAACCATGGTTCGAAGAGTCCCGGGGTTGGAGCACTTGACCGCCTCACTCTCCCACTGGGCAAGCAATGACATGGGAGCCACTACCAACGTTGTGCATGGTGCTGGCTCAACGGACGTCGAGGACTGTGGCAAACGAGGTAGGTGATTGACGGATGCGACAGGCTTGCCTGCCGCTTGAAGATCAATATCTGAGCGATTGGAATGGATGAGACTGTAGATCTCGATTGTCTTTCCCAACCCCATTTCATCGGCCAAGATGCCACCAAGACAATTCTGTTCCTGCACTGGAAATTCAAGGCCGATCTCTCCGGAATAGAGGTTGACGTAAAACTTGTCTTGACCTTCCACAGTGGGGAGAGATACATCATTTGCATCCTTGGTGGGCCAGACATACTCTTCCCAGAGAGGATGCATAGACTGCTGTTTGCTGGACGTTTCATCTCTCTCCTTTGCAAGCATCCAATGCAGTGCCTGTTTCTGGTACTTCCGCAAGTCAAGGGCAAACGTTGACACAGGTTCGGCTTCCGGAGTATCGAAGTCGAAAGATCGTGCTTTTTGGTACAATGCATCTAACTGATCTTCCTCCAGTTCCTCTCCTTCTTCCTCCTCTTCGGAATTCGGAGTGGACACGCCCGACTTTCCTTTCGAATCCTTTTCCTTGTCGTACTGTTCGGCCATCTCTGCCGCCCTCAGCAAGCCTTGTTTCTTGTGTTTGGCCGTGGTTTCGTTTGTCGAAGTGGGATTGAGGTTGACTTCTTCAAAGAGTTTGATGAGAGCAACCTGTCGAAGACGAAGATCTTTTTCTTCGCTGTTCTCCTTCTCCTCGAAGAATCCAGTAGCTCTATTATCGTCCTTTGATTTTACGAAAGCACTGGCTTCAAAGGCCGTCTTGAGGAAATAGGCACGGACTTGTAGGTATACCGTGTCGTTCACCCGGACGCGGTCAGGTGCGTACACGCAAGTGCCCTCGAAACGGCAAATCTTCTGGTCCACCAACGACGACACCCAGGCTGCTGTTTCTTCAGGGAGGCGACCTAGTTCCTCGCCTCTGGAATTTGTAAACCGCGTTATCACATCGGCCTTCTGGTTCCGTCCGACTATTGGCACGAGCTTCCCACCTCTCCCAAGTTTGGTTCTCGGGGCAATCTTTGATCTTTCTATCCGGACGGCCTCGCCGTGAGCCAGTAGATTGGCACCGCTTTTGGTCATCCAGGCCGCGACGCCGAATGAGCCGACATAGCGTTCGTTTGGCATCGAATGCACCCGCGCCCTCGTTGGAACCGTGCCTGCATCATTCCGCTGTTCAGGAGCAATGGACGCACTGCTGCTCCCCTCGGAGGTGGCGAGCCATTTATCTACACCCTTTGAAGGCGGTGGTCGTTGTGCAGACGACGCAGCACTGGCAGACTTTTTCCAGGACCCATCAAAGTATATATTGATGGCCCGTTCAATATCCCCGTGCGCCGCGGCCTGGATTTGGTTCACGACATCTTGACCGACATCTTCACCGATAACGGTTCGAAAGGTATCCGCATCGAAGGCTGGAGAGGGTAACGGTTGAATATCATGCACTTCCGTCTGGCTGGACCTTTGTTCTCTTGTAGACGAGGTGGCGGAGGCTGGTCTGCTGGTCGCAGTCACAGAAGATGTCGATACTTGAGGGTCGGCGACGTCTTCAGGATCGTCGACGAAGAAGCGTCGTTTCTTCCTGGGCCGGACATCAATGTCCATGGAGGATGGTGTTCGTCTCTGGCCTATTGCGGGTTGGCAATGCAGCGAGATACAGAATCTTGCCATTAATTAGTAGACGACGCGCCACGCGTGGGCGCGGCGCGGTCTAACGCGGAGCATTCGGACTAGAAGCCACAATTCACACCTGCGAGTACATACTCCGTATGGAGGCTACAAGGTCCCCGACGCCTCGCCTTCGCATTCGTCCTCTTTCAACTTGCCTCACTCCACACGCCTGAGATCTCTAACCTCCCCGCGGCTGCCCCAAGATCCGCCTCGCAGACTATGAAGATTCATCCTACTCTGCCACACGTCAGCCACCCTTCCATCCCCCCCACTAGCTCATCTAAAGCCGTATGGCCAGAGAGATAAGAGGTAGGATAGAACAACTGAGCATTTGACATCTCCGTCTGCGCCCTGCCAGCGGTGTCTGCCAAACCAACCTTGCCGTGGTTGGCGATGTGCGATCTTTCCTTGGTCAAAAGTCGGGCCTAAAGCCCCTGAGCCCCCTAATCAGGCCCCAAGGGAGGTCTACTGGCAGCCATGTTGCACTGGCGGAACAGACGGACCTCGTGGTCAGCAAAAGCGCCGACGATCGAGTGCATGACGCCGTGGTTGTTGAAGAGGACTAAGTCACCCTCTTCCCAATCATGCGGGTAGATGAACTGGGGGCTGATTGCCGGGCGTTGCATGCGATACAAGGTCTGCCTGACCTCGGCCAGGTCGTCAATCACGCTGCCATCCTGGAGATGGATCCTCCTGGCTGGCGTCGGGTAGACCATCATGGCCAGCTGACCCGTCACCGGGTTTTTCCACACCATGGGGTACCTTTTGATCTTGTGTGGCTCGACGGGCGGCAGCTGGTCGTCTGCAAGTTCCAGGCCGTCGCAGTACAACCCGAGCCCGTTGGACCTCGATCTTGCATTGGCCATCCAGATGTAAGGATGAGCGGCGTACTCGACCTGGCTCGTGCGGGCGAACTCCTTATCTTTCTCCGAGAGCAAGTCATACATTTGATATCCACTGAAGAACGCCGTGGTGCCCAAGGGGACCTCCATCTCATCGCCGGTCCCGTCGTCATACGTGCAGAGCTGACGTCTACCCGTGGGGACTCGAATCGCCAACAGGGATGTCACCAACGGCGGGTCCAAGTCGTACATGGCCGAATCAATGTGCCATCGGTAGAAATGCGTCTTGTGGAAATCGTCCGCCTCGGGAACAGGGTGTTTGTGGAAGACTCGGTGGTGTGGGTGCTTCAACTTGAGGTTCGTCAATCCTTCGTACGATTCGATCTGCCCGTGTCCGATCACTTGGACCTGCGGTTGGTGTGGGATGGTGGTGAGGTCTTTGTGAAGCACGCTCCGCTTGTCGATCGTCTTTCCATGGCTGTACACGTCGGCGTCCGGGTCGAAGCGTCGTGTCAGTTCGCATTGCGCCCTCGGCGAGAGGCGGTGTTGGTTCTTGATCACCAGTACGTTGTGTTTATACAATGCGACCCTCAAGAGTTCGAAGTCATTGTCTGTTGGTTGGTTCTCCTTCTCAGAATAAAGTACTTTGTTCCAATCTCAAATTCCGCCCTGACTCGAGTTCTTACTTACCACTGAGGTTTTCAATGTCCAGTCCGCTGATCTCGGCGCCGAAGTTGATGGACGATGTCTCAAACGGTTTCGGAAGCGGTCTGGTACATGGCGTCGTGGTGACAGTCATGGTGGAGGCCATGGTAGAAGTTATGATTGAACGGGAAAGATTTGAATCTTCGGTCGTTACAAGTCTAGAAACCACTATGTGATTGATTCTTATATATATATATATATATATACCTCTCTCTCTCTATACATGCATGGGAAGATCCTAGTACCTTGGACATTGTAACCAAATACGGTGGATGCGGGTGACTTTTCCAATCTCGCCCGCTTCGCTTCGATTGCACCTCCTTCTATCCTCAGCCTCTCAGGGGCCAGGCTGGCGTCGAGTGGAGCGGAGCGGGCGAGATTCGTGTATTCACCCGCACATGGTCACAGATACTCTCCATGGTGATTGGTACTCATTAACACATCCCATCCCATCTCATGCATCGGCTATCGCCGAATTCATGCGGTGCGGGTGAGTTGACCTGGACTCATCCACCTTTTGTCTCTGCAGGAGGCTCAGCCAGCAGAACGAAGTCGGTGCTCTCGCTAAATGTGTTCATCTATAACAATGGGCTGTTGTCCACGAACACGGGGCGATGGACAGTCCCTCATCGAACATCCCACGTCGTTCTAAATACATACTACATAATAGTATCAGTATACGATTGACTTGACAGAGCCCTGTGAGTTGTCGAAAGACGACACGACGAGACGAGGAGCCTCCCCCAGCATTACGCGCCTCAGAAAAGAAAACGGAACGGAAACGAAAAAGATAGCTCTGATAGTGGCAGGACTGCGACTGTGCCGTCAAGATGCCCGGACTCACCCTTGTTCCTACCCACGACCACGGCCACGACCACGGCCACGACCACGGCCACGGCCACGGTCTGTCCTTTGAGCCCTTGGCCGACAACGTCCGGCAGTCTTCACGGATCGGGGCCGAAGTGCATCTCCCGGCGTCGATGCCCTTGTTGGACGTGTCGCAGCTCACCGAGGCCGACAAGGACGTGCTGCGTCAAGCCCTCTTCGAGAACCAGGTCGTGGTCATCCGGAACCAAAGGGGCATCGACCCTACTCTTCTCCCGCAACTGGCCAAAGTCTTCGATTCCACCGCGTCGGATGTTCACTCGGCCGGGCCCAAGGCGGTCAGTGACCCCAAGAATATCTTGTCCGCCTACAAGGCTGGCCGGATCCCTCGCGCTCCGCAGGTCGGCATTATCGGCAGTGGCAGGTTCAAGGATTATGAAGGCATCGCCGACCTGGAAGTGGTGCATTTGGTAAGAAAGGAAAAGAAACAAGAGGCAAAACCCAGAACCCCAACCCCCCAAACCCAAAAGCAAAGACAAAAGAGATACAGAAAAGATCAAAGACAAGAAAGAGAAAATGCCGTGTTCCCTATCTTTGCACTCCTGTTGTAAAAAGACCCTGGCTAACAAACTCCATCTGAAGGATCATACCCTCTTCCACGAAACTCCGCTCTCCCAGCACGAGCTTGATCAGGGCTACACCCGTCCTTACCGCTGGCACATGGACACGCCATTTTACGAACGCCTCCCTGGAGAAGTGACCATTCTCCACGCAGTCCAAGTGCCCGAGTTGGCCAAACAGAAGTTGAAGTTCCCCAATGGTCCCGACAAGGAGATAGCTGCGGGAGCAACTGCATGTTCGTATTGGTTTTCTTTTTCTGTCTCTGTCTCTGTCTCTGTCTATCATAGATTGAGGTTACTCTCTGTACTCGGGGTTTTTGTTTTTGTTTTTCCGTCCATCACAGATTGAGGTCACTCCCCATGCTGGAGCTTTTGTTTTTGTTCTATGTTTTGGCCCTGAACTGACCTTGTTCTATGTTTTTCGCTGAACTAACCTTATACCTTGTTTGCATCTAGTCTTCTCAGGAGCCCGGGCTTTCGAGCTTCTCGACGACGACGAAAAGGAATTCGCGCTCAACACCACGGTGACGTATGCGCCACAAGCTTACGAATATATTCGACAATGTCGGGCCACCGAAGACGGTCTGACGATCCCAACCGTGGGAAGAGAGACTCCAGTCGATGAAGTGTCGGAATGGTCGTGGGACAAGGTGGCTGAGCATCCTGTGAGTGACACATACACACACATACACATACACATACACACATGCACACACCACACACACACACACAGAGAGAGAGAGAGAGAGAGAGAGAGAGAGAGAGAAATCAGTCTTGTCAAAAGTTGATATGTTCCTTCTCTATCAAAGGGGTATGGGGAGTCCAGACCATCCAGGCGTGCCTACCAGTCTTCTGGTTCAAGGGCTTGCAAGGCTGGGAATACCCCTTGAAGTTACAGCAGTGCCTAAGTTTAAGATTGACAAAACTAACTCAACCTTTCTCCTCTAGATGGTCTGGCGCAACCCTCTCGATCCCCGCCCTTTTCTCCAAGTCCACGGCTGCTGCGTCTACAAACTCTGCACGCGCGACCCGGCCAGCGGGCAAGTGCGGGTGGTCGACGACGTAGCGCAGGTGCGCAAGATCGTCTACGGCTTCCAGAGGAGGATCTGGGCGGCGGAAAACATCTACGCCCACGACTGGAAGGAAGGCGACTTGGTCATCTTCCATAATAGGGGGGTCATGCACAGCATCACGGGCCAGTTGGCCCAGTATCAGTACGGAGAACATCAGCGGAGATTGCTGTGGCAGTGCACCATGACCAGTGGCAAAGCTCCCGAAGCGTATAGGAAATATGCTGGGGTCAACGAGACGGGGTTTGCGAAGATCTGAGGTCGGAGCATGAGTCTGAGTCTGAGTCTGCAGTGTTGAGCTGAGCTGAGATGCCTCCCAAGCCCTGAATTGTCTCATGGTTGTCAAACTGTCCCTTACTTATCAAACTGTCTCTTGGTCATCAAACTGTCTCTTGGTTATCAAACTGTCTCTTGGTCATCAAACTGTCTCTTGGTTGTCAAATTGTCTCTTGCTTATCAAGGGTGGTTGGCAGATTTGAAAAGAGATAGTAGTTCGTAACTAGGGAATAAGAACTAGGGAATACTGTCAAAGGTTGAAATGTTCCATGTTCTCTATCAAAGGGTCGCAGGGGAGCGCATGTATATGGTATAGTATGCCCAAACCAGCCTTCTGGTTAAAGGGCAAGGCTGGGAATGCCTAAGTTTGACAAATAGGAGTTAGGAGTTAGGAAATCGAAAACGAAAATAGTCGAAATCCCAACTTATATATTAGACGTATTTAAATCCAACGGCGTCGTACTGCTGACAAACACCTCAGTGAACCAGGCTTCAAAGTCATCATCCGTAAACATGCCCGCGAGATCTTCGGATCCAAAGGGCTCCATTGGTTGCTGCTCTTCAGGGACCAGAATCGGCACATCCCTGTTCCTGTCCTCGTTCCTGTGTCGCTGCTGCGGCGGTGGATTGGCCCCCTCCAGCTCTAGGCCTGGCGATGAAGAAGAGTACTCAGTGACGAATCGGGATACAATGTCTTTGAAGTTGACCTTATTGTTTTTGTTGTCTGTTTGGTGGGCTGGAGAAGACCACTGTTCCGATGAGAAATCTACCCCGTCGTGGTGGTGGTGGTCGTCATCAATCTCAGGGAGGATGGCTTTGATGAGTAGGATCCCCCGTCGCGCGAGAATGTCATGCTTTCGATCGGCTAGGCGATTGCGAGCGGCTTGGATCCGGTCTCGGTAATGACTCGACAGCGTTTGTGCATCACTACCCTCAATACGAACTTGCCCTGCTATTGTGGCTGGACTAGAACGGTCATTTGGAGAACTTGAAGTGTTCTTGATCTCAAAGCATAGGATCACCGCGGCCGTGATACAAAAGGCAGTGTGGGTCCACAAAGAGAGCTCGCCTGCTTGTACAATGTTTTCGTGTTCTCGCAAGATCGTCAATGCCGCCGACACACATGTCCGTCGAGTGTGGGCGAAGACAGACGACTGGAATGATCGGAAGATGAAGGGCCGGTGAATCATAATGATCTGCAATGGTGTTAATATATCTCGTCAGTACGGATCCATGTTTGCGGCCTCCACATCAAACCCAAAACATCCATGGGCCATATAACTTGAAGGGAATAAACCATCATCAAGGAGGCTCACGTCACCTTTTCTGCCGCAGTAATTGCTAAGCTCTGTCGTGCGATCCCAAGCCAGGGCAACCAGCCTTCCTGTTCTTGATCCTTTCTTAAAAGAAACGTCGGAATGTTATGTACGAGCTGACGCATCTTCTGATCCATGTGCAGGACATGCTTATATTGCTCATGGACCGGTTTGCGATTGGTCAGTGGTCCTAGCCCATCGGCCAGTTCTGGCATCAGTCGGGCGATGGTGGCAAGAACTCTAGTGTACGTGCTGATGCTCGGGACCGAGTCTGGTAATGCCACAAGATGGTCATCATCCGCATTCATGGGTAGCTCGGTCAAGTATTGAGCAGGCTTGATGCCGTACGAGTCGGTGAAGGGGATGGCGAAATGGTCTTGCACTACCATTTGGCACCACACCCTTTTTCCAACCTCCTTCTGAACCATCTCGCTTTGCATGTCGTTGTGGTGCTGCTGGTCAGTAGGTGAAGCAACAATGGCCTTGTCAATTTTATGCAAGCCCAAAGATTCAGCCATCTTGATTGCCGCGGCCAATAGGCACGCGTTGAGTTGACTGAACCCCAGATTGTGAGCAACCTCGGTCGAAATCACAATCGCTTGGATCGAGTATAATGAGACATGCTGGAGAAAATGACTCGAGTACAAGATATCGAGCATTGATGTGAACAGATCCAGTGCCACCCGGACATCTGGACACGGATAATACTCACTTTGGAATTTGGGGCTGTTTTGTAAACAATAGATGGCAACACTGAGGACAGAGCAGTATAATGCCATCCACTGCGGACGCGGGTATTTTCCCGTGGCCCGGAAGGTTTCGCATTGCGCCAGGAAGGTAGGACGGTGTAGACAGTTATGGTGCCAGGCTATATGCTCCATATGGAATGACACCAGCCTTGTCGCGACCGCGGGGATGGGTAGGTTGACTGAGCTGACCATCTGCGACCCCACAAAGTCGTCTGCCTGGCTATGCGACGACGACTGCTCATCAGACGAGTTCCAATGGTATTGACAGGCACAATGATGGTGCGGATAGCAGCTTCCTGAGCTTCGACCCCATGCCAAATGCTCAATTGCGGTCAAGATGGAAATGTCCTCTGCATCAGGAGCCTGGACTTGGGCACTTGGGCTAGTCGGCGGATCAAACGGTTCATCGGCTCGATAGACCGACGGAAGGTGTGCCCGGATTGAGGACAAGCGAGTGGTTAGAGAAGTGATTCTTTCAGTCAGTCTCTGGGCAATCCTCGACTCGGCAGGACTCGAAGTCTCCAGGTCCTGCTTAAGCGAGATCAGAAAGTCGATTTCGTCTGCATGTTGATTGAAAGGTCGACGAAGGTGAACGATTTCCCTGCTGCAGTGCAGATTGAGACGTTGACACCTCGAGCAGGGTATCTGTTTATCACATTTCCTTTTCTTTTGGGTGCATTCTATTCTAATCAGTACCGGCTTGCCGTCAATCGTATTATCAATATGACGGACCGCGACAGGCGAGAGGTTGGCGCTGAGAAACACGACGCCGCATATGCGATTGATCCTCTGACGACTTGACACTGATCCCAGTCTCGGGTTCAAGGGTTTGCTTGGAGTATGGAGGAATCTATCGACTCTTGTGAGCGGGGTGAAGCAGGTATTCACGTATGTAAAGGCACAAGAGTGTTGGACGGTGGTACTCCGTACATAGAATTCAATGTCCCGTGACCTTCGGCATTCTTGCTTTCCCTGGAAGCTGCGGCTTACCTCGTCATACTCCGCGGTAGTACCGGTCGCGTTGGCACGTGACCGCAATTAAAGTGATTTTTCGAGCTTCTCCAAGTATTTACCCAGTGTATTGCCTACATGCATGATACACCATGATGCATATCTAACGTCACCCCAAACATTGCGCCTCGAGGAGATAGACTGGAAATAGAGCTTCCGCGGTCCCGATGATTCTGCCATTGCTCCTTGGATCCAGACCCCATTGTTCAACGTCACCCCCTGTTTTCACCGTCTATCTGATAGCAATGTTCGAATCTCCAATTACAATCCTCGCTTGACATAGTAGGGAAAGTCAGGAGCACCGGAACATAGAAGCGAATTGCCAGCATGTCGAACGTCAGGGTGGCGTTGTTCCACCACCATCACCATCACCTTCACCTTCACCATGGACCATTCTTGTCCAGAACAACGGCGGAAGTTCGAAGATCGCTATCGGGACAGCAGCGTGGCTTCTCTTCAACCCGGAGAGCTGCACTGTCTCTTGACCAAGATTCACCAGATGTGAAGAAGGCATACGTCTATTGCACAAACCTAGTCCGGTAGGCCTATCTGGTTCAGAAGCTTCTCCACCCCGGCCCCAAGGTTCTAAACTATTTGAGAGCCTGGTCCTGCTTCTGCTTCCGAGTCTGAGTCTGGCACTGACAGTCTTGCAGGAACTATGATTCTCCCTCCTACACACTGGCGCATTTCATCCGGCCTCATATGCTCCCGGCGTATTTCGCCACCCGCGCCTTCAACATCGAACTGGCACGGATTCCGGACGTCGTGTCCATGTCGCAGATAGGTGCCATGAGGATGCAGTTCTGGCGGGACACGATCGACAAGACGTTCAAACTCGCGCCTCCATCTGAACCCGTGGCCATTCTCCTCGCCTCGTACCTGTATCAAAATCAAGGCATGAAGCTGAACAAGACTTGGTTTCAGCGCATCATCACCGCCCGAGACCGCAAGTTGACCCATCCTGGGTTCACCAATGTGGCCGAGCTGGAGTCTTATGCCGAATCGACATATTCCGCCCTTCTGTACCTCACCCTCTCCGCATTTCCTCTGCAATCCCTCACGATGGATCACCTGGCTTCTCATGTCGGGAAGGCGGCAGGTATCGTAGCTGTGCTCCGTGGAGTTCCATTACTCGCGTTCCCGCTCCCACCCAACCAACACTCTAATAATCCTGCTGGGAAGGGCCTGCCCGCGACGCGGGAAAAGCAAGGGGTGATTACGCTACCTCTGGATGTGATGTCCCAATGTGGTGTGCAAGAGGAAGACGTGTTTCGAAATGGACCGAGCGCGGTGGGCCTTCGTGATGCGGTCTTTGCTGTCGCCACTCGGGCCTCTGACCACCTCATCACAGCGAGGACGATGCTGAAGAACATTCAAGACAACCAAGATCCCGGACATGAGTACGAGCACATGAATGATGAAGGCCATGAATACAGCAAAACATCTGCCGAGAAGGGGAACGATGAACTCGACAAAGGCTTCGGCATAGTGATGGGCCCGGCGGTCAGCACGCAGCTCTGGCTCAACCGGCTGCAGAAAGTCGACTTCGACATCTTCGACGAAAGTCTTCGGAGAGTCGATTGGAAGTTGCCCTTTGCAGCATGGTTGCACAACAAGAGGAGGCAGCTGTGAAGATTTTGCATCTCGGCTTGGCCCGAAGCGTCGCGTGCGACATTCCTCTCGACGCGGCGTGGACTATCCATCATAAGTGTTGCGGCGACTCCTACTCAGCACCATGGCGTCCCCTTTCTTGCCGAGGATTGCCTCGATTGCTCCAACGAGAGCTTGTGGGTCATACAGCATCAGGCCCTTGGCGCTTTTACGCCCGTACAACTTCAAACAGTCGATGCCGAGGGAAGCCAGCTGGTCGCGATCGACGCGCGGCGCCCCTTCGCCACTCAGATGGATGACATGGGTCACGTATTTCCGATAGATGGAATCGCCACCTGCAGTGTTTAGATTAGGACCGGCCGATGTGTCGGGGACCAGCAAGTCGTGCCTACAAGCCGTAGCAGATGTTGCAAGCGAAGAAGTGAAAGTCTCATCTGACAGTGAATCATGGAGGGCCAGTCTCCAGGGGTTTCCTCGAGATTCTTCACCGGCACGAGCAATGGCCTCGACAAAGTCAAAGGCCGTGAACGGACTCGAACTTGGACCCGTTTCACGGTCGAGTGAGCCATTGAGGATAAGAATCTTGTGACGAGCCGGGGTAGAGCGCAATGCCTCACCGACGCCTTTGAGGACGACGGACGGAATGATGGAGGTGTAAAGTGAACCGATGGAGTAGATGATGGCTTGGGCATCCTTGATGGCTAAGATGACTCGAGGATTGGCGGGTGGGAGCATTTCTTGACCGTAGGGATTGATGTACCATATCCGCTCGATGCGTGCCGGCAGATCTTCATCCTCGTCCTTGGTAAATTTAATGTTCCGCTGGCGGAGACTGGGATGCGTCCCTGGGATATTGGCGTCTTCGATCTCCTCTGTATGGTCCACACTGTGGCGGATCCTGTGGCTGGTGGTCGTGTCAGGCAAGACTGTAACCGCCGGCATGTCCAAGGCTGTCGCGGCCGTGGGATGCGAGATGTTGTTCTGTCCCACAATGACCTCTCCATTGGCAAGTCCGGCTGCGATGTGATGGGAGAAGTTGGAGTTGATACTAGGAACCACCTGCACCTCGCCGTCTGGGATGGCGCAGATGCTGCTCAGTAGATAGATAGCCGACTCGATGCTGCCGCTGAACAGCCGCGCACCCGTCAGGAACAGGTTTCCGACACTGGCGGAGGTGAAGTCGAACGTCGACGAAGGCCTCGACCGTTTCAGAATCTCGAGATTGAGCAGGTTGAAGAACGAGCGGATCAACTCCTTCTTGGCCCACGGGATCCCCCGCCACAGCTCAGCCGTGCCGGCCACGATCGACTGCCATTCGCCGGCCGCGTCCACCAAAGAGGTCGCCGACAGGCGGTGGTTGAAGAGAGACGAGATGGCCGACCGTTCCGGCGAGGGGGGCTCCGTTGGTATAAGTCGGACGAGGCGACTGCGGAGGTCCCCTATGCCTGGCCCTCCAAAGACCCTGATCAGCTCCGACGACGAGCCGCCGTTGTCACTGATCGGGATGATGTAGCTCAGCGGGCAGTCCTTGTTCTCCCGTACGGCCTCGAAGACGTCGACGAGATTGTTGGCGGCGCTCCCGCCGGAGAAGACCACGATGCCCTTGGTGTTGAGCATTTGGATAGGACCGAACAAAATTTCATGTACCAAAATAACCCTTGCTATTCCTTAGGTCGAGGTCTTGGTCTTGGTCTTTATTGTTCTTCTCGCCCGTAGGTACAAGGGACAGTACTTCTTAGGCTTCACTCAGTCAGCCAGGGCCTGGTGCATTTGCCAGGGCTTGGGCCGGGATTTTGGGGTGGCTGCTTCAGACAACGCAGCCACAGATGAACACCCGCATAGATGGTGATCTACTCGGTGTCTTCGATAGCTGAGCGCGAAGTCGCCGTCGCCGGTGGTCTGCAATTGTACGCGTTCGTCCTCTCTGGGTTCTTGCAGTAGCGGTTGGACATGTGTCCGTTGCGCAGATTGTAATTGTATTCCGGCTATCGTGTCAGCTGTCTGACGATAGGATTACTCAGATGCCTGTAGCGGACGACCAGATGCTTTGGCGAGGGAGGATGTAAAACACTTTTAGTCAGACTATTCCTTTTTGCTCGAATGGGCAATCTTGCCGGTGACCATTTCCTGTGACGTGATTGATGACATAGCGGGCCGGTTCCCAGATTGGACTTTACAGCAACACTACCTGGTAACCACGACCTACCTATAGTAAGTGGTAGGTACCTAGGAATTACAGAGTATGTGGACGGTTGCCGTAAGGTACAGGTTAGTATATTAAGGTATGTCAGGACAGGCCGCTTTACACCTGAATACTGGTGACTCCTTACCTTAGTAGGTAGAGTCAGCCTAACCATAGAGACACAGTCAAGACTAGGGGCTGCTTTTGAAAAGGTTGAATTTAGTAGGTGCTATGCACGCAGATGTGTGCCAGATCAAGGTCTATTTCTAACGTCGGTTATGGCACAGCGATGTACAATTATCCTTCTCATCTCAGACCCTGTTGTCGGTGTCGTGCTGGTCCTTCTCCTCGTCAATATTCGCGGTAGAGTCCGCAGGCGACTCTTCTTTAGTCTTGCGAATGTCCTTCCAGCCCATTCCCCACGCAGCAAACCAGGCCACCACCCCGGCCGCAGCTACCAGGTAGAAGACGCGGTCCAAGCTATTGGAGAACGCCACCAAGACTCCCGGCAGGTCCTGAGCATGGACGATACGGCGAAACTCGGTGGCACCGGCCATGATAATGGCGTTGGCATTCGTATTTGGGGCATGCTCGCGTAGTTGAGGCCGCAGGCTCGTGTCGAAAATGGTGTTGTACAGGCTCAGAAAGATGGCGGGACCGATATACTGACACCACACGATGAACGCCAGGGCTGAGGAGAGTTCGGTTTTCGAGACCGCATGCTGGACGGCGGTGACGGGCTGCAGTGGAATATTGTTAGTATACTGTAGCCTAGTGCCGCTGATGTGGAAACAACAATACCGTTGTAAAGCCCGTACCCCGGCCGAAGCCAGTCAAGACTTGGTATCCAACCCATTTTGCAGTTGATGTGCCGGGTTGAAGCATGGCGTACAAACCACTTCCGATCGACGTGAGCGTAGCGGCGAAGATAGATATGGGAGGTATATAGCCAATTTTCGATACTACACTCGCTGTCAGCCTGCCAATTGTTGTCGCGAACAGAACCGTATGTGGGGGACCTTACTGAGAGTGCCTGAAAGAACCGCTCCAACCAATTGAGGCAGTATGGTAGCCAACAGATATACTCCGCTCATTATAGCATTCACTCCCTTCACAGCTTGGAAATAGATGGGCAGGAAGTATGAAGCGCCAAACAGGGTGGACATCAGGAACGTGTAGTTCAGCCCGCTCATCCAAACCGCCCTCCGTCTGATGGTCGGCACTGGCAGCAGACCGTCGTCCCCTTTGTGATAGTTCCAAACCAGCCAGACGATGAAGGTGGCGCCAGCTCCACAGAACAGACCGATCACTTGGGACGAATTCCACGCGAACTGATTGCCGCCAAACTGCAGGGCTAGGAGGAGTTGGATGACAGCTGGGGCGAAGAGAGCAAAGCCGACTAGGTCGAGGTGATGATGAACTTTGCGCAAGGCGGATCCGGGGCTTTCTTTCGGCACTTGCTCAGGGATATGCATCAGGATGAGCGGGAATGCCACCAAGGCGCCGAGCGGAAGGTTGATGTAGAAGCCTTGCACAGTGGTCAATACCTAGAACTTTTGCTCATGACTGTCTCAAGCTGTACTTACACCATCGCCAAGTGTAGCCATGGGTGAAAGCACCTCCGACCAGAGGCCCAATTGCAACGCCTAGCTGGGCAACTGCACTTGCCTGTTAGACAGACTTGCAACGGCATACAAGGGTTTGGGAACAACTCACTTCCCATGAGTAAACCTGTCAGTGCTGTTCCCCGTGTCAGTCTTCTTCAGGCCGAATGTGATTGTGATTGCAGAACTTACGGGGTTGCTTCTCGAGAGGCACCGAGCTCGAAACGATGGTAAAGGCGCCATTGATCAGAGCGGATGCGCCTACGCCAGAGACAGCGCGGCCGACAATGAGCATAGCAGACGACTGGGCGGCTCCGCAAATGGCCGATCCCAACTCGAAAATGGCAAAGAAGGCTATGAATGTCCACTGATTCGCGCAACGTCAGCCTGGATGTTTGGCATACTGTATAGACCCCAATTCTCCTGTTTATATCTGCGCACCTTCAAGCTGAAATGGTTGTATATCTTCCCCGTCAACGGCTGCAGGACCGAACTGTGATGCAAATCTTAGCATTCAGACACGGGCACACAGACTGCGATATGCCATACCTCCCAAGCTGGTAGGCGCTCCCGTACCAGCCGACATCTGGGAGAGAATGAAAGTGGTCGGTGATTTTGGGGATCGCCTGAAGTGAAGCACACTGTCAGTTGGCCGTCCCGAGAAGAATGCTGTCTGTGATGGAGTTGCCTACCGTAGACACAATGGAGGTGTCCAACAGAATCAGGAAGCATGCGAGGGACAAGCTGGCGAGCATCAGAAGCAACCTTGCTCCAGTGACAACCTCCACATTGTCCGTTTTGGGTGATTTCGTCTTGTCTTCGAGATCTGCATCTGTAGAAGGCGGTGACGAAGAGGCCATAGCCATCTGCTCCGAAGTCGAAGGGTCGGAGTGTGTAGGTTCACTGTATGTCTCCATGCTTGCGGTAAGATGCTGTGGTTTGAGAATATGTACTCCTCGACATTTCGATCGAGGTGGTTATAAAGAGGGACATTATGTGCCTTGGTAGAAAAGGGACCGGCAGTAGAAGTATTGTCCGGTTGGGGCGAGATCAGGGGACTTTTGGACTTCTAGAAGGCGACGGAGAATACAGGAAGCAATTGATCGGTCTGTATGCATTATACAATCCGGACCCGGAACATAGACCTGGCCCCGATTGCCCGGATCCCGTGGCGACATGCCTGACGCCTTGGATGGGTGGACGTCGTCAATATCGATACCGATATCCTCCTGCTGCCGTTAAGAACGATGTGCATCTTATGCTTTCCATGGCTGACAGAACCAATGTCGCCTCTACCACACACAACTGTAGTATAGTGTAGTATACTCCGTGGGATGCTATAGTGTCGTGCAGTATACTGACTGACCCTATATGGAGTACTACGTCATAATACGGTAATGATGTAATGCTCCTCCGTAGGTTTCTATGGGCACTAGTCACCTGCTAGTCACCAACTAGTACTACCTGAGTTAGAAACCTTGGTCCATGCACCTGACTATTGGGTACGAGCCTAGGTGCTAGTGACCTCCCACTCCTTCAGTAGAGCCGGAGCCGGCCCAAATTTCATCTCCCGGGTCCGCCGCACCAAGTGTCACCTAAATGCTTCCGCCTCACCCGGATTTCCCTCCTCGCTCACCCTCCCAGACAACCACAATAACAACATCGGTGGGCCATCCGGCATCGATGAATCACACCGGCGGGAATGACTGACCGCCTGTGTGCAGGCATGGATGACCAGCAATCTCCCTCCCTGCCCCGCGCCCAAGGCGGCAAAGCCTGCACCAGTTGTGCTCGGATCAAATGCAAATGCATCCCTCGAGCGGATGGCATAAGCTGCGAGAGGTGTGTGGCTTGTTTGATTCCTCTCGGTGCCATCTCCAACCCCCTACGCTGCCACTGCTGCGATACTCTCACCGTCCGTGTGCAACCTGTTACATTGCATGATCGGCTCATATGAGAGAATCAGATGCCACCGGTTAAAGAAAGATTGTGTGCCCTCAGCCCCAACAAAACGACGCGGCCCCAAACGCCATGCTGTCCCACGGACGGCCAGGCTCGAGGAGAAACTCAACGACCTCGTCTCCCTCCTCCGGGCTCAACATAAGCCTGGACAGTCGGATCACGGTGAAACGGGTGAGGAGCATTCGGAGGACGATAGCTTTGAATCCAGGGACGACACATTTCCCACCGCTACCATGACTCCGGCATCTTGGGAGACTTGCTCTGACGAGTTGCCGGATATCGAGGCGACAGAAAATCTCCGAAGGTTTCGGGAGGAGATGATAGTGAGGCTGACCAGAACAGACCATCTTGATCTATTGACATGCGTCACAACACGTGGACAGGATCACACCGCTAACGCATGAACGAGCACAGCCGTTTATCCCGTACATCTATCTACCTCCTGATACGACCGCTCTCCAGCTGCGAGACACGTACCCGTTCTTTTGGCTGGCTGTCATGAGCGTGGCCTCCAAATCGTTCAAAACACGATCTTCTCTCGGCAAGCAGGCAAGAAAAATAATCGCCCAGAAAGTCGTTGCGGGCGATGAGCGGAGCCTGGACTTGCTCTTTGGCATCCTTACTTATGTGACCTGGTCAGTTCCGTTCCCAACCCGATCTGTTGCCCAGGGCTGGGTTTGACTTGCTAGTCAGGTTTCCTCGGTATGGAATGGATAAGCACTTCGCCTGCTTGGCATCCCAGCTCGCGGTCACCTTGGTTTGGGATTTGGGCCTTCAGCAGCCTCCGCCAGAACTCACCAGTAGATCCTATTTTGGCATTCGCATGCCCATGTGCCAGCCACCGGCCAGAAATGAACGCACCATTGAGGAACGCCGAGCCGTCTTGGGCGCCTTCGTCATTACTTCAAGGTCAGTCTTCTCAACGGGCTTCGGTTTCCACTTTCCACTGATGCCATCTCGTTGCATTCCTGGCAATTCACCTGATACTGTATATACAGAATGTCGCAGACCTTCAAGGCGGCTGACGGGCTCCGCTGGTCGCCACATCTAGACGAGTACCTCTCCTACCTTGCTCACAACAGCACTTTGCCACAGGACAAGGTCCTCGTTGCGCAAGTGAAATTGCAGTTGATTGTGAATCAAATCCATTACTCGTCGTGGAAAACCAGTGGCGTAGAGATTCCTCCTCCTTACGTGGACGCTCTCCAGTCACAACTTGACGACATTGCGGGCGTCAATGGAACCAGTATCGAGTTTGAAAAGAACCGTAGGTCAATTTAACCTCATTCTTTGACCTGTTTCAAGACTGACCTCTTGTCATCAGCAACGATGCTCGAGCTATACCACTTCACCACGCTCATCATTCACGAATCGGCGATAGCAAAGTCGCCGACGTCCCGCCCCACCGAACCGGCCTTGCGGCGGTATGAGGCTTACCAACGCCTTCTCAGTTGCGTCAAGGCATGGCTGGACGCCTTCTTCTCCATGTCCCTCGAGATGTATTACATCATGCCGTGCAGCACTTACTCGCAGCTAAAGTATGTAATATGTTGTCTATACAACATCACCACGAGCAAGGACACGGCGTGGAACTCGGCTGCAGCACGAGAGGTGGTTGATCTGACGGCCACCTTGGACAAGGTCCTACATATTTTCGAGCAGCTGCGTTCGCTGGACGATGGAGGTGAAGAAGATGAAGCCGTGTCCTTCGGCATCAGGCAGTTCCATGCCTTGAAGATGGCATGGCAGAGCGAGTTGGCATCCAGAGACAGGGACGGTGAGGATGACACGAATCGTCAGGCTGGCATAGTCGATGGCGATGCTACCCATGGCCCGGGCCTTTCGCCTGGTTTGTCTCTGAACTGGGTGGACTACGACATGCTCATGCTGCCTGACATGTCAGATTTATCGTGGCAATAGCAATGATCAGTCAACCCAGTACACAGCCCGCGTTGTCCTTTGTAGATCACTAGTATCCCAGGTCAAGGGTTGAGCTGCCTTATACCAGCACCTCAAGGCTACCTACAGGTACCAGCAACAGGTGACTGGTCTAAGGCCCGCAGACACACCCATAAGTGTTGATGATGCAGAGTCACAGTATACCGCATTAGACTATCCGTGTCTCTGTACAGCAGGAGGTAGTCAAGGCCCGTCCAAGTAGAAGGAGCGTCGTATTACTGACCACCTACTGTTACCTAAGGTGACTAGCAACATAGTATATGTACATACTCCATACAATGCCACATAGCTGTACTATAGGGCGGCACTACCTTCCTGTCGAACGGGGCAAGTCTCGGGCATTCCCAGCAATGCTAACCAAGTACACACTAGTTCATAAAAGCTTATTTGGGCCAGAAAAGCTTGGCTGATCATGCTTCGGTAAAGCTCTCCGAGACCAATCACTGTCCCCCGCATCAATGTTGTCCGCAGTTGCGCTGCTCAGCTAGTCGCTCCTTTGATCCTCCCACATTCCACGTACAATGTAGCGGGCGTCCTTTTCCTTCTACACTATTTTCATGCGTATTGCGCCAATGTTGCTTCGCCCTCCACGATAAGCTGGGCCGTCTGCTTTGTAACGAGGGCTCCAAGTTCCGGCTCAAGATGCCAGCGTTGGCGCATCCCCATGGGTCCCATGTTGTGTCACGCGAGAGCAGATCCTCCGAGGCCAATTCCCTCTCGCAGGAGTCTTTGAGGCGGCATTCTCGAAGCCGTCGTCGACGGTCGCACGAGACTGATGTGGAAGCGCAGACCTCACCTCCTGGGTCCTCCCACCCGCGAAACACTCCCCCTCACCACGTCCACATCCAGGAGAATACCGAAGCCACAGCACACCACCACGCAGAGAAAGCCAATGACGGCCACTTGCCACCGCTCCATCGCTCAGATACCAATATCTCCAAGGCAACACTGCGCAGGCGGGCTCGCTCAGACACAGCTAACAACCTCATATATGGCACGGAAGGAATGGGCAGAACTACTGGCTGGGCCCCCGGACTGGAACCGGGAATTGACACCAGTAAAACGGCTCCACCGTATAGCGAGGGACCACAAGAGCCCCTGCCCCACGAAAGCCTGAAGCAGCGATGTGAGATCACGGTGGTGGACTTCAGCAATGAGGACGTGTCGACATATGATCTGGACAACGATAATATCGAAGAGTTCCTGGAGAAAGGGCCTGCACCGTGGGCGGAAGTCAGGTGGATCAATGTTAACGGACTGTCCTGGGACGTGATCAGACTCCTGGGGAACCACAAAAGGCTGCACCGGCTTGCCATTGAGGACTTGCTCAATACCAAAAATCGGACAAAGGTGGACTGGTACAGTGACCATACATACATGGTGCTGCCGTTGCAGAAGCTTGTCAATCTCGAAGACGAAGAGGGGTTTTCCTCATCGGACAGCGACTCTGACTTTGGCCCGGTCGACGAACAAGAATCTGATTACGGGGCTAGAATCATCACCGAACGTCAAAGGCGGAAGCGAGAGCAAAAAAGAAGCAAGGGCGCCATCCGTTCTCTCTGGGATGACATCTGGAAACCTAAGAAGAGAAAGGCGCCAGCTGGAGAGCCCGATATTGTCAACCGGCTCAATCCCTCCAATAGTCTCCGCACGGCGAGCAAGGTTGGGACTCCATGGGCGCCCAAGCACATCCGCACCATGCAGCGATATCATGCCGGACCCAACCAGGACCGCATTGAATATATGGAACGACATGCCGTATTGCGGCGCAAAGGCATCGGCGTCTCAGTCGAGCAGGTGTCCGTTTTCCTATGCGCTGATAACACGGTCATATCCTTCTTCGAATACTCGGCTCATGACGTGCAAACACCCATCATCCACCGCCTACAGTCTCCCGGGACCATCCTGCGCCAATCGTCCGACGCATCGATGCTTGCACAGGCGATTCTTGATGCCATAATCGACCTAGCACTCCCGGTCACGACAGCTTACCAAGATGCCATCGGCGACTTGGAGCTCGACGTCCTCACCGACCCGGATATTCACCAGTCCACTACTTTATACATTCTGACGTCTGAAATCGGCATTCTTCGAAACGGCATAGCCCCTATCATCCAGCTGATCGGCGCGCTGAAAGACCACAAAACCGACGCGCAAGCAGCCCCCCCAGTTGTCCGCGTACCCAGCGGCGAGTTCGCCCACAATAAGCCCTCGCACCCTTTTACGCGCAAGCAAACCAGCATTATGTCTGGCGTGAGTATCTCGCCAATGACCATCACATACCTCGGCGACGTCGAAGACCATGCTCTCCTCATTCAGGATTCATACGACCAGATGCGCCGTAGCGCAGACAATCTCGTCGACCTGATCTTCAACACCGTGTCGGCGTATCAGAACGAGAGCATGAAGCAGCTGACCATCGTGACATGTTTCTTCCTCCCCTTGAGCTTTCTCACGGGATATTTCGGCATGAATTTTCACACCTTCCCGGGCGTATCGGAGCATAGCGACGCCTTCTTCTGGGTGATCGCGGCGCCAGTCAGCTTGGTGGTGTTTCTGCTTCTCATGCGTGATGTCATGACCCGCGCTGTCGTACGATGGGCCAACAAGGCCCTCATTGCACGCGGGAGGAAGAGAAGGCTGCAGAAGAAATGATCGTCTCTTCTAGCCCCCTCTAATCCTGCCGTGCAGCAGGCCAGCTTCAGATTTCACTGGATCTTCATGAATAGCTCAATCCTTACAATTCGACCTGAAGAGTCTCAGCTGAGTCTCGACTCTTTGCGTGGGCTGGCTGCATTGGCATTGGCAAATTTTCGACTGGTGTGCCAACTGAAGGTTAGTATGTATCTATATACCGTGCTTCTATTCTTTGACATCCCGTATACGATAGCGAGGCGTTGGAGGGCTTTCTGTTTTTTTTTCTTTTGGCCATGACTGTTATTAGAGTGTGGCATTCCCGCCATGGAGAAGGATCACGAGTGATTGATTCTTCATTGACTGTCCGTCAGCCGGTCCTGTACCCACGTGTACTATGTACTATGTACTACTAGGATAATACCATGTTTGGCGTGGCGAGCGACATCTGAGATACCTCTTGGAAAGCTCGTTCTCAGTACTGTATCAGTACTGTATCCGTACCGTAGCTAGAGCGTGGTGATTATTCTACTAACTACCTACCTGAAGGTATATACTTGGAGAAGGTGAACAGTACTATCCGCAGACAGTATAGAACAGCCACCGCCGCCGCCGCCGCATGCCTTGATGCGTACCTAGGTATGCATATGTGTATGTGTATGTTTACCTTGTGTATGTATACCTATATGTATATATATATATATATATATATATATATATATATGTATGTGTATATATATATATGTGTATGTGTATATGTATATGTATGTGTATGTGCATGTGCATGTGCATGTGTTTCGTTTCGTCTGTGTGCCACTAAGGTCAGGAATCTTCGTCAGTGTACCACCAAGGTCAGGTAGCAAGTAGTACTCTACTATGTCGTGCCTAGGTATAGGTAGGTACTTCAAGTCATGTAGGTGTATGTGTAGTATTATTTCCTTCTTAGGTCAGGTACTATAGCTGAGGTAGACAGACTCAGAACTCAGACTGCTGACCATGCCGTTTCCCGAATCCGAATCCCCCCCAACGCCGCGCTGATCATTTCATGCAAATTTGGGCCGGTAGCTGCAAAACAAAGACAAGAGACACTCGCCCGCAATGCCGTGGTGGTTTGTAACGCATGGGTATCATCGTCAATCATAAACAGCTTTGCCCCACGTAAACCCGGTTTTAAGAAAAAAGCAACACAGGACAACCAGCCTCGTCGCCAAAATCCGAGCCTGCTGCATCCACAGTCCTCTCAATCAGCCAAGAACTGGCTCCAGAACGCATCCGCAGTAGACTCCCTCTTTCTGGCCTTGCCTGCCCGCACGTTCTCCTTCTCGCTGCCTATTTGATCGTCCCCGCCCTCGTCACCACTCAGAGTTTCGGCCTTGACCATCTTCGCCTTGCCCTTGTCATCTCTTTTCCGCTTCCTCACCAGGAATTTGAGCTCCAGCGGGATCAAACTTCTGGCAGCCCCGGGGGTATCTTTTGTGTCGAGTTGCTTTCGACAGACGGGACAAACCCCTCGAACCTTGCGATTAGGAGGGGCATCCTCACGACGTTGTTCAATAGACCAAGTCAGTGTGTCCATGATACAGCGGTGGCAGAAGACATGGCCACAGACCGTAGAGGTCGCGTCGGTCGGGGTATCCATGCACACAGGACATTTGTATGCTGTTAACGGTGTTCGGCCAGAATCTGTGCCTGAATTTTGAGATAGGATGGCATCCTGATGTTGTTTTGCCAGAGCCGCGGAGAGACTAGCATTATCGTCGACGCCGGTAAGATCAACTGACTCGATTGCCAGGTCTATTGGTGCAGTCGAGCCAACTTGGCCGGGTTGTATCGCTCTTGAAGATGAGGAGGACGACGGAGGGGACATGGTGGATGCGGGATTTTGTAGACGCTGCCGGTTCCGGGCTTGAGTACGTTCCCAGTTTGTATGATTTTCCCGTTGCCGATTTATCGCTTCTTCGTCCACCAGGGACTGTAGTCGAATGTTTTGGTCGGGATGCGGAAGCCGCGGTGGATTTGATGCAGGAATGGGCCAGAACCTGACGAGAGTGAGAGGATCAGACGGGTCGAGCAGTGGGATGCTGGGACGAATGCCGTAGACTGGTTCGTCAAGCGTATTAAGTCTTCTTGATCTTTGGTGGGAAGAGGAATCGTGAGGATGGGTGGTTTGCGAGAAAAAATGAGCTTCCGCGGATTGATCAGGCGAGCTACTCGTCAAATCGACGGGTTGATTGTTTGCCACCCCGGTATCTGCTCTAAGCCTTCTGGTTTGAAAGGCTTCTTGAGCGTTCTGCAAGGCTCGATTTGCGCTATAGAGGGCCCGGCTGACGTCCTGGACGGAGTTTTGGTAGTTCGTGAGAGGGAGGGTTGCTTGCCTGCGCGAGCCGCTATCGGACATGGCATTAAAGAAATCGCGAAAGAGTCTAGGGGAGGGGAGCCGTGGTGGTTGAGCGGGTCTGGGCCGCTGGCTCTGTGGCGAGGTCTGCGGTGCGACAGTAGGAGAAAGGGTTTGCTCGTTGTCGGAACTGGAGGCGGAGGCAAGAGATTCAGAGTCGGTGGGTGAAGCGGAGGAGAAGCTCATCGTGGGCCGGAAGACTGCAAAAGAATGATATCTCTTACATGATGGCGATATACAGAGTACAGAGGAGTGCTGGTGTGGGGGAGAGTAGGTGGAAGTCAAGCGCAGTTGGAAGCGAGATAATAAATGGCAAGAATGAATGATTACTAGTACGGAGTACATTCACTAGTAGTAGTGTGACACCAATGACAATCATATCTTTTCACACTTGGACGAATCAGCTCTCGGCTATTCAGAGACTAATGGACTAGTGCTATTAGAGCGGAAGGAAGCACTAAGAGCTCGACAAGGCGGCGCGAGATGTGTGTATGTCGTGAATTGTTCTCTTTACGAGTCATACTCATGATCACTATCAATTCTAGCTACAGCAGAGCACCAGTTTTTGCTTCAGTCCCATGTTGGGCCCTCAAAGCCTCGCTTTGGCAGGGTCGGCCGCAGTGTTGAGATCGAATCGGTCCAGGTTCGTCACCTTGTCCCAGGCAGCCACAAAGTCCTTCACAAACTTCTCCTGTCCGTCTGCGGAGGCATAGACCTCGGCGATGGCACGCAACTCGGCGTGGGCTCCAAAGACTAGGTCAGCGCGGGAACCAGTCCACTTCTTCTCACCAGTCTTGCGGTCGGTGCCCTCAAAGATTTCGCTGGCGGCATCCGTCGCCTTCCAAGCGGTGTTGGTGTCTAGCAGGTTGACAAAGAAGTCATTGGTTAGTTGACCAGGACGCTTGGTGAACACGCCGAGGGAAGAGCCATCGTAGTTGCCTTCTAGGACACGCAGGCCGCCAATCAACACCGTCAGTTCCGGAGGCGTAAGCGTCAGCAGATTCGCCTTGTCGACGAGGAATTGTTCGGTGCGAACTCGGTGCGTGGACTTGCCATAGTTGCGGAATCCATCAACCTTGGGCTCCAGATGGCTGAAGGATTCAACGTCGGTTTGCTCTTGTGAGGCATCCGTACGGCCAGGCGTGAAGGGAACGGAGACACCGGCAGCCTTCTCCACCGCGGCATTTCCGGCCAGCACAATGAGGTCGGCCAACGACACCTTCTTTCCACCTGACTGAGCGCCGTTGAATTTCTTCTGCACGCCTTCCAAAGCGCTCAGCACTTCGCTCAGCTGCTGTGGGTTGTTCGCCTTCCAGTCCTTCTGCGGGGCAAGGCGAATGCGGGCGCCATTGGCACCACCACGCTTGTCAGTGCCGCGGAAAGAGGAAGCAGCAGCCCAGGTGGTTCTCACGAACTTGGCAGGTGCCACACCGGTTGCCAGAATCTCTTTCTTCAGGGCAGCGATATCATTGTCGTCGACCAGAGGGTGGTTCACTGATGGAAGTGGATCCTCCCAGATGAGTTCTTCAGATGGCAACTCCGGGCCGAGCCAGCGAGATCGTGGGCCCAGGTCGCGGTGCAAAAGCTTGAACCACGCACGTGCGAATGCGTCATGGAGCTCATCAGGGTGCTCGAGGAAGCGACGTGCGACCTTCTCGTATGCAGGGTCAAAGCGTAGCGCAAGATCGGACGTCAGCATCGTCGGCAGGTGCTTCTTGTTGGCATCGTATGCATCAGGGATGATGTTTTCGGCGTTCTTCGCCACCCATTGGTTGGCACCAGCCGGACTCTTTGTCAGCTCCCACTCGTACTTGAAGAGGTATTCAAGATAGCTGTTGCTCCACTTGGTTGGAGTGCTAGTCCAGGTCACTTCGAGGCCACTGGTGATGGTGTCTGGACCCTTGCCGGAGCCGTGCTTGTTGTTCCAGCCCAGGCCCTGTTGCTCGAGAGGGGCCGCCTCTGGTTCGGGACCGACGTTGTCAGAAGGAGCAGCGCCGTGCGTCTTGCCGAAGGTGTGACCACCGGCAATGAGGGCAACGGTTTCCTCGTCGCTCATGGCCATGCGGCCGAAGGTGGTGCGGATGTCTCTGGCCGAAGCGACAGGGTCGGGGATGCCGTCGGGGCCTTCAGGGTTCACATAGATCAAGCCATGGTGGGCGGCTGCCAGCGGCTCTTCCAGCTCGCGCGTATGGATGTCCGAATGCGCTTGCTTGTGCTCATCAGAATCCACCACGCCGTGCCCAGACCCCTGTGGACCTTCGTGGCCATGTTCGTACCGAACATCGTTGCCGAGCCAAGTCGTCTCTCCACCCCAGTAGACAGAGTCGTCGGCCTCCCAGGTGTCGGCACGACCACCAGCAAAACCGAAAGTCTTGACGCCCATGTCTTCGAGTGCCACATTGCCGATGAGCAACAGCAGATCGGCCCAGGAGATTTTGTCGCCGTACTTCTGTTTGATGGGCCAGAGCAGGCGGCGTGCCTTGTCGAGACTGACGTTGTCGGGCCAGCTGTTGAGCGGGGCGAACCGTTGCTGACCCTGACCGCCACCACCACGGCCATCGAAGACACGATAGGTGCCGGCGCTGTGCCAGGCCAGACGGATGAACAGACCACCATAGTGACCAAAATCGGCAGGCCACCAGTCTTGCGAGTCGGTCAACAACGCACGTAGATCCTTCTTCAGGGCATTATAGTCCAGGCTCTTGAATGCGGCGGCATAGTCGAAGTCTTTGTTCAAGGGGTTCGACACCGCGTTATGCTGGCGGAGAATGTTCAGCTGCAAGTTATTTGGCCACCAGTCTTTGTTCCTGGTGCCACCGCCGCCGACGTTGGCCGTGCGGAGGGTATTGTGAACTGGGCATTCACCCATGGTGTCGGTCTGATGTGCAGGCGAAGCTGTACTGCTGAAGAGGCGAAGAAGGGAGCGAGCAGAGGAGACGAATGCTCTCTGTCGAGTATGAGACAAGGAGGTGGAAAGCAGTGCAGAAGTGCAGTGCATGGTGAGAAGGAAAGAAGCCAGGCAGGAGGAGTACCCCGCGCCCTTTAAAAGGTGGCCTGCCGCAGTTGCGCAGTTGCCCCTCGGCGCCTAATGACGGAGCAAGAATTACTAACAGGGCCTCAGCAATCGCTACTGGGAGTTGCGTGCTCTGTCGCCTCCGCGAGCAGGGGTGCGAGCCTATTAAGGCCTCTCTATTAACCACAAGGTGGTGACAGGCACCGCTCGCGGGCGAGACAGCATTCCTCCCCGCTTGTTGCTGACGATGCCGCGATTGACACGGCCTATTACGATGGGTGCTAGCGGGGCAGCCAGGCTGGAAGGAGGAATAGTCAGCGGGATGCCCCGTGTCAGTTTCCAGCAGCTTCTGCTCAGTTGCTGATGAATTACTACAAGCAGCTGGACTGAGCGAGTCTAACCTGAAAGAGGCAAAGTCGAGCGAGCGCAGCTCAGACCACCGAGCCCACTCCACTTCTCTTCTGAACTCTGAACCCATGTCCCATGTCTCCCTGTTTCTCTTGTGCCATCTCGATCTCCCGCTCCTCCGATGGGCGGTGAATGCTGCTGCGGCTCGACGGGAATGCGAGGGCTTGTTCGACATGCTGCTAAGCCGTTCGAGTCAAAACATGAAGCAAATCGACTGATCGAGGCTACCACAGAGTACGTCCGGATTGCAGTCATATGATGGACCCAGTGTACCAATGGATATGGATACGATGCATGTTGCTCCGTATACCGTTGCTCCGTATATCAGAGCGATACTTACATCCACTGGGATACAGAAGATTGCGTGCTCCTCAATCGGCATTCCTCCAAAAGTCATTGGCCCGACATACGGGGTATACACTTCGGCCCTGGTGCTGCCATATTGCCCTAGTATTCGTCAACAGCACAGACGGGAGTTTGCAGCCCGGCAACGCTCTCGTGTCCAAGTTGGTTCCAGAACGATCCATACCTCCCACCACGTTTTAAACTAGACATGATTCTGCACGATTCATTTCAGCTCCAAATCTGCGTGGCATCGGGTTTACCGCCTGGGATCACGCAATACTCGCCCTATTTTCCGTTTGTCCAAACACCAGACCGTCTGGCCATAGTGTTGTCTTGACGTTGACGATAGCCCAAGATGGCGGACACGGTCGGCCAACTGGTCAAAACCCGGAAAGGTTCGGTCTCTTCCTTGTCCAGACTTCGCATTGAGTACACTCTTGCATGCCAATTCCTTCAGAAACGGCCTCACTCGAGTCCACTGCAACATCATCACCTTCCTCTGCGCCACTCTCCAGTGAGTGAGCCAAATAGCTCCAGAGGCCCATCCACCAATTAACTACCTTTCGGCCATTAGATGCCGAGGGGTCAGCACTGCGAGGCAAGTGCATACGCGGTTCGGGATGTGCAGTTAGCGATGGATTCCAATTGGGATAATACTTCCATCAAGTTAGCTTGAGACCCCGCAAAGAAAAAAGGGGGCTGACCCAGCCGTCAATAGAATGATATACTGGACCGCGAGTCGTTGCGGATCAAAGAAGCTTGGCCACCTGAGTCATGAGAACGTCCATCTTTTCGACTCCTACATTTAATTGCTGTTTCACGAGCGGACAAACTCCAGTAGGTAACCACCATGAGCTTGTAGACACCCACAGACACTCAGCGAACTGTTTTTCGTCCAACAACGTCACGGAAGTGTTGCTGTAGGTCATCTCGGACGAGACTGGCGACTCCCACCGAAGGTGATCAAGCGCAAGATTTCCAGCACAATATTGCCCTGGTTCAGGAGGAGAGTTCTGTGCTCCATGGGTTGCGCCCTCGCCTTCGCTTGCGGGCGTGGATTCGTGCAGAATGATGCTTCGAAGATTTGACATGAGAATATGAGAATATGAGAATAATAGCCAGATCACGCGAGTCCTCCTGAGCCCATGTGACCGTTGCAGGTGCAGTGAAGTTGCAGCAGTAACACAGCACCCAACACCCAACACGGCGCTGTGATTGGTCGCCAGGCTTCACTCCCGGGCATAAATTCAAGGTATATTGTTTGTAAGTTCCAAATTCCCTTGAACAATTTCTCATATCTATCCCGGGTCCTGACCCTAGTGACGACGGCCCTCCGAAGGGCTCGAGCTAGGCTAGTCAGGGCGTGAGGGTGTACACACCAGATGTGAGACAGCTTACACTTGGGCGAAGCCGTGAATCCTTGAGGCGGACCCCTGACTGGACTGACTCAGAGTCAAGCGCTATTCCTACACTTTACCGGTGTCAGCAGTAGTGAGACTACAGACGATGGTAGAAGGTCCCTACCGTTCATGGCCTCATCGGAGGACCTATGGTAGGAGGTAACCTGACGAACTAGACCAAAAGAACCACTCTACACTACTGAGAGGTTTCCCTCGACCAGGACCCCAATTGGGTTCCTGGTTAGAGTTTTTGCCGATTTGCAGGAGGGATACCAGGAGATGCCAAAAAGTATTTCTCTTTTTTTGTTGTCCCCAGTAGGACTTGACCACTTGTGTTGTGTGTGCGTTGCAGTGACTGTCGGATTGTCTCTGGCTTGGCTGGAGGATGAGTGACCGGTTGCGCAGCGCAGGCAACTCGGTGAAGATGGCAGACACCGCCTGACCGCCTGCGTCCACTAAACACCATACTTTCAGGCTCTCTGAGCACTTCTCTCATTAGGCCAATGCGCCCTCGGAGTATCTTTTTAGACATACTGCACACATCATCTGAAGACACCTGCCGTTAACACCTTTCTCCGTAGACTCTTAATGTTGGAATCTCAGGTCTGCCGTGGCCGTGACGATACACTATGATACAGCAGTCAGCGATCGCAAGAGAAAGTCCAGCACCTGCGCAGTGATTCCAAGCAGACAAAGAGAGATCGCCACTATTGAGTCAGCTTTGTGCACCAAGCAAGCCAGGCTGTCACGACCTTTCCTGTTCGATACAACGATATGGTCGAGGACCACGGCTTAGTCGATCCTTGCATCAGCGGATCTACGCACTGTCGAATCCGTCGAGCTAATCCGATCGGTAGACCTTATAATCTATACCAGCTCTACGCGACTAGACTGACCCAGCAACGTTGGAAGAAGCCCCGCGAAGAGCAACCAGGCCCGCAGGAAGTGGAAAACAAATTGGCGTTTGGTCCGTTGGGACTGGATTCCGAGGCTGAAGAGAAGAGACGCTCCCGGGTCGCTCACAGGTGTTGCTTCAAATAAAGACATTAAGTTGTCCACGGCGTGGAGGGATGGTTAGGTGCTTCATCAAAGCTCCTGGGCAGTCAAGTCCACGATTGAAGAGCATAAATGGTGCACAACATGCTAATCAGTATGAAATATGTGCGTGCATGGGTAATCATCGTGTAGGACTTGATCTCAAGACGGACTGCAATGTGGAAATTTGCCCATGTTAAGCCAAAGAACTGCAGGTGTCCGTATGAATCAGGTTATGCAAAAAACCCAACCCTCCCCAGGGAGTTGCCACGGTTGGACAGGTCCTTGCACCGTTGACATGAGTCCACTCGCAATATCTGACACTCAGGGCACAGCAAGACAATCAGTCTAGCAGGGTGCAACGGAGACACCGACTAGTCGGCGTCTAAGCGGGTGCCCTGTCTATGATGTCAACCATCTTACTGCAGGTTGACCATGGTCCCTCCTCCAACGCAGGCAGGAATTGGTGAGAGCGAGAGCGGCCGGAGCTGGAGGTCGAACAGGCCAGGGAAGAGGGCGACAACAAGGCTTTGCCGACAGCTTGTCCAAGATGATTCCGGGTATCACGTCAGCTTGAAGTCCCTACTGGTGCTACGAGTGGTTGGTGTAAAGCTCCTAGACAACGGGCTGGATGTGTACTTGCATTGTGCGGACAAATTGACAAGTATGACTGCGGCAACGTCAACCTGTCGGCTGCCTCAGGCATAAGACAGAGAGGCCGAGACAGCGATGCCCAGACATCAGGACAGCTGCCCCGGGGGTTTCCCGGCCCTCGCAAGTGTGGGAGAAGGTATCAACGGGATCTGCCAGTTTATACATAGTTTAAGGCTTTGCAGGGTTCAAGGATCGATGGAGTGTCATGACTTATGCGGTGGTGGTGCTAGCTGAAGGGAAGGTGTACTCCCCTACTGCTTGGCAAATCTCGAGGCTGAAATGTCAGGGGCCGCCCGCGTTTGACATTTGACGCACGCGCCGACAGGACAACAACCCCAGACCAAGTTGAGCAGGACGGGACGGCAATCTCACACATCTCGAGCATGACCCTGCCCTGTCCAGCAATGCCAGTGGAACGGGAGTTCCTAGATCCGGCCGCCCATTCTTTGCGAGATTCTTTGCGAGATTCTTTGCGACAAGCTGTCAATATTGGACTGACTGACTTGACAGTTTGGGCCAGACACCAGACACCAGACACAGTGCGTCAGGCTAAAGAGACCTGTCGTCTGCAATACTGGCCAGAGAATGCCCGGCCCCTCCTCAGACCTAGAGACCAGAGAGCATCCGTACCCTACTACAGATTACATCCTTACATCCTCCGTACGGAGTACACCGTACACCTTTCCCAACTCGGGCAAGTGATGAAGCTTGTAAGTTACATTACCGCTCCCGATCTGATATGGTCTGTTCCCATCTGCTCACATCTCGTATCTGGGTGCAACTATGCGCGATAGTGTATGGCCCCTGCCCCACCATATACGAGAGGCCATTTCACATACGGAGTACTATGTGCACATCGCTCTCCGGCGCGTGTACATAACCGTGCAGTACTCCTGACGCCTGTCGCCGCGCGAGTCTATAGTACATACGTGAGAGCCAAACTCTATATTACTCTGTATTCTGTACTTTATACGTTTCAGGGTCTTTTCCCTTCTTGACCTCGAGCGAGACCAA